AGAGCTCATAGCCACGACGGACAAGAATGGCATAGCTCAAGGAGTACAAACTAGATCGAGCGCGCGATAAGTACCTAGCGCGAGATCGGACGGGAGCAAAGTATAAGACGAGAGGTAATCACGTGACACGAAAAAGGAGACGGTATCCGAGAACAACGATGGTTGTTACAGGCATTCACGATGGTGTCGCGGGTGTGGGGTAAACAGTCCCAGCCAATGAGCGCCCCGCTTGAAGAGACTTCCAAGAATGATTAGAGGAGTGTGTGTAGAAGGATGAAAGACAGTGCAGAGTTTGATCCATTTGACTGCGAGGTTTGAACGAGCGCGCGAACTGCGTGGTCTGGCAAAGTGCAGCAAGTGCGGTGAGGACCGTCACTCCAGCGCGCATGAGCAGCAGTGGATTCAAAAGCGTTTCATATATCTAGACTATCTAGAGCTCAGAGCTCATCGTGTACGACCTCCTCGGTCTGCTCACCCTCTTCCTTCTCAGCGTCAGGCTCCGTGTTATCCCGCTTCAGCGCGGGCTCCCACACAGCTCCCGGCTCGTCAGAGTAAGTGACGAGCACCTCGACCTCCTCCTCGTTGACTGAGTCGCGGACGGCCGCCTTGCCGTCGGCAGGATGTTGCCGCGGGTCCTTGCTGTCGGCCTTGCTGTCAGCCTTGACACCGCCCTTTTGGCTATCGGCGGGGCCAGTCTTGCGCTTCGACTCGGGACGGTCAGACTCGTATGAGACGGGCGCGTCGGCGTCGGCGAGGATCTCCTCTAGCGCTTCGTCCTGCTCAGCCTGGACATGATTCTCGTGCGCGATCTCCTCCTTCAGGGCCTCCTCCTCCGCAGAGTCGGTCGCGGCGTCGTCGGAGGACGACGGAGCGTCAGAGTCCTTGAGACCCTGGGCCTTCTCGAGGGTTCCGGCGAGCTCATCGACAGAGCCACCAAGTTCGCTGGCACCAAGAGACGCGGCGAACTCCGCAATCTCGCGGTCATAGCTGTCCCACTCGGGGATCTGACGAGCGCGGCTGAGCTTGGGCTCCTTCGTGAGGGGGTTCTGGCACAGGTCGATGGTCTTGGCCGTCTTGAGCGATTCATCACTGCACCAAGTCTGACACCAGAGCCAGTCCTTGTCGAGCGTGAAGATGGGGATCTGCTGCTGCATCGAGTTGGGCAGGTCCTGATCCAGGTTGGCAAGGGAGTTCGGGTCGGCGGAGAGAGCGTGGTACATGCCACGGAGGCGGTCGCCGGCCGTCTGGGCGCGGAAGCGCTGCAAGTCCACGACGTACAGCGCCGAGATGTGGTAGGGATTGCCGCGCAACTCATTCTTCCAGTAGCCTGAGAGTTAGCTCTGCAGTCCAATCTTCACAGCTCGGTGGGTGAGCAGAACCCATGCGCTGAACAGGTGCGTCTGCTCGACTGGCAAGCTCAGCCGAGACAGCCCGACCGCTGACGCGACCGAGCAACTCGCATTGTGGACTCACCCTGCTTCCAGAACCTGAATCCCTCCATCTCTTCGCGGTCGTCGCCCATGGGCGGGTACGCATAGACGTGGCCCTCAAGGTCAAGGTCGACGAGCTCCTTCATATCCGTGCGCACGATCTGGTCGGCATCGACGAAGATGACCTTGTCAAGATCCATGGGGAAGAGCACGTCCAGGAAGAGAATCTTGTACGCCCAAATGATGCGCTGCTTTTCGCTCTGCGCACGCAGCCACGCCGGCCACTTGTACGTCACGAGCTCGTACTCGAAGCCGTAGTGTTCGGCCATCTGGGGCAGGAACTTGAGGAACGTCGGCGAGAGGAAGTTCTCGATGAACCAGAACTTGACGCTGGATTTCGTGTGCTTCATGACTGAGAGCATCATGATGGACGCGAAGCGCTCGTACAGCAGCCCACTGGCTACGGTGAAGATGTTGATGTCGGCGTGGCGCGACTTCTTGACGGGCGCGAGACCGACGGCGCTCTTGATCCTGTTTGTCAGCTATGAGGTCATTGACCAGCTGCCGCAGTCGACTCACTTGCTGAGCCAGCCTGCCGGCTCGTCCACCTCCAGGACGTCGGCAGTCTCCATGCCCTCCTTACGGGTGAAGCGGGGATAGATAGTGTTGCCCTCGAGACTCGTGAGGGTAACAATGTTGCCAGCGTCCTGGACGGAAGGCGATTCCCAGCCCTCGTTGCCCGCGCTCTGCAGTTCATAAACCTCCTCTCCGCGACCAGGACGGATAGTGAGGTCATACACGCCCGGCGGCGCCTTGAACTGCAGGTAGCCCAGGTTGGTCATGACCTGCGTGTCGGAGACAACCTCGTCCTCGCCCTGCGCGCGAAGCTGGAGCTGGAGTCCCGTAGGCGGGGTGCTGACGCCCTCGCGGGCGTGACCGTCCATGACGAGCTGCTTCAGATCGAAGAGCACGTGGGTCGGCTCGCCCAGCTGTCCGAGCATCAGGTTGTCGAGGTCGAGGGGAGAGTCGGTTGGGCTGATGATCCACGCCTGCGGGACGCTCATACCGAGGGTGTAGATAGGTGAGGAGGGCAGGTCGACGAAGCGCACGTCGGGCGACACCTCGTTGCCGTCCACGTCGAACGACAGCTGCGCGCGGAGCGACTCGCGGTAGAAGCGCTTCACCTTGATCTCCTTGGGACGCGGGTCGACATCGAAGTGCACGCTGATCGCAACACGGTCAAGCGACGAGAGCAGCTCGAGCAGGCCAGACCAACGCTGCGCCGTTTCAGAGATGGGGTCGACGATGACACCGAAGTGGTAAAGCGCGTTCTCGAAGTCGCCGATCTGGATCGAGCTGATGTCAGCTAGTGGTGACGAGCATAGCTTACGTTTCGCCCTTGTCCATCTGCTCGTAGGGACGCGCGCGAGGGCCAGAGTACGGCATGAAGATGCCCTCGGCGCCGCGCGGGTTGTAAGCGGACGCGATGGCAGACGACGTGCGCATGACGATGTCGGCGAGGCGCTCACTGTCTGTCAGCTTATTCCGATAGAGGTAGCCTACCGGGGGATGTCCTTGCCGTCGCCGATAGACATGGAAGCCACGAGCTGCGCGACAGGATCAACGCGCTTCTTGCCCTCAAAGTCCTCGAGCAGACCGAACGCCTTGGGTCTGAGGACATCGGGCTCGTCAATGGGTCCGATCAGGCGGCCGTTGACAAGTACGTAGGGCTGGGTGCCGTTTACGCCGAGGCGGTGCGCGACAGTGTTGCCGACAGACCAGAACTTGCCCGCCTCTGCCGTGACGCCGACAGTCCACCCGGCGCCGGTGAAGGCGTTCAGGGGCTCGTCCTTGCCCTCCGTGTCCAGCTCCTGCGGCGCCTGGCCGGCTTGGATCTCGTCCAGCGTTAGCTGGTCGACGTTCGTCTCGCGGCTGTTCAGCTCGTCAATGAACTCAATCAGCTGGCTGGGCTTGATTGTGTTCAGCTGACCCGTGCTGATGAGTTCAAAGAGGAGCGAGGAGAAGAGTCCGCTGCCGCCAGAAGGCTGCACATTAACGAAGCCCAGGCGCGATCGGCAGCCCTCAGTCTGCAGGTGCTCAAGCGCGTTACGGGCGAGCGTGAGACCAGCGTTCGAGTCGAGATCACCGACAATCCAGGTCGTGATAGGAACAGCCTCGTCACCGACTGATGTCAGTTCGCCGCTTCCGCAGCTAGACTCACCGGGGTAGACAAAGTTCTCGGCCAGGACATCGGCAGTGCCGTTGAATACATCGGCGAGATTGTACACGACGAGCTTCTCGCCCTGCTTCGGCACAATGTACTTGGCTTTGCGTTTGAGGGTCGAGGGGAGGTCGTAGAAGACGGTGGAGAGGTCACTGTCCTCACCTACGGCGCCACCGACGATGAGCTGCTGAAGCATCTGCGTCATGGAGATGAGCTCGTTCTGCAGCGCGCGCGTCCACCCGACGCCGATCGCGATCGGCTTGCCGTTCACCATGAGCGTGCCGCCTGTCGACTCCGAGGGCGTGATGCCGACACGCTCGAGCCAGTCCTGGGCGCGCTGAGAGCGCTTCGTCACCAGCTTGCTCTTGAGGACCGCGTCGAAAGGCGGCCACTCGCCAACCGCCGATTCGGTGATAGACTCGTACGCAGTCTCGACTGCCACATCGGTAACCTTGCCGCCATCCGTGATGGTGTCGAGCTGTTGTCAGTTATCCTCAGTCACTAAACAAATGATCAACTTACCGTCTTGATGTAGTCGTTAGCAGCCTCACGGCCGAGCTTCTCGTTGATGTAGAAGAAGATCTTGCCGGCCGTGTTGTCACCGACGGGAACGACACCAAAACGGACGGGGACACCGCGCCTGACGAAACCGAGCGCCTCGTTCGCGACGGTGCCGAGGCCGATCTTCTTCGACAAGTCAACGGCAAGAATCGCGTTGAGCGCGTTACGGCGCACAAGATGCAGCTGGCCCGGGTACACAGGACGCATGTACTGAGAGTTAGTAACCGAGCTGAAGCGTCAAACTCACCCCGTTCAGACTGCTCGGGAAGCGCACGTACTGCGCGTCATTCTCAATATCGTACATCCAGCCGATGACGTTGCCGCCCTCCTCACGGTCGCTGGCGTCGACGAGACCCTCAGACGGGCTGGTGCTCGCCTGCGCCGTACCGATGACCTCATCCGACATGAGCTCGACAGCCTCCTTTGGCGTGAAGCCGATGTCGAGGAGGGTGTTGATGTACGGCCGCTCAGAGCGGATCGCATTCAGAAGTCTGCCTGTCAGCTACACCGTGGTCGGTCGAACTCACCCAAAGGCATTCACGTCAGCTTCCTTAATGACCTTGCCGTTCAGAAGGAAGAGCGGCGAGACAGGGTACTCATGACCTGTGATGCGGGCGCGCTTCTTGATGCTGTCGGGCGCAGAGACCTTGCGGGCGAGCGCGGCAGTGTACTTGGGCAGGTTCTGCGACAGGTCCGTAAACGCCTTGAGCGGGTTCTTTGCGTTCTTGATGACCGTAATCGCATTGACGCCGACGCCTGTCTGTCAGTTGTCAGCGCACCTTCACAACTCACGCTTCGTCTCCTCCTCGGTCAGCGGCTTCGAGTTCTCAGTCCAGGGATCCTCGCCGAGCTCGGGGAAGACCGCAGCCTGCTTGTTCTCGAACACGACCTGCTTGCCGCCCTTAGCGCGCGCGCGGTCGTCGACGACGAGATAGTCCGTCTTCTTGAGCGCCATCTCGACGCCATACCCGCTGAGCAGGGTCTTGCGGGTACGCTCGCCCGTGGGGCGGTATCGGACAACATAGGCGAACTCGGGGACAGACTTGGTGTGCTGGTCGAGGTAGTTCAGGAGGGGCAGAGCATCGGGGTTAGGTGAGTAGTAGAAGACGGCCTTGGGCTCGGCGCCAGAGACATGGTCGAAGGGCAGAGTGCGAATCGGGACCTCAGTCGAGTTGCCGTCAATACCGCGCTCAACGGCGGCGCGCAGTTTCTCGGCGTCACAGTACGCCTTACCCTGGAACTCGACCCAGGCGGCACAGTCCGTGACTCCGAGAGCCGCCTCATCGAGCTTGGCGTATTGGGCGAACGCGGCTTCGATGCGCGGTGCGGTCGTGTGCAGCGACAGGGCGAGGTTGAACGTCGACTCATCGCCGGAGCAGATGTGATGCGAGCCCATGAGCTGGAGGGCATGCTCGTATTGCGACTCAGGTGTCTTGCGTAGGCCAACAATATGCGACGTGATCAAGCGAAGGAGCGGGAAGTAAGAGGACGCCGACTCGTCGTACGCGGTTTCACTGATGTCAGCTACACCCGGAGATGTTGCAGCTATCTCAGTTCAAGCGCGAGGGCGGCGTGCACACAAACCGTGACCGGAGAGGCTGCGGCACACATGCAAACACGCATAGAGCCCCGTCCACCAGTCCAAGATGACTCACAGGATTTCGAGCAGGAGTGGAGGTGCGCTCCAAGCCGTTTCTACGCCAACGCTGAACGGCACGGAGGACTGCGGCGCGGCCGCCGCAACGGCGGCGAACGCAGCAGCACCTGCGAGCCACTTCATTCTGTCGTAGGTAACAGTTGCAGTAGTTTCGCTGACGTGGCGAGCGGAAGCGACGTTTGTGCAAAAGTCAAAGAAGAGACAAGAACTTTGAACGAAGATGCGCTGGCACAACGGCGGAAGTGACGTGACGGGAGGGGGAGGAGTGCGTCGAAATCCGGGGTCTCCAGCTGCTTGTTGTTGGCACCCACGTGGAAGCACATCCCGTCGATCTCTCCCTTAACCCTTTCCGCGCCGTCATCCGCAGCGTCCGCGCTCTGGACCTCGGCGCGCACACCGGACGGAATATGGATACCAGGGACTCTCGGTGACCGACTAAGTGTCACGGCCGTCCCGCTGTCTCAAGCTGGCCGACAGCTCTTGACGGCTTTGTCAGGTGGGTTCACAGCGGGCCACGCGGAGCATCTCAAAGCCGACGTGCCTGCGTCCACAGATTCGGGTTCATGAAGCTTTCATATTTCTACTTTATCTAATCTTTGTTCTGATGTCTTAGTGATTGGTTTACATTGATGCACGTTTCCGAAAAAAGCCAGGGTTCGTAGTGTTCTTAGAGGTTGAGAGTCGCCACACGGGCGTCGACGTCGGCGCGCGCGGGAATGCTCTCCATCGCACCCGGGTTCTCAACAGCGAGGGTAGACGCCTGTGTCTGTCAGCTCAAGCTTCGGTAACCGCCAGCTCACCGTAATGCAGGTTGGGAAGATGTCCTTGAGGGGCGCGTCGTCGCCCTTCTCCATGAGCATGGCGGTGAAGTAGCCCGCAAACGTGTCACCGGCGCCAGTCGTGTCCACGACCTTCTTGGCGGGGACAGCGGGGAAGCTCTGGATCTCCTGCCCGGGGACGAGAGCGAGGACGCCGTCGGGTCCGATGGTCGTGACGATGACGATTTTGGGGTTAAACTCCTTGGCGGCGTGAAGAGCCTTCATGCGGATAATGCTCGCCTCGGCGACGCTGAGTCCCGCATCGACGGGCACCTTCTCGTACGCGTCGAGGATGGCCTCGAGCTCGCCCTCGTTCACGATCAGGAACTTGAGGCAGTCCCAGGGGAAGACGCGGAGCTCGGCGACGCTCGGCATCGGCGACGGGTTGTAGATCGTCGTCAGGCCGCGGGCACCCGCCTCGCGCATGTACGCCACCGTGTCGACGAGGGGGATTTCATTCTGCAGCAGCACATGCGTGTAGCCCTCCAGCTGGGGACCGTTCGCGTCAGCCCTGGCGTTCGCGCCGGCGTGAAGGACTGGATGTCAGCTGACCTTCCTTCCCGCTGTCACTCGTCACTCGTAGTCACTCGTCAGTGGCGTCGCGGCCCTGAGCGGCGACCCGCCGGCAACCACGGACTACCCGGTCCGCTCCGTATCGACTCCGTGGCCGTTGCCCGCTCGCCGCTCCGTTAAACACAACAACAGACTCACCGATGCTGTTCTCGCCGTCGGCGGCACGCTGAATGATAGCTCGTCCGGTGACCTGTTGTCAGCTTTATCGAGACCTGGTCAGCTCACCTCGCCGTCAAGAACGTGTACGCGAGAGACATCGACGCCGCCGCTCTCGATGAACCTCTTGGCCGCCTCGCCGTCGGCACCAATGTTGCCGTCGAGAACAACGCGTCCACCGGCACGTCCACACGCGAAAGCCTGGTTGGCGCCCTTGCCACCCGTCTTGCGGCTGAAGCCAGTCGAGGCTATCGTCTCGCCCGGGCGAACGATGTGGGGGAGGAGGTAGAACTCATCGATGTCTGAAGTCAGCTCGAGGGAGCAAGAAAGCTTACTGATGGAACCACGGCAGAGACACGCTTTGGAGGCCATGGTGTGTGATGGTGAAGGGAGAGAAGGCAATGGCGCGGATAGATAGAGGGGGAGGAGGGAAGGCGGCGCAATTGAGTGGAGGTGAGTGGAGGCCCGTTAGCGTAACCGGATCAACGTTGTTCTTCCGAGGATAACCCGGACAAAACAACCCGCCGCGGCACCTCCGCATACCTCGATTGCTTCTGCGATCCGTCCCCTTCGACACTGCACCATCCACAATGACACTCGCAGGAAACATCCTCGTCCTCGTGTCCGCCTTCCCGCTGATCTGGCGGACTGTCCAGCCCCTCATTCCGCCCCAATACGTCGAGTCGTACGCTTACTGGGACGCCGAGACGCTTAACGATGGCCAGAAGGTCGACGGCCGCGTCCCCCGCTGGCGCAATATGGGATACTGGACTGTAAGCTTTGTATCGCCGGCATCGATAGCTGACGACTCAGTCCCCTGATGAGAGCTTCACCCAGGCCAACGAGGCGCTCGCCAACAAGCTGCTCCAGTTCGCCGACGCCCAGACTGATGGACGCACCCTCGACATCGGCTTCGGTGGCGGCGAGACACTGCGTAAGTTTCCCCTCCTCTATGGTCATGCAGCTAGTTCGCAGCTCTTTCAAGCTGACATCAGTCCTCCACCTCTCGCAGGGCGCCAACGTGACCGGTCTAACGACCCTGCCTTCTGATGTCACTTCTGCCCGCGGCCTCGTCTCCTCCGTCTACCCCGAATCCTCCGTCGAGTACTACACCGGTTCTGCCAGCTACACCCGGGGCAAGGACGTCGACCACCCCCTGAACCCGGAGCGCGTGCTGGCTTCTGGCCCCGCGCAGCCCTTCGACCTGATCTACGCTCTCGACGTCGCTTATCACATCCCTCCGACGGTCTACCAGTTCGCAGCCAACGCGCACTCGGCACTGCGCGAACGCGGCGTGCTGGCGTACACCGACGTCCTGCCCCCTGCAAAGTTGACAAGTTTCCCGGGCCGCATCCTCGGCATGTGGCTCGCGCTCCCTCTCGGCGTGCCGCACCGGAACGTGATCGACCGTCCCGCGTCCCTGGACGAGTACAAGGCCGAGCTCGAGCAGATGGGCTACGACAACGTGCGTATCGAGGACTGGAGCAGCAATGTCTGGGAAGGGCTTGCGGACAATCTCGAGAAGCGCGAGGGTAAGGGCTGGAAGCTTGCCGCCAAGGGCTTCCGGTACGCGGGCAAGCATGGGTGGAAGTACATCGCCGTCCGCGGCGAGAGGGGCACGCCGCCCTCCCAGCAGACGGCGGAGGAGCAAGAGGAGGAGCACAATGAGCATCACGACGAGAAGAACGAGAAGGAGGCCGAGCTCTAAACAGCCAGGAGTAAACTGTACTTTCAACACTGTACACGTACACGACACCCATCGCTTGACAAGCGATTGGAACTGAAAATTGCGATCAGACCCGAAAAACGCTCATTACTTAGCCGGCGCCGTGCGCCGCATGTATCTTGCCCTATAGCGAATGTCTCATGCATATGTTATGTTGGTAGTGACAACAGTCTTCTTTACTTCCAATGAGAGTTCTATCCCCTGGTATCACTGGTAGCCGCCTAGTCGACCTCGTCCTCATAGGGCCGCTCCTCGGGCTCCGGGTCCTCGACCTCCTCGCGCATCTCGGCCAGTCGTCTCCGCATAGCCTGGTGTGTCAGCTAACCACCAACGTCATCGCAGCTAACCCCACTTCCCCGCCACATCCCTTCCTGGCCCGTGATAGGCAGCAGTGGCCGTAGCCGATGGATAGTGAAGCGGACAATGGGCCGACGTCCCAATGACAGCACATACCTTCTCGGTCCTCGTCGGCGGCACGCGACGACAGATCAACGCCCCAACGAGCGCCATAAGCCCGCCAAAGCGGAGCACCCACGCGACGCCCGTCTTGTTCTCGAGTCCGGGGTCCGAGTCGGGATCCCCGTCCGCGACGCGGAAGATGACCGAGGCGACGATCGCGACCTGCTGTCAGCTATCCGATGCTACCCAAGCTGGCCCTTTCCCTGATCCCTCCCAGATCCACAGGCAAGTGCAGCGAAGAAAGAGGCAACTCACAATGAACTGCGGCAGCACAATGGCCAAATTGTGGATGCCCATAATCGTGCCGCCGGCCACGGGGCCGTGGGTGATATACTCCTGTCCGGCGCCTTCGAGGTCTGTAGCCGAGTAGCTCCTGTTCTTGAGTCCCGGCCTCGCCCTGGTGGGCGACTCGGGGTGGCTGCGCGTACTCCGCAACGAGCCGCCGGGACTCTCCATCGTGCCGTAGGACACGGTCTGGGAGACGCCCGACCCAGCAGGCCCAGCAGGCGGTGTAGGGCGGGGCTCGAGCTCCTTCAGGAACTCCATCATCATCGCGAAGGGCACCCAGCACGCTACGGCCCAGCAGATGCCCACGAGCGCAATCATGACGGTCGCCTGCCAGACGGTCGTGATGAAGAACGTAGACATCATCAGGACGAAGAAGAGCACGAGCGCAAACGTCCACACGTTGCGCAGCATGAAGGGCACTGTGTTGTCAGCTTGCACTGAACTAGAGGTCGGCTAGTGGGAGGGGGAACTCACTTCTCGGCAACTTCAGCGGACGCCCGTCTCGCGCCGCGTCCGCCTTCCACATGCGCACGAGCTCGCGCACGCGGGCCGTCTCGGCCGCAGCGACCTGGTCGCGCTGTGCGCTCTCTGGCGACTCGACCGGCGTCTCGGCCTCGTCCTCGAGAGCCTCGGTCGGCTTCAGCAGTCGGCGGTCGCGGTCGGCCAGTTTCGGCAGCACTGTTCCAGCAATGATCGCGACTGGGCATTAGCTTTCAACAAGCGCTGGCAGCTTACCAAAAGAGTGTATCAGGAGCGCGAAACTACCAACACGCGTGGCGTAGTTCCGGTCAGGCTCTCGACCGATCTCGTGCGCCATGACTTCGGCAACGTACGTCGTCGAGTAGAAGAGGAACGGGAACCAGCCCATGAAAGCTGCGATTTGGACCTGTCATGTCAGCTTCTCGGCACCAAACGCAGCTCACCATGCACATGCGCCGAACGGGACGGGGGAGACTGAGGACCGCCTCGTGGATAGTGTTGATCATATCGCGGAACTTGGACCGGCGGCCGAAGAGCTGCGGCCGCTCGCTCTCCTCAAACGTGGCGCATGTGATCCACACCGTCACGATGAGGATGACGAGGGCGACGACGCAGAGTTTCCGGAACTGGTCCCCGCCCAGGAGACGAAGGACGGGCACCTTGTTCAGATTCAGGAAGCCGAGAGTGAATCCCACAATGTTGCCGATATGGTTGAAGCGTCCGTTCCAGGCGTTGGCCGAGTTGATCTGCTCGCTCGGCGTCACGTCGAAGACAAGGCAGCGCAGGGCTGCTTGCAAGCTGTATTCTGTCAGCTAAGGTTGCCCAGTCTTGCAGCTATAAGTTCATACCCGTTCAGAGCAAAGTCGAGGCAGTAGAAGCAGAACACAGCAATCAGGATCGCGACCTTCTTGACCTGTTGACGTCAGCACCAGCCTCAAAGAACACACACCATCTTCTGCGTGTTCGGGTCCCAGTCGCCCTGGCCACCACCAATGATATCGACGATAGCCTTGGCAACAGGTTGCGTGAACGCGAGTCCAATGCCGCTGATAACAAGTAGCCCCGTGCTCATGACAACCCAGTAGCGACGCCTGTATCTGCTCGTGGACGAGTCCGAAATGGCGCCAATGAGGGGCTGCACGACGAGACCCGAGATGGGGCCCGCGAGCCAGACGAGGGACGTCAGTTCCTCGCTCAGCCCAAGGCCGAGGAGGTATGGCGTTCCGTATCCGAGCTCGACACTCCATGCAATCTGTCGTCAGCTCTGGTTCTAGCCATGCGAGCTCACCTGGCTTCCGCCCATGGACACAGTGAGCGCAATGAGCTGCAATGTACTCAGCCGCGGTGCCTCCTTCGGCGGCGGCGCGATACGCGACATGCCGCTATCCCCGAAATGCGGCGCCTGGGACGTGTGCGGCGACGAGCTGGATCCATTGAAGCGGCGCGCAGACGGCGACTCGGGCTCCCGCGCCATCCACCCGTTACCGTTGCTCCGGCTCGTGGGCGACATCAGGCTCGAGAGACTCGTGTACCGCACCTGCTCCTGGCCGCCGGCGCCAGTGGACGGTCGGCCGTGTCCAAGTCCGTTACCGTTCGTGTGTGTGTTGATCGGAGAAGGGGTGGAGGGCAGCGTTGGCTCGGAGCTCCTAGCTCTCGAGCCTCGGGCACTCGCACTCGGCGGCGTGCGCCCAAAGTTGCGGATGGGCGAGTCGCGCGGACTCCGGCCTAGACTCGACATGGTAGTTAGATGGATGAGTGAGCGGAGTCATGAAGTCGAGTCGCAAGAGGTCGGGCTGGTGGCGACAGTGACGCCAGGCACGGATGATCGCAGTCCGCCGCCCGCCGTAGGGCGAATACGTCAGTGGGCGCTAACGTTATTCCTTCCAGGCCCCGCCCCGTCCCTGTCCACGTTCCCCTCGAATTGGCATTCCGAGTGGCTATCACTTCCTGCAAGTGACGGTCTCGTCGACGTGACTGCTCTCGGCGCAGTTATGATTTTGTGGGGTAGAGGTGTGAGCTGGGATACACAGAGTTGCCTGGGTACGTAAAGAAGCGCAGGGTGGCGGTACGATTATCAGCCGGCTGCTCAGGAACGCTCTTCCGGTACGCAGTACGACCAGAGTCAGTCTCACAGCGCGTCCCCCCAGCCTACCTCCTCTTCCTTGCCAAACAGTCTTCGCCAACACTTCATACCATTCTGGGTACATTGAAGCCTGTAAAGGAAACGTCCAGTGGTCGCGAACAGCCGGCTGCCGCGCTTGAGAGGCGAGCGCTCTGCCGACAGGCCACGCGGCGACACGGCACACAGCGAGAAATTAACGGGTCTGATCGTATAACGGTTAGTACACAAGATTCTGATTCTTGTAATCTGGGTTCGATTCCCAGTCGGACCTTTCCTTTTGGACTCTGGAGTGCTCGTGGGTTCCTGGAGATATCCATACCATACCCTCTTTTTCTCCTCATTGCCCAGTCCTTCCCCCATAGGTGCATCTCCGTGATTATCTTACACACATGCATACGTGAATGCCCGAGTCCGTGATTGCTATGATGATACTAATGCTGGTTTATGCGCCTGCGCAAAGTCCTTCCACTGTACACCCCCTCCTTTCCCCTTTCCTCTTCACTCCTGTTGGTTGGGGACCTACTGCATTCCCTCAAAACACTCGACGCAGTACGCCTTGTTCTCAAGCGGGAAGAAGAGGTTGTTCGCGAACGGGCTCCGGCACTGCTCGCAAACAAAGCATTCCCTGTGCCACTTGCCGCCGAGTGCTCCGACTGCGATATCGGGGATGGGCTGGCGGCACGCCTTGCACTTGGGCTTGTGGAGCTTGAGATGGCAGCGTTCGCAGTACGGGTGGCCCTTGTGGATGACAAAGTCGTTTGTCTCGTCCACCTCATCCTCCTCCTCGATACCCCGACGGGCCGCTTCCGAGCGCTGTGTTCCGGGAGCACTGCTCTTCGAGGGGTCGAGGAACGGGTCGCCGCACTCGGAACAGAAGAAGTGCAGCTCGTGGTAAAACCGCTGGCCCAGCTCCTCGTCGTTCAGCGTGATGAAGCGCGGGTCCACGATCGGTGTCCGGCAGTGGTGACACTTGGGCGCGAAGCGCTCGTGGTAGTCCAGGTGGCAGTAGGGCTGCCCGTCGTGCTCGTACGCCGACACGTGCTCCAGGTGCTCGCCGCAGACACCGCACTGGAAGCACTGCGGGTGGAAGCGCTTCCCCATCGCCGAAACAATGCGGCCGATGATCGCCTCGTTGCACCCGGCGCACACGATTGCGCTGCTCGCGTGTACGCGGGTTGGCCCAGCGGAGGCACGCGTGTCACTCGACTCGACCGCGATCGTCGGCTGACCACTGAATTCGAACCCGGACGGCGAGGCGGGACGCTCAGCGCGGGGGCTCGACGGCGCAGAGCCGATCGAGATGCCCGGAGGAGGAACAACAATGCTCGGCGGCTGGGGGTCATCGTTCACAGGCGAGGCAACACGAATCGAGGGCGCCTTGGGTGGCGATCCGACATTGATAGACGGTACTTGAGGTGCACCAACGTTGATGGAGGGCACGCTGCGCGGAGGAGGCTTCGGCGGCGATCCGACCGAAATGGTCGGAACGGCGGGCACGGAGCGAGGCGACTTTGGCGGAGAGCCAATGTTGATCTGCGGGACAGATGGCGCAGGCGACCGCGATCGAGGAGGTGAGCCAATGTTGATTTGCGGCACCTTCGGTGTGGCCTCGCCCACGCTAATGACTGGGATGTCGGGAGTCACAATCGTGGGCGCCTGAGGGAAACCGACAGGCGTCATAGGCGTACGCGGAGAGTTAGACCCGTTGGACGTCGGGCTTCGCGAACCTGAACCTACACTCATGCCTGCCATCTGCTGGGCGAGATCATCCGGCCCCTCCTCCGCTATAGGAGAGGACGGCGACTTGCGACCGTTCGAGCGCCGGATCCCTGCCGCAGCCGACATTGCACCACGGTCCAGACTCTGGCTTGCCGAGACGCCGACAGGAGGGCTAGGGAGGACTCGTTTGCCGGGACCAAAGTTGCCGCGGTCGAGCGACTTAACGGAGGCAACGGTGTCTGAGCGCTGCAACAGCTCCTCGACAGCGCGGTTGCGAGGAATGTTAGAGGGGAAGCCACCCGAGCGCATCAACTGGTACGCCGACGGTGTCGGAGCGTCGCTGGGAGCGCCGGCGGGCGTAGGTAGCGCACGGCCGCCGCTGCCATTCTGCAGACCCATCCGCGTCGGCTGAGGAGACTTGGGCACCTCCGATGCACGCGGTAGGGGCTCCCTCGTGGGCGACGACGACCGAGAGTCACTACCCTCAGTCTTTGGGGCACTGTCACTCCCGCCGGTCATCCAAGAAGGAGGGGCGGGGGGAGGCGCAAACTTCGACGTAGACGCAGGAGGCTGCTTGAAGTTGGCGAGCGAGGGGTGGGCGGGACTTGGCGAAGGGTTACGCTGAGGTGGCTGAGGCGAAACCGAGCGCGGCGGGGGCTGGGGTGAAGCGCTACGCTGGGGAGACTGAGGAGGCTGAGGCGGCGCCGATCGTTGCGGTGGCTGGGGCGAGTGTGATCGCAGAGGAGGCTGGGGAGACGGCGATCGCTGAGGCGGCTGGGGCGGCTGGGACTGCTGGCTGGTTGCGCTGTGGAGGCGCAGGAGAGCCGTTCGCTCGGGGGAGCGGTACAGGTCGCCCGCTTCCGGGAGCGCCCATCATGGCCAAGACGTGCGGCGGGAGGTTTGGCTGGCTAGGCGCGGGCGACTGTCCATTGGGTTGCGCGGGGGAGCTTGTCGCCGTTTGAGCTGCAGGGGGTGGTGTCGGCGTGGACGGTGTCGGGGTTGACGCCGCGGACGCTGTTGCAGCTGCGCGTAAAGCAGCTTCGCGTTCTCGCTTGCGCTCCTGGAATGTCTTGAACGCAGGAGCCTGATAGTCTGTCTTGCGCTGGGGAGACGGAATGGCGACGGTGTCGGAGCGGGCAAGGGGGCGGGGTGGGGTCTGCTGCTCGAGGTACGGCTGGGCAGCGTACGACTGCTGGTAAGCCTGTTGAGCCCCACGGTGCGTCTGCGGGAGCGACTGCTGCGGGTACTGCTGCTGAGGAGCGTACTGCTGAGGCGTCGGGTGCTGGCCATAGGACTGGTGTGGTGACGGGTGCGAGTGGTATGACGAGTGCGGCGAGGGCTGAGAGTGATGAGACTGCTGGGACAGTTGGCCGTACGAGCCATAGGTCTGTTGCGGGTAAGCCTGCTGCCCGAACGAGTGCTGAGCGTAGGGTTGTTGCGGGGGCTGAGGCTGCTGACCAAACGACTGCTGGTGGTATCCAGGCTGAGGTGCAGATTGCGGTGGCGGTTGCTGATACGGTTGCGGCGGCTGCTGTGGAGGTGGAGCCTGAGGATGTTGTTGCGGCTGCTGGTGCTGCTGCTGACCGTACCACTGCTGCTGCTGCTGAGGCTGTGCGTACGCCTGTTGCTGAGGATGTTGAGGATGTTGGGGTTGAGCATGGGCGGCCCCGGGGTAGGTCGACGGGCCGGGCATGCTCTGCTGATAGTACTGTTGGTGAGGGTGCGGAGGATTGTTTACGCCTGTGGGGTACGATGCTTTTAGTTGTCAGCCCAAACATGCTGCGGGATGTTTGTTTGTGTCTCTCGCACGGACAGGGAGTCGATGGTACTCACGCGTCTGTGTGGAGTACATAGCCATGGCTGGGGCGGGGTGTATCACGAGACAAGAGACGAAGGTGGGAGAGGTGCAAGGGTGTTTGGATAGAGTAGATGAGAGATGCAGGAAACGATATGAATGAGTAAGATCTGGAGACGAGGATGGAGCGGAGGGAGGCGGAGGGAGGCAGAGGGGGTGGGAAGAGGGGGAGCGGGGGGAAATGGCAGAGGCAGGGGCTGGACGGTGCTGGATGAAAACAACGGAACCATCTGGTGCGACATGTCGGAAATCAGTCGCGACCCTCCTCTGCCCAGCTGCCCAGCATTTGGCCAGAACCCAATTTGTGGATCACTCTGGCGGCACTCGGCCCAAACAGAGCCAGCAAGAGATCAGCATGCGACCAGCTGCTCATACGTATGTCATAGCCATCTCCTCATGCAATCACACTACATCGTTCCCAGGCATTCATCCATTCATACTTCGAGTCTGTCGTCAGGACCCACTCCTCTTCGGGCAACACGATAAACAACCCCAAACACAAGGCACCTCCTGCTGATGGACAGGCACTCTCCCCCTCTTGCCAGCAAGTTGACTCTCCGACACTCTGCACATTCTGGACATCGAGGCATGCATCTCCTGTAACGCAACGCGAATCAGTCACGCCAATCTATAATCTAGTTCTTCAGCTTCTTCTGCTGCTCGACATCAGCGTCTTCCTCCTCGCGGGCGTGCTTTGACCCAGCGTCGGCCTTGGGCTTGGGCGCCATCGTCTTCTCCACGTTGTTCATGTCAATCTCCGACCAACTGGTTCCGTCAGCGTGCGTACTCTTCAGCCTACGTCGACATACTGGGGCAGACGCATCGGGAGGTTCTCAGGCTTGAGCTCTGGCCAGTGCTCGTCGACAATCTTAACGATCTCGTTGAAGATGACCTCGTACCCCTTGGCGGTGAGGTGCAGACCGTCACTGTTTGTCAGCTTCGAAGAGACTGGGTAGCTCACTAGAAGAAGGGGCGGAGCTTGTCCGGCTCTCGACCGCCAGCGGCTCGCTCGATGGCGCCCCACGCATCGAGCGTGACGATAGGCTCATCCTCCTCATGACATTCATGGACGACCATGCCGGGTGTGTCGCGGTACTCCTCGCTGTGCTGCAGGCTACGGTCGAGCGTGGGCGCCTCGCCCTTGGACCCAAACTCCTTCCACCGCGCGAGCTGGCCCTTGTGTCGGTCCTCCTCCACGATGGGCGTGACGCCGATGAGAATAATCTTCGTCTCGGGCGAGTAGTACTCCGAGTTCTCAGAGGTAACCATGGTCATGATCTCGGAGAGGTGCATGCCGTAGTCGTTCTCTGATACGTGCTGCGGACGCCCCTCGAGCACACTGTCGTTCGCACCGTACCACAGTGTCATGAGAGGGATCTTCTGTGCCCGGCCAGCAGCGCGGTCGGCGGCGGTGCCAAACGACTGCTTGAAAGCCTCAACACCCCTGTCTGTTAGCTGCGAGAGAACTGAGTAGCTCACATCTTGCTGTTGTAGCCACCGTAGCCTCGGTTCAGGACGTCGAGGCGGCGCAACCAGTGCTCGCTCATGCGCTGGGCGAGCGAGCCCGGCGTCCACGCCTGCGTCAATGAGTCGCCCTGCCATGTCAGTTAACTCCCAAGCTCCTGACTTACGAGGAGGTAGATGGCGTCGGTGTACGAGGCAGCCATAATTTCTGGTGTGCAGAGCGACAAGTTGGGCATATGGGCATCAGTAGTCACCCTCAGTATACCGCCAGGGTCCTCGCGGCAGCGACCTCCACCGGGCGCGCGGAGGCAAGGGATCGCCACGCGACGTGCCTGGCTGGCAGCGGCAAACGGCGACGGACGCTTCAGTCATCGCCACTGGTCTTTCCGAAATCCTCGTCGATCACCATCTTCTCTTCGATACAACAATCATGACGACAACAGACGCTACGATAACGACAGAAGCGAAGCAGGACCCCGTGTTTCTCCTGAATGGAGATGGACCCTACGTCATGCCCCAGAAGTACATCTTCAGCAAGGCGCACCTCGAGGCATTCACGCGGAGCAAGACGCACGACGCGATTCTCGGCTTCATCGACGAGCTTAATGACACGGTCGTGGGCGTCAAGCTCTCCGAGGCAGGAGAGCCTTCAGAGGTGAGCTTTCTTTCTTGAGCTTAGCTGACCCCAGGCATGCGCCGCGGTGCTGCAGATTCTGGACGACGTGCTCGAGGCAGCGAAGGCGACGCCGCCAGTAGACAACAAGCTGTCCCGATTCGGCAACCCAGCCTTCAAGACGTTCTACGACAAGGTCACCGCGAGCTCGGAGAAATGGCACAGCACGATTCCGGGCCTGAAGCCCGAGGCCGTGTGCGAGGTGCAGGCGTACTTCACCGAGAGCTTTGGCAACCGTGAGCGCGTCGACTATGGATCCGGACACGAGCTGAACTTTCTCTGCTGGCTGCTTGTCCTGACCCGTCTCGGCGTGTTCACGCAGAGCGACTATCGCTTCCTCGTCCTCGGGGTGTTCTGGCGATACATCCTCGTCATGCGATACCTCCAGAGCACGTACTGGCTCGAGCCGGCTGGGTCGCACGGTGTCTGGGGTCTCGACGACTATCAGTTCCTCCCCTTCCTCTGGGGCGCGGGGCAGATCAAGAGTGAGTAGGGGTGAAGAGCGGAGCTGCGAAGCGGCGTAGCGTTTCCTTGAGGGCGTGGCGGTTCCCGTCGCTTCCCCGTCGCTCCCGGCCCGTCTTCAGCTGCGCTATCCACGACGTCAAGCTGACATCCAGGCCATAAGCACATGCGGCCGAAGGCGATCCACGACGCCGAGCTCCTCGAGGCCTTCTCTCCGGAGTACATGTACCTCTCGTGCATCGCGTTTATCAACTCGATCAAGACGCACAGCCTGCGGTGGCATTCGCCGATGCTCGACGACATCTCCGCCGTCAAGACATGGGACAAGGTGAACAGCGGGATGCGCAAGATGTATGCGGCCGAGGTGCTCTCCAAGCTGCCCGTGATGCAGCACGCGCTGTTCGGGAGCATCCTCTCCTTCCCGACGCCAGAGGAGGATCCGGAGCTCGCGAAAGCCATCGCGGACCAGGGCGAGGTGCAGCTCGACGCGCACGGCCATGTGCACGAGAAGGGCTGGGCGATGGACTGTTGTGGAATCGCCGTGCCCAGCGCCTTTGCCGAGGCGGCCGCCGTCAAGGGAGGCGCGGCGCAGGTCCAGCCCCCGCCGTTCACGGCTAGACCGGGGATCAAGCCGATTCCGTTCGACTAGGCGCGAGCACGAAGCGCGCGCACGTGGAGAATGTGCTTGCGCGCGAGTGTTGTGCCCATGCATTCCGCGTCCTCGAGTAGAGTAATGTGGAGGGAGAAGTAGAATAGACCAGTCTTGTGTACAACAATCAAACCAAAATCCAAACCGGCCCAGGCACTAGGTGTACTATGCAGAGAGAAGTCAAGCACCGGACAATGCGGCGAGATGAGACGGGGTGCGCAGCTGATTCTGAACGGAGATGCCATCGACTGACTCACTCGGAGACAGTTGCGCAGCAAACGAAGTGGAGCTAGTGGAGATTGTTCCAAACCTGTTGCAAGCAAAGTGGAGATTGTTCCAGGATGCTCTTCAGCACTCCAGACTGGCCTGACTCGGACGAGTTTGAGGGCCGCGGGATACCGTCACAGCCCGCTGTACCACCGTTGCAGTCCCGTAGTCCCGTCTAACTCATGATGTTCATCGGGAGCAGGCCAGCAGGACAACCCGGCTGTGCGAACCCTGTATTCTTCATGACACAGCAGCCGCGCCAGTCTCGGCCTCATGACCAGCCGGGAAGTGGGCCGTCGTATCGATGGCGTCCACGATCGCATCCCGAGCAATAGCAACCGGGAATGTAACAATGCTCATTGTCCACCTACTCTCCATTCCCATACTACCGCAGACTACGCGGTACCATGTCCCCCAAAGCATTGCGCATGCCGTGCTGTCGCCGAGCAGCAGTGAAGAAAAAAGGGAGGTGACATTCCGCTTGCTCGCCACTGAATGAAGGACTGCAGAAGTGGGGGAGCTTGTGATCATGATTGTGATCGTGATCGTGACGAAAATCCCACACTAAAGCATGACTAACGGACCCCAGAGGAGTGCGCAATGCAATGGGCATGTGGTCCATGCGGAACACCAGTGGTCGCGGGGCACGGCGGGGCCGGCGGATCGCGGCGGAGTATGCCGCTACCGCTACGCTTATTCTACGCTGACAGAATGGTCGTCGTGTGAGGAGCCACTGGTCCATGAAGACACCATGAGCACACCAATGAGCTAAACGGCGATTCGAGACCTCTTCCGCCCCACTCTTCGCTCATGACGCTCTACACGCTCTGATCTTCTCGTCATGTTGTTCGACTTAGTGCGGTCCGACTTCCAGATCCAGGACTAGCAGAACTGCGCTACTCGGATCAGAGTGAGCCTGTCGAGCCTGGCGCCTGGCTCATGCCAAACTCGGACTGGGCCGCGACTGCGCGCATTAGCGCGACACTAAAGGTCATAGTCGCCGAGGAATCGGTGTCCAATTCTGTTGTCGTGGGTTCCATCCGATTCCAGTTGCACACCTGCACACCTGCGACGTTTCCGTCATGCATAACTGGACCCCTGTAACCGGCGATACCCGGGACAAGAAAGAGACTTGCTATGCATATCGTGTTCCTTGGTTACGCACTCCCTCTCCGTCGTCGCTCATGCGTTGTGCAGGTCCACCCGGTCGCTCAGTGCACCGGCACACCGGAAGAGGCAGGGCTGCCTCGTTGCAGGGGCAAGGGGGGCGCAGAAGTCGACTGCGGTGCACCTTGGCATGGAATCGGTGCTGGTTCCTATGCAAAGGGCGCAAACAAAGGGTGTGTTTCATCGAACACGCCAGGAGAAGCATGTCTCAGGGGGTGACATACCCAGCAGTCTACCCTCCTTTGGTCATGTCTCTTGTGTCAGTGAGTCATCCCTCGTACACTCCGATAGTGCTTGGACGACCACACTACAGAGGATTAACACCCAGATCCACTCTGCGTCTATGTGTGGATTGTGTTCTAGGTAGCGGTGACCAGCCTGTCCGATACGTCGTCTCTATCACTGAGAAGTCAAATGGAGGGGAATGGATGCGCGCACACGAGTGCTCTGCTCGTCCATGAGCCATGAGGCATCTCGGCAGGGGCGCCAAGTCCAGGGCGCAGGGAGGCCGGGTGGCGTCGGTGGCGTCCGAGATATCGCCCATTGCAGCAAGTTTGGAGGGGGCAGCAAACCCTGGTGTGGCGCTTGGCCCAACGCTTGGTCGAATGCCAAGGGTATTCTGCAGCGTCCGAGCACGAGCGGGCACAACAACATGCTGCATCCTTTGGTCCCTCGTTAGCGTCTGTAGTGTCCATTCCACAGCCCTGCATGACCCCTCATGGCGACTGGCGCATCCGGTCCACCCGGCACGGCGCGGCGGGCACGGCGGGCATGAGCACGAGCCGGCGAGCCCTTGCTCGTCCGTCCGGGCAGCATCGTCTGAAGACAATGGGGGTCAATGGACCTGCACGCCTCATGTCACGGAGCATTCATCAGCTGCGGCCAAGAGAATCGTCAAGCCACCCATAAGAATCACCGCCGCCCGCCCCCGATGCATCCGGATCCCCTCGCTCTGCGCCGCGTCACCTTGCTGCCTACAATCCAGCGACACAATCTTGCGTTTGTACTCATCCCCATCTCCCAACCTTTACCTGTATCCTCCATCCTCCTCCTCCTCGAGTCGCTGGCCGACTCATACCTATCGCTGGCTCGATACTGTAACGATCTCTCACTACAACGCAATCCAACGCTGCAACCATCAGCAAAGTCCGACCCTCCTCACTCTCCTCAACCACACTCATAACAACATAGGCGTAACTCGAATTGAATTGAAAAAAGCGAAAAAAAAACAACAAAACGAACAACAACAACAATGATGCTGAAAACGCTCGGTGCGCTCGCCGCCCTCGCTGTGGCAGGAGCAGCCCCGGTCCCCACCCTCGACACGCGCGAGTACCCCTCCCTCTCGTACTACGGGTACATGAACCAGCCCTCGTCCCCTGCGACTTCCACAGCCCGACTGCCCGTGATCAACAAGGCCTCGCAGCCCATCGAGTTCCACGACGCCAGTAACGAGGGCGCCGTGAATGCGAACAAGGCGCGCGCAGCCCTGATGCGCGCCGAAGGCCTGTCGCACAAGACATGGGAGGTTAGCACCTTTTTCCAAGCGAAAGCCGAGCTCTACGGCGTCACGGAGCACAACTGGAGCAGCAAGGCCTTTGCGGCACAGCAGCCCGGCGACCCCGCCGTGCGCGAGGCGACGGACAAGCTCGGCGCCCTCCTCGACATTGCCGGCGATGGGTATCTCGTCAACTCGGACCGGGGGTCCCAGGCAGACGTGTTCAGCCTGGTGCCCGCCGTCTGGGCGAGTGGGAAGCAGGACGCGGCGAAGAACATGATCGCCTGGCTGCGCACGCAGGGCGTGCGCTCTGGCGATATCTATAGCCACCGCGGCGACCGCCAGTCCCTCTGGAGCGACGAGGGGTACATGATCCCGCCCGTGCTCGCCTTCCTGGGTCTGGTGCAGGACGACGCCTCCCTCCTCTCCGAAGCGCTCGAGCAGTGGACCAAGGTCGCGGACGCGCTCGCCGACGAACGGGGAACGTTCCGGCACGTCCCCTCTGAATTCGACCCGCACGCCTGGACCTCGGGCACGGGGTGGATGCTCATGGGCCTTGCGCGCGTCTTCGCCTCGATCACCGAGGCCGGGCACGAGGCCGAGTTCACGGCCCAGATCAATGTCGCCAAGGACAAGGCGCGCCGCGCGCTCTTCGCCGCGTACGGCGCACAGACACCCGACGGGCGCATCCCGAACTACTCGGACCGCGACTCGCCCGCCGAGACGGCCGGCACGGCGGCGGTCACCGCCGCGTACTACCGCTTGCTGCTCCAGCACCCCTCCACGTTTGGGGACGAGTGGCTCTTCGCCGCGGCTGAGAAGGCGTACGACGGCGTCATGAAGCAGGTGTCCGACGACGGAACCGTCAGCGGCTGCGTCGACCCGAGCGGGGCCGACTTCAACAATGCCAATATCTCTGATTCGCCCGAGGGACACGCCTTCGTTCCGCTCATGTGGGCCGCGAGGAATGCTTGGCTTGGCCACCATCCTGATGGTAAGTTGCCGAAGGGGCAGCAGGAGCAGACCGGGGCTGCTGTCTAACCACCCCTCTCTGTCTCTTGTGCATTCATTGGGCTCTTATAGTATCACACTCATTTCGCATTCGCTTTGTACTACTCTCTCTATCTAGGTTCGCTGGAGCGGTGCTCGATGCATTAGCTTTAAAGTTGCGAGGTTCCGTAACACTGTCCCATCTGGCGGTATTGCATGTGGCACTTGAGTTATCGTACATGGAGCAACAAAATACATACACTGATGGGGTCTATGATACAATACGAACGGGTCTATACGTCACCTCCAGTACTTGCACTTCTAGTGGGGGGGTCCAGGTGGCCCGTGGGGGCCGGGGGAGAAATGGAAGGTGTACGGCGTCACAAAGTCGGGAAGAGGACCAAAGAGGAGGGCGGGGTTGTAGTCGAGGCAGTCCAGCACGCCCATCGTCTGGGGGTTAGGGACCTGCGGAGACTGCTAGTCGTGTGGCGGGAAGAAGGTCGGGCAGAGCTGGTGCTTCTCGGGCGGGGTCAGGTGTTGCACTAGCGCGCTGAGCTGGTCAGGGGTCAGGCTCTCGAGGAGCTCGTGCTTCTGCGCCTGGGGTAAGAACTCAAAGTCCTGCAACACGCGTTCGCGGCGGTCCTGGTGGGGACCTTGGGCCGTATTTTGACGGTCGCTGGGAGGCAGTGAGGGAACGAGCGGTGTGTTTGTAGTGCTGGCTGGGGTGGATGTTGGTGCAGGCCTTGGCGGCACGACGGTCGTGGGTGTGGGAGTTTGCTGGGATGCTTGCTTCGCCACGCGGTCGCGCAGTAGAGATTGTTGAAGAGGAAGGCTGAGTCTTTCGAAAGCCTCACTCTGAGGGCTGGTCATTTGAGGCTGCTGAGCCTGCGAAGGACCCGGCTGATTAGCACGGGGCCGTGTGGGAGGCGGCCGGGGACCCGGTGCTGTGCGCCTCGGAGCCTTCGCCGCTTTGGTCTGCGCGACGGCGGTGTGGGGACGAGAGTGCTGGGAGCCATGGGAGTTTGCGGAGGTGGCTGGTCGGATCTGGGGTGTGCTAGCGGTGGAAGTTGCGCGCGGTCGGGGCGCTGTTCCATTGGAAGCTGTTCGCTGGTGTGGGGGATTGATAGCGAAGACAGCATTTGTCTGCTGATTCACACCATCTCGGGATGCCGTGCCCACTTGCGTCGACGCCTCCGCTGGAGGTCTCATCTGTTTGCTTCCCCCTCCTGTTGGTGGTCGAGGTAGTTGGTTGGCTCCGTTGGCACCTCCCACGGCGATCTGCGCCTGCGGAGAGCCTGGCGTCGTCAATTCGAGTGTTCGCCGAGCCTTCTCACCTAGTGCGAAAATGCGCATGCGTTGGTCCTCGTGGGCGACTCGAATACGCTGGTTGTCCAAGAGTAGCTGCCTGATCTTGTCCCGCTCGGCAGCAAGTACCTCCGAGCCTTGCTGGTTCGCCCTCTGCTGCTTCTCAATCGTCTGTCGCATTTGGGCTATCTGGCCCATGAGTTGTGAGTTGGTGGATACCAGATCCGCATTGCTGTCTTGCAGCTGACCGACGGTGACTTGGAGGGTGCGATTCTCATCCGCCCAGGATGCGATCAGCTCGAAGCACTTTTGGCGCCACGGACTCTCCTCGCGATACTTCTTTGCCAGCATGAGACCAAAAGGAGCCGGCCGCGATCCATGGGCGTTAGACGATGAAGCATGGCCGTTAGGGTGCCCGCGCTGGAGGAGATTTCGGTTTGCCGCTAAGAGGGCGCGGTTGCGCGTCTCGAGCTCTGCGATACGAGCAATTAATGATTTGGCGGCGGCGACTGCTGCAGCCGTTGCCGCGGGGGCGTCCGTTGTCATAGGGGTGTCCGTCGGTGCGGTTGCGTTCGTCGACGGGGAAGTCTCCGTTGTTGCGGTGGCGGCTTCGCTCATCGCCACATCTCGCGAGTCGTTTCCAGCGCTCTCGTACTGCGTGCCAGTCTCACAGGTGGCAGGAAGAGAAACAGCGTCGACGCCGACATCGACCGTGGGCACGTGCTTGCGAAACGGAGGCAGGCGGATAATGAGCGGGTTGGCTGGTTTGCGCAAACTTGCGGAGGTGACCGTGGACTCTGCCTCATGGGTGTCACTCCTGTCGTCGTCAACAGCTTCAGAGATCGTGGAGGATTCATACGGGGGAGTAAGAAGAGCAGCCGGGTTTCTGAGTTGTGTTAGCATCTCTCTCGTCGAAGTAAACTCACGGTGGTGGCTCGACGGTTATCTTCTTTGGAATCGGGTCCAAGGGCGCGACAGCCCTCGGCATCCTACCGCCTGTGCTCATGCGCATCTTCTTGCCGGACCCCGGTCTCTTACTTGTGGTTCCATCGTTCGCCCTGCGCTTGGTTGGTCGCGGTTCGTGATCCATGCGGACATCATCCGCTTGCGTAGAATACCCGCTTGAGGACGCTGGAGGTTCTTCGTTCTCTTCGATCATCGGAAGCTCCTGCCCTTCCATAGTGTCGTCATTGCCGTAGAGTGCCGGGTCGTTCTCGGCGGGACGCAGTTCTGCCATCGGAGAAGGAGAGGGGCCCTTCGCGACCGCCGTTGGAGTGGTCTGATTCTTCGGAGCCGTTGGAGTGGTCTGCTTCTTCGGAGTGGACGGCCGTCTGTGCTGTCAGATCAATGCCAGTGCATGTGAGCTTACTCTAATTCTTCGCAGAGCGATAATACCATCTCAGTGGCGCCGGGTTCGCAGTGAAGAGGAGGAGCGTTCACCGCCGGAGTCACGCCTCGAGATTTGGATTTGGACTTGGAAGACCGCATGCCCCGCTCCTCGGTCTCGAACTGCTTAGGGGGCGGAACAGAGCTGCACGGTCAGCTATCACAATGGTCTCTTGCCAGCAGACTCACGGAATACCGGGACCACCGCTGGCCCACGTCCGGCGCCCGCCTTTCTTGCTGGAGCCCTCGCAGTTACTGGGAAGTCAGTTCGGTAGCCACGAATACTTAACAAACCAATTCTTTGTTTCCTCGTTGCCAAAGTTGCACGAGATCACGTCACCCTTCTTGATCGGCTTCGTCGCCTTGAGTACCTGCCTGGCCGTGTGCTGGGGAAACCCCTTGATGGGCTTGAGTCTGTCCCACTTCGTGTTGGAGCAGGAGCTGCACCCCCGCCGCGCGAGCCGAAACGGTCCGCACCAGGCGTAAGACTGGCCCTTGATCCACTCCGCGAATGGCGGCAGGACCTCGGCGTCGATGGCGGCCTCGTCGCCGACAAACAGGACAATGTCCTGGAGACACGTGATGTGGGAGCGGTTGGGAATGTCTTGGGTCGCAACGACGACGAGTTGCCCGTCGCGAGTCTTAAACGACACCGGGCCCTCATCCACCGCCGTCCACTGCTTCACGAGCCAGTCCATGACTTCTGGCTCTAAGTCTGGTTCCCGCTCCGCAATGTGGTCGAGAAAGGCGTCAAATCTGGGTGCGTCAGCCCGATCGCCCTCCTGGTCTCGCGCCCTCGACCCTCGGTCGAGATACACGTCAGCTTTTACCACCCCCGACTCACTCGTCCTGCAGCTGGCTCTTGAAGTCGCGGTCGCTGGGAGTGATCTCGCCGAGGTCTAGGGACGGTAGGATCCGGTCGAACTGGGCGTTGGGTGCTCGCATCTTGGCCGCTAGCGTCATGGCGACGTCGTCGAGGGCGAGCGCGACCCATGCCGACTTGTGCTCTTCTGGCCACGTCATGAAGGTGAAGTGACGGGAGCAACAGCGCCGGCGGTATGGTCGGAGTGCCCGTTGTCTGAGGTGAGGAAGATAAGGCGAGGCTGAAGGGTCGAGGTGAAATTAGCCGTAGAGGGATATGGCGGGGGGTAATGTTGATAGGGGGATGTAAGACTGAGCACGGGGAAGGAGGGTTGGCTGAAAGGAGTGGATGATCTTTAGGGTGAGTGGAAAAGGTGAGGAAGACAAGGAAGGCGAAGAAGAGAGACAGCCTGAGGTTGAGTGAGTGTTGTGGGTGAGCGTATGCGGGTGGACTGTACAATGGGCAATGGGACGGTTGGGGTGCAGGTGTGTGAGAGCAGCGGGCTCAGACTTTGCGCCGGTGGCAAGAGGGAGATATAGGGATCGGCGACCGGCGCGCACGTCCCCCGCTTGCGTAGCCGTGCCCCCCTGCACCCCGCGTGCCGTCCGTTGCTGTGTGTCCGCTTGCCACCCGCCCGCTCGCCTGTGCGCCCGCGCGCCCTCGCAGTCGTGTCGCTCCTGTCGCTCCTGTCGTCCGTGTCGCTCGTGCAGCGCAGTAAGCCAGCGCAGCCTGGTCAGTCCTTTGATCCACTCGACCCTACTCAGGTCAATCGGCGACAACGTCATTAGTTGGCTCGTGCAATCGTGCGCCCGGTCCCATGTTTGGCACCGACAGTAGCCCCGTTAAGACCTTGGAGCTAAAGCATGGAGCACCGAGTCCGAGCGTCCGGCGCGAGGTTACGAAGAGGGCGCCAACAGGCGCAGGTGCCCGGGTCCCTTTCGCACGGACTCTGCAATAAAGCCACGTACTGTGGCGTGTGTGCCCCCCTTCTTTCGGTCTGCCGCGACGCGTTTGCTACGACTGCGCTCACTTCCGTGTCGTCCTGAGCGCAATCAAGTCGTCCCAATACGCTGTGGCGTCATGGCCCCCTGCCAATCCGTCGTCAATATTTCGACAATCCTTCTTCATCACGTCCAAACGCCGCGGGCAACCGGTGGACGATCCATGCTTCCGATCGTGAGTGCGTGAATGCTCAGAGAGCACCGGAACCCGAGCGCCGAAACGTCAATGCGCATTGCGTGCCAAAAAATTTCATCTCTAAGTCATCAATGTAACAGGTTATGTGACAACAGCAGGTACATACTATGGGTTCCAACGTGATCTCGTTCGTCTATTCTTCAGCGTGACGCTGAAAAGTGTAGTTGGGAACATCGTTTTTAGTTCCAAAATTTACCATTGGGGCTTGCCATTCCCGAGACGCTGCGGGCGACGTGAGGCGGTGGGGGTGGCGGCGGACCACCCGGTCGACCCGAAAGCACGGCCGGCAATGACGGCAGGCTAGGCTTCACGTCGAGAGGGTGAGGCGGGGGCGGCAGACGATCACGCTCACGATCGTGTCGCATGCGCACGTCTGGACTGTGCATGGGAGGCGGCCCATGTCCGTGTCCGGAGGGTGGACGATCAGGGTACGGGCCGTGGGGGAAGGCACCGCTTGCGGTAGCTGGCCTCGGCGGGTAGTGCGGAGGCAGGTGTGGCGCAGGAGATGGCCCTGCTGATGATGGACCCCATTGGGGAGGTGCAGGAGGCGACCATGGCGACCCGGCGTGCGGAGGAGGGGACGGATATCCCGGGGGAGGGTAGGGATATTCCATCGGCGGAGGTGGGTGAGGATGCTGGTGCGGATGAGGCGGGTATTCACCCGGCGGTGGTGGGGGAGGATATTCACGAGGCACTCGCTCTTCCGGCCCCGCTGCAGCCATCTTACGGCGCATCACGAATCCACGAACTGCAGGTCAGACAAAAATTATGCGAGCGGCAAAAATCGACTTACGATCTTCGGATAACTTCTCCTTGTCGCGGCACAGTTTCTCGATTTCCTCTGCGAGAATCTGGCAGCGCTTTTCGACCTCGTCTTTCTCACGACGAATAGTTTTGATATCCTGCTGGGCCTCCTTGTAATTGCCTTGCGCTTGCTTTGCATCCTTTTCGAGCTTCTTGGTGTCCTGGTTCGACTTGGCGATCTGCTTTTTGAACCCGTCGATCTCCTTCAGCAATTTTGCCTTGTCATGCTCCAGGGCATCCTTTTGAACTTGAAGAGACGCGTTCTCGGATTGCACATCCGACATGTCCGCCTGGTGTTGGGACACAACCGCGTTGTGCTGCTGCACAGACTCTTTCAACGAGGCGTTCTCTTGTTGAAGTGCGTCGTTCCTCGACTTTTGTTCGTCCAAATCAGCCTCCAGAGCCGCCACCCGCTCCTCAAGAGCCGGGTCGGTGGCGGGTGCCGCATTCCGGAGAGTCTCAGAGGAGACAACCAACCTCAAATTGAGGATGGTCGTCTCTTCCGATGTATGGCCCGCTGACAGAAGCTGTGCAGGCACGGTGCCTGGCACAACATTCTGGATCAGGTTTTGAACCACGCTCTGCATATTTACCGGATGTTCGACGTGGCCATCGGATGCAGGGGCCAGTGGAGCGTCCGCCAGAGGAGGAGCAAGTTGCACCGCAGGAGCCAGCTGAGCGACAGGAGTGAGCTCTGATGAGACTGCTCCAGCAGAGGACGGCTCGGCGGCAAAGGTCGGCTCGGTGGTCATGCGGACGAGTGTAGGCTTAGGCTGGCGGCCGTCGTTGTGAACAGCCTTGGGCGAGACCTTGGCCGCAGACATGGGCGAGGAAGCTGTTTGGAGGACGGTTGTCAAATCACTGACGGAGCTCTGTCGGCTACGTTCAGAGACAGAGCTCGGCTGATCCATCCTTTCCTCCGCCTTGTCATCATCTGCGACGGGCTGCATGGTAGTGTCGTAAGATTCGTCTTGCCGGTTCCCCATGCCATTGACATCGACCTGGGTTTGCTCCATGACGAGGTCTGTGCCTTCTTCGTCCGCAGCAGGAGTCTCCACCCAAGGTGACTCAGACGACTGCTCCGGGATCGGCGACGGCTCGGGTGTTTCAGAGGGCAGGCGACGGCGCACTGGTGGTGGGGGTGACAGCGACCCGGTCGACGATGATCTAGGCGCACTGGGCGAAGACGCCTGGTGGTCACTGCTTGGTCGGCGCGGCTTCTTGATTGTGCGCTTGCTGCCGCTATATGTCCGAACGCGTTTCTTGGGCTTCTTCTCTTCAGGTTCGGCTTGAGTAGGACTGGGGATTGGAGGCTCCCAGTCAGGCACCACGAAGGAGGCGATAGATCCTCCTCTAGACTTTCGCTTTTCAGCCGGCGGGCAAGGGCTGTGCACGTCAGTGTTGGCTGGGAGGCGGATGACTAACCATTCTTTCTCGTATTCACCGTCACCCCAAGCCCACCATAACATCTCGCCTTCAGGAATTGTCCGCTTGAGCACAAGCCATTGCACATCCGCACCGTCGGGGAAGAACACTCCGGGGTTCGAAGGACGCGCAAGCCACTTGGTGTTGGCGCACGCCTTGCAACCAAACTGAGCGTTAGTGTCTTGTGTTCCTGCCACCTTACCTTGACTAAACGGATGGGCCCTACTGTTGCTTTCGGGATGTCTCGATGACTGTAGTCGAGAAAGTCCTCGTCGAAACCCAGTCGTTCGACGTTGCCGTCACCCTTTAGGTTCAAACAAACATCTTCGACACCAACGATACGCTCTAGCTTTCCGCGGGCAAGGGTTGTCGCTGTAACTAAGTCGACAGAGCCCTTCTCATTTGGTCGAATCTTCGTATACGGTCCGTAAGCAGTCGAGATCCATGCCTCTAGGAGCCTGGGCCGGTCAGCAGGGAAGATGGCGACAAGAGTGTGGGCGCACGCCAACTCACCACTGTCTAATCTCTGGGTTGACCCTGATCTTGTCGTCTAGGTAGTCATTGAAGCTGCTCCAGTCAGTATCGATGCACAGGAATGCTTTGCAGAAGCGCAGAGGTTGAGCTGAAACGGTGAATGACTTACATTCGTCTCAGCTCCTTGCGAAAGAGGTCAACGTTCTCCCTGACATCCTCAGCTGCGAGACGTAGACGGTCGAGAGACGGTGCACCGCCCTTATCCAATTTGATAATACGCTTGAAACCATAGGGAGCCGAGCTTTCGGTGAAGACTTCGTATACGAGGTCTAGAGCCATGTCGTCAAGGATGGCCACATGCTGGGCCTCCTGGACGGACATGGTGTCACGAGCGAGCCGGCTCGGCATGGATGAGGAGGGGCGCACAAGCAAATAGGAGTCAACAACAACAGTGGTGCACGGCTAGTTCTGGATGTCCAAGATGGAATGAGCGCGCAAGATTGTCGAGACTTCTAGTGCCGATCGGTTGTTGAGAGTCTGACTATGCGCTAACGCGGCGCGCGACACGGTGGAGTGCAGACGATACGCGGCTAAGGCCTCACTGGGCAACGACAACCGACCCTTTTATCTGTGCGCTGGGCGGTGACAACGGTGGATCGACAGTCGTTTAAGCGGCGAGGCGTGAATAAAGTGGTTGAGAATGGGAAAGAGAGTAGTCGAGAGGAATGAGAGGAATAGATAAAAGTCGTGACAACAAACGCAGTGGCCAGTTTCGGTTAATGAGTAATCACTGTGTGTGTATGTATACGGATACCTGGCCGCGGTAGTCGCACTGCAGGGTTGAGCTGGTCGCGAGCCAAAACCCAAATGACAGCGGAGCCAAGGACCCAATGTCCCAGAGGTGACGAGTTACGAGACGTCGACCGGATACCGTACACAGCTACCCAAACCGCAGTTGGAGGTGCATGCAGTGCCGCAGCCGGGAGGGGAGGGGAGGGGGAGGGTGGTTGATGCGCGCGTGCTTGCAGAAGGACGAAGGATCGCAGGATCTAGGAGAGCGGCGAGGGACGAGCTAGGGACGGTGAGGGACTGAGAGGGACCGAGAGGGACGAGGAGTCGTAGACGAGGGACACGGAGGGGCCCAGAGAGCGCAGAGAGCCCAGAGAAGGAGGGGATCGAGGGGAGAGGGACGTGTCCCTGTTAGCGGCGATTTAAGATTGCTTGATTAGTGTTGACAGACGACCACAAATGAACGAGGAGTGCTTTTTACGGTTGCGCGGTCGGTCGGTCGGTCAGGATCCGGATGACACGAGTGATCGCGGTGCAGACGTGCGGAGCAGGGTGAGCGAGGAAGGCCGGGAGAGGGGTCAAGTCAGGAGAGGGTGGTGTGGGATTGGACCCACGGTGCCGTACAGAGGCCGAACAGGACTAATCGGATGCTGGAGGTGACTGGAGATGACTGGATGGGGAGGTGGAAGAGAGTGCGGACGGTGGTTGGGCATGAGGGTGGACAAGGGCAGCGGTTACGCGAGGAACGCAGATTGTTACGGCACGCCAGGACCGGGTTGGCATTGGCGCATTGGCTTGGGGTCGGTTTGGGCGCCTTGGGCGGATGCGGGGTGTGGCGAATCGAAGGATCGAGGTCGAGGTTGAGGCCGTTGAGGATGGGGAGCTTGGGTGCTGTGCAATGGGAGGAACGGTTGAGGATTGAGGATGTTGTAAGGGCGGTGAGGCTCAGTCCCTAAGGTACTCGTTGTTCCTGGTGTCGCACGTCAGTCTCCCAGGGCCTCCCCCCAGGGATGACAAGGGTCCAACAGCTTGGTGCTGCGTCGAGGTGCAGCGTCCCCACGTGCCTTCCCTGGCCAAAAGAGTACCTTCATAAACCTTGTTTGTTAATGTGGACCGAATAGTGCGTACGTCCGTCAGCCTCACCCCTCCCCAGCCTGCTTTCCACTGCACTTGCCGTCTGCGCTCTTGCAGCGTACGTACACTCTCCCCCCTTCATCATCCAAAACGCCATTCCAAGCCTCAGCACCCTTGGACGATACTCTGCTCCGAACCCCGCGACCACCCTCTCACCCGATCACAACCTCCTTCAACCCCGACGCTCTTGTTTTCTCTGTTGACCACTGACCCCATCCTTCCCAGGACACAAGTCAAGGGCTTCCCCCGACACCTTCAAACGCCTCCGATCTTCGAACCCACCACAACCATTCCGTCCCCTCGGTGGTTTCACAGCTCCTTCCAATCCCATTTAATCCCAGCTTCCAAGCATAAAATCTGAGACATCTCTCGTAACCATCATCCTTCGCCGACTTCTCTCAACTCGGCATCGCACTCTCCACTTACTTGTCGGTCATTTGAACAACCTCTGAACTCTCAACCTTGTCAGCCTGGAATGCGACGTCAGGAAGACCGAGGTAGTAGAGGAACGGTGAGCGGGCAACCGTGCCTTCCTTCTGATTCTCGTGGCTGTCTCGTGGCTGTTGACGGCCAACTCCGGCCCAGCGGCATCTCGCGGCTGCGGCAAGTCCGGCCCGACATTCCGGTCTGTCTCACTAACAGTCGCTACGGCATACAACACCACTTTCCATGCAGCCGACAGCCCACCTTCAACACTATCGCTCACTATGACTGATCGCGAGGCCATCTACCTCCCCCCGTCAGAGCTTGCTGCTCGATACAAAGCGGGGATCCAAAGCTCAGCGCCCATCCAACCCCACCCTTCGGCCCGCGTTCCTGGCTCGACTCTGATCAAGAAGGTGGAGAACTTCTACGTACGTCCACGATGGCTCTTCGTGCGTATCGAGACGGAAGGCGGCGTCGTAGGTTGGGGCGAAGGCACGTTGGAGGGTCACACCGAGGCCGTCCAAGGCACGCTGAAAGACATTGAGCGCCGGTGAGTTTACATCCCGTTCGGAGACTTTCGATCCCGCTGACGCCAGCATCGTCGGTTGGGATGCGCTTAACGTCGAGGACATCTACACGTACCTGTACCGGCACCGCTTCTACAGAGGTGGCGAGGTGCTCATGTCGGCGATGTCTGGCATTGACATTGCGCTATGGTGAGTTCCTGGCCCGGCGTACGCGGCGAGCCCACCACGGCCCACTGTGGCTGAACCTAAGCTGACGGAAGGGACATCAAAGGGAAGGTCCTCGGCGTGCCCGTCTGGCAGCTTCTCGGAGGCGCAGTGCGCGAGCGCTGCGAGGTGTACGGGTGGGTCGGTGGCGACCGTCCGTCCGACGTGCTGGAGCAGGCCAAGGTGCGCAAGGCGCAGGGCTTCACGAAAGTGAAGATGAACGCGACAGAGTCGATCGGGTGGCTAGACTCCCCGCACGCGCTTGATGAAACCGTTCAGCGCCTTGCAGACATCAAAAGTCTGGGCATGGATGCGGGCTTGGACTTCCATGGCCGTGTCCACAAGACAATGGCCAAGCAGCTCGCGCAGCAGCTCGAGCCCCACCGCCCGCTTTTCATCGAGGAGCCGTTGCTTCCAGGCCTCGTCAACGAGATGAAGGACTTGTACAACAAGACTTCGATACCCATCGCGGTAAGTGGGCTGCATGTACTGAGCTGACGTTAGCTTGGAGAACGCCTCTTCACCCGCGCTGATGTCCGCCCATACTTTGAGGCGGGGTGCATCGACATCATTCAGCCTGACATTGCGCACGCAGGCGGCATCTCGGAGACGCGCAAGATTGCTATCATGGCCGAGTGAGTCGTCATGTTTGGTGGACATGCATATGCAGTTAGACTAATGCATAGGGCGTATGATATCGGTGTTGCTCCGCACTGTCCGCTAGGTAAGTGCCGCTACGCCAGGCCGATGCCGTCAGCTTGTAGCGCTGCCGAGCAGGAAGCGAGCCCACCGAGCGATCGAGCTCCGTGGATGGATTTGCACGATCCCGGAATGCAGCGCTTCGCACCCCTGTCACTAGCGCCAACAGACTGACAACCAGGGCCGATTGCCTTCGCGGCTTCACTGCAGGTCGGGTTCAGCACCCCGAACTTTGTCATCTGCGAGATGAGCTGGAAGGTGAGTGCCGCTGGGACACGGGTCCATCTGGCTCACGTTTCCCGGCTTGTCCCGAGCTGTATTCCACTCGCAAACTATGACTGACCTCAGATGCACTACAATGTCGGAGCCGACCTATTCACGTACATGAAGAATCCCGAAGTGTTCGAGGTCAAAGAGGGGCACATTTCGCTCCTAACGGGCCCCGGGCTTGGCATCGAGCTGGACGAGGACCTCATCCGAGCCGAGGCAGCGGAGGCGGGCAAGCTGGATCCATGGCAGAACCCCGTCTTCCGTGGCCCCGATGGTGCAGTGCGTGAGTGGTAACCTCTAGTGCCATGGCCACCCACAGTTTAGATAAGATATGGCCCGAATGCATGAGTGTGTGTGGGGAAGGAAATGGGCCGGTCCGCCGCCCCCTCTGTGTCCCCTGCGGAGCCACGGGCATCGTACGGGGCCACACCAGGTACACTGGCGCGAGCAAGCGGAACAGCCATCGCCGCAGTGTATCGGCGCTCGATCCTCGCTGTGCATGTATCGGTAACTTTTGTCAGCGTAATGCACTGTGGATCTGCGCGAAGGCTCCCCCATACATGCAGAATGCGGGGAACGGAGATTATGGCAAGGGTCTGCACCAGCCGGAGAGTGAGCGGGGCCCGTTAAACGGGCCGTTTTCGAATGGATAAAGTTCGGAGTATCCCCGGGCCATCACCCGCGCATGTCCGCTGTGTTTTCGCCGCCCTCGTCTTGCACCCCTCGTCGACCAGGATGCACCAGGGCCGTTTGCTCGCTCCGCAACAACGTGCTCCGGCGCCGGCGCGTTTCTCGCCGAGTTTGCCTGCCGGTTCACCGACATCTATAAAGATGTCTGCGAGCTGCCATGCACCCCCAACCCCCTCGAGCTTGCTCGGCACACTCTCACTCTCTACTCACCCTTACTCTCTCTACTCACACTCTTTCGGTTCTCGACTCCGACGGAGCAGCTTCCCTCACACGACCCCGGACCAAGCGACCAACCGACCGACTGAACGACTGAACGGCTCAAGAAAGATATACAATGACTATCGACAGCAAGCCCGCCCTCCGCCCCGACTTTATGTGGGGCTTCGCCACTGCTGCGGCCCAGATGGAGTCTGGCAGCAAGGAGCAGGACGCCGCCGCCGGCAAGGGCGACAGCATCTGGGACTACTTCTGCGAGAAGCCTGGCGCCATTGCCGACGGCACCAAGGTCTCGCGCACGACGGACTTCTACACCCACTGGAAGGAGGACCTTGCCCGTGAGTACAGTGTGCGGCATTGAGCGCTTTGCAGTTAAGAGCACACCGGCACGCCAGTCTCGTGTTGTCGAGAGCTCGGCAGGCTCGCTTCGCTCGCAGCGCTAACTCGCAGTCATGAAGTCGCTCGGTGTCAACTCTTACCGCTTCTCAATCTCGTGGCCGCGCGTGATCCCCAACGGCGGCGCCGAGGACCCCGTGAACGAGGCCGGCCTCGAGTTCTACGACCAGGTCATCGACGAGTGCCTCCGTATCGGCATGACGCCCTTCGTGACGCTGTATCACTGGGACCTCCCCCTGGCGCTGTACAAGAAGTACGGCGGGTGGCTGTCTCGCCGCATCATCCCCGATTTTGAGCGCTACGCGCGTCTCTGCTTTGAGCGCTGGGGCGGCAAGGTGAAGCACTGGCTTACGCTGAATGAGCCGTGGGTCGTCGCCGGCCTGGGGCACTACACTGGCTCGTTTGCGCCGGGCCACCGGTCCAGCAGTGAGCCCTGGATTGTGGGCCACCACCTCATCCTCGCGCACGCGCATGCTGTCAAGATCTACCGCGACGAGTTCAAGCCGGCCCAGCACGGCGAGATTGGCATCACGCTGAACGGCGACTGGGTCGAGCCCTGGGACGAGTCGCCCGAGAACGTCCAGGCGGCGCAGGACAAGATGGACGCGGCGATCGGCTGGTTCGCGGACCCGATCTACCTCGGCCACAACTATCCCGCCAGCATGCGCAAGATGCTCTCCGACCGCCTGCCGACGTTTACGCCCGAGGAGCTCGCGCTCGTGCACGGCTCGAGCGACTTTTACGGGTGCAACTTCTACACGACGAACACGATCAAGGCGGGCTGCGTGGTCGAGGACGAGATCAACGGCAACACGACGCTGTGCTTTGACCGTCCCGACGGGTCCGTCATTGGCCCCGAGTCCGACCTCGGCTGGCTCCGCGACGTCCCCTGGGGATTCAGGAAGCACCTCAACTACCTGTACAGCAAGTACCAGAAGCCGATCTACATCACCGAGAACGGATACGCCGTCAAGGGCGAGAGCCAGATGAGCGCCGAGGACGCAGTCAAGGACGCAGACCGCGTCACGTACTACCGCGGATATCTCGATGCGGTGCGGGGCGCGGTCGAGGACGGCGCCGACATTCGCTCCTACTTTGCCTGGTCGTTCCATGACAACTTTGAGTGGGCTTCCGGACTGGGACCGCGCTTCGGATGCGTCCGCGTCGACTATGACACGTTCGAGCGCACGCCCAAGGACTCGGCGTACGCTGTCAGCGAGGTGAGTACATGAGACACACGAGCGCGTAGCGCGAATGCAGCGGGGAGGCATATCTACCCCGAGCCGGACCGAGCGACGGACGCAGTATCGGCCCGATACTGGGCGGCGGCGCCCTATGGCGCCCCTCCACCGTGCGGCGTTCATGAGGAGAGCAGGCATATGCGCCGAGAATGCACCGACATGAGAGCAGTTTGCTGACATCACAGTGGTTCAAGAAGAACATTCCCGCCGAATCGTCCTAGACGCGCAGGTCTTGGTAAGCGGTGTCTAACGAACGAACGGGAGAAGGTCTACGTGTCTCGATATGTCTTGAACGGTTGACGAATCGCGCCGAGGATACAGCGGCAATGGGGCGGCCAGTTGGGGGCCATGTGTATAGAGTTTTCGTATAATGTACAAAGCCAAGCAAGCATGCAAGTAAGTTATCTAGTGCAGCTCTGATCCCTTGCATAACTTATCCACGAACTTCTGACCTACCCTTTGACTACAGCTTACCCCTGAGCAAGAACTTGTCGGGGACGTCGACCCACTTGGCTCTGAGGTACTCGGCGACACTCTTCGCCAGGCTATCGAGCCTAGCGGTAGAACTGACGCCCTTGCCAAGATAATCGTGAATGACAAAGTGCACAGCCAGCATGCCGGGGAACTCGACGCGCTCGATCCTGTTCTCCTTGTACTCCTCACCGAGCATCTCGATCAGCGTCTGCTTGCTCAGCAGCGCTCGCAGCCAGTCATACTCCCCCGACGCGTTGCGGGGCACGAAGAAGCCGACGTTGGCGTTCCCGCCCTTATCGCCTGAGCGCGCGTGCACGATGTGCCCGATCGCCGTACGAGTTGTGGATCCGTACTCGCCCGGTCTCAGCTTGATCGAGGGGTCGTAGTCCTTCTGCGGGATCACTGCGATCGTCTCGTTCTGAGCGCCGACGGGCGCGACGTTGATCACCTCGTCCGAGCCCACAAAGCGCACCGTCATTGGAAGATGCGACTGCGAGACCGTACCCGGCCAGTACTCAATGTACGGCTTGGGCTGGGCAACTGGGCGTCAGCGCTACGTCCTGCCTGCCGCCAAGAGTGGATTCGCTGCACTCGGTCTGAACTCACTTCGGCTGTCCATGAACGTGTGCATGCCGGGGTAGTGTCCCAAGCCCTCGCGATGGACGAGTGCTGTAAGCGAGCCCACGGGCCCGAACGCCTCCTTGTTCTTGGCCTGCGCGAAGATGTAGAGCATCGCAGTTCCCAGAGCCTCGTTCTCGGGGTTCTCCTTCGCGACGCCGTATTGCGTAATGTCAAAGGTCGAGAATTGAGACAGGACTTTGTCGCCCAGATTCTTCTTGATCTGGAGTCGAATCGTGTCGAACTTCTCTGAGCGGGTGTCAGTGGGCGTTCTTGTAGATGGTGGAAGCGGGAAAGGCACTACGTACCCGTCACATCTAGACCGGTCGCAAAGTACATCGTCTCAGCCTGGTATCCGGCCACAGCGCAGATGGCGACCTTGGTCGTCGACGGCGGCGCAGCCCCGCGGATGCCAGTGACCTCGACACGGTCGGGCCCCACGTTCGTCACCGTGATGTCGTCCAGAATGCCCTGCACGTCGGGGTTGAGGTAGATCTGGCGTCAGCTCCTCTCTCAAGGCTGCAACTCACGTTCCCTTGAATCTCATACAGAATCTGGGACCTGACAGTCACGTCCGTGACCATGCCGTTGAAGCCGTTCGAGTTCGGCTGCTTCGTGATGATGAAGGTGCCGTCGGACGCAATCTCGGCAATGCCCATCGCGAAGTGGTGGTAGTTGTCCTTGAAGGACTTGAAGCCCGAGGTGTTGCCGCCGGTTACGTAGGCGCCGCACTCCTGCGATTGTTAGCTGGACCTCTCACCTTTGTGTCATTCAAACTGGGCTGGCGCAACAAGGCTGCCGCGGGTTACGAGTTGTTTCCACCGCGCCCAGACAGAGACTCGCTCCGCTCGCTCATACTCACGATACAGTGGCCCGCAACGAGCGCGCCAGCAAGGGCATCATAGTTGTCCCACTTCCAGCCGTGCCACCACGCAGCCGCAGCAACAATGGGCGAGGCGTCGGTACATCTTCCGCTGATGACGATGTCGGCGCCAGCCTCGAGGGCAGCATGCACACCGCGTGCGCCAATGTACGCGTTGGCAGTGAGGGGTTTTTCACCCCACCCGCTGAGGGCTCGCCCATCACCCTCGAGGTGCGTGAACTTCTCGCCCTTGCCCTCGAGCTCCTCGAGCCTGTCAATGATGTTGTCGCCCTCGACCCAAGCGACCTTGAGATTAATGTTCTGCGAGGCTAGGAGCTGCACGACGGCTTCGGCCAGGCCCTTCGGGTTCAGTGCGCCCGCGTTCGTGAGCACCTTGCACTTGTTCTTGGCGATTGCCTGCGCCGCAATCTGCAGGTGCGCGAGGAAGGGTCGCTCGTAGCCGAGTTTCGGGTCGTCCTTAATCTCGAGAGCGCGCCAAGCGATGTTCTACTGTCAGCGCAGCTCCTAGTGAGACACGAGCTCTCATGGCCATCAGAGAAGCTGCCGCTGATGCAACTTGGCCTTGCCCCAGTTAGCCCCACTGAGTACTCACCATCTCGGCCAGGTAGTCTCCGAAGAGGATGGGAGCTCCGCTGCCCTCAGCCTGGGTCTTGAGCGCATCGAAGCGATCGCCCGTGTATCCGCTGAAGGCGGCAATCTTGCACGGTCCCTTGTCGATTGTGCCCATGGTCGTTTGCGTTTCTGAGACGAATGTTGTAACAGAGAGTTCAGCCCACCGAGCCAAGAGGTCGTAGCCTGATATGCATCCAGATGGCCGTTCGGGATCGGCGTTCAAACCCCCCGGATCACAGGCTCTGGGTCGTGTGTATGCGTCCATCCCCGTATCCCCACATCATCGTAATGCGGGGCCAAGTATGTAATGGCCTGTTCCTAATCAGACCGGAAGAGGACATTAGCCGGACTTGGCCAAGCACACGGCGCCCGGTGCCCATATGCATCGATAGTGTGGGAGCGAGTGCGGGGGAGGAGGGGTTCCGTTGGAGACTCACCGGACATGGCCGATGGGGACGATCACGAGGCGCGTGTATAGCGTTGAACGCCGAGTGAACCGAATTCCGCCCACTCTCGGCGTGCACCCGGGTAAGCACCACTTTCTCAAGGACACTCCGCATCTTGTCGCTGAAGTCATGGCTGACGCTGCGATCACTGCTCAAGCGCCTGAATGTCATCGGACTACAGGAAGGAGATCAAGCTTACGGCCGCCGAGACCACTTACTTGTCACAAGCCCTCGCCAGCGATAGTGCTCCGCAAATATCCTTCCCATGACTATGTTCAGCACCTACTGACCTACACATCTGACGAATCCAAGCACGAGCTCCGAGCCAGCTTCGTTGCCGCCACCAACTCGATCCGGCATCGATCCAGATCCATTCATATAACCTCTAGCTCATTACCATCTTGATTACAGGTATCACACTACTCCGGGGTATACAAGTCACTCTCACTCAAGCAAGCACCTTGATGATGGTGTCGCGATAGCTCCTCAGGTCAGGAACCTTGGCATCCACCTCCTTCGCCCGATCGTCCCAGAGACGCAGCTGGACCTTCTCCTTGAACAGGGGGTCGTTCTCGAACTCCTTCACCTCCTGCGGGTTGAACGGCCCACCCTGGAACCGCAGGCTCCCCTGGGACGCCTTGCTCAGCGCGGCGAGGTACTCGGGCCTCGTGGCGGTCAGGTATCGCTTCGCGACGACGTGGCTGCCAACGAGCTCCGAGACCTTGGCCGGGAATCCCAGCTTGCGGAGGTACTCCTCGCCGACGGCCTCGTGGGACATCTTACCCAATGAGCCTCCTTCGGTCATCATCTCCTTTGCGTTCTCGTGCGGGATGAACTGCCCGATGTCGTGCAGGAGCGCGGCGACCACGGTCTCGTCGTCGGCGCCTGGGTATCAGTGTGGGAAGGAGGTGAGTGATGGGAGAGGGAAGACTCACCTTCGTTCTGCGCCTGTGCTGCTGCCTGAAGGGCGTGCTCGAGCTGACTGATGCTCTCCCCGATGTAGTCCGAGTCTCCCTGTCTGTGTCCGAGTCAGCTATATTACATCCCATTTCTACAAGCAGCGTGCTGCGATATTTACGCTTCAATGACGCCCAGGACCGTGTCGGCCGTCTCCTCGCGGGTCTTCTGAGTCTTCTGGTTCTGACTCCGGATAGTGTTCTCGATCATCTCCTTGCCGCCAGCCATGGGCGATCCGAAAGCGTAGGTCATCGCGCCCTCGCTGTAGTCCACGCCGGGGACGCGCTCCTTCGTCGGAGGCCAGACACGGCGGCGGTGCGCATAGTAGCTGTCGTGCTTGTCGCCCTCGCTCTCGCCGTTGTAAGTTGCGTAGATGGCGGCGCGGGGGCGGGGCGAGTTGTTGGGACCAGAGCGGTGCGCGAGGTAGCTGCCGAAAACGAGGAGGTCGCCCGCCTTCATCGGCACAGGAACCCAGGTCTGCGCCGCCTCCCAGTCCTTCGCGATACACTTGTCCGCCGCAATAGGGACCTGCACCTTGTGCGAACCGGGGACAACATCGAGGCATCCGTTCTCGGGCGTCATGTCGTCGACGGCCATGAGGAAGGTCTGGTGGCGCACGGCGCCAGCGTGGTTGTACGCCGTTGAGTCGATGTGTGCGTCGAAGCCGCCAGAGCCACCTGGCTCCTTGTAGTTGATCTTCTCCTTGAACAGGATGGCACGCTCGCCCATAAGCTCGGAGAGAAGGCCGACAAGACGCTCGCCGCGGAAGAGCGAGTTGAAGCCGTCGTGGTAGTTGGCGTAGTCTTCGGTCAGCATGGACGGGGGAAGCCGGGGGGAGATGGGGTTCGACTCACTCTCAGTACGGCAGAGACCGGTGGTGCCGTCGGCGCGGACCTCGTCGTAGGGCATGTGCTCTCCGGGACGCGAGGGCCAGTCGTGCACCTCCTTGCTCCACTGCTGGAGGCTCTTGACCTGGTCGGCGCTGAGGACGTCGGGGAGGTGGAGGAAGCCGTCGCGCTCGAAGCTCTCCTTCTGCTCCGGCGTGAGCTTGTACGGGGTGTCAAGGGCGGTGAGGGTCATGGTGTGGTGTTCACGACTAAGCTTGATCTCGGGTTGATCGAGTTGGGAAGTTGCTGTTGATGTGCCGAAGGTGAGGTCTTGGCCGGGCTTTATATAGATGTTGTGCTGTTGATAAGATCAAGACGTCAACGTCTAGCCGTACTCAGGTCGGGCGCCTCTTCGGACCCAGCTATCGGTTCCGTGACCAATGCCGTGGAGGCCATAAGGCATCGCTGGCCCGGTATAAGGCATGTGGACGTCGTGGGGAGCGCATGATTGCCATTCCAGCACTCAGAATAAGGCAGAATCAGCCTCCGCGGCGACTGCAACGAGCACGCAGGCCGATTTGGCCAAATACTTGCCGTGTTGATTTGGCCAAATCTCGTCCGCGTGAACTCTAAACGTCATCGAGATATCGGCCTGCTACGGTGGGAGAGGTGACTGCCTCTGAGCTCCTGCAGAGAGCGATTGGCAACGATAGGCGGATCGCAGCGTGCTAGACAAGCGTACGGTGGATGGCTGATGCGATGGAGATTTGGATCCAAGGGGTTCTGATTTGGCCAGAGTCAGGGAAACAAGCCAGGCACTGCCTTATAGACACCGCGATAATAAGGCAGTGCCTGGGCATGATGTGAAAACCCTTGTGCTGCTCGCCGAGCGATAAAGCGGGTCGAAATTGTCGAACGAACGTTCCGACGATGGTTGGAGGGAGTGGGTTGCAGAGGTGCGCTGATGTGAGTGGAGCAGCTGGTTCCGGGTGCATGCACGTTTGTAGCTACTCGAAACATGATTGACGGAGCGCAACACATCACAACATCCGATCATCTACGCCTTGGTGGTGCGATTGGCGGTCCTAAGCGAAGGTGTATGTGCCTTCACCGATATTTTTCCCGGCAGCATGCTTCCAACGGAGAGCAGCCGCAGCATCTCAACTTGCTTCAAACGTCTCCTGTTCAGAATGTTTCGTGCATGGGGAGCTGACAAAGTGAACCTTCCAGTACTTGCACCCCATGTACGCCTGCCAAACCTCCCCACTTTGGGCGTCAGATCGAATACGTCGAACAGCTCGATTCCCCCTTGGCCTTCCGATATTTGCAGAGCTGCAACCCCGCCCAAGAGCATGCTCTGACATTCAGCCTCGGGATAAGGTTACGCCGACGGCTGACTGACCAGCTGACCCGCTGGGACCAAGTGTGCAGCGCGGAATGCATCCACCTCGTACCATTCGCTCGCTGGTGAACACATGATGAAGCGCACCATGCTCGCTGCGCCAACAGTAAACCTCGAGACACCGTCCTCAGCGCGGTCCTCGGTGGTCACCGTGAGAGACATTGAAACTAGCGAAGGCTTCCTCCAAGGCTGATTCCTGCTGGGAGTCCAGGCCGTGATCAGGTACGTCGTAAGTGTGTGCCAGATTGTCCCCACCGGGTTCGCACTACCCATCCGGCGAGTGGCACATTTGACCGTTTTTCATCTGCAGCACACATGTGCTCTGCTCTTTTTATGAAGCTCCTGTACTCACTCCCTTCAAGACTCGTCACATGCATGAGCCTGGGGTACGCTGCATGACCCCTCTACACCCCTGCCTGGACCGTACATCGAGCCCAGCCACCATGGTTGGCCCGTCCTCCACCCACCCTGACTGCCGCCCTTCTTCCAACCCTTTCCACCCTTCTTCCTCTTCAACGATCATTCGTCCAACCCTCGTACAACATCCAAAAGGGTTCACGCTCTTCAGAAGAGCGTGCTTGACCACTGACAGGATCGAACTGCCGACCTCCGCATGGACTGATACGATGTCTTCGTATTAGTACGATGCTCTAACCAGCTGAGCTAAGCGGCCTTGGATGTTTGTGGACCCACGAGCCGGGAGCCGACGACCGCGGCGCCGGGGCGAGCGTTGAAGGAAGCCGAGCATGCGTGAGATGTTGTCGGAAGGTGCAGTCTGCACAGCGGAGACGATAGCCACTGTCTGAAAAGCCTTGACTCCGATGTTGTTCGTAAAACCGGGACGATTGGACGTCGAATGGTGTTTGGACGACCCGCTGTGTCGACATCAAACTCGCTTTACGATGGCTGTCGGTCGGTGTCGTAGGAGCAGCCACAGTCGCTGCGCCTTAGGGTGTTCGAGCCTTCTTTAGAATGCCGGGGAAGCCCGCGAGCAATCATCTTAAGATTGATCGGAAAGCCGACTCCGTTCAGTCTCTTCTGCCTTCAGTCTTCCCCTCAAGCTCCGTCAATCTCCTCTCGGCGTCTTCGATCATCTCCAGACTTCTCAAGAGTGCCCTCTTCGCCTCCTTCGTACTCCTTAGCACGTCTTGAATTCCTCTGTCCTGATTCGCAAGTGCGAAAGCGCGTTTGTAGAAGTCTCTCGCTCCGTCCAAGTGCTGGTCGACCTGGGCGAGAGCCTGCCGCACGGCATCGAAGGAGGGACAGTGCGGCTGTACTTCGACAAAGACCTCGCCAGGGTAGCTGGGTGACGGGGCCGCATTTGTCGTGGTAGACCGGGGCAACAGCGGTGCTGCCAAGACGATTGGGAGGAGAAGGGCGGTGAGTCTCATCGATGTTGATTCGGTTGCGTCACAGTGTCTGTGAGGTGAGACAACGTGCAGAAGTCTCTAAGAAGGATAGGGGAGTGGCGAAAGGCGTCCGCGAGACCATCAGATGCATGTTTGTTATACCTCTCACGAAGCTCCGAGACGAACGGGGCACCCCCTGGAACCAACGGGCCGGATGGACCGTGCGCCAGCGCCGGCGTCTGCACCTGAATAGCGGGCGGGCTCACCGCCCCCGCCGTCCCGTTAGCGTCGGCGGCCCTATCTTGGCTGCCGCGCCTAGCGCTTAAAAAGCCAGGCACACCTTCTGTCACCGAGGATCCCTCTCGAGTGCCCGTTTCAATGCGTCGTGAATGGAACATTCAACGCGATGGTCCGTTGTCTGTTATCAGCCTCAGTCAGCGGGCGTCAGTACGCCGTGATTTGCGGAAGAGGCGAGAGGCCGCGGAAGCTGCAAGCTCGGACTGCCAATTCGGAGGTGCGTCTGTTGACGATGACCAAGACGGAAGGGAGAGGCTGTGCAGTTAATCATCCCGGGCACAATAATCTCGCTGGTCGTAATCACCTGAATCCTGTGTGCGTCGCCTTGCTGCTTCGCGGGTTCGAACGTCTAGGCGTGCGTCAGTCCAGTCAAGTGTCCATCCAACGCTGGAAACGTCCTTTCGATCGTTGTTGATTCCAGCACATCCTCTCCTGGATAGCGGTGCACGGCGGTCCTCGCAGCAATGGAAGCTTCGGCTCGGCTCGACCCGGTGCTTTCGATGGCTGGTTCGGCGCCGTCGTAGGTGGTGGGGGAGGATATCGCTCGAGTCGATTCTGGGAATCGCCCAGTGAGCGGCAGACAGGCCGACGATTGGTTGCACGTGACCCGATATGGGGTGTCGATCTAGGGCATGCGGAGCCCCCCACCCGGGTGTGTCCGCGCAGGTCACTTGATCAAGTGACGTCGGCATGTTCGATTGCGCACTGCTGGACTGCATGGGCTGCCCAGATGCCACCACATGCGCGGGCTTCCCGGCGTCATGAGGCTGGGGTGAGTACTTAAGCGTAACATGCTCGTCTGATCGAGTCGGGTATCTGCTATCTCGCTATCAACGCATCAACACATCCATCCAACACACAGCATCCAGCACAATGTCAGCCAACAACGCCGACTTCGACAGCGCCCCCGAGCCCTTCCGCGGCACGCGCTCCCAAGTCGGCCCCTTCCTTGCCCAGCTTGATGAGGAGTTCAAGGCTCAGCCTGATGTCTTCTCCAGCGACCATGCCAAGGTAAGTCCACATTCGTCATCCTCACTTCGCCTCCCGAAGGTGAACGTGCTGCAGTCCTGTGACTGTCAGCTGACAGAAGGTCACGTACGCGACGTCGAACCTTCGCGGTGCCGCCATGAAGTGGGTCCTCGCCCACCCCGAGGCGACACAGGGGACCTGGGACCAGTTCGTCAAGGAGTTCTGCGAGCGCTTCGGCAATCCCGACGAGAGCCAGACGGCGTTCAACCAGCTCAAGAAGCTGAAGCAGCACGGTAGCGCCAAGGGTTACCTTCAGCGGTGAGTGCTCACTTTCCTCTATCTTCCCCATCAAACCCCGGTGTCACCTTTCGACCTCCTATCCGTCTTCTCTTCATGAGCTGCTGTGGTTGGTCTAGTGTACAGCTGACGCCAGCTTCAACATCTACGCTGAGAAAGCCAAGCTGGACGACAACACGAAGAAGAACAAGTGGTTCTACCGCGGCCTCGCCGACGACGTCAAGGACAGCCTGATGGCGAGCGATTGGGACTGGAAGATGGACTTCAACCAGTTCGCCGACATGGTCGTCAAGATCGACACCAAGCTCCACCCCCCGCACCTCAACGAGCAGGAGAACCGGTACGGTCAGTGAGCAGCAACCACACTCACACCGATGTTCTCCTGCTTTACCAAATTGCGAAATGACCGTACAAACTCGAGACGAAAACAAGCACACATCACCAACGCAAGCAGCATGAACTACAACGATCAGTCAAAGATAGGATAGAAACCAACTGTAGAAAGCATAGTCAGAAGTACCAGAAATGTGATCAGAAGTAACACACACCAGATGTGGGCAACCCCGTCGTCCAGCTCTCATTCCTCCGTTCCAGAACTTGCAATAGACTCACTCAGCATACGGCGACAGACTGTCCGCTGTACCACCGAGAATCACCCCCCTGCAACCGCATTTGCTACTTAGATGCTTATGCTCATTATCTACTGGAAGGTCTATGCACAGTTCCACTCGTCGTCGTCGTCGTCAGTCTTGGTCGAGGTGATGGTCGTCTGTGATTGGGGGAGGTTCATGAATTGGTGGAGGTGGAGGGGCAGGGTGGGATGAGGTCAGCGCGTGATGATGGGGCGGGCCGCGCGCGTCGACGACCTTGGACAAAGTGAGCCGGGGTGCGATGGTGATGCCAGTCGAGCCTACTTTGTGCGAATCTTGAGGTCAAACATGCTCTCCTCGTACAGCCTACGGTTTCGGCATCAACACAATTCCAACAAGGCGTGGGATTACATTTCACCGAGGAGCTCCTTGATCTCGGCCTGCGACTCCTCGTACAGCTTCTGGTACTTGTCGGCCTGCTCCTTGGCGTCACGCAGCTCCTCCAGCTCGGCCTGCAGCTGCTTGTACTTGGCCACAAAGTCGGTCGTCAGGCTCTCCGCGAGTCCCGGGCGCCACGCCTGTGGTTAGCTACAGCGTGTTGAGGAGGAAGAAGGCACTCCCTGCTGCTCGTTCTTGTCGCCGGGCCTGGGATGATCAGTCACTGTCACACAGAGGAGGGCGGGTGGGCGAGGGGTGGCGATCGCATAGCGGGGCGCAATGCACAGCGTCTCGAAGGAGTCGGAGGAAGTCGAAGGGGGTGGAGGCGAACTCACATATTTCGTTGTGAATGGAAGAGTTGAGTTTTGAAGAGAAAGTAGGAGATGAGAAAGACCAAGAGTAAAGCGGCGACAGAAGAGAGAGACAGAGACGACGCCGGCCAAGGTAGACTCATGCAATGTCCAGCGGTGTGAGCTGTGTGCGTATTGCGTAACGGGCGTGGGCGTAGGCGTTGCGTTGCGATCAGGTGCGACAGGATGCAAGACGCCCGTGCAACTGTGGTGGTTGGACCTAGCGCCCAACTCTAGCTTATGCTCTTGGCCCCTGGACCTCGCGATCCGCCAGGCCCGCCTGCCGCTAGACCGCTACGGCGCCGGGCTGGCCGGGCTGCCGGAGATTCCAGCCATGATTGAGGGCAGAGCGTGGTCAGGACCGAACAGGAGCACAGGGTCCTTGCTCTTTCGGTGGCAAGTGGCGCGATCACCCACTGGCCATGCGCGCACGACTAGCTGTACCTGGCGCAGGTACCTAACTATCCGCAGTGGCCGGCCCCTATGCCAGGGCGCGGGGAGATGCAAAACGCTCGCTCGGTACAGGTGTGAATGCTTACATGCACAATGCAATGCTACAGTCTATCGACATGATATGGTCGGTGTTGTTGGATCCTAATGTAATGTGGGTTGGGTTGAAAGGGTCGTGTGCGATGAATTTGCGTCACTCATTCAGCCAGGCGGGGGCTACTCCCGTCGCACGCCTCCGCCCAGCTCCGGCTCGTGACTCCGGCACTTCGTCCTCGCCTCGCTCTTTGTTCCATCAACGATGCACGAGCTCACGCTCTTGTTTCACGTTCACGAGGATGCAACGAGGAAGGCGTTACCGCCTTGGCTCCCGTTCCTGAGCGTCGCCTGGGCGGCTGCTGGTGCTGACGAACTCGATGGCCCGTTCGTCATCGTCGCCCCGTTGCTCGCAGGGCCAACATGCACGATCTCGTATCCCTCGGCATCGGGCAGGAATTCCTGTCTCAGCAGGCCGATGCGGACCCCAAGCAGTCCCCGGTATCTGCGGAACAGTTCCCGGTAATCTGGGTCCTGCCTGTCAGCTTGTCATACTCTCGAGCTTCAGCTGGATCTCAAACTCACGTTGCGCATCACCTGGCTGATCCCGTCACGCGTCATGTCTTCGCTGTTGAACCACGACACCATGCGCTCAATGAATGGGCGGTGCTGCGGCGACAGGCTGTACGCCCTTTCCCACTCGATCTGCCCGTCCTTGAGACACAGCGTCGAGTAGCCCGAGTAGTTCGGGCATGGCGGAGCTTCGCGATCCTCGAGTCCGAGGTCGGCGAGTGTCCGTAGCGATGGTCGGTTCCCCTTGGCGGGTGTTGCTGGTGTCGCTATTCGGCCGGGACTGTTGTCGCTGCCTTGAGTCGTCGCTGATGGTCCACCGTTCTGTCCTGCAGGCGAGACGCCGTTCGCTACGCCGTCCGCTATTCCGTTTGCTGTTCCGTTTGCTGTCGGCTTCTGCGGGGTCGTCTGCGGGGTCGTCTTCGGCGTGGATGCGCCCGAGCTCGAGGTCGTGTCAGGCGACAAGATCAGCCGTCGGGTGCGCTTGCGCAAATAGATTTCATCGTCGCTCGACTCAGTGGGCGCCCGCTGGCCCCCACTCCCGCCGGCTCGCCTGGCGCTGGTCCGGCGGCGGGATGGGGCCTTCTCCGAGGAACGCCCGTTGCTCGGCGCGCGCGGCATGACTGCGTGCTGTCAGCTATCAGAACTGTCGAGAAGCTCTTACAGTTTAATGGATCATGGGTAGTGTTGACGGCGTGGAAGTTGGAGTTGACGGTGTGTTCTCAAGGCCAAGGGCAGAGCAGCAGGGTCAAGTGAGACAACTGTAAGGGGTAGTCCGAACTGAGGAGCTGAGGAATGGGTCCAGCGTATGGGAAGGCCGAATTGATCGGGAAGGTAGCTTGTGTATGCGGTGCTGAGATGCTGATGGATGAAGAGAAGTCAAGTTTGCGCTGATGGCGTTGAGAGAGGATGAGGTGGACGGGGGTGGCGGCGGTGGAGGAACGAGGCGCAGAGCTTGTCGGATTAGCGCACGATAGTCGCCAGACGATATCGATCTAGGTGCCCAGGTGCCAGGCGCTAGGTACAAGTCAGTCGGCGCTCATGACTGCGTCGATTGGATGGCATGCGCGGCTAAAGTTGCGTCAATCACTTCTCACTCGTCACTTTGATCCCGTACAGCCGTCTACCGACTCCGTTCGGCGCCGTCAGAGCCCAACGCCGACTCCGCCTTCCTCAGCCATCATGTCCGAGATCGCGACATTGCCGAGCTTAATTTCGGCGGCGGACCGCGAGGTCGATCACCTGCTCCCACCCCGTGGTCGTGGTCTCGTTCCTTTTGGATAAACTATATCCCTAAGCATGGGATGACGAGACCCGCTTGGAACCTGCCCTAACGTCGATCCCTGGTCGCACTTTCACACGGGTGTCGCTTCTCGCTAAACTGGACGGTATGCAGACAAGAGAACAAACTTCATCTCTTCTGTTATCTTGTTATCTTACTCGCTTCGGAAAATGACGACCATCCAGAAGCGGAGCAGAGATCTGCAATCCTCGGAGTGGACGTACGAGTCCCAAAGTTAGCATCCGACGAATCTGCTGGTGCACAAGCAGAGGCCAGCGGTCGGGCTAAGGGTGCATTCCTTGCCTCCACTGGAATCCGCTCCTTAATACCTTTGGGCGGGGCAGCGTTTAGAACGAGAAGTGAGGAGTAGAGAAAGTGGGTCCAATAATCACATCGCTGCCCGCTCAGGTTCAGCCACGCCCTGTACATGCTCAACGGGTGTTGTGTACGCCCCTAAGTAGTGAACGATCAGAGCGCCGAGGACTGCCAAGTGGACTATATGCGAAGGATCGGGCAAGCCTCACGGACTGCTGTCAAGCTCTTCCGGCCCATTACTTACCAGGCTGGTTGATCACGCTCTACCCCGCCTCCACCTCTCTTAGTCCGATTCGAGCGACGATGTACACTCGAAAGGCAGAGGATCGGCTCATTCTTCTCCACCAGGACGATAATCGGCATGTTTTTCGGCCGGTTTTCGTCACTGACTGCGAAGGCGAAATCCTCCCTCATGACCAACAGTCGACGCGGAGGCGTGCGCTCGAGCGTCACGAGACCCGGACACGGCAGATCTGATTGTACATCGGCGAAACGCGAGTGCGGAGCGAACATGGAGTCGCAGAGTGCGCAGAGCGTGAAAGCCTAGCGGTGGTCGGATGAATCCCGGATATTCACCAAACGAACCTCGGACCTCTTCCGACATGTCGTCGGTGCCCGTCCGCTCCTTGTCCCGCTCCGCCCATGGAGCATGTGGGACACCGTACGACGTGCATCGACTCAAACCATTGCCCTTGTTTAAGTACCATGGTTCCGTAGCACCCGGCGGCGACGATCTCGACAGCAAAGAAACGATGGCAGAAGAGAAGATCACTGCTGTGAGAATGGGTCCGGAAGTCACCGATGTGGAGGACAAGATTAGCGGTCCAGTGCCCGGGATCGTCGAGCCGCAGGAAACACTCAACGAAAAGGTCATTCAACAGGAGCCGGAGCTTGCTCAGCGACAGCCTGATGAGTACACAGGCCACCATCATTATGTTCTCAAGCGGTTGCGAAGACGCCTGCCACCGCTCTCGTCGAGACGGAAGCTGGCCATCAGGTGGGCAATCTCGCTCTCAGTGCTAACAGCAGTATCGCGATGTGCGTATCGATGATCCTCTGTGGCTGGAACGATGGAAGTGTCGGTCCCCTCTTCCCAACGCTACAGGAGTACTACGGAGTGAGTGATGCATCCCCGCCCGTTCAGCTCTGGGCTCAAATCGTTGTGAAGTGCCAAGACTAACACGCCCAGATTAACTACCTCGTCAGTGCGTACCTGGTCTTGACCACCTCTCACCACAGTGTCTCTAATCTACACGACCTCGTTCGCGGGCTCCATGTTCGGCGCGCTGATAAACATGTGGATCACAGACCGCATCGGCTTCGGCCTCGTGACGCCACTCGGCGCTTTGTCGACGGTCATCTGCTTCCTTCTCGCAGGGACGGGCGCGCCGTTCGGTGTCTTCCTCGTCGCATTTTTCTTCAACGGCTTCGGTCTCAGTATTCAGGACGCACAGGTGAACAACCTGACGACGCGCCTGCCCAACCCCGCCGTGCTCATGAGCTTTGTGCAAGCCTCATTCAGCGGCGGCGCGACCATTGCGCCCTTCCTCTCGACCGCGTTCGCGCAGCACCTTCCCAAGCGCAGCTACCTGTACTTCTTCGTCGCTATGGGTGTCGCCGTCATCGCGATGGCGATCATGCTCGTCGCGTTCAGGGGCATGACGGAGGAGCAGATTGTGGGCACTGGCGATGCGTCTGGTGCTTCCACGCCCACCCCTACGGCGGCGGTGGAGACGAAGGAGCGCGAGGAAGGTGTCGAGAGGACGAGATCCCGAACGCCGCCGGCCATCGAGGACGGCCAAGTCGCCCCCGCCGACGCAACGGTCGGAGCCCTCGGCGAGGCAGCTCAACTCGAGAACTCCTCAGGAGCAAAGCTGAAGCGTATCCTGAAGCGGCCCGCGATCTACATCCTCATGGCGTGGTCGTTCCTCTACATCGCAGTGGAGGTTGGCACATCGTCATGGCTCACGACCTTCCTCATCCGTGAGCGCGGCGCCTCTGCCGCTGCCGGATACGCCGTGACCGGCTTCTGGGGAGCAATGACTATCGGCCGCATTCTGCTTATCCCGGTGACACATAAACTCGGACCGCAGACCGCCATCTTCGCCTACAGCATCATCGCTCTCGCTCTCGAGTTCGTGATCTGGTTCGTCGACTCCGTTGCGGGCAACGCCGTCTGCTATGCTTTCATTGGATTCTTCCTAGGCCCGATATATCCGATTTGCGAGTTGTTTTCTCGAGAAGAGTGCTGACGAACAGGTCTTCTTGTCATTAGCGAGACGTGGGACGACGAGCTCCGCGGTGGTGTCATGGGTCTCATGGGCAGTATCGGCGGCGCGGGCGCGGCGCTCGGCCCTTTCATCATGGGCGGCATCTCTGATAAGTACGGCATCTGGGCTATCCAGCCTGTGGCCGTTGGGATGATTGCGGGCTTCACGATCCTGTGGGCCTTCACGCCGAAGAGGAAGGTTGCCGTCAAGGCGCCGAAAGAAGGGGTCGAGGGGATGGAGGTGGAGGCGGGGCCCGCGCCGATCACTTCGCAGGCTGTGGCCGAGAGCACTCGATAGGATATGCATATAATCAGGTCTTGGCTTATCTCCGCGCACGAGAGCGCTATGCATGCATAGAATGGCAAGAGTGCCAAGAACAGCGGTGCGACGCTGCACTGCTCGAACTCAAGGTGACCGAGTGCCTTAGCCGCGATAAGCGCACGAGCCGACGGACCCGAGCACATCATACCTCTGTTTGTCTTGGCATCCACTCAAGTCTGCGCTTCTTAAGACAAACCGCGGTCTTCACCATGCCATCTACAACCACACTTTCGCCACTACACTCACAAGCTCACACTTTACTCTGCCACGACCATAAACGATAATGGGGAACAAGAAGGACTACGAACGCGTACCGCTCCCGCCGGTGCAATCCGTTGGCGACCCGGCGTACATCAGGCAACAGCAGGTGGTGTTGAAGCTGAAGCAGTCCTTTGGCGTCAGCGGCGTGAGTATCCCCTTTCCTCTCACACATATCCTGTGGCGTTTTACTACGTCTTCCTACAGCTCTGTGCAGCTGAACAACGCATTCATGTAAGCTAACCCCACAGGCCGACTATGAGATCTGCCTGGATGGCGAACCCGTCCTCCGATCAAAGGGCAAGGCACTGAAGCTATACGACGAGAAGGTGGTCTCCAGCCCATCAGGCGAGCTCTTCCGAATCAAGACGACGAGTATAGTCCCGAAAGCGTTCAGTTGCTACGACAGCGGGGGCGAGCGTTTCACCGTCAAGTCGAAGCTCATGTCTTGTAAGCTCCAATCTTTTGCTGAAGCTGACATGCAGTCCGGACCCAGTTCGCGATCCACGTTGCCCCATTTGGATCACCAGAGGGAAGAGAGGGAGGGGGGGAACCGGCTGAGTTGAAACTACAGGGCAACGCCGTCTCCTCCTCTGCCACCATCACACGACCCTCCGCCTCCCCGACAACGGAGACCGAGACACTCGCCGAGATCAAGCGCGACATTCTCTCCGCCACCGACATGATTCTCAACGGGCACGATTATACTGTCACTGTTGCGCCGGGGGCGGATTGGGCGCTCATGGCCGCTCTGACACTGTGCTTCAATGACTGCCTGAACGAGCCACGGCCCACGGGGGGTGGGAGGTGGAGGCGGAAGAGTAGCTCTGCGGATTGGGAGCAGGAGGACGGGCCAACTTCTGGCCAGCATGAGAGTTCGCCTGGTGTTCCAGGCGATCAGGCGGCGTCGAGATGATCAGTGCAGGACCGAAGATTCACGAAATAACGACCACACGACTAGTACGATGATATGCATGATTGGACCAGCCTGCTGGCCCGCATTATGGGCATGGAGCGATGGAGAGGTTACGATCATAAGCGCAAGAGAGATCCCAAAAGAGTGAAAAAAGCGTCATTATAGGTTGTATTGTATCGGGCATGAGTGTTCGTCGCTCGCGGCTGTGACTAGAAGGGGCGTCCGCGCCTCGCCTCGTCGAATTCCACGCGGAAGCCAGGCTTGATGTCCAGCTCTACGCTTGGGCGGGGACCGACAGGCTGCACGTCGTCGACAAAGTACTGGTCGGGGGGCTGGAGGAATTTGGCGTCGCGCTCCGGGACAGCGGGAACGAGATGCGCGGGCTGGACGGGCGAGGACGGGAAGCTGGGGCTCGGGGTGGAGGAGACGTGCCAGCTGTTCGGGCGCTGGCGGCCGGCAGCCGTGTAGTTGACCGCTGAGCGAGGTGGCGCGAATTGGTTGTAGCTCGTCGTTACCGGCATCGCGCCGTAGAGGTTGTAGTTTCCGTAGCCGCCCGAGTCGGCGCTGCCCGGGCTGGGCAAGTCCTCGTACGCCGTGCTGTAGCCCGTGAGAGCAGTTGAGTATCCGGACATGGCGGTTGAGTATCCCGAAGCGGTCGAGAAACGGCTTCGAGCAGACACGGACGGCTCGCGAGCGGCAAAGTCATAGTTGTGCTCGCTGATCACGACCGAGGGCGCACGAGAGAGGCGAGACGAGCCGCGCGGGAAGATAGTGACTGCTGGCTCCTCGTCGGGCTCGCTCTCACTGTCCGTCTCGCATGGCACGGAGGCAGGCGACGCCGCCCCGTCCCTCGTCCACAGGGTGACTGTGATGTCCTCCGCAGGTTTGGGCATGATCGGTGATAGGGGCGCGATGAGCGACGACCGCCGAGCAGGCAGCGGAGAGACCGTGCTGACCGGACTGGTCTCCGGGACGCGCTTCAGGCTCGGCGCCCGTACGGCCGAGAGGCTGAGGTGGCTTAGAGCGCCGGCGACGCTCTGCGCTCCCACCGCGCTTAGCTTGGAAGGTTGCTCCTCGCGACCCTGCTGGAGCTGAGGGGGTTCGCGCAGCTCGCGCGAGTCGCGCTCGTGCACGAACAGATCGAGCCCGAGCCCGCCAAGACCTCCAGACTCTATCGGCGTCAGGAGGTAGGCGTCCGTCATGACTTGGCGGTCTTGCATTTCCGGCTTGGCGTGCCCGTTCGCCGTGTTCTCGCTCGCGTGCCCGTTCACCGTGCTGCCGTCCGCGTGCCCGTTCACCGTGTTGTCATCTGCGTACCCGTTCGTGTAACCGTTCGCGTACCCATTCGAGTACCCGTTCGCTGAGTGCGCGGTGTGTCCTGTGAGCCCGGAGTGCAGGGATGGCAGCGACGGCAGCGATGGCGGGGGAAGCGACTGTCCCTCGTGACGCGCGCCGCACGCCATGTCGCACACGCTCAGGTCGCATAGGCTGTTGCTCGAGGGGCTCGCGCGGAAGCTGTACCAGCTGACGCGCCGGCGTGGGCGGTGGCCGCTAGAGCCTACGGCTGTCAGCATTGTTCATCGCTCCCAGTCAGGTGCATGGTGCATGGTGCGCTAGAAGCGGGAAGCGTTGCATCGTGCGCCTATGCCTTACGCGTTGTGCGTTATGCCTACGAAAGCTGGCGAGCCTGGCGAGCCGAGAGGCAGCTCAACATACCTTTGTCGTCCCAGACGTCACTTCCATGACGGGTACGCGCCTTGCCCTGGCCTTGCTTGGTGGACACACTCGTCGTAGACGAGTTGCGCGACGATCCTGCTTCAAGCTCAGTACCGCCGCGATCGGCCGGACTCACTGCCAAGAATGCTCATAACTTTCTTGACACTGCCGCGACTGGACGGGGGAGGAGGCACCGGGTCACGAGTACGCTCCGGCAGTTTCGGGCCGGGGTACAGTTCGCGCATGCTCGGCTGCCTCTCGCTCTTCACAGAGCTACCGCGCTTCCTGGGAGGCTCGGGCGGGCGAGTGCGCTCCGGAAGCTTCGGGCCGGGATACAGCTTCTTCATGTCCGGCTCCGTCTGGCTCTTGAGGACCTTCTTAGGGTTCAACTGGGAGGGGGGCACCGGGTCGCGAGTGCGCTGCGGCGGCTTGGGACCAGGATACAGCTCCGCCATCGTCGGCTCGCGCTCCGGCTTGCTCAGGATATCTCGGACGACTGAGCGGGGGCGAGGGGCCGGTTCCGGGGTGCGCGTGCGGACGGGGAGCTTGCCGGGGTATGGGCCTGACGTGGTCGACACCTTCACTTTGGCGTGGACCTTGACAGGTTGTTGTGTGGTGAGGGCTGGCATTGGTATTCGAGATCGAACAGGATGGATTTGGGAAACGAGTGTGGGGTGCTTGGGGGAAGACAGGAGAGTCGAGGGTCAAGGGTCGGTAATCGATTCAATCGATAAGATGAGATGAGATGCGCAGGGTAGGGCAGCAAAGATGATGGACAGGACAGTGATCAGAGCAAGGTGAGTGTAGAGGTGAGTTGTGAAGGAGATGGAGAAAATTGAGTGAGGAGGAGGGAAGACGATGGATGTAATGTGAGTGCGGGGACGATAAGAAGGACCAGACCTTAGCGCGCGCAGAGACAAGACGTTCGGCTGGGCGATGACAGGGCTCACGGTCGGGCGGGCAGGGAGATCAAAAGGATCGGACTGATCCTAGCATCTTAGCTTCGCTTTCGATCCCTAGCTCGTTCCATCGCCCGACGTCGTTGGCCACTTGGGATCGAACTGCCGGCGGGACCTGCTGGGCTGCTGGCTGGTCTGCTGCGAGAGCTGTGTAAGGGTGGCTAGAGGTGCCAGAGTGGGACGCAACAGTGTTTGTTGCTGGGCTTTTCTCGGCATGGCTGCTCTGCATGCTCTGACTGCTCGATCAGCGAGCGTCTGCGACATGAACGTCGTCGAGGACAAAGTGGACCCAAGTTGGGCACGCGCCGGGAGGGGATGAGGGGTATGGAGAGTGCCTCATCGGTACCTCGTTCAGGAGTGCGACTGGCCAGCCGTGCAGGTGCACAGAGCATGGGTCGGCCGCAGAGTCGTCGTAAATAGTTGCAGAGTCATAATTGTGGCAAGCGTCGTGGTGGGTGGTGGGGTCTCCTCAGGTGTTGTCAGGACGGGGCAGAGACACCCTGTTGATGGTGTCGAAACATGTGGGCGTCGTGCCAGACGTTGGGTGGGTGGTGAAATGTGGTCAGACCGCGAGTTGGACCCAACCGATGCGCGGATGCACGGGCCCCGCACCCACTCGATCTCGTTCGCTTTCAGGAGCACTCGACTGTCCGAAAGGAGTTTTCCTGATCCTAGACCGGCCCATGTCGCCCGACGTACCTTCCAATCCTCCATGGACCAGGGCTGCACCCATCAGCGCACGCACGGGATCGAATGAGGACAATGGAGTCGTCTTCCTTGCATCCTCGATGAGCACAAGGTTGTGCACAATGACATGTCGAAAGGAGGTAGGCATCGTAAGGCGAGCGAGCGGCTTAGGCATGCGCGTCGCGCGTCGTGTGCCCCGGTCTGAAGCGCGTGAAGCTCGGCATTTTGACGCACTTATACGCTTCTTCAGAAGATTCACCAGCACACCTGAACCGCCGTCCGGCCCAGGATCACGGCCGTGTAAAGCGGGGACGGCGTCCGCTCACCGCTAAAACATCCCTTGGCGCGCATTCACTACTGAACGCCGCCAGTCTCAGAGTAGAGCTAACATCACTCTCCAGTCCTGAAACTTCCAGCGCTTCACTTGACTAGCACCCAGACAGCGCGACACATGCACAGCATGCAGCGAGCTCACCGTTCTTCCCGTCCATGCTGCCTCCGTCGGAAGACGTAAGGAAGATATGGAGGAATGGAGAATGACGCCACTAAGGCGTCCGAGCGTTGAGAGGCTGTCGAGGCTTGGTCTTCAGTCAGCATGGATGCACTCTTCCCAATTCCAGATTGCCGCAGCGGGGATTACAGTCGAGCAAAGACAAACGTCAGTCGCCATTACGAGGATCGAATGACGAGTCAGAGGAGGAGAAGATATCGCTGATGCAATCGGAGAAAGATATGGACGACGATTGGACGAGGAACCGTTGTGGGCGGCTTGTACCGCTACCGTGGACCCGACGACAGCTCGTAAGCAGAAGACAGCAGGAACGTTCTTGCGCAGTGCAGCGCCAAGCCATGAGGCTGGCGCATGGTGTGTGCAGCTCGCAGGTGGAGAGAAACGGGGTGAATGGGGCCGAAGTGGGGGCGTGGGGTTAGGCGACGCGATTAAGCGGGCGGGTGAGGTGATGGCATCATGGCGTATCATCGAGCGTTGGTGGCATAACCGTGCGGACTAACGCTGGATCGAAGCGGGTGAGACGGGCGAGATAGCGAGCAATCGATTGACTCGGACACCAAAGGAAGCAGAAGCGCAGTAGCGTGATAAGCCGTGAGGGAGGACACAAACGGGCCATCACACAAAAAGTGCACTTGCCCAGGCAGATCCCCCCTTTCCTCGCCATTCACCTCCTCCTCTTGTCACCAGTATCTTTCACTCACCTCTTCACGCATCGCATCGCATCCTCGCTCGGAGCGGGAAACTCTTCAACCGTCACACGAGCCAGCTCCACTATCCTGAAAACTAAAACCTGGCTGACCCCTCGGCGCGACTCGGCAACATCCACCTGCCACTGAAACCACTTCTCACTCGTCCTCCACCACTCCACCTCCGACCCCGGTCTTCCTCCAACCCTTCATTTCGCATCCCTCGGTCATCTCCACGTCTCCCAGAGCGTCTCAGGCCCTGCAGATCTCTGGCCGCGGGCCCCATGGGACTAGATAAAGATCAGAAGAGGATGACTGGTCGCAAAGTTGCCGAGTTGACGAGCTCCGGGCGGAGCTTGGCCGGCTGGGGGATCGACGTCGGACCATCATCTTGCGGCATCGCTTATCGTGCCCATGGAGGCCTCCGGGGTTCAGGTACATGCCATTCCGCTACCCCGGACGCCAGATGATGTTCTTGGGGACCGTAGAGGCCTTGCGCGCTCTGGGAACGAGGTGGGCAACGACTACAACGTGTTGGGAGCTCGTCTGGCAGTGCCATAACAACACCTCGGCGTGCACACAAGCTCCGGGCGAGACACCAATTGGCTCACTGCGGCGTCCCCCACCCCCCACTCACTCACTCACCCCGGCCCAGAGCCCCACTACGACTGACGACAGACCTTCCCAGGCGTCTTGAACGCAGCCAATCGGCACGACCAATGCATGCCTCCACACCAAGCCCTCCGACGGACACGACGGGCCTCCAATACCTCTTGCCCGTTCGCATGTACACCAGGGGGTTTCGTCCGAAACTGCTGCTCGTGCGCTGGTCAAAGCGCGTCCGGATGACTAAAAAGCTGGTCTCATTGGCAAGCGCAGGTGCGACGGCATAGAAGCAGAGCTCAGCTGCGTATGTCATCTCCGTCCAACTCGTCCTCGCAACCCTTTGGACTCGCCCCAGTCCCTACGGAGACGAGAGCGTCGGACGTGTCTATTGGGCTTTGGCGGAAGCTGGCCCGTCGATATCGCGCGGTGTCCTGAGCGGGGTGCGGGGAACCAGTCCCATGCATCAGCGTCGAGATCAGCTCACAGGGAAGATCTGGAGCTGCTCCTCTGCCTAGCTCGGCCTGAGGAATGGCCGGAACGGACGGCTGACAACGCAGAAGAGCGGCAGCGCAGACTAGGCGGCAGGAAGCGGGCACCTGCCGGACCTGAGATACTGGAAAAATTACGACCCAGGTCATTGAGCTGTCCCTGAATTTCAACCCTATCTCCGGTGTTCAGCCGTAACAACTGGGCACACCTGGCTCCATCTGGGCCAAGCAAGCAAACCGCTGCCGCCCGACGCTGTCCGCGCGGGCTTTGCGTACTCTGCGATCCCCTGTTGTTCCTTTCTCTGGGCCCCCCACTATCCCTGGAGCTGCATTTTACTCGAATCGAGGGAGCGAGCGAGACGCCGGTCAGACGACGATATCGCCAAACGCGCTACCGACTCATTAAAAGCATCGTTTTAGCTCAACCCAACCGCTTCCCCACATTCTCCTCTACTCTCCTTACACTCTCCCCCGAACCGGTCTCTCTCTTTCGGCAACCAGAGACACATCACAGCCCTCTCCTTCTCTTTCCTTTCCATTCGTTAATCCTTCTCTCAACATGCTGTTCGAGAAGAGCAGGAAGGAGCCCGATGTCGCGGTCGACATCGCTCCCGCGCACCACTCGGTGTCTGACTCGGGCGACTATGGTTCGCACGATCTCTCCAAGACGGAGGCCCAGGGCGGCCACACCGTCATGACCGACGGTGTGTTCGGAAACATGGACGACCACTCTGGACCCAACTACCGTGCTGTGAGTAACATGATAACTCTCGATATGGGTCTTGGGCTGACGCGATCCAGGTTGGAAAATGGGGCGCGCTGATCCTCATGACTAAGGCTAACCTGGGTCTTGGTGTGCTTGCTCTTCCGTCCGTGTTCGCTACTCTGGGTATGGTCCCGGGTATCCTCTGCATCGTTGCTATCCAGACTATCATTGCCTGTAAGTTTCGGGCTCTTTAGCTGGTGGGTGGATGGTTGGCTGACGAAGCACAGACTGTGGAGTGGTCATTGGATCTTGGAAGATGACCCACCCTACCACGCACTCGCTCGCTGATGCTGGAGGCATCATGGGCGGATGGATTGCTCGCGAGTTCCTTTTCCTCATCTTCTTCGTCTGTGAGTACCAGCGATTGCATGGACGCACGCAATGGCTACGCAGGCGACTAGCGGTGGTGGGTCATGCGGTCGAAGCGGTCGGTCATCTGAGCTGGAGGGTTTGGTCAGCGAGGGCTTGGCTGGGGTGGAGGGCAGGCTTGGCTGGAAAAAATGGGTCGAAATTGGACATGTGGGAGGCACATGGACCCTGCACTCAGCCCAGCCTGCCCCTCTCGCCCGCCTTCCCTCCTCTTCGATGCCTGCCCTACGGTACTCGGCCCCGAACGCTCAACCGACCCTGTCAAGTGACCAGGTAACGCTGGCCATTGGTCACCGCACGCAACCGCGACCATCCGCGCGCACGCCGCCGCGGGCACCGCCGCCGCCGTCGTCCATGCATCAAACCGCGCAATGAGAGCCGCTGCTGACTTGCCCAGTCATGATTTTCATTCTCGGCTCTGCGTGTGTCGGTGTCTCCACCGCCCTTAACGCCGTCTCCAGCCACGGTGCATGCACTGCTGTCTTTGTCGCCGTCTCGGCCATTGCCGGCTTCCTCCTCGGCTCGATCCGTACCCTCGGCCGCATCTCGTGGATCGGATGGGTCGGTATCTTCTTCATCATGGCCTCGATCCTGACCCTCACCATTGCCGCCGGTGTCCAGGACCGCCCCGCCGACGCTCCTCAGGCGCCTCTCCCCTGGGATAAGGACCTCAAGATCTTTGCCCAGCCCACCTTTGCCGCCGCCATGTCCGCCATCAACAACATTGTCTTCTCTTACGGCGCGACCCCGATGTACTTCGGTATTGTCTCCGAGATGCGTGACCCGCGCCAGTACGCACCCATGATGGTCACCTCGGTCTGCTCGCTCACTGTCGTCTACCTTGTTATTGGCTCGGTCGTCTACTACTACTGCGGACAGTACGTCGCTTCGCCCGCCCTCGGATCTGCCGGTCTCCTCATGAAGAAGGTCTGCTACGGCATTTCCATCCCCGGTCTGCTCGCCTCTCTCACTATCTTCACCCACGTGTGCGGCAAGACCCTCTTCGTCCGTCTCATGAAGGGCTCTCGCCACCTCGCCGCCAACACGATCCAGCACTGGGCCGCCTGGCTCGGCTGCACTGCCTTCTCCGTCATTGTCGGCTACATCATTGCCTCTGCGATCCCCAACTTCGGCTCGATCATCGGCCTCGTCGGTGCGCTCTTCTGCCCCATCGTGTGCATCATCCCCTACACCTTCATGTGGTGGAGCCTGAACAAGAAGGGCCGCCGCCTCAGCGAGCTCACGTTCCGCAAGAAGATTGCCTACGCCGTCAACATTCTCTTCTGCATCATCGGCTTCTTCCTCCTCGGCGCCGGCACGTACGGAGCCGTCGTCGACCTGCGCAAGACGACGAGCGAGTCCAAGCCCTGGTCGTGCGAGAACAACTCGGGCCCCTACTAAATCAGTTCCAACACTCTCCTTAATAAACCACTGGCAAGCTGTCCAACCAGCTTGCGCTATAAAGATCAGCCCCAAGATTGATCAGTTAGAATAACATCCTTAAGTCTTGAATCTTTCGGCCCGGCTCGACCGGGAACATACATACGTCTCAGGGGAAACGGTTTTCCGCGCAGATAATGTTGTACGACTATAAAACTATCCTTTTCTCATAGCTTTCTTACTTTGCATTAGGCAGGCTACAGATGTGAATGACTTTGATACTCAAGAAGCTTTCGGCGCGACTGTTGGTGACTAAACTCTGTTTACAGCACTGCCCCGATAGTCGCGACTTTCTTTGGCAGTCTGATCGAAGGGAAGATGGCGATGGCGACACTGAACTCACCGGCAAACACGACCGGGCCAGCCGGGCCTTGGTCTGGACTTCTGATTCTGGACAAGTACGGAACGGCATGGTGACAGAGCGGCCCGAGGGCGGTCGGCAGATCTAGTGATGGGTGAGACCGGTGTAAGGTGTAAGGTGTGAGGCGTAGAGGCGGGCGGGGGCATTCTGAACCTCGTTCCTCGCTGGCGAGACTCTGTGAGTCTTGGCATTTGGCTCCACACTTTGCTCCTTGCTTGACCAGTTGGCCCTGTATTCTGATTGATGACGGCCTGACGCGCTGACACAGTGACGTGCATGGCTTATCTCTGACTTACTTAGCGATCTACACTGACTCAGCCGAAAAAGACCACAGGTGGTGCTGGCAGGGTAAGGGGGATCGTGGGAGACTTCGAATCGGGCTGTGGCTGTGGCGGTGGTCGAATCGATCGGCCTTGCGTGCAGCCGCAATATAGGCGGTACCTCCGACGTACGACGGACCTGCGAAATGTTCTGATTGGGATGTGTGGGTACCGCGCAAGTCTGTCTGTTGAGATCTCGTGTGCCCTCGGCGCGAGGGGGGGTGCGAAGTTCGTGCGACGTTTGTGCGAAGAGTGTGTGTACTCTCCCGCGGAGTCACATTTGACGTCGTCGCGAGGTGTGGTGTGGGAGAGGGGGGAGGATACATAAGAAGCTGTCTGAGACGCGGGGATTTTTCCTCTTCCTATCCTCCCATCACTCCACTCTCGTCTTCACACTCGATACGCTCGTCGAGACCGATATGCCCTGCACCGAGCGACTATCACCCCTATTGACTGGACGGTGACTACCCGCCTACATCCTCATTTACATCGACCCTGGGGTGAGTAGCTTCGATGATGTCGTAAACGCAAGCTAACACCAGGTCCCACACAGCCAGGAGAGCACAGGACTCGGAGCGGGTAGCTGGCCAAGTCGGACATTGCAGCTGACCAGCAGCGATCTCGTGATCCTCGACAGTTCGTCTTCGTCACTGCAACCGATGAGTGGGTAGCTACCTCGTCCACCGATGCATAGCTGACGAACAGTCGCGTCATTCTTGCACCGACGCAGCTGCCGCTGTGGAAGGTCTGCGGAGACTTCTTCACGAGGCGCGACCGTCTTCCTCTCCGGGGCTCTGGTTAGCTTCAAAGACTAGTTTGGCAGAGCTAACCTCAGGACCGGCCGCAGTGGTGAGCACAGCTGTGATACTCCTACGCGTCCCAAGCTGACATCAGTCAGCACGTCTGCTTCGACTCACGGGTAAGCTGCTCGATTCGCCCTAGTAGCTGATTGCAGTCCTGGGCGTTGCAGCCAGGCATTTTGCACGAGTAGGCTGCGACATCTCCGTGCAAAGTTGACTTCACTCCGCGGCCAAGTTTCGGCAGGAGGGTAGGTTGACTTGAAGGCTCCCGCGCTAGCCACGCTCCTAGGCCATCCGAGCGGAAGAGAAAGGGACTTCACTCAAGGTAGCTCCCACGGTCGTGCAGAACAAGCTGACGGGCAGGAGACGAGGTAGCTTCACACTCCCGTCAAAGCTGACTGCAGGGACGCATCTAGCCACGCGCACGCGACGAACAATGGGTACAAACGAGAGGTCAGCTCGCCGCCATCTCCAGTGAGCTAACGAGCAGACCAGCATTGTAGTCCCAGCTCCGATTTACCCCTGAGCGGCAAGGAAAGGGTATAAGAGAGTGAGCTAAGGGGTGTTGGCGCTTAGCTCACTCCAGATTATCGACTTTTACATCCAATCGTCCATACAGCCACATCGCGGCCGAAAAGGTAGCTGCAAAACACAGAGCGTAGCTGACACCAGACTCAAGGTGGCTGTCCAGTTCTTCGTTACAGCTGACTCGCAGCTCTGCACCTAGCCTATCTCGACCCAAGAAGCTGTTGGCGACTCGCACGAAGTGGTTTCCTGCCAGTTACAGGAAAGTGGGCAGCTAGGAGCACGCGATCGGAAGCTGACTCCAGATACACAATCGAGGCGAGGTGCAGTAGCTTCCAGCCGACCCTTATCAAGCTATTCCCAGCCCGTCACCTGAGTCATCCTCGCAGCTAGAAAGCGCTGCACGACGAGATCTTCGCCAGTCAGTTAAACAGAGAAGGTAGGTAAGACAGCCTCGTTGATGAGTTGATGAACAAGTTAGCTAATGGCAGACGCTTGCACAATGTTAGCTTCGCCATGCACGCCGCGAGAGAGCTGACATCCAGACTCCCATTATCATCCAACTCAGACCATCACCACACCGTCGCTCACCTCACGCGGACGGATGCCACGAACGGGATCAAAATTCCGCCCGGGATTTGCTCCGGACAAACTCCGACCTTCGACTTCAGCAACAGAACTCGGGATGATAGCTCAGTTGGGAGAGCGCGAGAGTGAAGCTTCAGAAGTCAATTCTTGGGGTCGGGCGTTCGATCCGCCCTCGTCCCATCTTTTTCGCCTCCCTGTCTTCCTTCCGACCTTTCTTCGATCTTCAAGTTCGTGGCGGCGGTCGCGACGGAGACCAAGTGCACATATGGACGTGAATTCATATTGTCCCTAAGACCTATATATGACTACAACGAAGAACTACAAAGAGTCTACGGAGATTTTACCTCGTTTTTTTTTTTGTTCACTGGCCTGACCGGCGCTTCGCCCACGCTCGCGCTCGCAGCTCACGCTCGATCTCACTTGATCAGCTTCGCGACTGCCTCCACCGCGACCTCTGCGTTGATTCCCTTGCTGGCAAGCCACGCTTCGGCCTTGCCGACCATGAGCTCCCAGACGTCGGCGTCGTCGGCGAGCTTTGTGCGGAAGTATGCGATCGCCAGAGCGGTCGGCAGCGCGTCGTCGGCGATAGAGGGTGCAGCGCTCTTGGCGTCCTCGAAAGTCACGCCCGTGATGCGCTCCAGATTCGCTGTCCAGCCCCACGAACCGTCGAAGCGCTGCAGCGCCGTGAGCGTCTCCAGCGGCGAGGAAGAGGGCGCCGACACTTCAGCGGCTTCGGCCTGCGGTGCAAAGCTGCCGAAACTAAAGGCGTTGGCCGCGGGTGGAGCTGCAGCAACAGGTGGAGAGGAAGACTGGATGCCGACCCTCTTGGTGGAGCCTGGAGGAGAGGCGGAGCGCCCAAACAGAGCCGGCGAGGCGCCGGTTGGCTGAGGGGCCAGGGCAGGCGACGGAGCAGCGCCGAACAATGCGTCGGACGCTGGCATCGAGGCACTGGATTCGAAAGCGGAGCCCTTGTTGCTGCTTCCTTTGCTGCCGAAACCGCCAAAGAGCCCACCACCTGAGCGCTGGCCAAAGAGGCCACCGCCGCCGCCGAACAGGCTCGGCTTGGGTGCAGGGGGCGCTGCTGCCGCACCGAACAGCACTGGCTGAGACTGAGAAGGCATCTCGTAGCCACGGGTGCAGATGGCGTCGACAGCAGAAGGCGTGAACCTCGCGGCCGGTGCGGGTGCGGGAGGAGGAGGAGGGGCAGAACCAACAACGAGTGACTTGGAGCGGAAGCTCAAGCCTCCGAAGCCGAAGCCCTTGGCTGCCTTGGCCTTCCTGATGCCCCCACCGGCGGCGCCTCCTCGTGCAGAACCGAGAGGGTATCCATCGCTGTAGAGGCTGCCCTCAGCCTTCTCATGGGTTGAGCCAGCCTTGAACTCGGTGCCGTCGGGCATCTTCTCGATGGCGACGAAGGAGCACCACTTGTTCGCGACCTGGTAGCGGAGGCCGAGGTGGACAGCCTCACGCTGAATAATCTTGTCCCAAACCGGGCCGAAGCGCGCGGCCCCTGTCTTCCCGTCCGCATCGGGTGCGCGGGAGATGAAGCCGCGTCCCTCCTCAAGCTCGCGGCATTCCTTTCGCGCAGCGAGCTGATGCAGTGTCGTACCGCGACCAACGTCGGTGACCGGGATCTCGAGGCGCAGCTCACCGTACTTGCTGGGTGCCGTGAGGGCGACAGACTTGATGTTCTTGTGCGGTGCCCCTTCGTTCAGGAGCACATAGACGGTCGAGCGACTGCCGGGGAACAGAGGCGGGATCGAGCTGGGCGTCTGGAGGTACGGCTGCTCAGCAAAGGTGGGGAGAGGCTTGACCTCCGGTGGGGGCGCGTCGTCGATCTTAGCGCTGGTGTCGAAGAGTGAGATGGTCGCCTTCTTGGGCTTCTCCGACTTCTCACTTTCGAAATCAACAACGGTGGAAGCGGCATCGATGAGCTCGAAGTCGTCAGACTCGCCTCCGGCGCCCTCGTAATCGATCTCGAGCTTGAAGTTGTTGATGTGGGGGAAGAGCGACGCCTTGAGCATGCGCACGACCTTCTTGTCCATGTTCTCGCCGTCGGCGACAAACTGCGCAAAGCCGTTACCGGCACGAGCGACACCCTCGACAAGCGACGTGCTGGCACCTGATCCGATACCGAGAGAGAACACGCGCAAGTCACCGTTACCCTTCTCGCTCGCCTCGTTAATAAGACGGAATACGTTCTCCTCATCCCAGATCTCGCCGTCTGTCAGGAGGAACACCTCGAGGTTGTATCCGTGATGCAGGCGCTGCTTGAACGTGGCCTCGAGTGGGCGGTACATCTCGGTTCCACCGTAGTTGGCATCGAAGGTCGCGACGTGCCGTGTCGCCTCGTCCACCGACTTCTGGTCGTACAGGCGCGACTTGGGCCAGAGGAAGGAGAATCGAGAGCCGAAGGAGCAGATGTTGAACGCGACGCCTTGCGGAAGCGACTTCAAAAAGATGTTCAGAGCACGCTTCAGGTCCGGGATGTTGCTCTGCATGGATCCGGAACGGTCGCAGACGAAGATGATCTCGGGAGTCTCAGCCGGGAGAGCGAACTTGGGAACGAGCGAAGCCATCAGCGCGCGCTGGTTGGGGAGGGTGGCGTGGGTCTCAAGGAGAGCAGTCGGTTCGCCGGTCTTGGACGGGGTGATAACAATGACGAGGTCGGTGTCGAGATTCGTCTCCTTCTTAGACAGGGTGGCCGATGCCCTGGAGAAGCTCGGCGCTGCATCCTGGTCGGTGGAAAGGTTGCCAATGGAGACGTCGATAGGGTGCGAGGGCGACTGGACGGTCTTGATGGTGATACCCTCTGGGAGCTGGATGTCAACGGTAGCCTCGAGGCCTGACTTGTTCTGGTCAAAGTCGGACTCCTCGACCTGAGCATTGCCATAGCGGGGGTACAGCTCCGCGGGAAGCGTGAAGCGGATTCCCTCAGTCTGAAGATCCTGCTTAAGCTCTCCGATGAACTCGATGTCGACCTGGAACGTCGACTTGGGCGGGATGTTGCCGATCTTGGTCGTAAAGACGTCCGCGGCCTCGAGCGTCTGCTCCATAAGAGCGGCCGTAAAGCCGGCATCCTTCGCAGCCTCGTACTCCTGCTTCGCCTCCTCCCGCTCCTTCACGACTCCCTCGATGATACGATCGCCGACGGTCGCCTTGAAGCGCACGACCGACACGCCCTCGTACAGTGGGAAGACATAGGTGGCCTCCTCGATCGTGTAGTCATTCGCGTTGGAGAAGGTCTGGGTGAGCGTCGTGCGTGATGTCGTCGAGAGAATCGTAGAGTGCGCCTTGACAGCGACCTGCGGGAGGTGGTGCGTTTCGGCCGCGATGTTGTAGAAGCACGCAACGTTCAAGACTGTTTTGCCGTACGCCATGGTAGATGTGTGAAAGTGATATTGGAGGAAGACGAGGTGGCGAGGGGGAATGCGGGACTTATATCTTTGCATTCAGTCGCCGCCGAGAACTGCAGGGCGGTACAGGCGTGGCTTGGAAGTGTGCGCTGCGGTGCAGATCGAGGTGATTAGATCGATTAGATAGCCTCTTCCGGCCCAGGCACGCACTGGCGCATCGAAGCAAGGGCGTACGGGCACAAACGGCCAAATTCAAACTCAAACGCTGACCAAGCCCCTTCTGCGCCCCGCGGAATGTCTACCGCCAACGCCCTCGAACTTCACTCCTCACCCGTTGCTATGGCGGTCTTGGTGTATGCTTGCCCGCGATAATCTTACATGCGCGATTAACGAACCACTGACATGCACGTTAGACACTGCTGACTGCGGAGCAATGCCCGCTCCGCCGTCGACTCTAGAGCTAATGTGGGTGGCAAACCGAGTCGAGCCAGGCCAGCAGCTCCAAGATTCCCACGTTTCACTCCAGATCCAGAGCCATAGGCCCGAGCGCGGGTCTGTCCACTGGATCTTGACTCGCCCTACTTCGGATCCGGCGCTCCTTCTCTGCAGGAACAGAGAGTAAGAGCAGAGAAGCTGGGATGATCGAAAATACCGCGTTTGCGGCGGCCAACCCGCACACTTGCTGTGCAGACAGCGATCGGTGACCGCATAACCGTGCCTTGCTGAGTCATCACGTGATTACGATGGAGCATCGGTCCGAGCTGCCGGTTACTGGCCCGGAACTCGCAACAGCTGAGGACCGGTTTACTGACATCTAACTCTCTTATCTCTGTTCTAGCTTCATCTGAAGAAAGCATTAGCCGCGGGCGCTCATGCCGTTCTGTTTATTCACTACAATAGTCTTACAACGTATGATGACGATGGATCTGCTCCTTAGAGAGAGTAGCGGAAGTCAGGGTTCTGGATATCGGTCAAGTCGTCGAATGCGTTCTCGTTCTTGACCGTCTGCCCCGCCTGAGCCGCCTCCTTGGCCTTGTTGCGGCGGACCAGTAGCCAGCGGGTAGTGAGGCAGGTGATGATCCACATGCCGTCTGCCATGTCAGCTTCTTGTTCTTTTCCATCATACCGCGGACATCATCCAAACTTACAGAGTGCCATGTGGATCTCGAGCGAGGTGAGGTATCGCGGCGCCCACCTGGACTGGAAGATCTGGGGTGCGATCGCATTACCCCCCGCCCACCCGATGTACGTCACGGCGTACGTGATGGACTTCTTGGTCTGGCCCGCCGAGTTGCGCGAGAGCATGAGGAATATGGCCGGGTTTGCGGCCTGGAATACCTGCATGCAGTAGAAGGCCACGACAAGGCCGCCCTTGGTCGAGGGGCTCGGGGCGACGCACAGCAGCACGATGGAGCCGACAATGTTCGGCACCGCAAAACCGATCATGCAGTAAAGCGTGTTGTGCGTCTTTTCAATCAACGTGCTCATGACAAAGTACATGATGACGGTCATGGCGCCGAGCGGGAGGTTGAGGAGCTGGGACTGGAGGACGTCAAAGCCGAACGCCTTGTTGATCAGGAGCGACGCGAACGTGTTGATGCCGCCGACGACGAGAGTCTGCCAGAACGCAAGGAAGAAGAGCAAATACGTGTACGGGTCCTTGACGGCCTCCACTGCCTGGTCCTTGCGGAACACCTTCTGCTTGATACCCTGGTTATTGATGCGGACACGCTCGACGTAGCGCACCTTCTCCTCGGGCGTGAGCCAGCGCGCCTGCGTCGGTGTATCGGGCAGGAAGAGGAAGAGGGTTGCGCTGCAGCAGAATGAGAAGAGCGAGATGGCCAAGGTCATCCACTGCCAACCCGCCAGGCCGTGCGTTTTCTTGACGTGGTAAAAACCGAAGCCAAGCAGGCCCCCGACAATGTTGTTCAGGCCTATCATCGCCTGCCACATGGCCGACACGAACGGCTGCTCATCCTTACGATACCACTGCACTGTGATTGAGAGCAGCACCGGACCGATCAGGGACTCGAAGAGACCGAGCAGGAAGCGCAGAGCGAAGACGGCCTTGACGTTCAGGGAGAAGGCGATGCCCATGAGCAGGCCGGACCAGGCGAGCGTTCCGGCCGAGAGCAGCTTGGCGAGAGGCAGCTTGCGCACGCACTGGTTTGCCTGAACGTCAGCTCTCCCCTCGCGATTGCCTGCCCGTAGTGTACTCACAATAGGCTCTCCGACGATGATGCCAATCCAAAGGAAGGTCGCGGTGAGGGCATAGTCCTGGCCCTTGGCGCCGACGTCCTGCTGCCAGCCCATGATACTCGACGTGCCCAGAGTCCCCTTGTCGATCGCCTGGAGGAAGTACGCAAGACACATGAGGGGCAGGATGTGTTTGTGGATACGCCTGCGCATAGCCTTGTTCTCCTCGGGCGTAATGACGACGGAGCTGTCGACATAGTCGGCAGCGGCCTGATCCGCGACGCGGTGGTGCGCCTCGTCGCCCTTAGCCTCGACGTCGTCGTACTCGAGGTGCTCGACGCTGTGCTTCTTCAGCTCTGGGGTTGCCATGGCGCTTGCAGCGGGGGATGTGGGCTCCGCAATGTTTGCATGGTTCAACTTTATATGCCTGGGGATGGGAGCGGGGCTCTCCACATCGCATTAGACACTAGCGCGGGGGGATCGGCGAGATAGTGGGATGCCATGGCTGTCATGAGCCTGCCGGCGCGAGGACGGCCCGAATCAACGGTCATCAGGCAGGGGGCATGAGGTACGAGGCGTCGCCCACACTATTCATCACGCGTACCGTGTGCACTGAGCAGTTAGGGCTGGATTGATGCGGAACACAGGGCGGGACGCGACAGGTGTTGGTGGGCGTGCCCCGCATATAGCTCGTCAGGTGGCTTTATCCGGAGCGCTGTACCGCGCGGGTTGCCAAATAGACTTACCCCATTGCGATGCCAGTTTCGTTCCTGACGAGATCAGGTGAGTTGTTGAGGAATTCGATGAGCACAACCTGGAGTCTCACACGCCATATCCACTATATCCCACCATCAGACACTGACGAGTGTCGGCGAACCGGCCCGGCAAGCGGGGCGACTTGACTCCTAGGGCGTGTGGGCATGCAGGCATGTGAGCGAGTGGATACCCCCGAATGCCGTCTACTGCCTGGTGTTCGTTGATACGCGAGGGAAATACGGCCGTGTGCGAGGAAGTACCTCATGCAGGAATGGGGGCACCGTGCTTTGCCGCATTCAAGCGAGACAAACAGGCTGTTGATATCCGACGAGAACTCGCCGAGCGCTTGCGGCCCTCCGCTTTTAGTTGGAGCCTGGTTTCAGCCTTACATTGAATCCAGCGAGAGCTATCAGCGTGTACAAGGTGTGAGTCACCGCCACGATCTCGCCAAGCTTCAATCGTGTGAGTTCAATCGTGTGAGTATTCGAAATACATGCAGTTCCAACTCTCCAAAACTACCGTTACAATCTGCTCAGTCACGCCCGCTTGTGAGCGGGATCGCCTCGTAGTCGTCGACAACAATGGCCGGGTTGCTCGACCGGTGCAGGCCGAGGCGCTCCACGACGTTTCCGACGCCGGGCACGGTGCGCAGCTTCTGCGCAAGGTTGTATGTTGCGCGGCGCGCATTCATGAGGAGCGCGTCACGGGCCATGGCGAACTCTTCCAGGCCGCGCGACGCGCCGCCCTTCTCCACAAACTCGCCGTCAGGAACCGAGTTCGCAGGCCGGCGCCACCACTTCAGGCTCAGCGAGGAGAGCACGACGCTGACGGACGAAAAGGCCATGGCAGCCGCGGCCATCATGGGGTGCAGGTGGAAGCCCCAGGGGAGGAGTGCACCCATCGCGAGCGGGATCATACAGATGTTGTAGCAGCACGCCCAGAGAAGGTTCGCCTTGATCTTGTTGTAGATCGCCTGGCCAAGGTCCAAAGCAGCCACAACGTCGAGCAAGTCTCCGCGCATCAGGACGACCTCGGCAGCTTCCATCGCAATGCTGGTTCCCGAGCCAAGGGCTATGCCCATACTACTGGCGACCAGGGCGGGAGAGTCGTTGATACCGTCTCCGACCATGGCCACGCCTCCTTGCTGGGCAAGGTCACGCACGATCGTAGCCTTGCCCTTCGGCGAGACACCGCCATAGACTTCGTCATCGTCAATGCCGACCTGGCGGGCGACCGCGCGGGTGGTAGCCTCGCTGTCACCGGAGAGGAGCGTAACCTGGAGACCCATGGCGCGAAGAGCCTGAATGGCCTGCGCGGATGTTGGCTTCGGCGCGTCGGAGAGGGCAAGGGCGAGGACGGGAATGGCAACACCACCGCGGATGATGGAGACGTAGGTGACAACGTTCGCGGCAGCGGATTGAGCCTCCTCAAAGCGCTCTAAGGCCTGAGGCAGCGTAGCCTTCATCTCGCCCTCCTTCTCGGCAAGGATAAACGACATCTTGCCCACGCGAACCTTGTCCTCGGTACCGTGCTGCCTAACGGTGGCCTCGATGCCCTCACCGGGAATAGACTCGAAGGCGATGACATCACCTGATGGCGGCGGCAGACCGGCCTCGTTCAGCGTTTCGCGACCGTAGGACGCGATGGCGACGGCGAGTGGGTGCTCGGAGCGGCTCTCAGCGAGAGCGATAAGTGCAAGCACAGCATGGCGCTGGAGGGGTGCGGCCGCCGTAGTCAGCGAGAGGGCCTGCGTCGGGGTAAGACCGGTCTCGGACGTAGGCACGCCCGCGGGAGCCCAGCAGATCTCAGAAGCAGTCATCTTGCCCAGGGTCACAGTTCCGGTCTTGTCCAGGACGACGCGCTTGATGTCCCTCGCGGTCTCCAGGGCGCGGCCGCCCTTGATCAGGATACCGTTCTGGGCGCCAACGCCCGTTCCAACCATGACAGCCGTAGGGGTCGAGAGTCCGAGCGCGCAGGGGCAGGCGACGACGACGACAGAGATGCACAGCTTGAGGCACACGCCAAACTTCGAGGCACCGGGGGCCTGGAATGCGGGAGGCAGGTTGTGCTTGAAGATGGAGATCGCGAGCCAAAGGAAGAACGTGACAATGGCGAGCGAAATGACAATGGGCACGAAGATGCCAGCGACGCGGTCGGCAAACTGCTGGATGGGCGGCTTGGCCGTTTGCGCGTCCTCGACAAGCTTGACGATATGCGCAAGTGTCGTGTCCGAGCCAGCTCGGGTGACGCGGAAAGTGACAGTGCCAAGGCCGTTCACGGTGCCTCCAATGACCTGCGATTCCACTGTCTTGGGCACGGTCAGGGACTCGCCTGTGACCATAGACTCGTCGACGGTCGTCGTGCCGGAAACGACGACGCCATCAGCGGCAATCTTCTCGCCAGGAACGACCAGAACGACGTCGCCCACCTGCACGAGCTCGGTCGGGATCTTGCGGGTCTCGGCACCGTCGTGGTAGTTCTCGGGGTCGGTGAAGATGGTCGCGGACGAAGGCGACAGGGCCATCAGGTTGGTCAGCGCAGTCGATGTCTTGCCCTTGGCGAGATTCTCGATGTAACGCCCCAGAGCGACGAAGGTGATCAGCATGGTAGACGTGTCGAAGAACGTCTGCGGTCGGTAGTCCTTGTCAGACGAGAACATGGCGAAGAACATCGAGAGGACCGAGTATGTGAAAGTAGCCGAGGTGCCGACGACGACCAAGACGTCCATAGTCGCGGATCCGTGCTTCAAGCTCTTCCAGGCGTTGATGTAGAAGATCCTGGCCAAGAAAAGCTGGACCGGGATCGTCAGACAGAGACACACGAGGTCGCCGAGGTAGATGCCCGTGAAGAGCTTCCACTTCGTCCATCCCATGAACGGGAGGTACATGTGCATCATGCCGACGATGAAGTTGGGGACGGCAAAGATCGCAGACAGGACGAAGATCCGACGCCATCGTGCAATCTCGCGGTGCTTCCTAAGCGACGCGAGCTGGGAGTCGTTCTCGCTCGACGTGGGCAAGAACGAGAGGTTTGGGAACTTCTCCGCGAGGTGGTCGACAACGGCGCGCAGAGAGGTGAGGGTCGGAGTGTGGACGAAGGACAGGTGATCGTAGGGAACCGGCAGCACGACATCGGACACGCCAGGTAGTGAGGCAGCCTCGCGGACAACATCCGGGACGAGGGAGGGATTCGATAGTCTGCTGGTAAGCACATTTACGCCTTATCGCCACCAACCCATAAATAAGGAGATCCACAGCAGCCTCAGCACCCAGTTCAACGACCTCGGCGTCAAAACCGATATCCTCAATCTCCTCCGCTATTCTGGCGTCGTTCCAGTGCATCCCTTTGTCGTCAATGAAGTCGGGGTTGTACTCGACGACGGCGCGTTCGGCCAGCAGCGAGACCTGGACACTCTGGATCCCTTCCATTCCCCTCATCTGCCCCTCAATAGCGGCAACGCAAGCACCGCACTGTGATGTCAGCTCGCAATCCGAGGGATCAGCAGCTTGCATGTAACTTACAGTCATACCTCCTATCCGGAGCTCGACGCGTTTTCGCTCGTCAGTTCCGGGGCTTGACAACGCGACATGCCCGTCGTGGTCATTGTGCTCATCGACTTTCGGCAGGGAGAGCATGTTGGTGATGGGGGAAAGCATGGAGGACGCCACCGAGGAAATGGACGACCCCCGGTTGCGATTCGGCTGCGGGGACTGGAGCAAGCTCATCGTGTTGCGTGTTCAGTGTGCTTGAGCATGCAGGATCGCCTGAGTAAGCCTCTCGAGGCTCGGAACCGTGTGGTCGATCGCAGGTCGAGTGGTGACAGGCCAGTGAGATGGTCCCTTTAGGGGTGTTGGGCGCGTTGATAGCTGTGTTGAGAGGCGGCAGCGCGGGGTAAGGCGAGTACACCGTCCAGAGATAAGAGAGGTACGACGAACCGGTGCTGGCTGCTGAGTATATGAACAAGATGGACAGCGGGTGTGGTCAGATGGCAAGAAGTGGTAGTGGCTAACTGAGTGTGCCCGCCCTGGAGTTCTTACGTAGCCGTCGGTTGCGCCGCCGCCGAACCACTGATTTTCACTTTTAGCCCCGCGACTACGCCTTCGGCCGACCAGGCACAATAAGCGCATATTACAACTCTGTTTACGCCCAGGATGTGCCCAGAGGACCGGCCATCGCTTTCCGCTGTCCGAGATAGTTACCGTTGCAACAAGGTCCAAGAATACATCGCCTCTCCACAGCAATTCACTGGGAGGCAATGCATGCGATCATACCCATGAACGCTTCACGCTTAAGGCTCCACAACAACTCTCACAACCGAGTCCATTTTATGACAGTGCTCAAGTCTCAAATCCTCCCTAACGCCCCTCAATTATCGGATGCGCAAGGCTAGAAGGCTCTGAGGTTCACTTAATCTGATAACCAAATTTTCGGCGAAAACGCAATCAGCTCGCCAAGGCCGGCCGACAGAAAAATACCTCGCCCGCAATTCGCTCCTCACTCGAGATGCGGGCCACACGAAGAACAGGTCAGGTTAATTCTGTACAGGGGAACAAGATGCATGGGCTTGGCACTCGCGTGCACGCTTCCTACTTGCTCTGCAGCTGGTACTCGGTGTACCAGTTCAGGCCGAGCAGGGCTGGGGGCGTCAGTCGTGGCTCTGGTTTGTCAGCGGCCGGAAATACTCACAGGGTTCCTTGAGGGTGTTGTGCTGGTAGCCCAGAACGGTCAACTGATTTCCGTCAGCACACGCCCACCACACACGCGCTCGTGAATGCGCGAATCACTCACACCTCCCGCATCGGCTGAGAAGTGGTAACCGGCGGCAATGGGGAAGTCACACCAGCGGGCAATGAACGACCGAGTGAAGTGTCCGTGCGAGAAGATGATGACGTCGGAGTGGTCCGCCTCCTCGGGAGTGTCTGCGTTGGCCTCGGCATCGGCGTGAATTTTGCGGATCTTAGCAATCACGCGGTCAACACGAGCGGTCATTTGCTCGGGCGTCTCGCCAGGGGTGTCGCCGGGAGGACCACTGTCTGTGTCAGCGGGTTATCCTTGTATGCATGGAGGACTCCAGTCCATCTCCGCAATCAAGTTGCCGCGAAGCTCCGGATCGCCGTGTTCTCGTCTCCGACTCCCAAGCTGTCGGCAAAGGGTAGTCCAGCGGAGTGCTGACTCGGTCTCCGCTGTCGAGTGTCCGTTCCGCCCTGTCCGTTCAAAACCGCCCGCTACTCACCCGTCCTTCCAGATCTCCCAGCCCGGGTGCTCCTTGCGGATATCCTTGGTCAACATGCCCTCGTACTTGCCGTAGTCCCACTCGGCAACATCCGGGTCAATGACAATTGAGCACTTGGGAGGCGGGTGGTCGCCGAACATGAGCTCTTCCGTGCGCTTCGCCCGCTGGCGCGGAGAGATGAGGATGTGTCGCACCTGGGCCGGGTCAATAAGCTCTGAAGGAGTCAGCGATGTCCGTGCAAGCTATCCGCGTTCAAGGGACGGACAGTTGGCCAAACCGAAGCTGTCTGTCCAATTCAGCTTCTGTTATCGTACTCACTGCCGGGGCCAATGATGCGGTTGCCCATGTCCGTAACCATCCGCTCGCCGTTGGCCGTCAGGGGAAGGTCGGTGACACCAGTCTGAGATCTATTAGCTTCGCAGTCATCCAACGCATGGTAGCTTCCAAACATACATGACGACCTGGACAGTCAGCGTTGCCCGCGTGTGCATGTGCGCCGCCTGTGACTCACCATTAAGGGACCATTCCGTCTCGCCTGCGCAATGTCAACATCGAGCTCACGTCGCAGAACGCACCATGGCGGATCAAGTATACTCTGGGCATGCGCCGTCCCATTTTGGTGTCTTCCTCGTTGTCGATGGTTTGAGAGGTAGTTGGAAGAATGCCATGGACTACGTTCGCGCTGCGATAAGACTACGCCAGACCGACCCCAACTCTGATCGGCGCATTACGTGTATGACGTCCTGCACCAATAGTGGGAGCCGAGGCCGAGGGAGTAATCAGTCATGATTACCACGTGGGCATTGCCGGCTCCGCTAGAATTTCTGAAATGGACCAGGCAGCTGCAATCAGCCAGGACACAAGTATGAGGTTTGGGTTATGCGTCCTCACTTCTGAAGAGCGGCTTCCACTCAGCCACTGGCTACAGCGCTACAACTTGAAAGTCTGTGCGAGGAAGGGGACAGTCAACACTCCGCGGTACCGTGGTTGCGGCGACTAGAAGGACTAGAAGGCGCCGAGGTGAGACAGTGCGTCAACATCGGATCAAAATGTCCGGAACGCCTTCCTCGCAGTCAGTCCGGTGTCCCCTACCTTGGCGCCTCTTCGCCTTCCATCCTTCCCTCGTCCCCTCGATGCACGCTCGCGTCGGTCGCCTCCTTCAACGCGCTAGGCTCAATAATGTACGTCACAGGCTCGATTGCGTTCTCGTCTTGGCTGTGATCAGGGAATGCAGTGCGTCCAGCGTCACATGGCGCAAGGTACTATCCCCATCGAGACATTGCTGGAGAGGATGAGATGTTTGCTTCGTTGCCCTGTCTGCTGAGCTGCTGAGTCGTGAGTCTGTGCGCAATGCAACATGACGACAGCATCGTTGCCTTCTCGTGCCGTCATTCTCCCGCCTGACCACACATCTTAGGTTCCTTCCTCGTGTCTCTGTGAACTGCTTTCAACGTCGTCTGACCGCCAACACTTCGATGTTGCACATCTCTTCATGGACAAACAACCTCAAAGTTGTCGACTTGGAAGACAACAAGAGTCCGCCCCCACCACCTACGCGACAGTGGCTCCGCCTCCTGCCCCAATCGTACCCCATCCATCTCAGTCGCGGCCGACCCCTCTTCCCCCGCCGACACAGCGTTCCAGATCAACTCTCAACGAGGCCCTACCAAATCACCAACAGAACATCCCGTTGACGTCCACGGAGGATTACTTTCGCCACGCCGACATCACTCACCTTCGCTTCTCCCAATTCCCGTACAGCTCCTGGATTTTCAAGTATGATTGTCTCAACACTTCTTTGCATCCTACCAGCACCTCAAGTGTCGACAATGCCCAGGTAAGTGTGGAAACGGATGGCTCAAATGGGGGAACGCCACGTGGTCTGGCACACCCTTATAAGCAAACTCTCGAACGAAACCCGGCGTGCGCCCTTATCGGAGTGTGTATCAACACCGTGCCTTTCTGCTAGTGGTCCATGCAGTCGGCCTTAAGATCCGATGGGAATCATCCCTCGCGAGTTCGAATCTCGCAAGGCACATCTCGCTTTTTGAGTTGTTTTGTTCATGCATCGCGTGTTTTGGGCATCGAGGTTCTGGCAGGCAAGTGGAGAGCTGAAGCTGCGTTCCTGTGACGTGTGTTCAGTGGGAGAGCATACAAAGACGACGAATAAGCAGTGCAGCAGACAGCCCGTCCAGCGAAACAGGGTCCAACTAGCTCTCAGGAGACCATAAGCATCAAGCAGACGCCCTGCATGCCTCGGGTCGGGCGGCCGGCACACGGCCAGCAAGCCGCATTCCCATGTTCTCTTCAAGCTCAGAGCGTTGTAATAATAGCTCTACGATGTTCGAGGCTGTTGCGGATGCGATGGAGATCGTGCAGAAATACAAGGGTGCTGAACGGACCGCGCGTCTGGCTGGGCGATTCCAATGGGAGGGGCTAGCTGCCGAAAGCGGCAACGACATACCGAAAGAAGCAATTAAGCTCGGCCCAGGCCCCTGACGCGGAAGGCTTACGGCCAAAAGGAGCAAAAACGGAGGCACCCCAGACTGTGAGTTGGGCGCGCCTCGCGTTTAGAGGCCCTGAGGAGTACCGGTGGAGCAGGGGTCGGTGCCTCAGCGCTGATGCGCTGGCGGAAACGAGGGTCACTGTTCCGGCCCGTTGTGAGTGACCCCCCCGCCCGCCCCTTCTCATGCGCAAAACTGCTCATTCGTTGAAATTTGTCTTCCTCGTCTGGCGGGCCTGGCGGGGCTTGGGGAGGCTTGGACAGCGCCTGAGCGCACCGTGGGCTGCCCGCGGTGCCCGTCAGCGCTCAGCTCAGCCGGCCAGAGCGGCCTCTGCACCAACGCGCTAAGGTCTGGCGAGCATCACTGCTGTACCGCTGCACCGCTGCAATCCTGCCGCCTCTATTCCTGTCTCCTAGTCTGCAACAAAGACCCTCTTTTCAGGTCTTCCTTCCCCTTTCAAGCTTGGCTGCCTTCCTCCCTCGATCCTCCTTAGCTCATCCCTCAGATCCTCAGCGACCTTGCTTTCACGACTGCAACACAACTCTCGGCACTGTCCACCCAACTCTCTTTTGCACTGTCTCTTACTCGTCTTCTACTCTCACGAACCTCCCTTCACCTTCTCAACCTCCATCCCCCCCTCGCACGTCGACGTCTGTGACCGTCGCCTCATCCTCGCGCTACTCAACACTATCGCTGCGTAACGTCACCTTCCTTGTTTACCCAATTCATAAACCCCGCCTAGAGCGACTCAACAAATCAACGGTCTACCCCCGCGAACACACATCAGCACAATGAAGTACGCCGTCGCCGCCGCCGTCCTCGCTGCCTCCGCCTTCGCTGCCGACGTGAGTATACCAAGGCCAGCACGACGCATGCAGAAGCCCGCTCAGACCACTTTGAGTGTGGTGGCATGAAGTTTGCACGCGACACAAGGGCTGCACCGGGATGATCAGGAAACGTTTGCCTCCGTTCCGGTGGCCTGGCGTTGACCGCCGTGACCACGCGTGTCGCGCCGCCCATTCAGTACCCGGGCGGCGTGATTCGTCGCGCATAGCATCGCCGTGCAAGCGCCGTGTGCTGTGCATGCCAAACAAGCTGTCTCGGAGAGTACCAGAACTGACATCGCAGTCGGCCCTCATCCCTTCGGGTGTTTCGTCGGGCTGCCAGTCCTTCCTCAAGGAGCTCGACAACGACTCGTCCATCCAGGGATGTGTCAACAAGCTCGTCTCGGCCACCAACTCGTTCTCGCCCATCTCGGGCAAGAAGGCCTCTGCCTCGGACGTCCAGTCCACGCTCGGCAACGTCTGCAACGCTAACAACGAGTGCGACGAGGCTTCCGTCCGTGGTCTTCTCGGCAAGTTCTACGACGCCTGCTCGTCTGACCTTGACTCGAACAAGGATGTCGCTGCCCTTTACGACACCCTCTACGTTATGACCCCCCTTCGCCAGGCTGTCTGCACCAAGGACTCGGCCACCGGTGCTTACTGCGTCTCCAAGGTCGGCTCGAGCGGAAACTCTAAGAACAGCATCTCCTCGATCGCCGCCTCGGCCCTTGACCTTGCCTCCAACTACGGCTACTCGCTCTTCGGCGGCAAGTCCAAGCGCGCTGCTGAGACCACCATCTCGTCCATTGTCACCCCCAACGCTACGACCTACTCCGAGACCAACCTGCCTTTCCTGTTCCTGCAGCCTAACATGGACAAGGAGCAGCTGTGCACCCCCTGCAGCCGTAGCATCTTCGTTACCTACTTCAAGTGGATCGGACAGACTCAGTACCCCTCGACCATCCTCGGTGGCCGTGAGGACCTCTGGAACGCCGTCACCTCGAAGTGCGACCAGACCTTTGTCGACTCGATCTCCAAGGAGGCCAACGTTCACGCTGCCTCCGGTGCCGTTGAGCGTGCTGGCCTCTCCGCCGCCGCCGTCGTCGCCGCCGGCTTCGCCGCCTACATCATCGCCTAAGTGCAGTAGTGCGAGATATACGTGATCAGTCGCCTGCCGGGCTGAGTCTCGATGTATGTTAGCATCCCGACATATCGTTTCATGTGGACATTTAGTGGGCCGAAAGAGGCGGCCAGTCTGCCTCTTCCCGCCTGTATTCCTTTTCTTATTTCCGCTTTTTATTTTGGCGCTGTCTGGATGAATTATGATGCCCTTATACGTTTGTGCACTGGAACTTTAATGGTGAGAAGTGCTGCAGGAGCTGTCGTAGCGAGAAGACTGGTGCAAGCTGGCTTCGGTTGTGAGTGCTATGCCGGAGAAAGGTCCGCGCTCACGGCTACGCGGAAGTAGATGCCGAGCCGAGATGACGTCCAGGCTGAGCTTCTATCGCTCTCCCTCAACTTTCCATCGCCCAGCTAACCCAGTATACCCACCATTCGTCGCCTCGTAGTGCAAGGAGTGATCGCTGCGTCCCTTCTCTTCTTGCTGTGGAACTGGATCTCGACGCCGTCGTTAAAGTCTCCGCTTTCTTCCTCTACTCCTACCACCGTCGTTCAATCAACCTTTGAAGCGACAGAAATCATGTCTTCTCCGCTGAAGCACCTCAAGGTCGTGCCGAAGGAGGCGCACAAGGCCACCGTCATCTTCCTGCATGTAAGCTAACTTGATCGGAGCAAAGCTGACAGAGAAAGGGCCTGGGCGACTCGGGTTAGTCCCCTCGCTACTTTTCTGAAGCCAGCAGAATCTGGGAGCTGACACAGGCACCTCTCTCGATCACAATAACAATCTCCATTGTTCGAAAAATGACTTTCTTATGCTCGTCTCTCTGGCTCCGAATGATCACTGCGTGAATGCTTTTAGGCCACGGCTGGCTCCCCGTCGCCAAAATGCTGTGGTCGCAGCTGCCCAATGTGCAGTGGATCCTGCCGCATGCGCCCTCGATCCCCATCACACTGAACGGCGGTATGGCCATGCCTGGTGAGTGTCGAGGCTGGCTCGGAGCCAGCTTGTCTCTACCTTCTCTGGCTTTCGTCCTGTGTTCTTCACCCTCCCGTGTGTGCCACTTCGCAAGATCATTTAGGGGGCGAGGGAGCGAGCAACTGCAGAGACCTGGGGGCAACAGAAGGAATGGAACTAACACCAAGGCTGGTTCGACATCAAGACGCTCGACCGCTCGAAGCGCGTCGACGGACTAGAGGACGAGGCCGGCCTGCAGGCGACAGTGGACAAGATTGACGCCCTGATCCAGCTCGAGGTCGACAAGGGGATCCCCGAGGACAAGATTGTGCTGGGCGGATTCTCGCAGGGCGGCGCCATTGCCGCTCTCTCGCTGCTGCTCAAGAACAGGAATCTCGCCGGCTACGTTGCTCTCAGCACTTGGATCCCGATGCCGGAGAAGGTCGCGCAGGAGGCGCGCCCGAACGCAAAGGACTACCCTGTCTTCTGGGGACATGGCACCGACGACCAGGTCGTGCGGTATGAGTGTGAGTCCATCCCCCTTCCTTCATCCTGTTAGCTCTGCAGCAATGGCGACGGAGCTGCTCAGTAATGTAAATGAGCTGACACACCAGACGGCGTCCAGTCCGTCGAGCTCCTCAAGAAGCTCGGCTTCCCCTCGGTGCCCGAGGACAAGATCTTTGAGCGCCCCGGACTCAAGTTTGAGTCCTACCCCGGCATGCAGCACTCGTCGTGCCCCGAGGAGATCCGCGACCTCGCCGCGTGGCTCCAGAAGGTTACCAGTAAGTTAGACCAGTGAGATAGAAAGATAGTGCAACATGCATTCGGTCTGCTGTGTTGAGTACATTCTAACCTAACCCTACCCCGCGAGGAGGGTCGTTCCGTCTATGTTGAGAAATAATGATGCGACCGTGGACATCCTGACTGTCCTCTGAGTCCGCCTCACACCCCGTCGCCTCCACTAGTTCTGCGACTCCTCGCCCACTTGTGTGCATCGCCTTCAGCGCCGCAACACTTACGCGCTCGCCTCGATGACAGCGTCGCCGCCCTCCGGGATGAGTCCGTCGGCGAGCATGCGCTCGAGCTTGCGGACCTCCTCGGCGGTGTTGGCGCCGATGAGCGCCTCGACGACCCTCCTCTTCTCCTCCGGCGTCATGAGGCGGCCCTTGAGACCGGCCTTGCCTCCCTGCTTGGCCGCCTTTGCCATCGTGGCTCCGGGGATGCCCGACGTTGTCGGGATGCTGAGCTTGGTCGCGAGCTCGTTCGGCTGCCCGTCCTCGTTCGTCAGGAGCTGTCGCGCCCGTGTCCGGTCTGCGTCCTTGATCCGCTCAAAGTCCAGCACGTGCAGCTTTCCCCCGGCCACCTTCCACACCGTGAAGTCCTTGTAGTGCTCGTGCTGCGTCACTGGGTTCCCCCGTAGTGAGAGATATCGCAGGAACGGGAGGTCGGCCAGCGGCAGCAATGTTGACAGGGACGAGATCGCGTTGTCCGTCAGAGTGAGGGTGACGAGATTCGGGAGCTGGGCGTTAGCTATCGTCGACTGTTCTTCAGCTCACGTTGTTGGGGAGAGAGGGGGAAATGGAGGAGATCTGATTCTCGGCAGCATGGATCGCCTGCAGTCGGTTTGCTAAACGTTAGCGTGTGCCGCACTCTGTAACGTACACTGCGGGATGTTGCCAAGCACCGTGATCGAGTTGTCCGTCAGATTCAGCGTGTCGTACGTTCCCTGGTGAGATCCCAGATTCTCAATGACAGGGATGGCGAGTCCTGTTGCGTCAATTTGAGGAAGGAACCACGCACACAACTCACCTCGCAGCTCCAGCTCTCGCTCCTTCAGAGGATTGAGATGCTGGGAGGTTAGTCTCATCAGGAATATCGTACACTTTGGACACGAACGGATTGCGTTTTGGACATGAACTGCGGATATCGTCAGTGTCTGATCTCATTGTTGTTGACAGGTACTCACCTCGGGAGTGAGACGCATGGCGACTGATGGGCTCTTTCAAGCAGGCGGGGAAGAAGCAACTAGATATACAGTTGGGTTGTTTCAATAGCTCGTACTACAGCTTCTCTGTACAGTCGGTGGTCGCACTGTCGTCTCGTGATCGATGGATGTATGCCTTCCTCCCTGCTTGGTGCCCGACTTCACTAACAACATCGTAATATCTTGGTCGGGGCGTGATGCTAGTGGAGAAGCGTGGCTCTCGCGTGGCAATCACCGGGAGGGACGAGGATGTGGCACTCAAAGGGCACGATCGGTCTCGATCTCGAGCTTAGATTCTCCTAACTCCACTCAGCCGCGCTGCGATGCCTAGGCAGTGGACGATGGCACGAGCCAGCGTGGGGATGCCGTCAAGGTGCTTGTGTGTGCGTGGTAGCATGAGAACGGTGCTTGGTGAACATGATGCATCGGTCACTGTGGGAATCGATGCATGGGATCACGCAGCAGCAATGCGTCTGCATCGCAAATGCTGAACGCGGGTGCAGTCGCGGCGACACGCTACACGTCCACAGGTCTGAGCCTACGCGCTCGCTTCATGTCGCGGTAGAGAGCCGGCGCGCGTGCGCGCGGAGGGCGGCTGGGACGACATCTGATCGCGAGACCTGATACCTGATACCACAGGATACTGGGCCAGGCGAAATTAGGTCCCGCGGATGCAAGTGCTGGCGGGTCGCAGGTGGTCGCGTCTGGTGTCTGGCGTTGGCGTCCGGCCAGGACCAGGTCAAAGCGTGTGGGACGGGGCCCTTGACCCTGAGTGTCCCGCGGGCCAGAGAGGTGATGGTGCATGTCCTGCGCCTTAGGGAGAGCTAGGAGTGCAGGAGTTCCTCTCCCTAGTACCTTGACCTTGCCAGTGTGCCAGCACATCCATAGGCCATCCCTCCTATCCTCCGCGCTCCTCACCCCTCACACACGCTCACTGCACCGCGCGCACCCTTCCTCCCTTCCACCTTCCTTCGCTACCGCGCGTCTGCCTCCATCGTTCCAACTGTCCAACTACTCTCTCCATCTCTTCCACCCCATCTCCTTTCTAACGACTCCACCAACCCCTCCTCCTTAATCCTCCACCTCTCCCCCTCCAAGTCTTTCTTTCTTTCTTTCATCCATCCACCCCCCCACAGCTGCCAGTCATTGAAATGGCCGAGCAGTACGGTTACGAGCCCACCAACGGTGCTACCCCGGAGCCCGTCGACGTTCCTTCCGCCGAGCCTTCCCCCGACCACCATGAGGTCGCCTACCTCAACGGCAACGGCTCTGCCGGCGCCGACATCTCCACCAACGGCATCCCCACCCCCGTCGTCGTCCGCAAGACCTTAAGCTCATGGGTCGGTTTCTCCAACCTCCCCAACCAGGTCCACCGTCGCAGTGTCCGGTACGTACCTTTTTAAAGCTCGAATCGCACACACAGCAATGGCACCATGGGCAAATCACATCTCATGCCTCACGGCTGTTCATTGCGATGATGATCGTCGTCCGCACACAGTAGGCTAACCACTAATGCAGTCGAGGATTCCAGTTCGTCGCCATGGTTGTCGGTAAGTCAAAACGGAGCGGTCGGACCCCGCGTGGCCCATAGTGGTAAAAGGTCTGTGCTGACAGTGCGCGCAGGCGAGTCGGGTCTCGGCAAGTCGACGCTCATCAACACTCTTTTCGAGACCAAGCTCTACCAGCCCAAGGTCATCCCCGAGCCCGGAACGGACCGTGGCAAGACTGTCAACATCGAGTCCATCAGCGCTGGTGAGTGCGGAATGCGGGCGGGCGTTCGGAGGCCTAGCACGCGCACACCCCACCCACACACGTACTGACTGCAACACAGAGATCGAGGAGAACGGCGTCCGTCTTAAGCTCACTGTCGTCGACACTCCTGGTTTCGGCGACTTCGTTAACAACGACGAGTGGTGCGTCATAACAATGCGTTCACCGACAGCAGACTGACAATACAGCTGGAAGCCCATCGTCGACAACATCGAGGCCCGTTATGACGCCTACCTTGAGCAGGAGAACCGCGTCAACCGCCTCAAGATGACCGACAACCGTATCCACGCCTGCATCTACTTCATTCAGCCCACTGGTCACGCGTAAGTGTTTCTCGGGCCTTCCTTAATCGAAAAGCAGCCACTGACTCGCCACAGCCTGAAGCCCATCGACATCGAATTCATGAAGCGCTTGCACACCAAGGTCAACCTGATCCCTGTTATTGCCAAGGCCGACACCCTTACCGAGGAAGAGGTCGAGCTTTTCAAGCGGAGGGTGCTGTCTGACATTCACCACCACGGTATCCGCATCTTCGAGCCCCCTCAGTACGAGCGCGACGATGAGGAGACTCAGCAGGAGAACCAGGAGATCATCAGCAAGATTCCCTTTGCTGTTGTCGGCTCCGACCAGGTTGTCCAGGCTCCCGACGGACGCAGCGTTCGTGGCCGTTCGTACCCTTGGGGTGTCATCGAGGTCGACAACGAGACCCACTGCGACTTTGTCAAGCTTCGCCAGATGCTCGTCCGCACGCACATGGAGGAGCTCCGTGAGCACACGAACGACGTTCTCTACGAGAACTACCGTACCGAGAAGCTCCGCGCCATGGGTGTCACGCAGGACGAGTCGGTCTTCAAGGAGACCAACCCGGCGGCCAAGCAGGCCGAGGAGCGCGCCATGCACGAGGCCAAGCTGGCCAAGATGGAGGCGGAGATGAAGATGGTCTTCCAGCAGAAGGTCCAGGAGAAGGAGCAGAAGCTCAAGCAGTCGGAAGAGGAGCTCTACGCTCGTCACCGCGAGATGAAGGAGGCTCTCGAGAAGCAGCGTCTCGAGCTCGAGGACAAGAAGAGGCGTCTCGAGAGCGGCCGCCCACTCACGCCCGAGAAGGGCACCAAAAAGCGCTTCGGTCTGGGCAAGTAAGCTCACCACTGTCAAAGCCATGTAGACTCCTCCATTCTCGTACACTCCCGGTAGTCGGACATAATGGGCCAAAGGTAATTTGGCTGTCTCGTTTGCTCTCTTTCCTCTCTCACTCTCCTCACTCTGATATCAGCTCTTTCACCCCCTTTTTACCTCTCCTTATCTTTGTCCAGCGTGGCGCGTCCTCCGCCGCTGAGCATGGGGACTGGCAGGCTAGCTACCGTCGTCGCCGTCTTTTATATATAAATATACCCCGGGTCTTCTGCGACCAAACCCACTCGCGCCTAACGACCTTTCCTTAACTTTTTACCTCTATGACTACCCAGCGAGCTGGTCGAAATGCACATAACGTATGATTGAGCCGTTGTCACCTGGAAGGGTGAGCAAAAGGATGCATCGTGTTTCCGGTTCAATGACCTTTGGGTAAGAGTCAGAAAAAGTCAGCGGGCCCAGCGCTCGGTTTGGAGGTTGCAGAAGTTTGGGAGCAGCAAAACTGAAACGCTGAAACGCGCGCGTGCTGCTGGCATGGACGTGTCCACGCGTGTTTTGCCAAAGAGGGAAAGGAAGGGAGTGCAGCCAGGAACGGCAGCGTGGGGGGAGTACGTACTGCTGTGTGGTTAGAGTTATTGGGATACAGGATAGGATCTCTGGTTGGGAATTGCCAGGATGGGCAAGTCGTTGCCGCAAGTTGCGATCCTCACTGACAGTTCCAGTCATGCGGACGATGAGGACATGAGGATCGTGATCAGTCGCTGACACTGACGTAGCAACTCGCGACGTGAGTAGCACGGTAGACGCAAACAAGTAAATCACTGCGGGGCAGAGTTGGTAGGTAATTCTGTACATGCAAATGATTAAACACAGGTAGGTAGCTGGGTATGAAACTTTGTACACAGTGAGCCAGGAGATCTTGGAGAAGGAAACGCGCGAGAGATCTATCCGATGTATCCGTATAACTCGTCCTCCTTCTCGTCGTACTTTTCGTCGTCCTTCTCGTCGTCCTTTCCGTCCTCGTCGTCGTACTCGTCGTCGTCCATGCGCTGCAGCCCCTCTCCCTGTGAGATACGCTTGAGGACTTCCTGGTTGATACGGGTCGAGAATTTCTTCTGCGTCGCAAACGCCTCCATCGCAGCATGTGTCGAGACATAGGGCCCTTTCTGCTTCTCGGCATTTGACTTGCGCTTCTTCTTTTTCGGAGGGGGCTTGTTCGGATCAATCCCGTGCTGCCGGTTGTACTCTGCCTTGCGCTCCTGGCGCTCCTTGTCCTCCTCGAGCCACTTGCCGTTGTGCGAGAGCCACATGCGCGCGCGCGTCTGTCGCTCATCCTCGCTCATCACCCAGTACTTGTCCAGCTCGTCGTCGTCGAGGTCGTCAAACTCGTCCTCCCTGTGATGCTTTGCGAACCACTCGCGCTCGTTGCGCGCCCACACCACGCGCCGCATCTCGTTCACGACCTCGGTCGGGTCGCGCCCCTTCACCCATGCGTCGATCTTCTGCCGCAGCGCCGCAGAGTTGCCGGCGTACAGCAGGTCCTCGGACGTGAAGATATACTTTTCGCAGTAGGCGTAGAGCGCCTCCTTGTCCTTGAAGTCGGGCGGCGCGGGCAGATCCTTAAGCGGGTTGAACGCCGGTGCGACTTCAGCAAGGACGGACCCCTCGCCGGCCTCATCCTCCTTCGAGTCCTGGCCGGGTGCGTCGTTGTCTGCTGCCATCTCCTGCAGCTCCTCCTCGTCGGCCTCCTCGCCATCCGCCTCCTTCAGCGACGCCATGAGCATCCTGCGCTCGCGTTTGCGGTCCGCGATAGCCTCCTCCGTGTTGTCGCCCGCGTCCTGGATGTCCTTAACGTAGTCCTCCTTGGCGAGGGGCTCCATGCCCTCGTCGGCCTCGTCGGCGCCAGTGCTCTCGATGTCGACGCCCTTGGCGACGGCCTGGATCGCATTCGTCGTGTCGTCCGACGCTTGCGACAGCTTGGAGCGTTTGCGCGGCGAGGACGGGGTAGACGCGCGCGAGTCATCGTCGGCAGTCTCGCTCCGCTCCCGCTTCACCCTCTGCGCGGCCATCTTGGCCAGCTGCTTCTTCATGATCGGGGGAAGCTCGTCGGCGTTCTCCGCCTCGAGGTCCGCATCCGTGAGCGCGCGCCACTCCTCGACCGTCTTGTTCGCCGCCGCCGTGCCCGCGAATTCGACCAAACGCTTCTTGATCGTCAAGGGGGACACTTTCACGACCTGCGCAACCTCCTCTGGTGTGCGGAGGAAGTCGCTCATGCGTGCGGCAATCACAAGACATGCGCCACAGATACCCGCTGGCCGACGACCGGCCGTCATCCAGTCCGCCTTGAAGCGCTTGATAAGCCTGGACGCATCGCGCGCAACAGTCGCGGACGCGGCTCCAAAGTCGAGACGGTTTGCGAAACGGATATTGTACACGGCAGGGTCGATCTCGGGGAGGATCTGGTCCAGGTTCAGACAACTTCGCAGTTTCAGATACGTCGCGCCGAGCTCGTAGACATTGATCTGGACTGTCAGATAGGAGCGAAGAGGTTTAGCTTACCTGTAGACGCTCCGAGAAGTCGATCAGCATCAACGCATCTTTCTCAAACCTGCTGTACAGGTAGATGCACGACGCGACAACAAAGTCTGTCCGTCGGCCGCGGTTGAACTTGTTGTCGACGGCGAGCGAGTAGAAGCGTTGCGCACCACGTTGCACAGACGGCGCAATGCCCATCTGGTTGCAGATCAGCTGAATGCGCTTGCGCCCTTCCTCCTTGATGTTCTCGGACGACACTCCACGGTTGCTGTTAATACCGGCTGGGAAAGGTCAGCTGAGACCGACCACCTCCTAGCTGTACTCACTGCTGTTGTGCGAGACGAACGTTCCCTGTACATGGACTCTACCGCCGGCGCCCTCGCTAAATCCGATCTCAGAGACGAGGATACCCTGCTCGACTTCGATACCACAGTCCTGACACCTGGGGGCGTCAGCACGGGCGCACGTGAGGGGGCATGGACGTCCCAGACGACTTGTGCGTAACGACTCACACTACATTTCCAGCCGAGTAGTCCGTCTGCAAGTTCTTAGACTTGCACCCGGGGCAGACCTTCTGCAGAGCATGTCAGCAAAAAGGAGCGAGCAAGCCGGTGGCTGGTTCACGTACAACTGCCATGGTGGTCAGGTAGGGCTGTCGGCTAGGGTGGAGGAAGACTTTTGCGTGAAGTTGAGGAGTGCTGAGATGTCGCTTGACCGACTGTTGTTGACAACCCGCTCTGTGCGCAGCTTTCTTTGCTGAATTGTTTCCAGGTCGAGGCGATAAGATAGAGGCCGGATATCAGAAGTGCCAGAGATAGATGGGTCGAGATAATGGGAGGGCAGGTGAGCTGAGCGAAGGACGGAGGAGAGAAAACGGTGCGAAATCTCGGGCGCTGACCGGTGGCGGCGAGGAGAGTCGAACGCCCATCCCTAGGGAGATTTAGCTCCGCTCCTTGATTCTTCATGCAAGGCCTTTGTTGTCATTTGAACAACGCGTGGGGGCGTCGATTATTTGGTGCGAATACTCCCGCCTCCACCTTCAATTAGGAACGCGCCGAACATTACCAAGTGACAGCCCACGCGATCAGTGCATGGTGGTAACTTGTTGATCTTCGAGCCCAATTACTTCACTGTCTCGCGTCCTCCACATTACTCATTCACCAAAAGGGAGGGCTCACTGTGCTCTCATCATCAACTCTCGTCCCTTGTCATCCACCGCAATCGCAATGGGACGCTTATCGCACACTGAGGCTCTCCTCGGCCCAGAGCTCTTCAAGAAGGTCCGCACTACTCCGATCCTGGTCGTTGGCGCGGGTGGCATTGGTTGTGAGCTGCGTGAGTGATAGCTTTGCGGCGCCTCTTAATGATCGAAGCTGACAATGCTCAGTGAAGAACCTCGTTCTGGTCGGATTCAGCAATATCGAGATCGTACGTGTCTGTGACATGCGAGGCGATGATGGCGTGCCCTCACTTGGACTACTGGTTGCTCACGTCACAGATTGACCTCGACACCATCGATCTGTCGAATCTCAACCGCCAGTTCCTCTTCCGCAAGCCGGACATCTCCAAGTCGAAGGCTCTCGTGGCTGCGGCTACGGCTCGCCACTTCAACCCCTCGTCGGGCATCGAAATCCACGCCCGCCATGGAAACGTCAAGGAGGCGTCGAATGACATCGAATGGATCTCCAAGTTCGGTCTCGTGATGAACGCCCTCGACAACATGGGTGTGTACCCCTGGAAAGCGACCTAGCAAGCTGACGCCAGACGCAAGGAGGCATGTCAACAAGCTGTGCCAGGCGGCCAATGTACCCCTCGTCGAGTCCGGTACGGCGGGATACCTGGGACAGGCGACGCCTATTGTTCACGTACGGTGCACCCTGCAGAAGAAAGCTGACCATCAGGACAAAACCGAGTGCTACGACTGCGTGTACAAGCCTGCCCCCAAGTCGTTCCCGGTATGCACTATCCGCTCCACCCCGAGCGAGCCTATCCACTGCATAGTCTGGGGCAAGAGCTACCTCTTTGGCAAGCTCTTTGGAGAGGACGACGAGGCTGTGGACGAGGCGGAGCTCGACAAGGCAAAGGAGGAAGGCGAGAATGGTGAGGTGATCGCGTAGATTGTCAGCTAACTTGCTAGCGGAGGAGATCGAGAATCTGAAGAAGGAGGCTGCCGCGTTCCGAGAGGTGCGCCGTTTGCTCGGCGAAGAAGACGGACCGCAGCGAGTCTTCCGCAAGGTCAGCTGCTGTTGGCGGAATTTGTTAGCTGACGTCAGGTATTCCACGATGACATTAACCGTCTTCTGGCCATGGAGGACATGTGGAAGGTTCCGGGACGCGTCAAGCCAGTGCCTCTGGACTATGATGAAATCATGGATGGCACTTTCGTAGCGCCGCCCCCTCGCGCGCCTGCTCAAGCTGCCCCTGCTGCCAGCACCGCCAATGGTGCTACGACGTCCGCGAAGCTGAAGGATCAGAAGGAGCTCTCGCTGAAGGAGAACCTCGAACTCTTCATCGACAGCTGCAAGCGTCTGTCGGCTCGCGCCATCGCCAACCCGGATGTCATCCTGTCTTTCGACAAGGACGATGATGACACCCTGGATTTCGTTCTCGCTGTCGCGAACCTCCGTGCAACCGCTTATGGCATTCCCACTCGCACTCGATTCCAGGTCAAGGGTAAGCTCATTGTCTTTCGTGGCAGCTGACTCCGCAGAGATCGCTGGTAATATCATCCCGGCCATTGCCACAACCAACGCTGTTATTGCTGGCATGGTCGTCATGCAGGCGCTGCAGCTGCTGGTTCGCAACGAGTCGACTGTCTACAAGCGTCACTACCTCGGTCCTATTCCTATCAAGCCCATTGGCAACGAGACCGCGGAGGGCCCGAATCCGAACTGCTCTGTCTGTCGTGATATCTATATCCCCTTCAAGGTCGACGTCAACAAGTGCACTCTTGGCGAGTTTGTCAACGAGGTCGTCAAGAAGTGGCTGGTTCCCGGGCTGTCGGGCGATGATGACGAGCTGGAAGCCAGTATTCTTGAGGGTGGTCGGATTCTCGCCGACCCGGACTTCGAGGACAACTTTGAGAAGACACTGGCGGAGCTCGGCCTGGAGCGGAACAAGATGATCACGGTTCTCGACGAGGACGACAAGTACCGACCAATCCAGTTCTGTATTCTGGAGCCGTGAGTTCGCTTACGTTTACCTGAACTAACGAACAGGAGTTCGGATGCGCAGGGCAACTACTCTCTGCCGGAGCAGCCTCCTACGATTCCGGAGCGACCGCCGAAGGCGAAGGAGGATGCCGAGTCAGAGGACGAGGACGACATCGCGGTGCTGACTGCCCCGCCATCGAAGTTCCCGTCGCCTGCACCCGAGGGGCAGACCATCAAGCGCAAGCGTTCGGCTGCCGAGGGAGAGGAGGTTCCGGCGAAGAAGACGCGAACGGGCGCGGGTGCGGAGGACGCCATCGAGCTCGATTAGGGCATAAATATCTATGTAGAATATACAACACAATATAGCATCTCATGACTTCTGATCTCGTCTATTGTACCCACTCAGCGGCGGTCTATTGTGGGCGGCCTGACTCCCACTGCAGACCGTCGATCCTGCTGGCGCAGTTCTGCATGACCTTCATGGCGTCCTGGAAGTTGAGCTCTCCGCGCTGAGCAACGGGGTTCAGCGGGCGGGCGGGTTGCAGCTGGACGAGGAAGGGTTCTGTCGACTGGGCAGTGGGCTTCTCGTCTGGTCCGAAAACACGCGTGATCGTGAGGTGCAGAGTCGATGCGTGGCCAGGGATCGGCATGTGGAACAAGTGTCCCATCCTCGAGATCGTGTGGGTGTGCCTGCTGTCAGCTAACTATCGGACAGCCTTGAGCCAAACATACTTGAAACCCATCGTCTCGATAAACTCCTCGATCTCCTCGCGGGTGCTCAGTCCCATGGTCTCAAGACCAGTCTGCGCTCGCACCATCATGTCCTGGTACTCGCGACCGTTCAACGGATTGCTGACCCAAGTCATCGAGTACTCCCACGTCTCCTGCGGGACACTCGTCTCAACAGCCGTCCATCGCGGCTGGGGCGCCGTTCGGCGCTTCTTCAGTCTCCGGGCTCGCAACCGCAGGACTCGGGTCTGATTCGGGATCACGGGGTTGGTCGCGGCGTAGAAGTCGTCTCGGATGTGATACGGCTCGGTGTGGAGACACTGAAGGCTGATGCGGGCGACATAGAGCTCTAGGTTCTCTGCAGGTAGCAGAGCGAAGAGACTCGGCACGAGCTGCGCCTGGTTCGACATGATGGATGGAGATGCGAGATGTCAACAATACTGAGCCCTTGCTCACTGTACTGAACGCCGTTCCTGCCTATCGTTGACCTCACGACGAAAGTGGAGGTGCGGAATCAAAAAGTCTATGGTGTTCTACTCAGAGGTGGCGACGATGTCATAGTTGGCTCCAGACTGTCCACCATGCTGCGTACTCTGGGAACCAGACTGCCCAGGAGGCTGCCGACGCTCCAGTCGGCGGCTTTCCGGCCGCTGTCTGTTTCGGCGCCGAGATTCGACCTCAAGAAGCCCGAGGACATCGAGGAGCTTATCGCGCCCCGGGAAAGGGTCGAGAAACTCCGGAAAGAGATGGAGGCCAAGTACGGCGACAAGCTGAAGAACAAGGTCAAGGCGTGAGTGCTATCTATGCTCGTCTTAGCTAACTTCAGCGAGGGACTCAACAGCCTCGACCAGCTGAAGCAGAAGGTCCAGGCGCCGAGCGTCCAGGCCAAGCTCAAGGCGAAGAAGTACGCCGAGGAGGAGGCTAAGCGCGCGGAGGAGCTGCGCAAGGCTTCCGCCGCCGAGGCCGAGCAGAACGCTGCGGACGAGGCTGCCAACCGTGAGGAGCGCATTCAGGAGCGACAGCGTCAGGCGCAGGCCGCCGGCGACCGCTCCGGAGTCAAGCCCCTCGCCTCGATCATCAACATGCCCCTCCTCCTCATGACGCCTCACACGAAGGAGCAGATTGGCAGCATCTGGAACGCCTACCACACGACGCACAAGACGCTCGCTCCCTCGTATCTCTCGGCTTGTCTTCCGTTGTCGACGTACGAGAGCATGATCGCCGTCGCGAAGCAGCACCCGCAGTTCGTCCTTCCCCTTCCCCGTCAGGGTGAGGACGGCAAGGAGGGCTGGGAAATGTTCTTCATGCAGTGGCTGTTCCACCAGACGCCTTCCTCACCTCCGACTGCCGACAAGAAGGGCAACGAACCCCTTCCCCCTATTGCCAGCGTCATCTTCACCCCCCTCGAGGAGTTCAAGGTCGCGGGCGAGTGGGCTCAGCCGTACCTCACCCTCACCTTCTACCCGGACTTTGGCAAGACCCACGATCTGGTGCTGATGCGTGGCGAGATCGCCGCGCACTCGACGAACGGCCCGCCCGAGGCGAAGAACAACCCCGGCTTCCTCCTCGGCCAGCAGGAGGCGCAGCTCCTCGCCATGGCGCTGCAGCGCTTCTACTGCTCCGAGCTGGAGCCGCCGAGCGAGGTCAGCATCGACAAGGACAACCGCCTTGCGCGCCGCCAGACGCTCAAGGACTTTGTCGAGCGCCCCGAGGAGTGGAACTGGCAGAACCTCATCGACCAGGCGTACAGCGCATAGATAGATCAGAAGTGTAATGCATCGAATCGACAACACCCGCCGGCATTCAGGTGATCCATGTGTTCGGCGACCATAGCGCAGAACGCAGAGCATGGCGCCCTTACTGTGACGCGCCTACATTGCGTGCTGATGCGCCTCACGCGTCGCATTAGCTTTTCTTACTCACTTCGGCAATCTAAAATCTAATTGGACGTGACTTGATTAGAGACTGTATTTACATTTACTCCCCTTCCGCCAGGGCAGGCTGTCATTCCGCGTCCCAACATCCCAAGCACTGAAAGTCGCGAGACTGCGAGGTAGTCGCCGCTCACCACTTTGGAGTTGCATCATCAACAAACACATTGACTGTCACCACACCCGCCGCTCAGTCCATGGACCAGGACCATGCCCAACACTCCGGATCCACCTCCGGAAGCGGGTCCTTCCAGACAGGCCGGTCCATCCAAACACCCCTATGGAAGCAAGCTGCCCTATTCGCCCAGCGACGATGAGCTCGAGAGCGAACCTTCAGACGGAGAGTGGTCTGATGAGGAGTTTGAGGTCGGTGAGTAATACCCACTAGGTCTCGAGCGAGCACTGACGACGCAGACGCCATCAAGTGGGCAAAGTACATGGACTCGAGGAGGACGCGTCAGGACGGTTGGAGAGGTTGGCATTATGGTGTCATGGTAAGTGACGGAACGCAGAACAAGCTGACATGCAGTGGAAGAACTACCTCAAGAGTGGCTCAGACACGTAAGGTGTGAGCTGAATTGTTGCTAACCACGGACAGTGTCGAGGGCTACAAGCAGTTCTTGGACGAAAATGACCGAGCCCCGCTCTTGAAGGAGTGAGTGTGAACATCCGGCACGAATGCTGATCCCGTCAGATTCTGGACCGCGAATGGCATCAAGGTTCTAAACGTCGAGCCCGCGGGGAACAAGATGTCCAAGAAGGAGTGGGATTGTGACGACAGCTTAATGGGTGGGTTAAGGCAGCCTTCGACAACTGACACTGTGCAGCGCGACGTCTTAAGGAGACAAACCCGCGTCGTGACTTTGCTGCGTTCAAACGTCGGCAGAAGGCTGAGAAGGAAGGCCGTCCGATACGAAAAGGAGACTCCGACTACTACATCCGCAAGAAACGGCTTGCTGCCAAGGCTAAGCGCAAGGCGGAAGAGGAGGCAGGGCTGCGACCTCCGACCGCGAAGAGCAAGAGCAAGGATGCGAGCGCCAAGGCTGCTGCGGCGAAGGGGAAGCAGAAGCGGGTTGTGGAGAGTGAAAGCAGCAGTGAAGAGGAGCCACTCAGTGCATCGGCCCCTCTAGCTGCGAATGCGCGCTTGCGCGAGTTGGAGCGGCGGCGTTCCAGTGACGCCGGCAAGTCTCCGGGGGAGGCGAAGAATGCGGCCAAGTCGAAAGACTCGTCGCCGCAGTCCATGCCTCCGCCGCCGGTACCTGCGTCCTCCAGAACGGTACCGCCGATCCAGACATCGCGACCATCACCCGCTCCGTCTTTCGACTCCTTATTCGACGATGGTCCTGCTAGCCAGGGAACGCCCACGAAACGGCTACCTTCCGCTTCACCCGCCAAGTCTGCTACGCCGAGCGCTCCGAAGACAGCGAGTCCCACAAAGAACGCAGGAGGAGCTTCCATCTTCGAGGCCGACCCGAACGTTTTTGGCCCGGATCCTACCATCTTCGAAGTCCCCTCATCCCCACCAGAAGAATTCCCGCCCACGCCTGCCGGCGACGCTCCGACTCCGCTCTTCGCACCTGGTCCTAGCCAATTTTCTTACGACACCCCGACACCGGCTCCCTTTGACAACGGCGATGCCGACGACGCTATGGACGTGGAGGACGCCCTGTTGGCGTCACCTAACACCGAGTCCCCAGCACTCGGTGTGCAAGATGTCAAGCCAACAGTGCCTGAGGTCATGAAGACGCCTGCCAAGACGGACACTCGCAGTTCGTCTCCCATGGTCATCGATTCGCCCGACTCAGACGCAGGAAAGAAGGACAGCTTGGCTCCTCCAGACCTCGTAGTCATCTCCGCTACACCGGGAAATTCTCAGGCTAGCAGAGCTCCCTCATCCTCTCCGCCAGGATCGCCCGGGCGCCAGCTCTCTGTCCCCGGTGGGCCAGCTCAAGCAGCTACGACGTCGTCGACAGATCCAGCTCCCAAAGTCTCGGACACGACCACCAAACCTATGCCGGCAGTCACACCGTCAACTACGGTTCAAGCTACACCCGCCGCGGACAAGCCCTCTGAGCCCCCAGCGGTGATCCAGCCTCCGCAGAAGCCAGCGGACAAGCTTCCCCCAGCAAAGCGACCGAGATATGAGCAGCCGAAACGAATCGTCACCATCGACACGCCAGTGGACACGAACAGGTTCAAGTCCCTGAAGAACATGTCGTTCAAGAAGAACCCCACTGCGACGACGGCGACCGTCAGTTCCACTGCACCGCCGCCTCCCGAACCAGTGCCCTCTGGACCTCAGGCTGGGGTCGGCACGGGAACAAACCTCCGGTCGTGGGCACCTGCGCCAGCCCCGCCCTTCGGTCTCAGGCAGGTGGGAACCGCACCAAGCCAGCCTGCGCCTGTACACAGATTACCCGCCAGGCCTCAAGTGACCACTGCTGCCGACAACATTCACCCTAGCAGACGGCCTAACGTGCCTACGGCACCAGCTCCGAGAACAGGGATCCACTCGTACGGGACAGGCAACGGATCACCGTTGCCAGGGGCCAACGGTGGCAGGTCACCGTATGGTAATCGCTCGCCATATGGTGGCAATCGTTCTCCACTCGAGGGCAATCGTTCTCCCGTAGCAACGAACGGAAACAAGTCTCCTGTGTGGGCTGGCGGCGGAGGTGTATCACCCATCATGCCGCAAGGTGGTACATCACCGCTGTACAACATTCCGCAAACGGGACAGCCGTCGCAAGCCGGGTATCAACAGTTCCAACAACCTCCTGCGTTCATGCCCCCTATCCACCAGCAGATGGCGCAGATCCCGACGGCAGTGTACGAGGCCCAGAAGGATCCCAGGCGGCGTGCTCGGCAGGCTCAAACAGCGATAGCCAGCCCTGTGCCCAGTGCAGCTGCTCTGAAACCCATCTGCTCAGCGCAGGTTTGCTTTCCCGATCAGCGAAACGTCGTCCGACCTCTTGCCGTCAACCTCCTGGCAGGCGCAACGAAGAACCCCCATGGCCATTACCTGCTCAGTAAGCTTCCGGAGCTTAGTAAGCTGCCGGACCGTCAAGAGCAAGGTCCTCCTCAGTTCACCGCCATGGATTGTAGGTGCATCGATCTCCTGCTGAACCAGGGTGGTTCGATTAGTGAGTGGTGTATGGCCGGTCCCTCAGCGAACAATTCGACAGAGCAGGTCGCAGTCTGGAACTTTGCTGCTGGTTACATGGCCGCCCGCGGCAAGCTTTTCGTTGCGTCCGACGAGCTGGTTCCGACTTGGCCGATCAGTACGAGGGATTTCATCATGTTCTGCGAGGCGTCGCGGGTAGACGTGAGCAAACTGCAGGGGTCGGTCCAGCCCCAGAAGAACCAGATCCTGGCGCTGGTCTTGTCCATCCCGTTGAACTCGCACCCCGTGCGCTCGCTTCCGAACCCCGTACGCCCCGACTTCACCGTGGGTGAAATTAAGTCGACGGTACCACCAGAGTTACCCTTCCGGCCTCAGAACCTTGCCGATAGCTACGGCATTGATGGCGATGGGCTCGGAAAGCTGAAGGGGTCGATCCAGGTGTATCCCAGCGTAAGGAACGAGCTGTACAGGGATACGCTCGCGAACATCAAGAAGGCTGGCCTGAAACCACCCGCGGGCTCCGAAGCAGGCTCCAACATTCTGCTTTTCAATGCGCACTGGGGACAGATCGTGCGATCAGGGAGCGTGGCCAAAGGCATGGAGGACAACTCCAAGTTCTACATTGCTGGTCCTGACCTGACTCTACCCGCCGATCAGTGGTTGCTGCATCCCATCTGGGAGACTGGTGGCCTAGTGACCTTTTCGCCTACTCTGATTCTTTCGGATCCCGTCAAATTCAAGGAAACTCTTGACTTCATCGCGAATGTCAAGGGCTGGGTCGCGTACGTTCACCCATCGACGGTCATGTGGTGTCAAGAGTCGTGGGGCAACAAGGCGCGATGCCCCAACCCGTCCGTCGCTTTCGAGACCTTTGTCTCCTCGCTCTTCACGGAAGACAAGGTTCGGAAGCTCGCTGGAACGCTGCCACCGGATGCTGGAGGCCTGGCGGTATCCCATGCGCCCCCTTCCCTTCCGCGCAAGGGGGACTGCAACAAATGGCTGAGCTGGCTGCGAAAGGTGTTCGAGAGCTCCAACTACGAGGAACTTGTTCCGTTGTGCAAGGAGGCACACACTGCCCAGCAAGCCATGATGTACCCCAACCTCGGCGAGAACGACGCAATGCGACTTTCGACTGTCGAAGAGATCGGCCTGCGCGACCTGATTGCTATGCGTGAGCGCCCCGATCTGCTACCCTACCGAAGGTATATTTATGTCGGAGGCTTATCAAAGTCACCACCAGACTTGATCCGATCGGTGAGTTTCAAGGGCAAAGCGGAGCTGATCAATCCACAGGTTCAGCACGTCCAGGTCGACAACTTTGCGGCGGTGCTGAGTGGAGCTGTTTGAGTGTGTTTGCATAAAGCTGGTGAGTCCCTCGGCGATGATGGTTATAAGTAAAAGGTGTGAAGCCGTTACCCGCCTTGCAAACGTCTATATGCAGCCGACGTGCACGAGTCCAAGCACGCGCGGTGTAAAAGGCGGACGGACAACATATGGCTTGGATTATAGATGGCGCTGCCGTTGAGCTTGGCAGAGCCGTAAAGGCCCGAGCTAACAGGATGGGCGGCTTGGCCTAAAGTTGCCCGCCCTCATGGGTTTCGAGGCCTGATTGCGGGGGCGAGAGTGCTCAGCAACCGCAAGGAATCCGCGAGGGAAAGCAGAGAAAGCGCCGTTTCAACATTGTGTCTGAAGTTCCTGACGCAGTGTGAGGATTGGCTGCTGAAAGGCCGCAGCTTCTTGACAGTTTCAGGCTGTCTAGGAGCTGACTTGTGGGGACTCCGGTCTCCAGGAGGAAGGCCATCACCAAAGGGCAGGGTTGGCACGGATCGCAAAACAACTTACTGAGCCGACGGGACTGACACATGCAGATTATCGAATCCTTGCCCAACGCGGCCGAAAGCCTGTAACCAACGATGGTCTTGTAGTAAAGCTTTGACCGAGGTCGGGCGTTGTTGTACACATTAAGAGTATGGAGTAACCGTGTTGGATAAAGATGTCGGTGGCCAGAGCGAGTGCGAGGGCATCGGCGGGGTTGGAAATGATGGCAGACGCAGAGGACAGAGTGCTGGGCCGATTCCACGGGTGGACGGAAAAACAAGGCGGAGTGACAGCCCAATGGAGGATGTGATTCGTCGGTGTGATCTTGATAGCAGCAACATTCCTCGGCAAAAGATTCAGCCTTGGAGAGGGCGCGGGCTGGGCGCTGTAGTCCGTCCATGTGGACTCGCGTTGCCGCGTGCAATTTCCAAATTGGCGGCTGCACAATCTCCTATCGGCCAGGGCCGGATCGTGCGGCACACCGCCCCCCCGGCTTGACTGACCTGACCGGCCTGACCGCGGCCCTGCCACAGACTCCAGTGCTCCAGTCATCTCCCGGGACGGCACTATCACAAGCGAAATCTTCGAAATACATGTTGCGCAATCGATGGGCCAGGCGAGCTTGGCGTATCACCATGGTCGGAACATGCACCGTACGGTACTGCGTAGGTCACCGCAGGGACCTCTATTCGTACCCGCCGGCTGACCGAGATCTCGCCCTCCTTGCTTGGGCTTTTCTGGGCAAGAGTAATCAACCTCCACCCAGTCGACTCATCATCCCAGATGTCCGGAAATTCACCACCCACCCACCTCCACTTTTTCAACCCACATTAAAATCCGACATGACCCTCCGCCCACCCGGATCCTGGCCCCTCATACTCTCCCCCACCTCTTGACCGGGAGGTCAACATTGCTCTTACCACTTCTCGCGGCGCTCTGCGTTTAGAGCAGTAGATAACCTAGACTTCTACAGTCACTTTCGTCTATCTCTCTTTTCCGACTGTTCGACATCCCGACGACGAGAGCACACGACTAAGACTCTCTTAATCCGATAGGACGAGCGGCGAAAAGTATAGTTACTCCGCAATCTTTCGTCCGCACTTTAGTATAATCAACAGAATCTTTTAGACGGCTCCGAGCCACCCCACACATATCCGCAGCAAGATGGGCGGAGAGCGCGACTACGACTTTGAGGAGAAGGGCGGCGCCGTCAACGGCTACCCGCCGTCGGACGGGTACATGCGCGAGGACGAGAGCGTCGCGTCGCAGCCGCCGATGAAGCAGTACAAGGGCGTGAAGGGGCGGGTAGAGCAGGGCATGGACTTTCTCGTCAAGCACGGCGTCGAGGAGCGCGGTATTCAGCCGCTGCCCGAGACCGTGAGTACTCCCACAGCTGATTGACCGAGGCTAAGCTGACATGATCAGGAGCGCGAGCCGAACCTCAACTTCTTCAGCTACGTTCGACAGGCGATCCTGTGGGCGGGCATGAACACGAACATTCTCACGTTCTCCGAAGGCATGACTGGCCCGGGTATCTTTGCGCTCGACCTCAAGACGTCGGTCGGTGTCATCCTCGGCTTCAACGCGGTCATGTGCATCTTCCCGGCGTATGTCGCGACCAACGGCCCCAAGACGGGCATGCGCCAGATGATCCAGGCGCGCTACGGCATGGGCTACTTTGGTGCCATGGTCATCGGCCTCGCCAACGTCCTCACCCTCCTAGGATATCTCTCGCTCACGAGCATCCTCGGCGGACAGTGCCTTTCCATGGCATCTGGCTCTGACATGTCCTGGACCGTTGGCATCATTGTCCTCGCCGTTATTGGTCTGTGCATGTCCTTCATCGGCCTGAGGGCGCTGCACATCCTCGCGTTCACCTTTGTCCCCGTCGTTGTGCTCCTATACATCGTCCTCATCGGTGTCACCGGCAGCAGGCTCCACTACGCCGTGAACGAGACGGCCCAGGCGGCAGCCAAGGTGACTGCCTCTGGCGTGCTGGGCTTCTGCGCGTCGCAAGTCGGCTTCACGGCCTCGTACTCCGGCATCGCGTCCGACTTCACGACGCACTTCCCGGCCTCGACGCCGCGTCTCCCCCTCTTCCTGGCCGTGTACTGTGGTCTCTTCATCCCCATCGTCCTGATCCAGATCTTCGGCGCGGCCTGCCAGGCCGCCGCCTTCAGCATCCCGACCTGGAAGGGCGCGGCGGAGATTGGCGCCCCCGACCTCCTCTTCCAGATGTCCGGCGGCGGGGGCGGGGCCAAGTTTGTCATGGTTCTCTTCTGCCTCAGTGTCGTCACCAACGTCGCCACGACCATCTACTCGGCCGGTCTGTCGGGCCAGATCGTCCTCCCCTTCCTCATCAAGGTGCCCCGCTACTTCCTCGCCATCATCGTCACTGCGATCTACCTCCCGATCGCCATTGTGGGCAGCGACCACTTCTTCGACATTCTGCGCAACTTCCTCGCCGTGCTCGGATACTGGACTGCGCTCTACCTCCCGCCCGCCATTATTGAGCCGCTCATCTTCCGCTCCCCCGTCAGCAACATCACCTACCCCGTCGAGATCTGGAACAAGATCTCCAAGCTCCCCATCGGTCTTGCGTTCCTGTTCAGCACCTGTGTTGTGAGTACATCCTTGTACCGGCTAGAAGCTGGCCGGTCGTGCACGAGCTCCTGTCGCCCAAAGCGCAGGGACATGGCGCGGCCGCCACCGCTCAAGCCTCAATCACGTGTTGTGCCAAGCTGACGCCCAGGGCATCCCCGTCGTCGCCTGCGCCATGGCCACGACCTGGTGGGAGGGCTGGATCGCGCGCGCGATTCCCGGTGGTGACGCGTAAGTCTCTCCTATCCCCTCTTCTTTTGCACAAGCTGACAATACAGCGGCGACCTCGCGTTCGAGATTGCCTTCTGCGCCGTCGCCATCGCCTTTATCCCCGCACGCTGGCTCGAGCGCCGTGTTACTCACCGCTGAGCCCGGTCTTCGCTCCTGGCCGCTGCAGCGGTCGTCGACCGTTGGGAAGCGGTTCTGGCCGCCGATTCACCTCGGCGAGTTTTAATCCTAGTCAACTGTAATACGCATCTTCTCTCTTATCTTGGGTTCATGCACATACCTATCATCTGTCATCCGCAGCAGGTGTTGTCTCTCACATTCCGGTTTCCGATCAGCAGAAGTTGCGCGGATCCGTGATGAAACCGCCAGTGCCAACTTGGGTTGGTTCTGCAGATCTGCAGGCCAGTGTACGCTGCGGGTGACCCTATAGCCGCGCATCGCGGGTAGCTTCGACGAGACCGCACAGGTGTATGTCTCGTGCCTCCACTGGCTCTGCGTGATCGAGGACATGCCGCGCGAGAGAAGCGCAGACTAGATCAGCGAAAAAGGGAGCGCTAACCTCTTCCGTAGTCAGAGGATCAGTGGACGGACGCACATCCGGACAGTCTACCAGTCCTAGCTCCCGACAGGAACGGTCTCCATCTACAAGAGTTCACACACTATCGCACGCAGCGACGAGACGAGAATCGCTTCGCAGAACAAAAAGTGGCTCAACGTCCCACAATCTACGGCCATCACGCAACTTTTTCGCAACTATTTATCTACGGCTACCATGCACACAAGTTGGTCTTACCCATGTGCAAGATAGGTTCTGCGGCTATAGCTCTGCTCCGTATCGGTGCGTGGGCGGCATCGTGGTCGGAGGCGTGGTTCGGAGTGCCCTGAACATGAGGACGGAGTCGAGGGCGTCGTGTGTTGAACGGGTGTTTTCTCAACATGTTGAACGGCTCCCATTGAAGAACAAGTGCCGCGTTCATCTCGCTACTCTCTCTCTCTCTTCCTGCATGCAAAAACTTTTCGCTGCAATGTCATGCAGATGTCATGCAGACGAACATGTTAGCATCGCAGCCTTGTTTGGAGCACCGCCGCAGCAGGTTATGGACCCCCCCGGGGTGGCCGGGTGGCCGGGAGCGAAAAAGTGCGCCACCTCCAAGATCGCGACATGCCCAGGCATGCCAGGATGTCTCTCTGGGACAAATGGCAAACGTTTCAGGCGTTTCAGCAAGTTGCCGAACGTGGGTGGGATCTAGCTGCTTGCGGCGAGAGGGCGATCGGGCGTCCGTGTCCATGAGAGGGAGTACGGACTAGCGATGCACGACGGGGTCATGGGCGGACTGCAAGGGGGTGGACTGACGAGTTAGCGCATGCATAGCTTAGAGAGATGAGCGCAGACGAGCGTGGATCGTGGATGTGATCAGCAGGCATAGGGTTTTGGGAGGGCAAAGGGACTGAGGGTGGGCTCCTGCCAGGCTAGCCAGGCTACAAGGATGCCTTGGAAAGAGGCAGAACGCGACGGGCCGGGCTGAAAATTGGGACCTGACAAAGTGACGCCTCGAACAGTGCAAAGGCTTGGTCGGTTCCCAGAGCCTGTTGAGCCAATGTATTAGGGCGCGACATAGGGCGACGCCATTACACCCAGCCAGCGAGTAGTGACCCGCCCTAAGTCGCAGACCTGACCCCGCATCACCCAGCCTGAGCCTAGCCCTTAGCACTCACTAGCCCTTAGCCCCGCCGGCCCAGCCTACAGCCTGTGTGTGCAACCAACCTGCTCCTTAGTCCTCATCTCAACTTGCACTTATCGTCCACCCCCTCGTCATTTCCCCTCCCTCCCTCCCCTCCTCATCCGCCCGCCTCACTTTTGCATCACTCTCACCTTTCCTCAATCACTCATCCCAACCACACCACACTCCTTACTCACCCACCCAAATGGCGTCCGAGACGTCCTCCCCGTCCTCGCCGGCGGGCCACTTCAGCCCCCTCCCCGACAACGACTCTGGACTCAGGCTACGCTTCACCCAGGGCCTCCCCAGTCCGTCCCAAAGCTTCTCCCTTTCGAGGACGGCATGTCCCGCGCCCCGAGCCTGCTGCATCTGAACGGAAACCACGGCAGCGCGCCGCACTCTCCCGAGATTGAGCACAGCCAGCTCTCCCTCAAGACCAAGACGAAGCCACGCAACCGGAAACACTCCAAGACGCAGAGCCTCAGCAGCACCAAGAGCGCCAAGAGCCCGCTCCTCGACGCCCTCAAGCTCCCCGACATCAACATCCCCCGTCCCGTCCAGATCCAGTGAGTTGTTCCCAGCCTCAGCTCTCGGTCGAAAGGCGCACTCCCACGCCAGGCTGATCAGTCTGTCGCACTCGATCCGGCGCACAGTGGAGAAGCCCCATTGAGGCATTTTGTGCCCCTCTCTTGCGCCCGTACACATCCGCGCTGCTGCTGATCCGGAGCTCCTCCGGCACACGCGGTGCAGATAACCCCCCGCGCGCAATTGACCGTCGGTCCAAATGTCCCGCTAACGTCCTAGGTTTGCCCCCCTCCACATTCCTCCACACCGCCGATTACAGACGGCCGCCGTCGCGACATGGGCGCTCCTCATGCCGCTCTCCCTCATCATCTACTTCTTCGCTCTGTGAGTACGAGCGGGAACGGGTACACCGGCTATGATTGGCACAACCATGACGACCTCGTAGTCATGGCCCCCGAAAAAGCTCGGGTCCCTAGCCCTTGTGGCCGAACCGTCGTCCCTTTCCTGAAACGAAACGCACAACTGTCCGGCAACTCGATGACATCGTGTTCCTGGCGTAGCTGTTGTGTTTAGGCAGAAAGGAGTCGTTTGCTGACTCCTCCCAGCTCCCTCCCCTTCCTCTGGCCGATCGTCATCCCGTACACGATCTGGGTCCTCTTCATCGACAAGGCGCAGTACCGCGGCGGTAGGCCGGAGGAATGGGCCCGCCGCTTCTTTCTGTGGAAGTACTTTGCTCGTGAGTTCTCCGGTCTTGCGTGGAACTGACAGACAGAGTACTACCCTTGCAGCATTGTGAAGGAGGAGGACCTCCCGGCCGACAGGACGTATGTCTTTGGCTACCACCCGCACGGCATCATCGGAATGGGTGCCGTCGCGACGTTTGGTTCAGAGGCCACCGGCTTCTCAGAGTACTTCCCGGGCATCAAGCCGCATCTCCTGACTCTTGGTGAGTAGCTGTTGTATCCAACCCTAGCTAACCAGCAGACTCCAACTTCAAGATCCCGGTGTACCGTGACCTGCTCATGCTCCATGGTATTTCGTCCGTCTCGAAGCGCGCGTGCAAGAACATTCTGAAGCTCGGCCCCGGAAACGCCATCACGATTGTCGTCGGAGGCGCCGCCGAGTCTCTGTCGGCGCACCCCGGCACGTTTGACCTGACGCTGAAGAAGCGCCTCGGCTTCATCAAGGTCGCGATGCGGGAAGGCGCCGACCTCGTGCCGGTCTTCTCCTTCGGCGAGAACGACATCTACGACCAGCTCGCCAACGAGAAGGGCTCCAAGGTGTACAAGCTGCAGAAGAAGTTCCAGGCGCTGTTCGGCTTCACGCTGCCGCTCTTCCACGGCCGCGGCATCTTCAACTACAACTATGGCCTGATGCCGTTCCGGCATCCGATCGTGAGCGTGATCGGGCGCCCGATCAAGGTCGAGCAGTGCACGAACCCGACGACGGAGCAGATCCACGAGGTCCAGAAGCAGTACATTGACGAGCTCGTGCGCATCTGGGACAAGTACAAGGACCTGTACGCGAAGAACAGGACAAAGGAGTTGACCCTCGTCGAGTAAGCTGTCGACTCGACCAAAAGAATAGACCAGACGTGCTCTCATGTCCTCATCTTCGACTGAATAGATTCCTCCCTGTCCCGCCTGTCGGTATCTCCTAGTTCCTACGCTTCCGTATCCCGTACGCTCTGTGTGTCTTTAACCCTCTTCGTGTGAATGCACCTTTGTGATGTCTAGATTTCAGCTCGTTTAGGATGGATGAGCATGACGCGTCCAGTGAAACCGCCAATTCAAGCGAAGGTTCACTCGGTTCACTCGGTTCACTCATCCGGCGGCTTCACAACCCTGCAACGATCCTGTAAAGGATCGTCGTTCGGAATGGGTCACGTGCAAGCTCGGACATCAGCCACACTCCGCTCGCCACCCCTCCCGATATTTACGAACCGGCTATCTGGCACCCTTGCAGCCATTGCGCATTGATCTCTTCTTGCCTCGTTTCTCGATCCCCGTCATCACCCCCATCACCCACACGACTCTGACAGACGGAGCCGACACAATGAACAAGGCAGTCTACATCGCGCCCGAGGACCAGGACGAAGTCGACCTCGGCTGGATGCGCGAGGCCCTCGTTATGGTGAGTGTGTCTTCCTTTGGGGGAAGGTGTCTGCTGCGCTTGCCAGCGAGGAGGGGCGGGGCGCATGTGTTCCTCCCACAAATGCAGATAGCCAGGACAGCTAGGCGTCTGTTGGTTTTCAGCTGACTCCAGGCCGAGGAAGCACTCGACAACGAGGAGGTGCCCGTCGGCTGCGTGTTCGTGCGCGACGGCAAGGCGATCGCGCGTGCCCGTAACCGCACCAACGAGTGGCGCAACGTAAGTCTTCCCTTCCCACCGCTGTGCCTGCCAGGAGCTCCAGCTGACATACAGGCGACGCTGCACGCCGAGCTCGAGGCGATCGACCACCTGCTGCCCTTCAACCCTCCCCCCCTCTCCCAGATCACGCTGTACGTGACGGTCGAGCCGTGCGTCATGTGCGCCTCGGCGCTGCGGCAGGTCGGCATCGGGCGCGTGGTGTATGGCTGCGGCAACGACCGCTTCGGCGGGTGCGGGTCCGTGCTCGACGTCTCGACCTCGAGCATGCTCGACACGAACGTGTCCTTTGAGGCCGTGGGCGGATATTACCGCGAGGAGGCCATCATGCTCCTCCGCCGCTTCTACATGAGCGAGAACCAGAATGCGCCCAACCCCAAGAAGAAGACGACGCGTGTTCTGAAAACCGAGATCCCACCGCCCCCCAATGTCACCGTCAGCGCGAGCACGTCTGCGAATGCGTCGGCCACCGCGTCCGCCAACCAGAGCAAGAACCCCTCCCGCTCCAACTCGAATGCGAACCTCCCCTTGCCCATTGGCGGCACGCTGGCGAGCACGCCAAAGGGCACGCTCACGCCTACTGCTGACAAGGCGTGAGCTGCGCTAGCTGCGCGAGCAGAAGCGCAGTGGCGCATAGGCGCAAGCAGAGGCGCGCACGGGCCCGCCGTCCACTCCATAGGCGAGCCCTGTCTATAGACCGCAAGCATAGCATACTCCCCCTCCCCCATTCTCTCCATGTGTATATCCTAAGCCCACAGTGGTATGTATGCAGAAAGTGTATAGTAATTAAAGTCGTTACAACGCGGACCAACCACCTCAGTTGATCGAAATCATAATCTGTCTGTCAGTTCTCTCCAAAAGCGTCTAGACAACTCACGTGGTCCTTGAATATGAGCGCGATGCGGTCAACCTCCCTCCGACTGAGCGAGGTGCGGTACATGATCTCCTCAAAGCTAGTCACGCCGTCAAAGTACTGCACGCACAGGTCGAAGCGGCTCTGGGCAATGGGATCAGGCACAGTCTCGCGAATGACGCGCAGCCAGCGCTGTTCGTCCTTCTGCGCCTTTGCCGGTTTGAGGATGAAGCTGCTGCCAAACTTGGGAATAGAAGACTTTTTGGGTTGTTGCAGGTTTTCGAAATCCTCGTCGCCCAGCTCATCGTCCTCGTGTCCGTGCCCGTGCCCGTGGTCGCCGTCGAGATCAGAGTCCATCTCCAGCTCGGAGGAGTACTCTGCCGCGAGGTCGTCCGCCTCGTCCTCTTCCACCACGACAGCGGTCTGCGCCAGCCCCTTGCCCCTCAGCACGAGCGGGGAGCGGGGCACGCGGTTCGCATACCCCGTCCCGAGGGGGTTGCCGGGCTCTGCGCGCGGCGTGCCCAGCCCCAAGTCGCCCTTCGGGCTCGTCATGTCCGACGCCAGCGTGAAGCTGCCAGATACGCCGCCGCTCATGCTTGGCCGCTTGGGGCGCTCGTCCCCGGGTCCACTCGAGCCGTGGCTCGCCTTCCTCGCCCGCTGGGCGCGGAGCCATCTGGCTCTCCGCCGCTGCCACAGTTTGCGCCACGCCGCCTCCTTCACTGCGCTGCTCGCTATCACGCGCGCGTACACGTGCAGCTGGCGCACGAGGTCGTTCTTCAGCAGCCAGGTTATGGCGCGGAGGTACGGGTCGCGCTTGACCACGTCGGCTTGCGCCTCGGCCGGCAAGAGGTCGCGGAAGGGCACGGGCTCGACGGAGATCATGCTTATAAATTGGAGGAGGGGCGGGAGTGTCGGGAACGCGAATTGGAACCGGATACTGTGCTGGTTCAGACTGCGGACGTGCTCGCTGACGCTTGTCGGGGCCAGGATTGTGCGCAAGCGCACATTCACGACGTCGACGAGGATCGCGCGGCGGTTCTGCACTAGCTCTTTCACGAGCGGGAAGACGATGCCCTCGAGGTCGTACCGCAGTAGATGCGCTATTTCGTGCAGTCTGATGTCAGCTACGAAGGGGCGAAACTTAGCTTACGGCTTGGAAATGTCGCAGGCGCGGATGAGGGAGCGAACGAGTTCGTCCTGCTCTCGTTCGGAGCGGGAGTCACGGCGCACAGGCTGCTCCTTGCGGTGTGTCTGCGCCTCGTCATCCTCGAGAATAAGCAGCGTCTGCCAGGGATGCACCTCTTGTTCTGGGAGTTTGCGAACGAGCTCGCCACTCGGTCCGACGACAAGACCATGCCACTCGTCGTCGCTGTCGGAGGACTCGCTCGACTCGGCGTCGTCGTCATCCTTCTTCCTAGGCGGGAAGACGATCGAGATCGGGATACTCCCCACATTCACCGTGGCAGTGACGGGCAAAGACTGGAAGAGCGTGTTGATCGGCTTGGTGCGCATGTGGTGGATTGCGCCGTACACCTCGTGCAGCGACTTGGCCATTTCCGTCTTTTCGATGCACTCCCTGAGGCAGTCGTCGACCGGTGTGCCTGCTGTCAGCTCAGCGATGGGAAGGCAGCTTACCCTCCTGAATGTCCTTCTCACGGATACGCGAGAGATCCCTCGCCTGCCGCGCGACCCAGTTCTCGCGTACTTGCATCGCAAACGCGGCCGCGCTCCACTTGAACGCAATCTCGCGGTAAATCTGCTCGAGCATCTGCTCCGTGTCCTGTCCCGGACGTGGGTCGGGCTTGTCGACAATCAGCACGAGATGGAACATTTGCAGCTGCGGAATGTCCTCCTCCTCCTTGTTGTCCTTCTTCGGCACGACCATCGTGTCGCGCCGCGACGGTGGGGTTGACGGCGAAGCTGTCGCCGAGCTGCCAGGCGTCGCGAGCACCTCCATCTGGTCCGTGAGGGTTGCGCTACTCCGCGCCCGCCGCGGCTCCTCGGCAATGTTCGTCAGAGACTCTTGCGGCGTCGGTTTCGTGCTGCTGTCGTTCATCCGCCTTCCTCGAGCACGGGGCACGCCTTCCTCCTCGCTGTCGTCGTCAGAGGGGAAGGACCACTTGCCGTCCGGCCCGCAGCACACCGGATGCCCGATGAAGCAGATCTCGTCGACAGTGACCTCAAACTTCTTGTGGCACGACGAGCGCGGCGGAGAGAGCAGGTCCGCGAGAAAGTCGAGACTGTATCCGAGCGTCGTGTTGTACTGCGCCTCGACCTCGGCGGGCGTGAGCCGCTTCTGATGCCGCCGCTCCTTGGCCGTGACGTCCGAGTCGATTGTCGAGTGTCTCCTAAACGTCTTGTCGCTCTCCACAATCTCGGTGAACGGTTTCGGGTGCACGGGGTGTGGTCCCGGAGTCGCGCTGCCGGGCTTGCCGCTGCTGTCTGTCCCGCTCGAGAGGGATCTGATGCTCCGCCGCATCGGCCCGACGTCGAATAACCCATCAGAGTCAGAGTCGCTCCCCGTGCTGCTGCTGGAAGAGGAGCGGTCCGAGCCTATCTCGTTGGTCCAGCTGTGTATTGAGCCGCCCAAGCTCAGCAGCGCCGAGCCCGTGTCGCTGTCGTCGCCGATCGTTCGCGGCCGCCCATCCTCGCGCCGACTCGTTCCGCTCGCGTTCGACGACCATACCGTCGGCCCCTTGAAGGTGCGCGAGCCACTGCGGATACGCCGATGATGTCCGAAGAACTGTGGTCGTCCGTCCGGAACAGGATCCTTCGCCGTGATGGTCTCCTTCGCGTAGATTGGGTTCGAGAGACGGTCTAGCGGTGATGTCGCGTCTGGTGGGTATCGAAAGATGTACCGCTCCTTCGACGAGTTGGCCACGAGAAGTAGGCCGAGAATGTTCTCCGCCATCGTGCTTCCCCCTCGCCTAGGAGGTTGAGGGCGTTCTGAGCGTGTGCGCTGGTGATCAGGTCGAAAGGTGGAGCAAGGATGGTCACCTCACGCGCCGTCCTCAGATTGATGTCATGCGGCAGGCACCAACACAAGATACCGTACCGGAATCAGATTGCGATCGACCCCGCACTTCGTTCTTCTTGTCCAGACCACGTCCGCTGCCAGATCTCATTCCAATGCTGCAGACATCGCGACATCGCACTGCCTGACACGTAGCAGCATCTTGGCACACGTGCATGCTATCTTTACTATTCTAACACCCACTTCCATCCCAATGGGTAATATTAAACTCCTATCCGCACCTCCTGCCCCCTCGGTATCGTTTGATCGAAAATAAAGGAAATGTATATAAACGCGTCATATCAAAGCGATTGAAGACGATTCTACTGAGCAGCAGCCCAGGGAGCAATCTGGACGTCAGCTAAAGCCAGGTCAAGCCAGCTGTACTTACCCAGGAGAATCCGGCGAACTCGGCCTGATCTTGCGCCGTCAGTTGAGTATGAACAGGGGTGAGCGTAGGCTGCTCGCGAGTGAACTCCTTGTCGAAGTTCGAGGTGTCGGTGGCGTTGCCGATGGTGGGGAAGTAGGGCGGGGGGATGCGCTTGTTGTAAACGTCGTCAAAGTTGACGTCGGCGAAGAACTGGTGACGCTTGATCTCCAAGGCGCCATCAGGTCCAGCACCGAGACGACGCTGGGGGTCACGAGTGAGCAGCTTCTGGAGCAGGCTGACCGCCTCGCGGGGCATGGTGATGGGGTAGAGGGGCTCGTCCTCGATAATGGCGTCGAAGATTTCGTCCTCGTCCTCTCCACGGAAGGGAGACTGACCGAGAAGCATCTCGTAGGTGAGCACACCAAAGGCCCACCAGTCGACGGCGCGGCCGTAAGGCTGCTCCTGGAGAATCTCGGGAGCCATGAACTCCGGCGTTCCACAGAACGTGCTAGTCGTCTGGCCGTAGTGCATGCCTTCCTTGCACAGACCGTAGTCCGCAACCTTGACGTGGCCGTCGAGGGTGAGAAGGATGTTGTCGAGCTTCAGGTCACGGTAGATGATGCCCTTGGAGTGGAAGTACTCGAGAGCGAGAAGGACCTCACAGGCGTAGAACTTGGCCTGACGGAGGGTGAACTGGCGACGCTGGATGTGGAGCATCAGGTCACCGCCGGAAACGTACTCCATGACGAAGTAGACACGTGTCTCCGTCTGGAAACACGAGTGCAGGCCGAGCAGGAAGGGGTGACGCTCCTCCGCAGCAGCGAGGAACACGCGCTTCTCGGACTGCGTGCTCTCGACTTCGTCGTTCTCAATGATGAACTCCTTCTTGAGCACCTTGATGGCGTAGAGGTTTGTAGTCTGACGCTCCTCGGCGAGCATGACCTTTCCGAAGTTGCCCTTACCCAGGACTGCGAGGAAGTTGAAGTCGTCGAGACCGATGCGCTTCTTACGCGGGGCAACGTGCTGCTGCTGCTGCTGCTGCTGCTGGACAGGGGGAGCAACAGGCTTGTTGTACGCGACCTGGGGAGCGGTAAGGGGAGGTTGAGACACGCCGAGCGGGGCGGGTGCAGGAGGGCGGTAGCCACTGGGCTGCTTGGGAGGAGCCGGCGCCGGGGGCTGGTAGATAGCCGGCAGCTGAGCGGTAGCCTGTCCCACAGCCTTCTGCGGGGTGCCGTGCGGTCCCGTAGTAACATTGGGAATGTCAGGGCGGCCGTCGAAGCTGGGACGCTGGTCGTAGCTGGGGCGGGTCTCATAGCTCGGTCGGCCCTCCATGCTAGGGCGGGACGACGTTGTCGGAGGCTGGGGACGGAGCTGCTGCTGCTGCTGAGTTGGCGGGGCAGGAAGCTGCTTGCCGGGGAGCTCGGGCTTGGCCGGAGCCGAAGGTGTGTAGGGCGCCTCCGCCTTCGGAGGCTGAACAATGACCGGCGCCGGCGAGTACGAGGTGGACGAGGAGTGAGAGTGGCCCGGGCGGGCAGGCTTGACCTTGCTCCTGTCGCCAATCTCGCGCAGATTCTTCAGCAGCGTGTTGGCCATCTCCATGGTCATACCACAGAAGTCGGGAATGAGGTGGGCACACGACTGGTGACAAGTGAGACCACACTCGGAACACTTGTAGGCATTCTTGCGGCCAAACGGCAGCATGTAACCACAGTGCGAACACCAGTTGGCAGTAATGTTGGTGTAGGGCTGGAAACGGTGCGGGATACGGTGGTTGATCTTCTCCTCGTCTCCCTCCCCGTCGGTAGCGGGTTTGGAGATACATTTGGTGACGACCTTGGGGTAGCACCGCTTGTGACAGGCATACCGACAGTCCTCGCACTGGTAACCTTCTCCGGTGAGAAGCAGTTCACGACACAGAGCACACATTATGGGCTGGTAGAACTGGCGCTGAACGAACTTGTGTCCGTTCATCTCATGCACGTCACCCTTGCGCTTCTTGACGGCACCCTGACGACCGAGAGCTTCGTACGGGCGACGACCGGCACCGGCATTGTCCTTGACTGAAGGCAGTTAGCGAAAGTCCGGCAGCAAACTCACTGAAGTCCAGGCGCATGTTGAGAGCACCGGCAGGCTCCACAGCCCACCATCCGTCGATTCCATCACCTCCGGGGTCGGTAGGACCCGCGCCACCAAACGGACGGGGGTTGTTCTGGTGCAGAGTGGCCGACTCGGGGGCCGCACCTGGCCGTCCACCGATCGTGGCGGCCTTGTCGGCCGTGACCCAGTCCGTGTTCGAAGCCTCCTCGCGCGCCACCTTCTGCCGACGAAGGGCCTCCATGAGGTCAGACACGCGCAGCCAGAGCATACCGATCGGTGTTGTGTCGTCACCGCCGATGTTATCGTAGATGGTAATCTCGACCTCGTTGGCCTTGGTGACGGGAATCTCGATATTTTCGAACCATCGGTCGTTACGCGACATCATGGACCGCCAGGCCATCGTGCCCTCAACTTTGACGACAACAGTCGTCTCGACAGCCCGCGAGGACCGCCGAGAGAGGGTGCGGTGGTTCAAGTCACGCGCTGACTTGAGCGTGATCTGCAGCCTTCCCGAGATCGGCTTGCGCAGCGCTTCCTTGCGTTTGAAGTCTGGAACAAGGTCCTCGTCGACCTCATCGACAGCTCCGAACTCGGCAAGTCGCTCATACCGTCCCTTTGCTTTCTTCAAAAGCTGGATCTTGCCCTCAGATTCGGCGCGCTTCAAATCCGTCTCAGTACGAAGTCGTCGGTCGCCTTCCATCCGGTACGCATTAGCCATCTTCTCGATACCCGTCTTGTACTGGTTCTCGAGCTGAAGCTTGGCCTCGAGCTGGTTGAGCATGTGCGTGATCTTGTATCCCGTGAGCGGCGCATCGTACCTCAGAAGGTCGAGCTGCGTGTGAGGCTTGCTCGAGTTTGTGTTGGCGCTCGGGGTAGGAGGGAGCTCGCGGTTGGAGTTGAGAGGCTGCGTAGGACCGGAACCGGGGACCTGCGGACGTGCCAACTGCGACGAAGCAGATCCGTGGGAAGGTTGGCCGTTGTTAGCGGAGGAGCTGCTGCTCGGGCCAGCGTTCGCAGCCAACTGCAGCCTCGCCAGCTCATCCTCCAGGAAACGGATCGACGCCTGAGCGGTTCGGACCTCGTTTTGCGCCTGCTGGATGACCATTTCATTCCCACTCGACGCCTCGACCGCACGCATCACAGCCTTCGCACCCTCGAGGTTGCGGCGCTCCGACTCGATTTTCGTGCGTAGCTGGTTGATTCTTGGGTCTGATGAAGGAGGCTGCGAAACCATGTCAGCGTCTATTGTGGAGGAGCGAGTGAGGCGCGACGTAGACGGAACAGCGCCTCTCATTCAGCGGTCCAAGTCGACACCGCCAAACCAGAGCGGATGCCGCAGAATCAAGCGGTCGATTCTGATGGTGTGGACATTGACACGAGACAACGGGATGCGCGTGCGCAGAGAGGGTGTCCATGCCGTGCTGCATTATAGGGGCGTGCGAGGTGCAGGAGAATTGGGCAGTGATCCATGAGGGAAAGCTGCGACTGATCGGGCGACACAAACTCACCATTTTGACAGCAAGGCTCGGGGAGCACGTTCAGATATGACAAAATGTAGAGAGAGAGTCGTGAGCTGTATTGGTCGTGAGATAGCTTGCGCAGATTGGGAGAGCGGGTATGCGTGATGGCACAAAAGAGACGTAAGTGAGTCGAGATTGAGACTGTGCCGGCGCGTCGTGGGGCTTGTATGGGTAGGTAGGGGCAACGACTCGCGGGCTGTAACGGATTGAGGGTGGTCCGAGAGCGAGAGCGAGAGCGAATACGCTGGGGGGAGTTGTGGATGCTGAAAAGGGAGGAAAGGGGAGGGAGCGACACGCTCGACGACAGCCGTCCTTTTGATCGAAGTCGTGGGGTGAACGGCGAGGATCGGAAGAGAGAGGGAGGGGCGGATGGATGAAGAAGGGAAGTGGAAAGGGAGTTTGTTGCAAGGTAGAGCGAGGAGGTTGCGTCGGTGTGGTGGTCAGAGTCACAGCGTACGCGTGCACAAGTGTGAGGGGTCAAGTTCGTGGTCGACCGTCCACGGTTCCCCGGTCCACAGAGCGGTGCCTCTGCCTGCATGGTCTCTGGCCTCTGGGCGCGCTGGGCGGATGCTGGCACACCGGGCGCTGGGCGGGCGGGCTCGTGGATCCTACGCAAGGCGCGCTGGCGGGTCGGTGGACTGGCGCGACTGTCCGCCTGGCTACGCCTGCAGCGAGGCGTGATTGTTGATTGGTGCTTCTGCCAACGCCAGACCCTATTGACACGTTAGGCATGGGTCGCTGGCGTCCATTCCTCAGCTGGCCTAAATCGCTTCCTGGACCCTGTCTCACCCTCTCAACCTCTTCAACCTCCCGACCCAACCGAGCGACCACCTCTTCCCTCCCATCTCCCTCTTGTCTGCATTCTGCTCCCAGATCGTGTCAACGCATTTAAGTCTATAATACATGATAGTGCATGAATATTGCTACACATGATGTTGAGCTGGATGGAGACTCTACGTATTCACTGGCGCGGCATCGGTTGCGCACGCCAGCTCCAGTCCGACAGCGGCGTCTGTCATTTGTGCTGAAGCACTACGCCTGGCTGCTATCCGGACGAGTTTGGCACATTTCTGAGGTCAGGTCATTCCCCCACCGCCACTCACCACACCGCCCCTGGTCGGCATGATTGATATAGGTGCAGGCATGGCACTGCCATCCTTGGGCGCCGCTTTCAAGCTTGACGGTTTTGATGTTGCTGGGCGACAGAGGCTTGGATGAACGTCCGACGTCATTGAGGGTAGTCCTGGAGGCGGCACCGCTTGTGCGCCCCCAACCCTCGCCGCTCCCTCCGAGGGTACGGGCAGTGCTTCCTGATGATGTTGCCGAAAGCCCCAGTGCCCTGAGGCGTTCTTCACGAACAATATTGGCTGCGCTGAAGTCGGGGGTCGGAGTTGCCGTAACCGCTGCTTTTTTCGGACTCCGAGAAGATCTCGAGTCCGCCTCAGCCTTACGTTTCGCGGCTGACGAAGAGGGAGGAACGTAGACGTCGGTGTTATCTTCGCTGCTGTCCTGCTCCCAGAATGGTGTTTGCCGAGACGTTGATGGGCGACCTGCGTCAGGGCTCAGAAGATCCTTAAACTCCTGCCACCAATCGCTCTTTAGCCCACTGCGCTCATCAGAAGTCATCTCAGACTCGAGCTGTCTTTTCCGCTCCTTGACTGAGAGGTGAGGATCAATTACCTCAATGTCGTCATCGTCGGAATTGTCGCTATCGTCGAAGAAGATCGTCGGCTTTTCGTCTTCCTTAGAGACTAGCTCATCTTCTTCCTCCTCATCAGCCTCCTCCTTAGGGTTGAGCGCCGCAAGGCGCCGTTCGGCAGCCTCGGCGCGAAGTTCTGCTGCAGACTTCGATTTGGCCCTGTTATATAAGCTTGCAATCTACAAGTCGGACTCACTGTTTGCCATGCGAGCTCCCCTGCTTGAACCAAGGGTTTTCTTCGTCAAACTGCTTGTTTGCCTTGGTCCTTGCAGTTGACAGCTTGTAGCCGTCACGGACATATCTCTCCACGAGTTGATCGACCCGCTCTTTCCGTCGTGCACGGTCTTCCTTTGTAATCTCTGCCTGTCAGCCCTTGAAACGTCATGAGAACCCACCTCGTCTACCATCCAGGCGACTTCCTCCTTCGCCCATGTCGGCATTGTTGCGACGACCGGCTTTGCGACGGTACTCGGTCTGGCGCCCGGATCGGTGAGAAGCTTCGCCTTTGACGAGACCAGGAGCGCGGCTGCTTCGAGGACCTCGACCACGAGGTCGTGTTGCCTTCCGAGCATCACTGTGACTGACACCGCAGAGATACTCGGGAATCTCGGTTGGTTCTGCTGGTTAGCGGCAGACTGCTGCGGAAACGCACTCAAACCCTCTGCGCCGAGCAGCGCCCCGTCCTTCAACCTCTTCCCATCAGAGTAGAAGCCTCGGCGTCAGCAATTCGCCCAGCAGCCGACGCACCGTCACCGTAGTTCCCCTGATTCTGCATCCTAGCAACGTCTGCTTTGATGTCTTTGTTCAGCTGCTGTTAGCTCACGCATGAGGAAGGCGCACACCTGCTGAAACTCCTTGCCGTGGTTCATGTGCTGCTGTCAGTGGAAAGTTGAGTCAGCTCAGCTCACAGTGATGTGCGCCATCTGTTGTCAGCTCACGCAACACCGGACAACCCACCTCGTGACACATGACAGATATGAGGTAGGATGGTGGATAGAATGAGCCGTTGGGACGGCGGAGGACCAGCTCGATGTTCTACCATCAGCGCTCGCTATCTCGTCCAGCTCACCTGTCCATGGTTCCAGTTCCTGCCAGCAAACTGCGATCAGAATCCATGCACTCCAGCACGGCTTACCACTCCGTTGTACTCAGCCTCCTCCAGGGTGCCCACGAGCATGAAGCGCTTCTCCATGATGCGTTTCACTTGAGCCGCTGATCGTCAGCTCAGACCCACGCCTTCCCGCACCAATCGACTTGAGCAACTGCTCCGCTTCCTGCTGTTAGCCTGGGAGAATGGAGGTGCAGCTCACCTCCTTGTTCTTCTTGTTGTCGAGTGCGCGGATGAAGGTAATGTACCTGACGTCAGTGAGCGCGGCTGACCCAAAGCGCACTCGTTGGGATTCGGCTCCCGCGTGTTGATTTTACTGCAAGTCAGCTTGCGTAGTCAAGAGAGCTCTCACTGTCCTGGCCGCTGCATGATGGCGAGCGGCGCAGCGGCGCCAGTGACGAAAGGCAGGCAGAAGTTTGGAGGTGTGAAGTGGAGGGAAGGTCTGACGAAAACAAACGCTGTGGTTGACTGGACCAGTGCGAGCGCAGACATTCGCCGATCGGTTTCAGCCGCTCATGTATGACATCAGGGTGCTTTAGCCGGACCACCATGATAAGTACAAGCCGGTAGTCACTGCGATTCTCGCTTCTCTACTCATCTTCATCCATCGTCCACCATGTCCACCGGAGCCAAGTGTCCCGTCTCTGGCCAGCAGTCTGCTACTGGCGCTTGTCCCGTCTCTGGACAACAATCCGCCTCTGGCGCCTGCCCCGTTTCTGGGCAACAAGCCGCTGGTGGTGCTTGCCCAGTTTCTGGCCAGCAGTCCGCGACCGGCGGCTGCCCCGTCTCGGGTCAGCAATCTGCTTCTGGGGGCTGCCCGGTCGCCCACGCGCAGCCTGGTACGCCCGCTCAAGCTTCTGACCCGTCCAAGCCGACTGCTTCCTCGCTCCCGCCCGAGGCGATCGAGCTCGCGACCCGGCTCTTCAACATGGCCCGCAAAGGCGACATGACGCTGATCACGTACGTCGAGAACGGTATCCCGCCAAACCTCACGAACCACGACGGAAACACGCTTCTCATGCTCGCCGCATACGCGGGACACGCGGAGCTCGTGCGCGAGCTGCTGAAGAAGGGCGCCGATGTCGATCGCCCGAACGACCGCGGACAGACTCCCCTCGCTGGCGCAGTGTTCAAGCTCCACGACGACGTGGTCAAGGCACTTCTCGAAGGAGGCGCCGATCCGAACAAGGGCACGCCGAGCGCAATCGACACCGCGCGTATGTTCAAGCGTGACGAGGTGCTCAAGCTCTTTGAGGTAAGTTAGGGAGACTGGAAATGAACTGACAGAACAGGAAAGGGCGCAGGCTTGAACTCGATGAGAGCACATATCGCTGTGAATCTGCTTGTTTCCCCTTCGTTACTTCGTCGTAGGCACCAAGTGTTGAGGGCCGACGTTGGTGGTGGGCAACTCCGAGCTCGAAGCCGATCGAACGACCCCATCACGTGCCTAATTCCCCATCTGTACTGCATCTGTAGATTGTAATGCACGGTCAGAAAGTATCTATACATCTCCTTGGCCGGGCTTCATTGTTCACTCGCCGTGACTGTGTTCGTCGATTTAGAGCATGTGGAGTGGTCTGCGACTGAGCTCTTGAGAGCTCTGATTGTTCGACCACTGGCACAGCGCACATCCCGCTATACCCGGATAAAGCGGCTTCCACTTGCCTTCCTCCACTTTACGCCTCCACACGACGTCACGACCGCAGATCGACGGACATGATTTTGGTCGACATTCCACACACCACCGCGGATGCCTAACTTGTAAGTCTCACAGCGAGCTTACAGCCAGCACCTGCGTTGAAGCTAATCTCAGCGATGCCACAATGACGACAACCCGCTCCCGATCGGCTTCCTTCGCCTCCTCAGTATCGTCTTCCTCGAACGCTTCTGACGCCGACGTTCAAGTGGAAGTAGACGAGATCAACGATGAGGCCGAGGTGCTCTCCGCAACGCAGCAGCCACTGCGATATCGAAGAATGCAGGCGCGCGCCACCGCCCACAGAAACCCAGAGGAGGAACGACTACGACACGCTGTCGGCGGTGGGCTCGTCGCCAGCATGAAGGCTGGCCCGAAACTCGAACAACCTCGCTCACACAAGCGGGCGTACGTTCTCTGTGCGCTGATTTACGGTGGTCTAGCTGACTTCAGTCGGAATCGCTGTCGTGCTCTTGCTATGGCTCAACAGTGCTTGGTGGACACGAGTTTCGGGGAAGGTCGCTCGCGCGGGCGGATGGAAGGCAGCCTTCGGACTCGGACAGCAGGGAAAGGAGCTGTGAGACTGACGATAAAAGAGGACACATGTTTGTTGTACCATTGAAGGCATCATCATCATCGGCATTCGGAGCTTCTATCGACTGATAACTCATCACAACTGATTAGACGCCAATCTTCAGACTTCAGGCTTCGAGACTGCGTCCGCTGAAGTCTCCGTTTAGTAACATCAGTCAAGCTTACCTGGGGTCATAGCAGTCAAGCTCGCTGGCCGGCATTGCTTCTAATTCTGGGGCTCCCGTACATTACAAGTACGCACTATCGATAACGCCGTCGGCGGTCCATTCGATGGGACGATCAGGTGCTCGGTGGCAATGTCCGCGGGCGGCCGGCATAAGGTTGCGGACCGCTGCCTCTGAATTGCCTCTGGTGTGCTTCGGCCTTTGAAGGTCTATGAGCGTTCAGTCCGACAGAGGGCGCGTCCTCATTCGGTACGAACCAGGACTACGGCTCGTAACGTCACGAATCGGTCTGACGCACGTCTGTTCTGATTCATCTTCGTTCGCATTAACTTTCCAGGTAGAACTCTGTCAACCCCCCTAAACTCACACGCCGCAAGATAGGCCAGTTGTCGATCTCACAAAGGCTGGCACTTGCTCGGCCGAGGGCAGTAGAATCCATCAGGGTATCCCTCAAGCTCTGATTATGCAGCTCTCTAACTCTGGAGACTGAGATCATCCTTGGAGCTTATAACGTTAATATTGCGAGTCCTCGACAGCTTTCAGCCCACTGCAAGAGTGGGTGTCTTGTCCTTCACGTGATATAGCATACTCGGCGACCGCACAGAGAAGACGCGTCTGGAAGCCAGCAGGGTTTCGCTGCTTCGTATCGCGCCTGTCTGGAGGGCGTCGTACGCTTAACGAGAAAGAAGCGCAGAATGCCAGGATTATGCACTCTTTCAAGAGTGGGTACGGAATGAGCGGGTGTCTTCCTTTTCGTGCCCTTCTTTGCGTCTGCGTGCGCTTGAACGCATTGCTTCCTGATGAACTTTCCACTTCGGATAGGCTCGTTGGACAATTCGCGGAAAAAGGTGCGTGCCTTCTTGTTAAGGAGGATTAGGGAGCGTAAGGTTGCACCCGCTGTCAGCTCCGCGATCCGTGAGGTCCGCGACATGCGTGTTGGTTTCGAAGATCGCGATTCGTGACTCCCGAGAGCCGATGTTCTGGTGATGATCTGCCAAGTCGTGCGTTGGTTGGCACATCGCAGTTCGTTCTACCGCGGCTCCCGGCCCACGACGAGACTTCTGGGCGATGGATGGGTCTGGCTCGCCTGGTGGACCAAGGGATGCAAGGGGTGGAGGCAGGGAGAGTGAATTGTGTTAGAAGTTGATCTGAATGGTTTGCTGTTCGCATTCGGGGTTGGTCCCTGGACATCAGGGTCTGGGCGTCGGACTGGCTGAGTGGATCCTGAGTACGTTGGTTTGCTGGGTAGGAACTAGATGAAAGGAACGTGAGTAAGGAACGGCCTGTTGCCAGCGCCGAGTCCCAGCGTCGAGTTAAGGCCTGCGTGCTCCAGGCGGGGGGGGGGGGAAGAGTATGCAGGGCCGCAGGGAGTGACGAGGTCAGCGAGGGCGCTGGATTGGCCGATCGTGAGTACTGGAAACCGAGAGCAATGGACGCTGGCAGGCACTGAGGGGATGATGTGCGGGGGTAAGAGGGGCGGACAGTGATGGACACCCAGGAGCGTCAGAGGGGAGCGCGCGCCGCGCGCGCCAGCCGTAAACACCGCCGCCCAGCCAATCGGCCTCGGCAGGATCCCAGGATCCAACGAAATCCAACAACATCCAGCCCATCGCCCCCCGCGTCCTCCCTCCTGCGACTCCAAGCGTGCTGCATGCTGCTCTGTCCAGACCATCCACCCGATACACCTAAACATACGACGCTCTTCCATCCGAGCTTAAGGCGGATCGATCCATCTAAGCATCAAGCATCATCAGCTGTGAACCAACGCCCGCTCCCAGAGCTTACTTTGTTCGATCGACCCGACCAAGCACTGGCGGTGCACTCGCGGAACCCAATCAAAACAATCCCCCCCCCCCCCAGCTCGGCAGGCAGCACAGGCAGACACAGCGGTGGCCAGCCAGCCAGTCGACCAGTCGGCCAGTCGTGTCACCCACCCTCACCTCTCGTGACAACTCTCGGCCTTTCACATTACCCAACCCGGCCCCGCCTGCCTGCCCATCGCCCCTCGCCCATCCTGCATCCTGTCCCGTCTTGTCCACCACTGCGCGTCATTTGTTGCGTTTAGCATACCCTCCGAGTTTCACACTCACGTACGACCACGACATCAGCAACTCCATCATCTACCGACGGCACTCGCCCCCTGGCTCCTAACTCCTGGTCTAATCTCCAGATAGGCCCAGGACATTGCGCTGCTGTGGGATCTCGGAAGGGATCCTCCGACCAACAGCGGTAACAAAGTTAACAGGCGACCCCTGGTCGTCCCTCGGCCCTCGATTCTGTCGTCGTGCACAGAAACGCAAACATTCGACTGCATCCCTCCCTCTCCTTCTCCCCAGGCCAACTCTGCGACAATACAACGATAAAACGTCGACGTCTCTTCTCCTTGCAACCCCTTGCTTAGCGCGCACCGCCGAAAACCAGAGTCCCTTGTCGTCCGCTGTCGCCAGCGCTGGATCCCAAACGTCGACCCCTGTCATTCAACCTGCGGCACGGGAACTAGGTGCTTCCAACCCATATAACCTGTAACCCAATCCCCGACAGCCTGCCAGGTCGCGCTCGACTCCCGCCGCCGCCGCCGCGTTCGCCGCGTTCATCCTGTTACCCACTCTCTCGACACGAAACCTGTTCGCGAGTCACTCTTTTTCAAAAGAGCCGCTGTCATGGCGTCTTCTTCTGCTGGCCCATCCTCTTCCCGGAGGTCACAGTCAGCAGCAGTCGCGGCTGAAATCTGGGACGACGACTTTGACTTTGACATCGAAGGCTCGACACCAGCCCCTCCCAAACCGAAACCGTCTTCGCGCCATCAACAACAACACTTGTACTCGCAACACGACCAGTCACCAAGCCGGAAAGGCTCGTCGTCATCGTCAAACTACAACGCGCTTGGTCTCGGTGTATCACGCTCCGGATCACGAACAAACGCGTTTCCTATCCGGTTGGATTCCAGCGACGAGTCGGATGAGGACTGGGACCTGCCAGGCTCGAGGATAATGGCGGCAACATACGCCAACACTCCGCGCAATCGCGGGTCGGTCATGCTCGCATCGCCAGCTCATCTTCAACCGCCGAGGTCGCCCCCGCGCTCATCTCCCTCACATTCCCCTACCCTCCCCAGCAATGCCTCTCTCCATCGCACCTCCGCTCTTCCTATCCCGACGACGCCTGGACGGAATCGACTGGGCAAGCGACAGTCCGCCGTCGGGCTGAACTCGTCACCTGTGCGCGACCCTCAGCTGCGGCATTCGCCCGGGCATAAGAGCTCACCAAACCTTGCTGAAATGGAACGGCTTTCGTCCCACGCGGTCGCGCGTGCCAAGCTTGAGGGTAACTCCGGCCAGAGGGCAGTGTCGGCGGCCGCCCCCAGCACTCCACAGAATCAACGAGCGGCCAGCCCGATCAGGCGGCGGACAGCGTCCAAGTCCTTCGGTTCCCCAGAGCTCTCGCACTCGCAGTCCACGGAGCAGCTCAAGTCATCTAAGAAAGGCTTCAGCAACTTCTGGAAACGGCTGTCTGCTGGTGCGAACTCTCCCTCAAACTCTAGTGAGTAACCAGGAACCGTGTGTTTGTTTGGGCAGCATAGCTAACGAACCAGATTCCTCGCCCGACTTACGCAAACGGTCATCGTTCTCGGCGGCCCTGTCGTCGCGGAAGACGACGGAAGCTCCGCCCGTGCCCCCGCTCCCCCCAAACATGCGGACTCCCAGCTCATCCTCAGCTGCGTGGTCCGTCTCATCCTCTCAACAATCAACGCCATCGTCAGCCGCCACCTCTAAGCAGGGTGCAACCAAGCGATTGTCGGCGATGATTCGGCGATCGTCAAGCAACCTCGCTGCTCACGCATCTGCCTCGCCAAAAGCGCCCCACAAGGAGATCAGCTCTATCAGCTCGCCTGTCGGACCGACGATCCACACGCCATACTCGGTCACTTTCGGTCCGGACAGCACTGTGTCTTTAACTCAGATGCCGGCATCGTCCATGGCAAGCACTGGATCGCCTCTTGCCAAGCAGCCGTCGCTGCAACAGCTGAATGGACTGAATGCGACAATGTCTTCGTCTTCTGTCAACCTTATCGGCGACGCTACGCCCCAGCCGCGCCTTCGCACGACCTCTACGGTCACCACCCAGTCTCAGAATCAGCGGAAGCCGAGCCCCTTAAAGCACGTCGAGCCGAAGCCTGTCGAGTCGTCCGACGAGCTCCCTCGCACGTTCTCGCCTGGCTTCCATTTACCGTCAACAACACCGAGCTCGCCGTATCGCCAGCGCACGCTCGCCGGTTCAGTCACCTCGTTCCAGGCGCAGTCTCAGACTAGCCCGAGTCCGTTAGCGGTCGAGACCTTCCCTACGGATAACAGCGACACCGAGACCGAGGAGAGTGTAGTGACTGGTCGCACAAAGAGCAAGGTTACTCCTATCACGATGCCCGTGCCTCGCGTCAGACAGTCGACCAGCGTCAGCAGTGGCTTACGGGAGATGAATGAGGCTGCTTCGACCGAAGCCCCTCGCCCCTCGAATGTGTCCTCCATGTCGCGGAAATCGGTGCAGCAGAGGCTCTCATCCGATCCGTCCAGTACCGCTTCGCACGAGTCGGAAAAGTCTTCAACGCTGAAGCGCATCACCTCCTTCTCCAAGAAACACGGTAGACGGCTGTCCGGTGGATGGAAATTCGGGCAGGGTTCCAACGACGAGAAGCACGGCCCCTCGCTGGAGACGGTCTCTGGATCGCCGTCTAAGCCGGAAGCCATGCTCGGGCACACGAACGGCAGTGCTGAGCCGCCGTCTCGTGGGAAGACCGCTTTCCCGTCCGACCCGCGACCCAGTAGCTCGGTTGCGAGGAAGAAGGCTGCCAGTCACGAGCCAGGCACCGGTGGTGCGGGACAGCTCAACACTGCCTTCTCCTTCGGCGGTGCGTCTAACTCTGATGGAGCCGCAGACGCTACCCCGAAGCAGGCCAAGAGGCGGTCGCAGCAAGATTTCGTCATTCCGGACAATGTGCTCGCAAAGCAGAAAGAGCTGAAACGCGGGATCACGTCGGTCAAGAAGTTTGCTGGAGGTGTACAATGTAAGATATGCCTAGCATAGAGCGATCTAACACACAGCCCTCAAGTCACTTGTTGAGTCTCACGAGCGCGTCTGCAACAGCGTGCTGCAGAACGGTACCGCGGACGACACGCGCCTTTTCGTGGACCTCGAGAACGAATACGCCCAGTGGTGGGAAATGGCCACAGTGCTCATTGAGGTGGGCTCTACTGGCACGCAGCAAGAGGAAGAGGAGCCAGAGTCGGTCCGATTGAGGCGCATCACCTTGGCCGCCAACGACGCTCGAGCCGCCGGTGAGGCTTTACGGTCTTTGTCAGGTTCCAGCTCGGCTGCTCGGTCCGTGCTGCAGAATTACCAACAGGAGGACGGCGACGTGTTCACCATGATCAATGGACCGCCGCGCCAGAGGTTTGGGTCCGCAGGGCGGCACGACCTGTCCAAGCGCCAGCTCGAGGTACTCCGCACCATGCTTCGAACACCCGTTGAGGCGAGCGAATCTGTTGTTCCTTCTGTCGATCACAGACAAGCCGAGACGATCTGGGGCATGACGGCTAGCCGACGTCACGCTCACCAATCGATGCCTCCCATGCCGACAAACCACCACACGCAGCCCCGTCACAACGCTGCGGCCTTACTGGACACTGCGACCGGACAAAAGCGGCCTTCCTTCGCTGATCCCCCTGCGGTCAACGCCCAGCCTCAAGCTGCCTCGACAATAGGTCGACCGCAACCCCGCAGCCGATCTGGGCTTGCCGGACTGCGCGACTTCCTCCGTGGTCTGAAGGGCGGAAACAAGGCCTCGCAACCGCCAGCCACTGCAGATGCTGGTCGCGCTGGCCGCCGTGGGTCACGGCCCCCTCCCTTAAACCTTGCCGCCGCAGACGCGTACCCCCAGTCTCCTCCGACGTCACCGACTATCACCACGGGCACGAGCGAGTCTTTCGGGACACGCACAGGCACAAGTCGAAGTAGTATGCGGCTTAGCAACGGATCCCCATCGAAGGACAAGCGGCGTCGCCCCAGCCTCAGAGGCATTTTCCGTGGAGGCTCTGGCAACTGGTCTGAGCTCGTCAAGTCGCCCACAAGCGGTGCTCCATTGACCCCTGTGCAGGAGCCGCCGAGCTCGCACACCTCGTCGCAGACTGGATTATCGCGGCCGCCATCGATTCCGGCACTGGCGCGCTTGAAGACAGGAAGAGCAGGCGAGTATGGGCAACTCGGCGTCGAGTCTCCCCCAGCCTCTCCTGTGCGCACCAGCTCTGACCCTCGTGTGCCTCGCACGCCTCCGCCCAATGGCAGTGTTGCGTCGGTTGACGATGCGACGCTGCGTCTGCGCTCCCGAGTACTGGGCTTGGGTCACCCGTCTGAGGCTTCTCCCGGACGCACTGCCAGTTCGCCGGTCAACCGCCCTGCGACGAACGGGCTTGCGCCCGCAGAGGACAAGACGCCCCGCTCCCGCTCGGACACTGGGCCTGGACGTGACGAAACCGTGATTGCCTTGACGCCCGAGAACTTGCCCGTGCTCCTGGACTATGTCCGCCAGTGCGAGCGCAAGCTCGAGGAGTGGAAGGGCCGCGCGCACGGTCTGGAGGATCTGAAGCCTCTGCCGCCCCAGCGACCTGGATCTATCAGCTCTGTGCGGCCCGCGTCGTTCAAGTCGCCCAGCGTCAAATCAGCTGCGACCACGGTGCGACCTGGATCGATGAAACCCCCGTCGACAAAGGCACCGTCGATCACTGGAGCCAGATCTCCATCCCTACCGCCGTTACGCTCTCCGCCTCTGAGTGCGTCTGCGCGGATGTCCACCTCGGCCTCGATGGAGACACAGGCGCACACGCAGAAGCTCTGGGCCGCGGCGCAGGCTCCGGCTCCCAAGAAGCCTGATTGGGGAGTGGTATAGGATGCCACTGCCGCGACCACCATCCCTGATGAAGGAATGGAAGACGATTACGAAGACGACTACGACGTAGACACCACTATCCGGGGTACTACGATTGAATGACTACCATGACCTACTGTGCAAGCATCGCGTTGCAGAGAGCGATGCAGGCATGTAACAATAACATAGTTTAGTATAATTGCAGCATGCAACACGCACCACGCACCCCGCCCCACGCGCCCTGCACGCCGCGCACCGCGCGCTGTCATACAATGCCCACCGGATTTTAGTGTGCGCCGCATTGTGCTGAGGCTGAATACACCCTAAGCGCGTATGCATGCGCATCATAGCTTGGAATGGCCCGACGCGCAGTCGGGTCAAGTATAGGTGAAGGGGCGTGAAAGGTAACGGCATTTGATCCACTGTCATTGACTCCGCATGCACTTTGGCCCACGTAGTCGCCACCCAACTTGTACCACATGCACGCTGCAGATCGCAAACCCGTCAACTTTGCTTTCTCCAACTCTAAATTCCACCGAACGCAATCGCAATCGCAATCGCAATCTGTACACTCCGTCACTTCTCCTCAACAGACACTCCTTCCCTCCCTCGCTCCCACTCTTGGTTCTCTCCTTTACGCCTCTCACGGAAACGGCTCCCACGACCGCACCCTCCTACGCACGCGATCAGCGCTCCACCCGACCACGAAAACAATAACAACAGCGCCGCCCCCCTTCCCCGACCACGCCCGGCTGGCATTCCTGTCCACAGCCCAGCTGGCATACCCTCTGCGTGCATCCTTCCCTGGAACAGTAAGTGTCTTGCTTCATCCGTCACTCGGGGTTCGATGTATGGACCTTGCGCTGCAGAGTGATTCTGCGCAGGCGGAGCGTCCAAGCGTTAGCGGTTGAGTTGGAGCGGGCCAACGGCTAGCTGTGAACCGTGCGCAGACCCATGCATGGTTGAAATGACACTATCGCATGTGCGGATGGTCCTGGGGCTTAGTGTGGCGACAGCCATCACCCTGCCCTGTTCCTGAGACGGTGAATCGGCTTGTTTCCGAGGCTTGTGTAATGTCAGTGCATTGTCTATGCACACCCCAACCCCAACCAGCACAGTGTTCCGAGTGGTCATGCGGAAACGCCGATGCGAGAATCGCGACAGAGCTGGAATCACGGTCGTGACTGGAGCCTAGCCGCGCAAGGTTTAGTCCTTGGCCAGCGTCATCATGACACTGTCCACTTCGCTCCAACGGGTAACCTGATCCGCGGCATCTTATCGGATAACTCTATACTAACGCAAGTAGCCTCCATCACTCGGACGACCTTAACGCCCACGCAAATTCTCTCTCGCCGTTGCGCACTGCATCCCGTAACGTCCGCACGCTCAAATTGGACTTTGCACACCCTACGAGCCCGCCGTCGCCATGAGCACACCCGGTCGCACGAAACCGTGCTCTCCGAACGTGTCTAAGAGCAGAACGGCGGAGCAGATCCCTGACATCACGATCGCGCCCGACAGCCCGATCGAGCCTCGCCGCACCCCCTCCCGAACTAACGACTCAAGATCCAACTCTTGCTATGGCCCACCAGCCGCTGCAAAGGGCTCGGTCCCTCCGGAACTGCCGCCTGGTGCGGCACCTCCACCGCCAGCCCGTCCTCTACTCGCGCCGGAACGAACTCTGTCGCGCAGCGCCAGCCTCAGCGTGCGACCATCACCAGCTGGGCCGAGCTCACGATCGCGGCGTAGACCAGCGACCATTTTCGACAGCTTGAGCGAAGCTCCATCAATCCCGGAACTGGTCGACCCGCGCCGCACGAGCAACCCGCCTCGATACTCACAAGTGGTCAGCCCTTCCTCTTCTCGTCGGCCGAGGGAGAAGAGCAGCTGGCGTCCTTCTGACTCCCGAGCCAGCGACTCCTTGTATGACAGCTCGGAGGCTGATGCCCGCGTTCCAAAGAACGATGTGCCTGAGCGGTGGGAGCGCCCGTTCGAGGTGAACACCGATCATGACATACTCGACCCGGTGCTGGAGACAGCGGCCGAGCCAGAGGCTTCTGGCGACACTAGCCTCAGTGGCTCCGCCCTTGCGTCATTCCTCGCTAGTGAGCGCCGTCGGGATCTCAGCCTCGCGGACCCGTTCTCCGAATTTGCCGGCCGTGCAGCCTCGCCTCGATCGCCCCGCCTGGGATCACCAAACTCGCCTCGTATCCGCACACCTCGACTCACCTCCCCGACCCACTTAGAGGAGCCCCAAGTCGTTCGCACTCGCAGTATCTCCAGCCCACACATCACCTTCAGATCGCCCGAACCTGAGCGTCGACCGGAGACGGAGCAGCGAAGGCGCCCTAAGTACGCTCGGCATGGGTGGCGACCATCGCAGGCTGCAGCAGGTGATCACCTGTACGAGCCTCCCACCCTGGATGACGATATGCCGGCTCAGTGGGAGCGTCCATTCGATCTTCATGACGAGTACGAGATCGATGTCCACAAGCACAAGGCGCAGCCGGAGCCCGAGCCGGAAACCCCAATCGACACTAGCGCTATCAACAGCTTCTTGGCCACTGAGCGCCGGAGAGACATCGGTACAACGCAGTGGGCAAACCAGCTGCAGTCGATGGGTGATAGCATCCGTGCCGATCCCCAGACCGCTGCCGTACTCACCAGGGTAGCGACGAGGAACCGCGACCACAGTGAAAGTGGACGTCGGCACCGACGCGGCCATTCCAGGAATGAGAGCTGGGACGGGAGCGCTATCCTGGGTAATGTTGACAGGAGAGGCAACTCGGAAATCAGTAGACCGAGCCGGCAAGCTACCATCCGCGCGGTTCTCGATCCCATTCCTGGAGCCGTGCCCGACTGCACTGCCGATGGACGCGAAGCTAGGCGGCACGCCCGTCGGATCCGCCAAGGTCGCGAGGACCATGAGGACGCACCGCCCGCGTACATGCCGGACCGGCCTCCGATGTACGTTGAGGGCGGTACGCGCGCCTGAGACGCCTGAAACTTAGACTTAGACCGTACGACCTCTGTGCAGAGGGCGCAGGAGTTGTCGTGGATACAGTTGTCATTCAAACGCATCGTCGTAGCTTATAATCCCTTGTGTATAATGCATCAATTGTCTGTATCAATTCGGTGTGTGGGTTCCTGGGTCATGCGGCGCACTTGATCGTGCGATTGCATTGACGCCAGCATTGCCAGCCGTCAGTCGCCGCAAGCTGCGCACTAAGAATCGTATGGCCGCCATCGGGTAGGGAGAAAGCGTACGGGTTGGCCGCATAGCCTGTCACCGGAACTGAGCCGAGTACAGGAACCGCATCAAGCCGCACATTAGCTCATGAGTCATGTGGATGCTGGTTGCCGCCGATTCCCATGGGCCCGCTATGAATGGTTTCGCTATATAACCCATCTGACCTGTGCGAATGCATTTCTCCTCGCCGCCCTCCGTTCCCCCTTCGCTGCACCATGTCGACGACGGCGCACAGCTACCGGCCCATCTCGTCCTCGACCCTCTCCTCCCTGCCCGTGGACTTGACGCCGTCGACGAGCCCGAAGCCCAAAGTCGCACCCCCGCGCAAGCCGACCCTCGCTCAGCGATGGGAATCCTTCATCCGCGTCCGGCAGGAGTACTCTCTCAACATGGTGCGGCCCTCCTTCTTCGCTCCCGTCCCCGACGCCCGTGACGCTCGCAAGTCATCCACAACTTCAAACGGCGAGCGCGGCACGAAGACTCAAGCCCAGGGCCAGCTCCCGCGAAGCGACATGACAATGACGACAGAGGCGCGCAAGCTCACCAAGGCCAAGGGCAAAAGCAAGGCGCGCCGCGCGGCGTGAACGTGCTCCAGTCCGGCACAAGTCGAACGTGTTCGGCCACTTAGCTCAGTTGGTTAGAGCGTATGCTTAACACGCGAGTCTTACGCATAAGGTCGGCGGTTCGACCCCGCCAGAGGTCATCTTTTTGGCTCGTCTTCACCGTCTCCGCTGCTCTGCTCGCCATCGACGGCGACGGTGACGGCGACGGCGGCGACGAACAACAACACCCATCCTCCATCGCATCAAGAACGAGGCACTGACGAAAGTGAAACGACGCCCCGATGGGGCGCACGGACGATCAAATGTGAAGGGACGATCTGCAACCACGTACGTGGGGGCGTCACTGGGCTCACTCGGTCCGGTGATCAAGCCGCATCTGCAACGGACATTGGTTTCAGGACTGCGTCATCATCTGCATAATTTCCGATTCCATACTCTCATAATGTAAGCGGCGTAATCTTATCAGCCGCTGCTGTGTATGTAACGAGCTTGTAATGCTGAGAGGTGCGATCGGGATGATCGGGGAGGGAAGCAACATGACAATGTCAGGGATCTCTACTGTTCAGGCGCCATGTTGGTCAGCATGATCAGCCGGGCAGCGCGGAAACGGTGTTACGGAACCTCGTCGAGCACACGACTGCGTACTGCGAGGGGCGCGATTTACGCTTTCGCCTCTCCTGCGCCCCTGCACTGCATAGCCTTGACAGTCACCTGTGCGTGGGTGCGCCCTTATCCCAGAGTTGACGACCGAGTGTGGCACTTCGGGAACTGTTTCATGCACCTCCACTCGGGCAATGAACACTCCTCAACTACTCATCTGCACCGAAATTGCATCGCCATCGAGAATTGTCGAGCCTCAAATATCTACAGCAACGACGTTGGGGACAGAGGAGGTGAGCTGCATAGCCTGTGCACGCCCTCGCACCTCCGCAGGGCCCTGAAGCGCCTCGTCCCTCTCAGGAGCATTCCGCCGCCATTTCTTCCACTCTCTCTCCTCCCTCTTTCACTTCCAAACCTTCCAACAACCTCCAGAGATTCCGGAGACTCCGGGGAAGCGCAAAAACGATGTTGACATGATTCGAACATGCGCTCCCGAAGGAAGTTGATTGCAGAATCTCTCCCGAAGGAGACCATTCGAGTCAACCGCGTTAACCACTCCGCCACAACACCGGTTGAGAGGCGGTCGGGTGCGCAGCACTCGGCGGCGGCGCCGGGGGTGCGAGCGGGGAGGGAGTGTGCAAGCAGCGGCTTGAGCATCTCGAGCCGAAGGGGAAGGTTGTAAGTGAATGGTGGCAGATCGTGAGGGACGAGGGTTAGCATGCTCGGCGGAGAAAGGCTCGTCAGGGAGCACGGGGAGCACCGGACCAGTCTACGCGTCTGAAGCCCACTACTGTCGGCGTAGCTACTAAAACCAGAAAGACGAAGCTGCCCAGGCAGGAATGAAGCCTTGTAGAACCGTAACACCACTACGAAATGTATGGCTAGATGGAATAGCTCTTCCGAAGATTACAAAGTCTTGGTCATTGTGGTAGTACAATGGCAACGGTTACTTTGTCTGTGAGTCTACATCATTACGATTCTCGCAAGACAGGCAGATCAGATTCCGTCGGAACACTTCTCAGTTTGAGCCTTTCCATCGGGATTGACGGCCTTGCAGACGGTACTGCTTGCGCCAGTGACGTGCTCGGACAAGTAGTTTGCCACACCCACGGCTGCGTCGAGGTACTCGCAGATCGGGTTTCCCTGCTGGTTGGGGCTGCAGAGGTCTGCGCTGAAGTAGAGGGTGTTCCAAGCCGACTCGGAGCCCTTTAGGTAGATGGGTGCCGCGAGATATGGCGGGATCACCGGCTTGTTGTACTTCTCGGCTTTGCCACCGCTGACGGCGACCAGCGGCCCATCGGTGAGTGCGCAGTTGCCCTTGTTCCAGTGACGCTGCATTCGCAGCTGGCGAAAGGAGTCAACTGTACTCTGACTGAAGTCTGCATCCAGGTAATTTAATGCGGTAATGCGGTAGTGAGAGAGGAGAAAATGCTGTCGCAACTGAGCGTCGACTTCATCCCCAACATCAGGCGATGCAAGGCCGACCCGTGCCGAAGGTGGGAGCCAACGTAGGAGTGAGCTCTGAGTGGGAACCCGCTCAGTAACCGTGCCAAGGATAAAGAATATGCAGTTTCTAGCCTACCACTGTAAAGATAGTGAACACACGACATACACAGCTCCAAAAGGGAGGAAAGAGGCCATCAGCAGCCCAACAATACCACTGTGCGTTCTGACACTTCCTTACTCCGGTGCCTCCGGACCAACACGAGTCCCGCCACACATGATCACCCCAGCTCACGGCCATACATTTCTGCCCCTTGACAGGCGAGGAAGCGCCTCGCCGATACCTGTGCAGACTGGCAATCCAGACTGTCCGCGAAGAAAGTCACCCGGGCACGCCGAAGCATGCTGAAACGCGTCCGCGACGTTCCCTTTCCGAGGCACGAGCACGCCGGAACAATGTCAATTAATTCATGAAACTCAGCCCAACTCTGCATGTTTCGTTGTTCCTCGCCTAGCAGAGACGCGTACGCAACTCGCCATGCCTCGTACATGCGTCTTGGATTCTTCGGCAGCCAGCAAACGCGGCCTGTAAATGCTTCCAGCGAGTTCGCGAGCGTTCAGGAGCCTCCAAGGGGACAGGCAAATGTAAAGGGTCTGATCGTATAACGGTTAGTACACAAGATCCAGATTCTTGTAATCTGGGTTCGATTCCCAGTCGGACCTTGCTTTTGCATATCTCCCCTTCTGAACGACGTTCGGATTGCAAGCTTTTTGGACAGTTGGACAAAGGACGTTGATGGTGATCAAGTAGAACTTTGGGTGGAGGGATTGATGCCGAGGCAATCGAAGGATAAACTATTGATTATCTGGTTCCGCTCTTAACTCAAGTCTAGTGTGGCGGCAGTCGTCAACGGCGTCGTGTGGCTACACCAGACTGCCAACGAGCGCGGAATAAACATCTCACCGTCATCTGGTGGGGGCCCGCTGTCAGACCTCTGCATGGGCCGTTCCGTCGTAGCACTCTGAGAAGCTTGAAGGTCGCTGGAAAACTGGTAGAGGACCAAAACGCGCTGCTCTCCTGTGCCGCGGTAATGCGTTTTCGGATATACGTCAGCTGCTACATCCGAGTGACAGATCACTCAGGCACGGTCTGGTCGTATAACGGTTAGTACACAAGATTCTGATTCTTGTAATCTGGGTTCGATTCCCAGCCGGACCTTTCCTTTTGCCTTTTGCGGCCTTTCTCTCTGTCGATAGAGCTTCTAGGAATGCACGCACTGCAAGATTACCAGTGCAGTAGCAGTCAAACAAAATGGTGTCAACATACATGCAAGACTAGACTAGATAGTGTACAACTATGTATCCATGTCCATGACCTCCCAGCCCTCGCTCAGATGCTCTTTGCCTTCTACATCGGGCTTGCTCGCTCCCCATCTTGCGTGCTCGCACGTCAGGACGCTGGCAACGACCTCGGAGATGTCGAGGCTGAAGCCCATGTGCTTCACCGTGTCCGACGTGCTCGGCTCGTGGGACTTGCACCCGAGTGTCGGCGATTCGGCCGTGAGCGCAATGAGCTCGAGCACCGACGTCGCAGAGACGAGCACGCCGTCGCTGCCGGGGAGGAAGCGGGGTGAGTCGTTCTCATCAGAGCTCTTCCGCCTGTTAGACGGAGCGGGGCGGAAGCTCTGCGGCCCGATGCCGATACCGAGCACGCCCTGCGTAAACGCGAGGTAGGCGACGGAGTGGCACAGGAGCGCAAAGCTCTCGAGAAAGTGCTTGTGCTTCTTGTACGACTTGAGCACGATCTGGGCCTTCTCCTGCTTGCTCCCTGCGTGCTTCTTCGAGACGTACGCCTTGCTCGACATCCAAAGCAGGTGCTTGTCCCGCCACTTGGTCGTGCTGAGGAAGGGCAGGTTCGCGATCATGTACGGTCGCCCGACGTGCTCTTGCTCGTTGAATGTTGGCGTGAATGGGATCGAAATCGACAGGTACCGCGTCATCAGACTGAGGAGGTGAATGATGTGAAGCACGATCGCATTGATGTGGAGGGATGGCTCCAAACGGAACAGCTCCGGCGAAGAAGGTAACTGCAGCCCCGCAATCTCCCATGACCTGCGCCGCTGCACACCAAAGACGTCGACAACTTCCCGTACGAGTACCCGCCGAGCGTGAATAATCCGCTTGCCGACCTCGTGCTGCTTCGATCGCACAAGCGCAATGTTGGCTCGCAAGTCAGCAGCGTTCGGTCGATCCCGCTTGGCGTTCTCGATCACCTGCGCCCGCTGCAGGTAGTCGGACCGGACAACGGCATCTCTGGCTGCTGGTCAGCTAGATTGCACGACTCAAAGCTTACCCTTCTTCACTTCTGATGTTCGAGCCTTCAGCTGCCGCCGCAGAGACGCCACCCGCTCCTCTGCAGCTGCGACCTCAGCCCGCAGCTGCCTCCACTCCTGGGCGCCTCTCGAATGGTTGTGCCCTCCCTCCAGCAGCTTCTCGGCGTGCTTGACGGCAACATCGACCTGCTGCTGAACATTCTTCTTGATCACCGAATGCTGACCAACCCTTGTACGTCAGCTCGTCCGACAGGCCATCATCGCAACTCACCCTTCCCGAATGCAACTGGCGCAATACTGGCTCCTCTTGGGGAGATTGCAGCATGGACAGTTGTACATGTTGGATCTTCAGAAGGCGCCGTGTTCTCTATCGAGCATTGTTGATGGTACGACGATTCCTCAAGGATTGGATTGTGTAAGATAAGATTGGGACAGTCAATGACGAGATCGTACCAGTAGTTAACCGGTCCCTCCACAGTCGGTCGAGCAACCCGTCAACATGAGTGGCGACGGAATCAAATTCGATCACCCTCCTCAGGTGCCTCATTGTTGAGAGCGCTAGCGGCCAGCGCAGGGAAGGGGAGAGCGCTACGCGAGACGGCAGGGGGTATGAGCAGAGGGAGAGGACTGCGCGTGTACATGGGAAAAAGGGGAAGCCTCGGACCTCCCCTGGGCTTGCCCTGGGCCACCGCGCGCGCCCTCAGCCCAGGTGTCAATTTCAAGCGTCCAGGAAAAGACGCGAGACCGCGACCGGCACGGCGACGCGGTTGACACGTCGAGCGCCAGTGCGTGCACCAAGCACTAGCCACCCCAGGCCCCATAGCACCACCACGGCATTAAGCCATCACGAAAATGAGAGCACTTTTCATCCTCACCTGAACCAAACATGAAAACAAATAGTCTCACGATCTCATGCTTCCATCCATGCATTAGATCTCACACAAACAGCAACATGACGGCGTGGCGTACCCCGTGGTCATAGGAGCAGTCATGTATCATTATGCAGACTTGAAAGAGGCGGGATGCAGGAGAGGTGGTGTGTGACGGGGAAATTAGAGCCCCTTGACCCTCTCGAACAAAGTGACAATGTCAGGAGCTAAGGTTAAAATCGGGAAGCATCAGACTGGAATCATAACACGACCAGGACCCAACATCTCGCGTTTCAGCTTTCAGCTTCATACACTCATCCTCGTATCCTCGAGAAGCTCTCGCTCAACACTACTCCTCTCCATCCACCCACCCACACTCGGCGTCGCTTGTCCATCCTCACTGTTTCTCGCCTGCGTTGCCCCGTTCCGAGCGTCCCTACGCCCTTCCGCCAGTGAACCCTTCATTTCGCTTTTTCGCCCCTCCCCTTCCCTCCTCATCCACCTTCTCTCCCGTCCAAGAACTTCGTGTCTTCTTTCCATCGCTTGAACGCCTCGCCAAGTCTCGACCTCGAGCCCCATTCCAGCCATGTTCAACGGTGGCCTCGACTTCGGAGGCATTACCCGCCAGCCGGTGTTGCTAGGCACCTTCGCCCTCGCCATTCCGGCCTGGGTCATTGCATTCGCAGGACAGTGTGCTGCTGAGGCTCATCACAGGGGCGGCGGCACTGCTGTCGGCACTGTCTGGTTCGGCATCTGGGTCCAACTGTGAGCTTTCGGGGAGACTTACGAGCTGACATTGCAGTTTTGTCATCGTCTTCTTCCTGTATGTTGACCGCTGTGCTATCCGCCCGGCAAATACTGATCTCTACACAGCCTCGCCGCTCTCAGCGACGGAGTGGTTCACTACCGCTTGCAGCTTTCCATCTTCGGCGCCATCAGCCTGGTCTATGCTGTCACTGGCACTAACGGTGGTATCTACAGCAAGGATGGAAGCTACATTGCCATGGCCGTCGGCTGGCTCATTCTGGCCATCGTCGACGTGAGTGTAGCTACACTTCGCGGGGTGATTAGCTGACCCACCAGATGATCTGGCTCTTTTACCTGACTTCGGAGGACGGCACGTTCCTCGGCGACATCCTGGGTAGCAACTGGGGTGGTAGCGGTTACGGAGGTGCTCGCCGCTCTGCGCAGATGAACGACATGGGCGGCTACGGAGCGGAGTCTGTCGGCCTTAGGAACGGCGCCGCCGACCGCGGGATGGTTAGCCAGGACCTCGGCACCGCGAACGGACGGTACATGATGGACAACGGCTACTCGTCGCCCATGAACGGCATGGCCCCCTCGCCGCAGAAGGCCCCGCAGATGAGCGCTGCCGCGCCCGTCCGCGAGGTCATGGACTCGCACAGCGTCTCTGGCCAGTCGGCCCAGTCCGGACCTGGTGGCGAACCCCAGTTCAGGCATAAGGCGAGGTGAGTGCGGAGCCGGTGCGGTCTCGGTCAGGTGACCCGGGGCACACATGCGACGATGTGTGGAAACGACGACTGACGCCCAGGGCGAACTATGCCTACTCCGCCTCGCCGGATGACCCTAACGAGGTGTCATTCGCCAAGGGCGATGTCCTCGACGTTGTGGACACGACTGGAAAATGGTACCAGGTCCGCACTCCTGCTGGACAAGTTGGAGTAAGTAGAGCAAGCTATCAGGTCGATTATCCGAAGCTGACATTTCAGATCGCTCCTTCCAACTACCTCACGCTGCTGTGATCTGAGGCTGGTCCCGGATTCGACTCATGACGTTCTCGCTACGCTACGCAAGTCACGAAGACTGAAGGGGTATATGCTGCAGCTGGGCCGCCCGGCGTTCACGCGGTAAGGATGACCAGGTGAACCGAACAATCTCCACGAACGATGTGTGCAAGTAATACAAGCCAAGCCAAGAGTCAAGTGTATGTAATTTCCGTGCCAGCATGCGTGCCAGGTCGTGCGCTCGGCTCACCACGAGTCGCATGAGCGCACGCTTCGGACGCATCGCATCGTATTCGGCAACCCCATACATTCACACTCAAGCCCTAATCAACGCACGGTCATTTCTGGTCATTCTGAAGTGCTCCCATCGCTCAAACTCGCACCAACAACACCATCATATATGCTTTGTCCCTTTTTCGTGTTAATCTATCGATGCAGAAAACATGCCCAAAAGACTGGCAATCCAGAGACATGTCTCAGGCAGTACCTTCCCGAGATCGAGACGGGGCTGTGTTCCACGCCAGTTTCCTGCGCCGTTGCGAGGCCATGGCGATCAGGCGAGGCCAGCTAATCTCGATGTCTTGGTCATGGCAAGTTACATTTTAAACATTGGGCTGCGTCTAAAGATTGAGTGATTCTACAGATGGTTGCTCAGCCTCGACGGACGAGGTGGCACTACTTCTTCTTCTTGTTCTTCTTCTTCTTCTTCCCTCCTCCGCTAGTGCTAGGGGCAGCCTGGGCGGCCTGAGGAGCGGTCTCTGTGGACTCGGGGGCAGGCTCGTCGGTGTCCTTAGCGTCGTCGTCGTCTGCGGCCTCGTCCGCGGCCTCCTCGGCGGGAGTCTCATTCACGGCGGCAGCGATAGGTGTAGCGGAGTCAGAAGCGTCGGGTGGAGGCACGATGTCACTCTGTGACGTCTTCCCCTCGGCCGTCTCCTCGGCACCCTGCGTACCGTCCCTCTGCACCGTGATGTCTGCGGATGGCTCTGCACGCTCTGCAGACTCCACGTCCTGACCCTTCTGGCCAAGATCCGAGGGATTCGCAAGATCGGCGGATCCCGACGCCGCCGCAGAAGTCTCAGGAGCAGCAGGAGCGGCAGGAACGCTTGTTTCATCGTCCTTCTCTGTCGCAGATGTTGCAGGTGCGCTAGGTGCGCCGTCCTTGGGCGCGTCGGACGCCTCAGGGCCGCGATCGCCGGAAGAACTGGTCCCGCCCACTGCCGCAGTCTCTGTCGCAGTACTGGCCGCGCCGATCGGATCGGCGTCAGTCTTCGCATCCTGTGCTGCCGGGGTGGATTCCTCATCTGCTGCGGGCGCGCCGTCCCTGGGTTTCGGCTCATCTGCAGGCGCTTCTGTCGTCTCGAGCTTGCTCTCGGACTCGTCGGATGCCTTCGTAGCAGCAGCATCGGGGTTCAGAGTGGGCTCCTCGGTAGGTGCGGGGGCTGGGGCAATTACGGCTGGAGTGTCGACCTTGTCCTCCCCCGCCTCTACAGATGCCATCTTAGCCTCCACCTCAGTCGGTGTCGGCTCAGCGTCGGCCGTAGGCTCCCCGGCCGCGGGCTCGTCTTTCGTCTCCATGACAAGCTCTGGTGTCTGGACAGGTGACGGCGCCTTGACCGGCGAAGCAGGCTTGGTAGAGTCGAGAGCAGCAATGTCCCCTTCTGTTGGCACAGGCTCCTCCTCCTTCTTAACCTCCGCTGTCGGCGCCGGGGCTTCCTTCTCCGCCTGCTTCTCAGGTGACGGTGGTCGCTCCGCCTCCCTCGACTTGCGCGGCGACGGCGTGCCGCCCAAGTGGTTGTCGATCTGGTCATCGATCCAAGCCTGGAGCGTGTCGAGTGCCTCCTTCAGTTCCGGGCTAGATTCAGCGGGCATGGCGCCATCATACACGCCCTTCTCGAGAGCGTTCGCGAGCAAGGGGCACACGATTCGGATCCAGCTGTCCGCGAGCGCGACGCACACCCACTGCGTCTCCTTACGACGCTGCTTGCGCTCCTCGGGCGAGAGCTCGCGCTCCGTCCGTCGCAGAAGCTGCGCCTTTTGGCCCTTCTCGGCGTCGGCGAGCGCGACCACCCCCCGTACATACTGCGCCAGGGCGTGCGTGCACTGCAGCAAAGAGGCGGACTGTACACCCGCAAGTACGGGGTAGAGATGCAAGGGAGCCAGAAGGCGGAGGCTGTTCAGCGCGGACAGGTGCGCGTTCACGAGCATCGCGAGAGGCGGGAGGCGAGAGAGCTCGCTCGGAAGCTGCTCGAAGCTCCCGCCCCACTTGATCCAGTCTACCGGGTCGGCCTGAGCAAGCAGCGACGGAACGTATTCGCCCGCGATGACCAAGGTAGTCTGGCTGCCCACACTCTTGGCGGCATCCTTCAGCGTTGTCGAAAGCGCCGAAGCACCCTCCTCCAACGCCTGGGCGTACGCCGCGCTGACCGCTTCGTTAAAGGGCTCAGTCACGAGGGAGGCAAAGTCGAGTCCGACACGAGCAAATGCGAGCGAGCAGTAGCCCAGCTGAACCAGAATCGAGGAGAGGGAGGCGGCGTCGTGCGTCATCTTCGGCACGTACTCGCCCACGAGCTGCACGAGGTCGTCGACGCACTGCCCCACGAAGGAAGCGAGGTGCGACGCCGCCGCAGGAGAGGGGCATGAGGACTCGAGGAAGATCGTCGTGAACTGCGAGATGATGTCGAAGACGTGCTCGCGGAACAGGTCCACGTACTTGCGCACGTAGCGGACAGGGTCGCCGCGGTCACCTTCGAGCAGCAGCTGGTGCGCGCGGAAGTTCGATAGCCGCGACACCAGGAAGACAAGGCCGAGCTCCATCTCCTCCACACTTCCCAGCCGTCGCAGATAGCCGACGGTCTTGATGAGCGAGGGGAGTTTGATCGGCTCGCGGAGCAGAGCGAGCAGCTGTGCAACCATGACCTGCAGCACGGCGTCCACCTCCTTCGAGACGTCCTGCACGAGCTCGACGCCGGGGTATCGCTTGCTGAGCGAGGTGGCGTGAGCACTCAGCTCCAGAGCCTCCTGGTAGTATCCGTTCCGCACGCAGGTGTCCATGAGCTGAGGAATCTCGAGCAGGTCGAACAGCTTGTCCTGGTGCTCCTGCACAAGTAAAGCCTTGCTTCGAGCGTCCTGCACGCCCTTTGTAGACTTGACAAACGTTCGGCACTCATCCTCCAGAGCAGGAACGGCGTCCAGAAGCTTTCCGAGAGAGCTGGAGAAGTCGTCGAAGGCCGAGGTGACAGCCGAGGAACACTTGTGGACGGAGATGAACGTCGGGTACTCCCGGAAGCAGAGGTTCGTGAGCTCAGTCTCGACACCGGCGGCCTCAGAGGAGATGACGGTCGCCTCGTCCAGAAGAGACTTCAATGGCAAGGACAGCAGCTGGTCCAGGTATCCTGACGCGGCGGGCGACGAGAAATCTGGGACCGGCTCGTGCCGATCTTGGGCCGTCGACTGGAGGAGGTCGACCAGCGATGGTGCTGGTTCTGGGCCGTTAGCATGCCTATGAACCGAGTGAAGAGCTTGTTGGCCGGTAAACTCACCCGTTGCCTCCTCCATGTTTGTTGGGAGGTGTAGGAGGGGTATAGGTGTTGGTGGACCGTTTGTTATCGTCTGAGCTCAATGTCCAGCAAGTCTCGGCGATCAGATCGTGCATCGTTGATCGGTGACGCGTAGCGTTGCCTGGCACGCCTAATATGCGGTATCGGCCGAGTGCAGTCACGGGTCAGATGAGACGTGCCTATTCATCGGGGATCCCCGCCTAACTTGTGTCCACATTCGAGGCTGTCCTGATTTGTTCATGGAGCCGTCCACAGCCTGGAATTGCATGCGGGTGAGTAGAGCGGTTATTCGAGTTACCCTTGATGCAAAAGTCGGCGAACGCCATAGACCATTGACTTTCCCCCGTCATCGTCTGTTGTCTCCTCAACACTCTCTATCATGCTCGGCTGCTCCTCCGCCGCGCTCCGCGCTAACCAGCGATCTGCTACCTGCGCTCGCCAGATGTCCTCCTCCGCTTGCAACATGATGAAGTCGGGCCTCAACAGGTACTCCAAGACCATCACGGAGCCCAAGTCTCAGGGAGCCTCCCAGGTGGGTAAACGCAGTCGCGGGCGGACATCGCTGACAGGCAGGCTATGCTCTACGCTACCGAGGGTATCGACTCCATCGAGGACCTTGCCAAGCCCATGGTCGGTGTCGCCTCTGTTTGGTAAGTGCACTGCGTCATGAGGGCGATGTGATCGGGAAACACAAACTGACTTTCCGCAGGTACGAGGGCAACCCGTTAGTATACCGATGGCCCGAGCGATCATGGCACTAACCTTTGCAGCTGTAACCGCCACATTCTCTACCTTGGCCAGCGTGTCAAGAAGTCGCTCACCCGTGCTGGTGTCACCGGATACCAGTTCGGTACCGTCGGTGTTTCCGACGGTATCTCGATGGGTACCACTGGAAGTGAGCGCGGCGTTTGCTCCAAAGTAGCGGTTCAGCTAACCAGCAGTGTCCTACTCTCTTCAGTCGCGTGACCTGATTGCCGACTCCGTTGAGACCGCCGCCGGTGGCCACTGGCTCGACGGTATGGTCGTTCTCCCCGGATGCGACAAGAACATGCCTGGAACTCTCATGGCTCTCGGCCGTCTGAACCGCCCCGGTCTCATGGTTTACGGTGGAACTATCCGTCCCGGCCACTGCGGTGGTGGTGACACCGGCAAGCCCCTCGAGACCCTCGACATCGTTTCCGCCTTCCAGGCTTACGGCCGCTACCTCCAGGAGGGTGAGACCGAGGAGGCTGAGGCCACCCGTGCCCAGACCATCCGTCACGCTTGCCCCGGCCCCGGTGCCTGCGGTGGTATGTACACCGCCAACACCATGGCTTCGGCCACTGAGGCTCTCGGTATGGCCCTCCCCGGCTCCTCCTCGTACCCCGCCGAGTACCCCGAGAAGCTCGCTGAGTGCGACTCTGTCGGTGACGCCATGGTCAACCTCCTCGAGAAGAACATCCTTCCCCGCGACATCATGACCCGCGCCGCCTTCGAGAACGCCATGGTTCTCACTATGGCCCTTGGTGGTTCGACCAACGCCGTCCTCCACCTGCTCGCCATCGCCCGCTCTGTTGGCGTCGAGCTCACCATTGACGACTTCCAGAGCGTCTCGGACCGCGTTCCCTTCCTCGCCGACCTCAAGCCCTCGGGCAAGTACGTCATGGAGGACGTTTACGCTATCGGTGGTACTCCTTCCGTCATGCACTACCTCATCAAGGAGGGCCTCATGGACGGCAGCCCCATGACCGTCACCGGCAAGACCCTCGGCGAGAACTGCGCCGAGTGGTTCGAGAAGAACTCCCACAAGTGGGAGGGACAGGACGTCATCCGCCCCATCTCCAACCCTATCAAGGAGACCGGTCACATCCGTATCCTCCGCGGAAACCTCGCCCCTGGCGGTGCCGTCGCCAAGATCACCGGAAAGGAGGGTCTCACCTTCACCGGCAAGGCCCGTGTCTTCGACAAGGAGGACGATTTCGTCAAGGCCATCGAGAGCAAGTCGATCAAGAAGGGCGAGAAGACCGTTGTCGTTCTCCGTTACCTCGGCCCCAAGGGTGGCCCCGGTATGCCTGAGATGCTCAAGCCCACCTCGCTCATCATGGGTGCTGGTCTCGGCTACGACGTCGCCTGTCTCACTGACGGCCGTTTCTCTGGTGGTTCGCACGGCTTCGTTATCGGCCACGTCGTCCCCGAGGCCCAGGTCGGTGGACCCATCGCCCTCATCCAGGACGGCGATGTCGTCAACATCGACGCCGAGGCCAACACCATCAACATGGAGGTCTCGGACGAGGAGCTCGCTCGCCGTAAGGAGAAGTGGGTCGCCCCTCCCCTCAAGGTCAACAAGGGCACCCTCCTCAAGTACGCCAAGCTCGTCACGGACGCTTCGCAGGGCTGTGTCACCGACATCCCTTAAACATCTCTTGTTTTGTAATACAAAAGTGGTTGAGACGATTAATAGGAGGATCATATAGCCACATAGCCAAGATGCATTGATAAGCCAATTTAATGACGTGGCGGAAGCAAAGTCGGCACTGTTGTTGCCACCAGACTTCGTTATCCTGAGCTGCTGATGATCATTTCGATCCCTCCACTCTAATCTTGTCTCGTTCAGCAAACTTAGGCTTCCTCGACATCATGGGAGCGGACAAGGAGCTTTACAAGCTCGAGCTTCTGTCGCTTGTCTCGCGAGTGGCTCAGGAGCTGTTCAACCACACTAAGCTCCAGGACAAAAGTCTCGCCGAGTTTGTCATCGCGGTAGGTTGACGCTGACTATTCCCGGTACCCAGCTGACAGACCAGCTTCACGAACAGAGCAAGAATGTCGACGAGTTCACAAAGAAGCTGAAAGAGATTGGCGCCGACTTCCCCGAGTCTTTCATCAAGAACCTCGACCGCCTGATCGCGACGATGCACCCGAAGTACAAGCGCAAGGCCGCGAAGGCCAAAGCCAAGGCTGCTGCAGGCAAGGGCAAGAGCGATGTCGGCGAGAGTAACGATGAGAAGGCGATTAAGGCGCGCAAGTTCCCTGGACTCTCGATGCCGGATCAGGAGATGAAGCCCGAGGACACCTACCTCGGGGGCCGCGAGGGTAAGGACGCGCGAGATGTCGACCACGATTTCTCCCTCGACAACACGATGGCCGAGCTGGAGAAGGCGGCTTCTCGGCGGAACCGACCTGCGGCGGACGACTTCATGGATGGCGAGCCCAGTGGAAAGCGAATGCGGTACGACGATCGCGACAGCGGCTACGACCGCCGGGGACGAGACCGCTACGATGACCGAAGACGGGACCGCGACGATGACGCCGGCTACGGTATCAGGGATAACGGCTGGGCGGGACGCGGCGGACGACCTGCGCCGCCGGAAGAGCGAAGAGGGCGATCTGGACTTGACGACGCCCCTGTGCTGTACAAGATTTACAACGGTACCGTCACGGGTGTGCGCGACTTCGGAGCTTTCGTCCGCCTCGATGGCGTTGCGGGCAACCAGGAGGGTCTGGTCCACGTGTCGAACATCACGGGTGCCCGACTCGAAACCGCGAGCGAAGGCGTGCGGAGAAACCAGCGCGTCAAGGTCAAGGTCATTTCGGTGGCGGGCAACAAGTTCGGTCTCAGCATGAAGGACGTCAATCAGGAGACGGGAGAGGACAACACGCCGCATCTGCGTGTCAAGTCTCGGGAGGAGATGGAGGCTGAGCAGCGCAGGATGGCGGCGCGCGTCGGTACCGGTGCCAATGCTGCGCCCCTTCACTCTTCCTCTATGCCGATGGACCAGAAGCGCAGCGCCAAGCGGTTAACCAGCCCTGAGCGTTTCGAGATCAAGCAGCTCATCGCTTCCGGTGCTGTTAGCGCCGCGGACTACCCGGATCTCGACGACGACTTCAATGCCTCAAACAACAACCCGGAGATTGACGAGGACGTTGACATCGAGGTGGCCGAGAAGGAGCCGGCGTTCCTTGCTGGCCAGACCAAAATCACGCTTGACATCTCACCAGTCAAGATCGTGAAGGCGCCGGACGGATCGCTCAACCGAGCAGCCCTCGCCGGAGGGCAGCTCGCGAAGGAGAGAGCCGAGATGCGCCGCATGGAAGCCAACGAGCAGGCGGACAAGGAGGCTAAGAACCTGGCCACTCCGTGGTTGGATCCAATGGCTCAGGCTTCCGATCGACAGTTCGCCGCCGACCTGCGCACAAACCAGCAGGGACAGCGTCAGCAGCAGGTGCCTGCGTGGAAGAAGGCGAACAAGTCGACGACGTTTGGCAAGATCACGACGATGAGTATTGCAGAGCAGCGTCGCTCCCTGCCCGTCTACAAGCTGCGTGACCAGCTCGTGAAGGCTGTCCGCGAGAACCAGATTCTCGTTGTTGTCGGTGACACGGGATCTGGAAAGACGACTCAGATTGCGCAATACCTCGCCGAGGACGGCCTACTGGAGCACGGCAAGCTCGGATGTACGCAGCCCCGTCGTGTCGCCGCTGTCTCCGTCGCGAAGCGTGTGTCTGAGGAGGTAGGATGCCGCCTCGGTTCGGAGGTCGGTTACACTGTCCGTTTCGAAGACGTCACATCTCCGGAGACGAAGATCAAGTTCATGACAGATGGTATGCTTCTGCGTGAGCTCCTCATCGACCCCGACATGTCTCGATACTCCGTCATCATGCTTGACGAGGCGCACGAGCGCACGATCGCCACTGATGTCCTCTTCGGTCTCATGAAGAAGGCATGCAAGCGCCGCCCGGACCTCAAGCTGATCTGTACGTCAGCCACGCTTGACGCCGAGAAGTTCGCGACGTACTTCTGGGGCTGCCCCATTTTCACCATCCCGGGGCGAACATTCCCCGTCGAGATCCTCTATACGAAGGATCCTGAGCCCGACTACCTGGAGGCTTCGCTCATTACCATTCTCCAGATCCACCTGATGGAGCCGCCAGGAGACATTCTCCTCTTCCTGACTGGTCAAGAAGAGATCGACACGGCATGCGAGGTGTTGTACGAACGAGTGAAGGCGCTAGGACCACAAGTGCCGGAGCTCATCATTCTTCCCGTCTACGCTGCGCTGCCATCAGAGATGCAGTCCAAGATCTTCGACCCGCCGCCTCCCGGTGCGCGTAAGTGTGTCATCGCCACCAACATTGCGGAGACGAGTATCACGATCGACGGTATCTACTACGTCATCGACCCCGGATTCTCTAAGCAGAACGCCTACGACCCCAAGCTCGGTATGGACTCGCTCATTGTCACTCCCATCTCTCAGGCGCAGGCTCGTCAGCGTTCAGGACGTGCCGGACGAACGGGCCCCGGCAAGTGCTACCGCCTGTACACGGAAATTGCGTACCGTAACGAGATGCTGCCGAACCCGATTCCCGAGATTCAACGTACGAACCTCGCGTCCACCATTCTTACCCTCAAGGCGATGGGTATTAACGACCTGATTAACTTCGACTTCATGGACCCTCCGCCAGCGGCAACCATGTTGACAGCGCTTGAGCAGCTGTACGCTCTCGGTGCCCTTGACGACGAGGGTCTCCTTACTCGCGTCGGTCGCAAGATGGCCGATTTCCCTCTCGACCCGTCGCTGTGTAAGGTGTTGATCAAGTCTGTCGATTACGGTTGTTCTGAGGAGGTTCTCACCATTGTGTCCATGCTTCAGGCCGGAGGCCAGATCTTCTACCGCCCGAAGGACAAGCAGCAGCAGGCGGACGCGAAGAAGGCAAAGTTCCACCAGCCTGAGGGAGACCTGCTCACTCTCCTGGCGGTGTACAACGGCTGGAAGGCGTCCAAGTTCAGCAACCCGTGGTGCTTCGAGAACTTTGTGCACACGCGTGCGCTCAAGACGGCGCAGAACGTACGCAAACAGCTTGTCGGTATCATGGACCGGTACAAGCACGACCTCGTGTCGTGCGGCACCAACTACAATCGCGTGCGCATGGCGATTTGCTCTGGCTTCTTCCGGAATGCAGCGAAGAAGGACCCAGTCGAAGGATACAAGACGCTCGTCGAGGGTACGCCTGTGTCGATTCATCCGTCGTCCGCCCTGTTCCAGCGTCCGCCGGAGTGGTGCATCTACTACGAGTTGATTCTTACGAGCAGTGAGTAGCTTCCCTTTCTTCGACAACCAAGCTGACAATATCCAGAGGAGTATATGTCCCAGGTGACCGTGATCGAGCCGAAGTGGCTGTCCGAGGTCGCGCCAACGTTCTTCAAGGTCGCGGACCAGAACCGGATCTCGAAGCGCAAGCAGAAGGAGAAAATCGAACCGCTGTTCGACCGCTTCGCAGAGAGCAAAGACTCGTGGCGTCTCAGCAAGCAGAAGCGGCCGATCAAGAACTCGCAGACGTTCGGCTCTTAGAGATATCTTCCATAGTAGCATATATAAACTTAGCATGGCATGTACAATCTGGCATCTTGCGGTGACCGAGCGTTCATCTCAATCCTCGCAGCAGTTGCTGTGCCCGGATCGGCGCGTTATTTTTTTCAGGGTCACTCGGATAAGGGCGTCGTACCTGACAGGAAAGCCTAGAGTGACGCCCTTCGACCATCCAGGCCCTCCACCGATCGCCCATCGCAGTTCCGACCTCTTCATCGCCCACAACTCATTCACAATGCCGATGTCGACAGGAGCGCGAGCGCTGTACGTGGCGCTCGTAGTCGTGGTGTGCGTCGTGTTCTTCTTTGAGCGCTCGCACAAGAAGGCGCAGGCCGACTTGCCCTCCCCAGCTCCGCCAGGAGCATACCGGCAGCGTCTGGTTGCGGTCGGCGATCTGCACGGCGGTGAGTGCTAGCAAATCTCCGATTAGCTGACCCCAGACATCGAGAACACGTACAAAGTGCTTCAGATGGCGGGCATCATCGACGACAAGCACCACTGGAAGGCGGGCAGCGACATTCTCGTGCAGACCGGCGATGAGATTGATCGCGGCACGTACGCGCTGGATATCTACAAGCTGTTCCAGCGCCTCCGGACTGAGGCAGACGTTGCGGGCGGCCGCGTCGTGAGCATTCTCGGCAACCACGAGTTCATGAATGCACTCGGTGACTGGCGCTACGTCACGAACGCCGACATCAAGCACTGGGGCGGGTACAAGCAGCGCATCGCCGATATGGAGAGTACGGGCTGGCTGGGCGCCGAGTGGCTCGCAAACTATTCCGTTGCGGCCAAGGTCTCCATGTCTCCCTATGATGTCTCGCCGTCGTACTCGTTTAGCCACGGCAGCCTGAGCCCGTACTTCCCCTTTCTGACCCCGTTCCCTCAGAAGATCAACGAGCTCGGCCACTCGCTCCTCGAGCGCGCCCTCACCCCGCCAATGGCCAAGCCGCACCCGCCCAACCAGTACGAGGGTCTGCCGAAGGGCACCACGCCGGAGGAGGCTGAGCTGTACTCTCAGCGCGGACCGCTGTGGGCCCGTGGCCTCGCCCAGAGCCCCGACGAGAAGCAGGTGTGCAAGCAGGCCAACACGATCAGGGACAAGATCGGCGTCAGGCGCATCATTGGCGGGCACACGCCGAACTTTGAGCACATTGTGTAAGCCAGCCTCTCGGTGCGGACAGCTGACATCCCAGGTCGAGGTGTAACGGCGACGTGATCGTCATCGACACGGGCATCTCGTACGCGTATGGCGGCGTCCTCTCCGCGCTCGAGATCATCTACACCCTTGACCCGGTCAAGGACGGCGGCGAGATGCTCGCTGGCCAGCGACCGTTCGTCGTGGGTGGTGCCGCCGCCGACGTCGAGGGTCTCGGAGTTCTTGTCAAGGGCAAGGAGTACCACGAGCGCGAGGAGGTGTTCGCGATCTACGAGCACCGGAAGCAGCGTCTCGCGGACGAGAAGCGCACTGTCACACTGTCATGAAGTAGCTCTAGAAAATGTAGGATCCATCCAATATCTATATGTAGGGTTGATGTCCCGGTCTAAACGTACTCGAACACGCCCTCCTCGTCCAGGTCCGACATCCACTTCCAGAAGTGCGACGCGGGGAATCTGGGGTCAGCTGGACCTTCTAACGCAAGCTCACCCGACGCAGTTGTCGTAGCTGCCGTCGATCTTCTCGATCAGGAGACCACCAAGACCCTGCAAGTCAGCTTCTTGGAGACCGAGCTTCAGCTCACCTGGATGGCGAAACCACCGGCGCGGTCGATACCCTCGCCGTTGTCAATGTACGCCTGGATGACGTTCTTAGGGTAGTCGAAGAAGTGCACGATCGTTGACACGCTGATACTCTGCAGTTTGAAGCCGGGTGACTCAACAGTCGGGTAGACTGATGTCAGTTACGGATGGGGATAGGATAACTCACCAACACAAACAGCGGTGACAACCTCGCACTCGCGCCCAGCCATGAGGTCGAGGGCGCGCAGCTGCTCCTCCTTGTTGATCGGCTTCTCGAGGATCTCGGAGTGCTCGCCGTGGTACTTGCCGCCCTCAGCCGTGTCCTTCTCTGGAGGGAAGATGACGACAGTATCCGCTACGGGTCAGCACGGTCACGCATGAAGATGCTTACCGCTGATCACAATGTCGGCGGGATCCGCGTCGTTTTCCCTGATCAGGCGCTCGTAGACCTCCATCGCCTGATGTCAGCTCGGAGAAGTCGTTCGCAGCGCGTACCTTCTCTCCGGCAGTCGCGATGGGATAGTCAGACAGCTTGTCGAAGGATCCCTTAGGGAGGTCCTCAGCAAATGTCGAGGGGATGATCTCTGGTCGGAAGCCCTGTGAAGTCAGCCTCCGCTGTCTTGAGCTGCTCTCAGCTCGGGCGCACGCACAACGTTCTCCAGGATATCCTTCCTTCGCGGAGACCCCGAGGCCAGGACAACACGCTTGTCACGGAGCTTCTCGAAGATCGGCCATGGCATGGCATTGGGGAGCACGGGGGAGGGTCGCTTGGCACTCATTTCGGCTGATGTGTTGATGCAGCTGCGAGTTAGTGAACTCGGCGGCGATGTGGACATGACTCTTGGACTGAAGTGCCAGGCACGGGTGGAGGTGCGGTAGCGCCCGTGGGAAAGTGATGAACTCTGGTCAAGATTTCGGACAGGAGCTGGCCACCCTCTGTTATTGACCGCTCCCACCACTGTAACACCACAACTTCTTCAGTCTCACACCTTAACGCAGTCGGATCGTCAAGAAAGACGTAAGGAGAGTACACAGTGCTCTCGGAATATCCGGTTGCCCAACATGACCGAACCACCGGCGAAGCGCTTTAGGGTAAGCTCGAAGCAGCGCGCGTGCAGCTGACATCGCAGTTCGCTACCTATAATGAGAAGCTGAATGCTATCTCTGTCGACGTCGGAAAGACCAAGGGTCTCTCCTGGGAGAAAGAGGACTTCGCCGAAGATGAGCAGACCGTGAGTGCACAGTAGAGGAGCATGCTGACGAACCAGAAGACGCCGGTCACCGTCGAGCTCGCTCGTCTGGAGCTGCACGACCTCACCCTCCCCTACCAGGCTCTCGCCAAGGAACTCATCCCTCTCACCCGGACACTCCCCATGACCCTCCTCAACCTCGCCCCCATCACCGAAATCTTCACCAAGTTCCTTTCCCAACTCAAGGGCGGCCAGGACAATGCGAACTCGGGACTTGAGTCGGCTCTCTGCCTCATTCAGGCGCTGTACGAGACATGTCTGAGCGAGATGGTCCAGTATGTACCGGCCACTATCTCTGAGATTGCTCGTGTTGGAGCTCTCCGTGCTCTGGAACCGAAGCTGGTCGAGAAGGCTTACTCGACAATCTCGCTTGTCCTCCGAACCATCGCCCCGACGCTGCTCAAGAGCGACAACATCGAGATCCTGCGCGAGACCTGGAGCTCGGTCAAGGGCTACGTCGTCCCCGGCTCGAACAAAGCCTACGTCCGCAAATGTATTGCCGATGCCTGGGCTGGTGTGCTTCGAAAGGCTCGCGGAGATGCTCTGCAGCGGGTCATGCATGTGCTCCTCGAGGACTCGTCCCCGGGACTCGAGGCTGTTTGGGCGAACAGCATGAAGGGAACGCAGGGACATCTGCACTCTCGTGCCCTCCCCATCTACACTGTTCTGCTCGATGACCTCGTCGCCAACCCTACTGAGGAAACAACGACCACCATGCGCCGTGTCACGACAGCCCTCGTTCACCACTGCTCCTCTAGCGAGACTGCACCGCTTGTTGAGGCCGTTCTGGAGCGTCTGGAACCGAAGTCGAAGGCTGCGTCCTCCAAGTCGAAGAACTCCATGGACTTCAGCTCGTCGACTGCGATGCTCACGATCCTGTCGACTTTCCTGTACACGAGGAAGGGCAAGCGTTTCCCGTCATCCCTGTTCAAGCCCACCATGCTCAAGCTCCAGTCGCTGATTCCGACGCTGAAGGAGGCTTCGACCTCCGGCAAGCTCAAGGAGGACGAGCGGGTGAGCAGGGGCAACTGGAGAATGGCGTTGGTCTCGTCCATCGTTGGATCGCTGGCCGCAAGTAAGCTCGCCGAGTGGCTTAGCCCCGGTGTCGGACTCATCAGTGCCCTGTGGAGCGCCCTGGATACGACTGAGGCGTTCGCGTTCGTCAACATGTGCATCGCGCTGAAGTGGCCCGGTGTCGAGCAGTTCCTCCTGGCTCACATCACGAAGACGGCCCTGGGAGGACTCGAGAGTGACCCGCTGCCGACTCTTGTGCTGTTGAACAATCTCGCCTCTGCTGGCTTCTTGACCGGAGGACTCTCCAATGTTCAGGGCGGACGATGGCGCAAGGCTCTTGTGGCCGCTCTCACGAGGGTCTTGACCAAGCTGTCTGACTCCAGCCTCGACGACGACGACCGCCGCCTGCTCGGACAAGTTCTCAAGCTGCTGCCGTACCTCGCCGGTGAGGCCTCGCAGTTTGTCGAGCCGTTGATCAGTATCCTGGGTCGCTTCGTGGACGGATCTGACCAGGAGGCGCAAGAGAATTGGGACGAGGAGGGTGTCTGGAACAACTCTCACGTTGTGGGCCGGATTCTCAACAGCCTCTACGGCCTCATTCTTCGCGGACCGAAGGATTGTTCCGAGAAGGTTAAGGCATTCTTCGTCGACAATGACTTCTTCAACGTGCTTATCCACAAGTGGCACTGGAGCAGGGAGGTCCTCGAGCAAGCTGCCGCGTTTATCGATCACTGGCCTGAGGCTGCCAAGTTGAACGGCGATGTTCTCGATCTCCTGGAGCCGAATCTCCTCTCGGCTGACTCCGCGCTGCGCCTGTCGTCCCTGAAGATCCTCGCTCTCTACTCTCGCCCAATCTCGGAGAAGTCTGCGGCCCTATGGGATGTGTGCCTCTTGGTGGAAAACTCGGAGATGTCGCTGAGGAACGTCCGTGAACGAACAGCCAACATCGCACGTCTTGGAAGAACAATTCAGGGCGTGCAGGATGCCGGCGAGGATTTGGAGCGAACAGTCAAGGCTGCCATCACGTACCTTGTCGCCCAGCTCAAGGTCAACTTCCGACCTGTCTGGGCCGAAGCCGTTACGGCTCTAACCGAGGTCGCGAAGAGCAAGAAGGAGGACGCTGAGAGCTTGTGGACTATTGTTTGGACCGAGATCCAGAAGACCATTCTCACCGAGCAGGCGATCATGCCGGATCTGGGGGTTGAGTACCCCGACTGGACGAGGCAACGTGTCCAGGACCAGAAGGACGACGATGATGACGATGAGGAGAGCGCTGAGTTCCGCTGCAACAGTCTTGCGAAGGGCCGTTCAGCCACCGTTCGCGCTTGGCAGGAGACCAACGACACAACCAAGCTCGACGTTGCCGAGATTTCCGGCCAGATTTCAAAGGACCGCCTGGACGTCATCAGCTACGAGACTCAGCTCCTCGCCGTCTGCACTGCCTACCCGTCGATGGTCGAGAAGCACACCCGTGTCTTTGTGCCCGTCGCTCTTGCCGTCGCTGGAGTTGAGACGGACGAGGCGCAGGTCCAGCTTTCGCACCTCTCGACCCGCGCTCTGCAGACTCGCACCATCGCCTTCCTTGAGGTTTGCGCCAAGTTTGTCAACCCGAAGGCTTCATACCGCTCTTCAGACCTGCACGCGCTCTACATCAACCTTCTGTCGAAGGGAGAGGTCAAGATTCAGTCAATTGCCCTCAAGTGTCTGCTCACGTACAAGTCGTCGAACCTTATTCCGTACAGCGAGCGTCTCAAGAACCTGCTGGAGGAGTCCAAATTCCGTGATGAGCTCACCCATCTCAACCTTGGCATCGACTCGGAGGTCATCGAGCCCAAGCACCGCCACGAGTTCATCGACGTTGTCATCCGCCTGCTTTACGGTATCATGATGTCGCGTCGTGCACGCAGCAGCACTGCTCAGGGCCAGGGGGCCAGGAAGCAAGCCGTCCTGACTGCCCTCAGCGGTTGCGCCCCCGACGAGCTCAAGACCTTGGTCGACCTCATGCTTGACCCGCTCGGCGGCCAAGTCGACGTGGCTCCTAAGGAGCTCGAGACCATGACCATTGTGGCGCCTGGTCGCCAGCTGGTCGGTTTCCTGTCTTTCCTTCAAGATGTCCTCCGATACCTCGCCCCTCAGACTGAGCAGTACTGGTCGCGCCTGATCGGCGCTGTCATTGTCATAGTTCGACAGACTCAGGAGGGTCTTGATCGGGAGAAGGCCGCTATCGAGGACGAGGGCGAGGACGTGGAGGAGAAGGAGGACGACGAGGAGGACGACAAAGAGGACAAGGGAGCTGCCCCCCTTCGCGCCCTGCGTTCGACTGGTCTCAAGCGTCTCGTCCAGTTTCTGCGCTCTCGTGTTGTCGAGTATGACTTCCGCCCCTTCCTCCCTTCGATCTTCAAGGGTATCATCTCCCCTCGTCTCCAGCTTCTCGAGGTCGAGAACACCCAAGCTCCCTCGGGTACTCTTGACCTTATCGCGGCTTTGGCTGCCTCGCCGGATACGGCGTACTCGCTTGTTGAATTCGACGACCGCGCGCTGCCCAAGGTTTTCGCCTGTATGACCGCGATCAAGGTCAAGCCGGCAGTTATTGGACGCGTTTTCGATGTTCTTGACTCTCTCCTGTTCGAGGATGAGCCCGAGGTCACTGAGAAGGTGCTCATGCCGCATGTTCGCCCTCTGATCGACCACATCATTCTGCTCGTTCAGAACCTCCGTGCCTCCAACAACGAGGACATCATGCGCCGTCTTCTGGGCATCCTTTCTCGCCTCTCTGCTGTTGTCACCGACGGCAAGCAGGCTCAACAGCTCGCAGCGCTCCTCGGACCCATGCTGAAGCAGAGCGGACGCCAGGTTCCGGAGAAGGCCAAGGTCAACATTCTGATCACTCTCCAGCGCCTGTATTCGATCTCCCCTGACTTTGCCAACCCGAAGTCTGAGTTCTTCAACACGTCCTACAACCTGATCTGCAACCTGCTCCAGACACTGCGGTTCCCTACCTCTCGCCGTGCTCTCATCGCGGCGCTCCAGACCTTTGCCGAAGCCGACAAGTCGCTGGCCCGCCCCATCGAGATCGTTGCCGACCTCAATGCCTACCGTGTGAAGCGCATGGACGAGCCTGACTTTGACAAGCGCCTCGATGCCTTCGCTCTACTCTGTGATGTTCCCGAGGCCGAGCTGCCCCAAACTGTTCGCGAGTGGCAGCCGATTCTCCGCACCTCGCTCTTCTTCATCCAGGAGCCGGAGGAGCTGTCCATCCGTACGAACGCGGGTACGATGCTGAAGCGCTTCGCCTCTCTCGTCGGGGATGCCGAGTCGGGACCTCTGGTCGACACCATGAACACTGTTGTTCTCCCGGCGCTGCGCCGCATTCTCCTCTCCAAGGTCGAGCTCGTGCGTAACGAGGTTCTCTCAGTGTTCTCGCACGCCGCCAAGACCTGCTCAGGCATCCCCGTCCTTGCCGAGATGAAGCCGCTCCTCGGAGAGGACGATGAGACGGACGTCTTCATCAACCTCAGCCACATTCAGGTGCACCGTCGTGCGCGTGCGATCCGCCGTCTTCGCGACATTGTCAGCGAGGGCGCCATCCGCGAGACGACGCTCTCCACGATTTTCCTGCCCGTGTTGGAGCACATCCTGACCGGCTCCACGGATGTTACCGACCACCACCTCGTGAACGAGGCGATTACCGCCATCGGTGTCCTCGCTGGCCACCTTGGATGGACTCGCTATAACGGACTCATCATGCGCTTCCTTCGCCTCGGTACCCCGCAGAGCAAGCAGCAGAAGTTCTACATCCGTAGCGTCTCTGCGATCATCGACAACTTCCACTTTGACCTCAAGAACGACGCCAAGGTCGGCGAGACCGAGGAGGCTGCTGTTGATGCGGCCGGCGAGGGCGATGCCGAGGAGGAGGCTACGGAAGCCGCCCAGGCTGTCGACCCCGAGGTCGAGGCTGAGATCAAGAGGGCCGAAGCTCAGGCTGCTGCCACCGAGCGCATCACCGAGGTCGTCCTGAACCGCCTACTCCCCACCCTCTCCAAGTTCATCACGACCAAGAGCGAGACTGAGGACAGCGTCCGCATCCCCGTCTCTCTTGCCATTGTCAAGCTCGCTTCAACGCTCCCTGCCGAGGAGTCCGACAATGAGATTCTCCGCATCATCACCACCGTCTCGCAAATCTTGCGTAGCAAAGACCAGGACATCCGTGACATTGCTCGCGACACCATTGGCAAGATCGCCGTCTATCTTGGCCCCTCGTGGCTTGTTCGTGTCCTCAGAGAGCTCCGTACTGCTCTCCAGCGCGGTCCCCAGAAGCACGTTCTCGCTGTTACGACCCACTCTATCCTTGTCCATGCCACCACCGAGGCCGCCGACCGGTTCACCGACCTCGACGAGGCTGTCGAGGACGCGGTCGAGGTGTCTGCCGAGGTTATTTGGGGTGAGTCCGGCAAGGATGTCGCCACCGAGGGCTTCAAGACCAAGATGCGCGAAGTCCGCGGCGCCCTGTCGCGCGGTAACGACACCTTCCAGCTCGTTTCCCGCCTCGTGAGCCCGACCAAGATTTCTGCTGTTCTGGCCCCCGTCCGTGAGATCATGCACATCTCGCAGGCGGTCAAGACGATGCAGCAGGTGGACGAGGTGCTTCGCCGCATCGCCCTCGGCCTCAACTCGAACGTCATGATGTCTCCCGAGGACATTTTGAACCTGTCCTATTCCCTCATCAACAGCAACTCTCGCTACCTCAAGCCGAAGCGCAAGGAGGCCAAGGCTGGCAAGAGCAAGAGCGACCGCTTCACTGTCCAGATGAAACGCAATGCGCCCGAGGACGAGGACGTGTACCCGCAGAATGCGTACAAGTTTGTCATGTTCGGTCTCGAGCTGTTCGTGACTGCCTTCAGGCGCGGCAAGTTTGACTTTGACAATGTCGAGATTCTCGCCCGTCTCGGACCACTCGTCTCCGCCGTCGGCAACACGCTCTACTCGCCGACTGTGCCCATCCTCATCCTGGGTCTCAAGGCTACGGCTGCTGTCGCCAAGTGCCCCGTTCCGCAGGTGGAGGAGTCTCTTCCTGCCTTTGTCACGAACATTTTCAAGATCATCAAGCACGCCGGCGGCACGGCCGAGACCGAGGTCGCGCAGACGGCGCTCAAGACGCTCGCCGTGCTCATCCGCGACTGCAAGGCGACGCAGGTCTCGGACTCGCAGCTCAAGTACCTGATCGAGGTGATCAGCCCAGACCTGGAGGAGCACGAGCGCCAAGCGTCCATCTTCACTGTGCTGCGCGCGGTCGTGTCGCGCCGCTTCGTCGTGCCCGAGATCTACGACCTGATGGACCGCGTGTCGAGCATCATGGTGACCTCGCAGTCGACGCACGTGCAGGAGCTGTGCCGGAACGTGCTGATGCAGTTCCTGCTCGACTACCCGCAGGGCCAGGGCCGGCTCAAGGCGCAGATGACCTTCCTAGCGCGCAACCTCGACTACGTGTTCGAATCCGGCCGCGTGTCCGTGATGGAGGTGCTGTCTGCCGTGTTCAAAAGGTTCACCCCAGAGCTCGTGGCAGAGTACGGCGACCTGTTCTTCGTTGCGCTCGTGGCGGTGATTGCGAACGACGACAGCGAAAAGTGCCGCAACATGGCCGGTCTGCTTCTGCAGCAGCTCTTCGGCGTGCTCGACCATGCGCACCAGGGGCGCATGCTCGACGTCCTCAAGGGCTGGATCGGGAACACGGACGAGGGGACCGCCAACGTCGGCCTCGGCAGTGCCGCGCTCGCAGCCTACGGCCTGCTGTGCGAGGCGGACTCGCCCGCCGAGAGCGTGTTCGAGGACCTCCCCTCTGTCATCGTCCCCGTGCTCGACACGAGTGCGCGCAACCTGCTCATTGCCGAGACGTCGCAGATCGAGATTGAGCTCGACCCCGCGCTTCCGCAGCAGGCGCTCTCGGCAGTAGCCAAGGCGCTCAAGGTGCGTCCCGAGGTGGCCGGAGTGCTGCCGTGGGACACGATTGTGGAGCTCCTCCTCTTCCCCCACGACTGGGTGCGGTACGGCGCTGCGCGCGCCCTCGCCCTCCTCTTCGCGGGAGGAAGGGCGTTTGAGCTGCTCGATGGAAAACTCCTCGATATCGCGCGCAAGAGCTGCATCCTCCTCGGCGGCAGCAAGTTGGCGGACGGCACGCCCGTCGTCGTCGACGGCAAACTCGCCGATGAGCTCGTCAAGCTCCTCTGGAACATTAGCAAGCACTGGATCGCGGCGCGCAGCGACAAGGTCGCCAACGGCAGTGGCGAGGGGGCCGAGGCTGAGTCGGATGAGGACGAGGAGGAGGAGGATGAGTCGGAGGAGCCCGACGCCGACGCCGACGAGGCCGGAGAGACCGAACCGACGACCGGCGCCGGCGGCGAGGTCTCGTGGCTCATGTCGCGCATGTCCTTCATGTCGCGCAAGCTCATCATCTCGCGCCCGGCGTCGAACACGGTACTCCCCGGCCAGCCTTTGCCCTTCACTGGGCCGCTGCAGAGCATTCTCCGCTTCTTCGCGGGCATCACGCAGGCCTTCACAGCCCAGCAGGCGCGTCACTACCTCCCTCACATCCTGAATCCGATCTACCGCATCCTGGACGAGGGCGGCGACCTCCAAGGCTTAGAGGGGGAGAGTATCGACGCCTTGCGCAAGTTGACCATCGAGATTCGCGACTTTGTGCAAGAAAAGGTCGGCACGACCGCCTTCGGACGCACGTGGGAGCAGGTCCGCCGCAAGACCTTCGCCAAGAGGAAGCAGCGCAAGGACTTCCGCGACCAGCTCGTCATCAAGGACCCTGCGGCTTGGGCACAGAGGAAGGAGAAGAGGGGCGCGAACAAGAAGGAGAGCAAGAAGAGAAAGACGAACGCGTACATGGACCACAAGCGCGCCAAGCGCCGCATGTAGACGGGGGGTCATAGAGAGAAGGGGATTGTTTGTGTTTATTTGTGTGTTTTTGCATACCCAGCATTCGGCCATACCGTTACACGAGATGCCAAGTCTATTAGAACAAAAAAGAGCAGCTTGATTCACAATAAAAGTATAGATTGGAGTACGAAGAAGGTTGCGGGTACGGAACGTATAGTGGTTGCGGTGGTTGTTGAGGCGGGGAGGGACCGGTGACAGGCGAACGTGTCGTGAAAAGTAGATTCGTCGCGTTGTGACAGACTGCATCTGACTGATTCGTACACTTGGGATTGTGTGGTATCGTTACGTATACTTCGGGCTCGGACTTTGACTTGGCAGGGAGATGGCACTCAACATGATGGCGGCGGGGGAGATAGCTTCGATGGTGGGGTTGGAGGGTGATGGCGGCTTGTAGGCTTGGGCTTGGGATTTCGATACAAACAGATCGAGGGTGGTTTCGGGGAGGGGGTTGGTTGTACAACAAGAGCAAGAGCACGAGCTTGCGGTTCGTCGCTCGATCGCCCAGTTCTTCTCAGTCGTAGCTTCTTACACTCGGCCTGTTCTTCTTTCTGTTAACATTTTTGCTGAACTCGCTTGCAATGTCTGGAAGAACAGAGATTAGCGCCAGAGAATATCCTAAAGCTTCTGGTGGAAGTGGTCGGGGAGCTCACGAGGAGCCTCGTGGCTGTAGTACCTTGAGCGGATGCCGCGGTACTTGCGGATAGAGTACATGGCGAGGATCTCTGGGAGAGGTGGTCAGCGGAATGTCATCTCCGGTTTGCATTTTCCGATCATCCCGGAGCCGGACAGGCGGTGCCTGTGACGCCTAGCGGACGCCTCTGAGCACCGGGTATCGGTGCCCCGGGCTGCTCCACGGAAGTGTTTGCATGCATGCTGAGACTCACCCTTCTTGATGTGCTCCGCGAGCTCGAGCTGCTGCTTGAGCTTGACGGGGTCGTCGATGTTCTTGTTCTCTGGTCCGTTAGCGCGATTCCTTATCAGTTGGGTAAGGCTGGTGGAGCGAGCGTTTCGGACACATTCGGAGAGGACGAGGGTAGGCGGCCTGACCGTAGCTCGAGCGTTGCAAAAGCTTCGGCTTCGCTGCGTAGGCTTCACCACTTCGCCGATTCGACTCGAGTCTCAGCGGTGGCAACCATCGCAATCGCCGCCCGCGGCGATGTCCAACTTTATCCAAGGAACGTGCCAAGACACAGGGGCGACGGTTTCGGCCCTCGTCGGCCTCGGATCGGCCGCCGTTCGCACAATGGCGCTGTCCGCACTCCAAAGCTCGGCCGTCGATGATGGCCGCACTTTTGTTCTCACGCGGCCCGCATCCGTAGACGGCGTGGACCAAATGGATGGTGCCAAGACTTCAGCCGCGGGCGCCGCCAGATTTTCGCTCGGTCCAGACCTGTCCGCACCGCCGAGGGCCGCAATGAATGCCGCACTTTTGCTTCGCTCCGTCCCAGCTGTAGGATATACTCACTCTCAAAGGCCCGGCGGAGACGCATGTTGAAGTTATAGTTCTCGTCGGGGTAGTCGCGTCCAAGGCGGTGAAGCTGATGGTCAGTTATGGTGATGGAAGTGCAACTGGTGCTCGACGCGTCGCGATGAAGTAAAGTGGCTTGCACGGCAAGCAGAGAAGCTTTCCATACGCTCGGGTCGGTAGCGAGTCTACTCACCTCCTTGTAGACGCGCTTGGCACGCTGTCGGAGCTCCTCAATCGACGGAGCAGCCTCGGGGGCAGGGGGAGCGGCCGGCGTAGCCTGAGCGGCGGTGACGGTCGAGGCGGCGCGAGTGCCGATGAAGCGGCGGAGGGTGCCGACGAGGGACATAGTGGTTATGAGTGGTGAGTGGTGAGTGGTGATGTGGTCGAGGCAGACAGCGGCGCAGAAGGCTTTATAGCGACGCGTCTGGGAAGTGCGAGGGCGGGGTCGAGGAGGAGCCGGTTAAGCGATGTCGTCTTGGATGGCTTGGGCGAGTAGGGGCACGTGTAGTTGACAGGATACGCACGGACAGGGCTTGAGCGTCGAAGCTTGAGGGCGGTCGATGTCGAGATCGAAAGTGTTGGTGGGCGATGGAGAGGAGATGAGATGGGGGGAAGGCAATGTAGATAGCCAGAGGGAGAGTGCGGGGGTGGGCGGCGAGGCAGCGTCGGTGTGCGGAGACCTGGGTCAGAGACTTGAGTCGAATGCGACGGTCCGACCAAAGCCGGTATACTATTCGCACGCTTAAATTTGGCGAGCCAGCGACCACCACCACTGTACAACCAACGTTACGTAAATGACGACATTGCGGATCGACTCTGCGACTGAATCACTTGCATGAGGTCACCGCTTGGCCGCCGCCGCGCGCCGCAATACATGGCAATTCAGTTTAGCGGTCAAGAGTTCGGTACCACCGTGACTTGAGAGTGACACATGCTCACAATGACATCGGGGGAACTATGGGGGAGACATGGGGCCTCCCATCCCCCTGGTTGTACGGTTGTGGGGACCGCGTCGCTTAAAGTATGTTCCAAACCTCCGACACCGAGACACCGCAGAGTCTCGGGCAGGGAGTTACCCCTTCCCACAGAACTATCAGGTCAGGTCCGCGATGGCTGTATCCAGGCAGATGGTAGTGCGTGTAGTGGAAACGTGGTTCCCATCAGCAGCCTATGCTAGTGGATGATCGTCGAATAATCATCTGTGCACCAGTCTACACCCGATCGCTCTTCCAACACTTGCTGCTTTCGGATTCTGGGCGTTTCCCGCGATCGCCATTACCGCCGGCAATGTCCACCCATCCCACCAGATCTGTCAAGGGAATCAATGTCAGCCGGTATGCGTCGTAGCTACCACAGCGGAATGCGGGAACAAAGAGACCGGAGATACTGATAAGTGATACATGGTCATGACGGGTATGTGTCTATATCTAAACAACCTTGTTGTGCGCCTCTAGCATTCTATTCGGTCTCCACTGGCAGTAGCCGAGGATGGCGCCGAGCACTCCGACACCCAACAGCAGATACACCCACGGCCACCCGCTCTCCTCTGCTTTCAGCTTGGAGGCAGCCGCCTCGGCATCCCGCGCCTCCTTCTCGGCGCCGTACAGCTCCCGCTCAATGTTGAGCAGGACGTCCGTCTCCCACGACGTCGCTTGTGATGTCTGCTCCTGCAGCCGCTTCAGCGACTCCTGCAGCGACCGGGTGTGAGACAGCATTTCAGACTGTGACGACTCGATGGCTTCCAGTCGGGCCTCGAGAGGGGCGAAGCTGCTGCGTAGGGTCAGCTTCGAACGCAGCATCTGCTGTGTGCATTGTGACTTACCCTTGCCGGTACGCCGGCTTGCGCTTCTGCGCAGTCTGAGCGACAGGGACTCCGACCGAGTCGATGTGCTGTCCGAGTCGCGCAATGGCATTGAGCATGCTAAGCTCTGAGTGTCTCAGAATGCCGTCCATGACGTCGTTGCCGGTCAGACCGTCCGTCTCCACGTCTTCCTCGGCCTGGACAGCAACCGGCAGTGGGTTGACTCGGGGCTCGTACGGTTCGTCCCGGCGCGAGTCCTCGTTTCCGTCAATGCACACAACTGCACGTTAGCTTCAGTTTGGGCACAACAGCTCACCATAGGCAAAGTCGGAGTCGAGGAAGCCGGGCTGGACCTTGCTCTTCGTAACCGTCTTGCCGTGGTAGAGGAAGGGGACCGGGTCAGGGTTGACAACGTCGTCAAAGCAGCGGGCACTCATCTTGCCGGAGTGCGTGGCGTCGCTCCAGTTCTCCGTGATCTCCCAGTGCGAGAGACCGGCAGCAGCAATGCCGTAGCCCATGTACCGGCCCTTGAGGTGGTTGTGGATGACCTTGCCTCCGGTCAGGATTGTCTCGATGTCGTCGCCCAGAATGCTGAGACCTAATCCGATACCGACACGCATCGCGCGGCCGGCTGCATCGAACGTATTGTCCTGCACCACAACACCAGAGTAGTCACCCTCGAATGGCGCCGCGTCCACCATGAAGATACCACCCATCGCGGACTGGCGCCGCGTGCTGACAGTGTTGCCGGTGACGCGGGTTCCCGGGGAGCAGTATACGACGATACCGGCGTCGGTGCAGTCGTAAATGTTGTTGTCGCGGACGGTCGAGTCTTGGCACGCAATGCTGATGCCGTCGGCGAGCGGGCGGCCAAGGGGCGACATCTCGGGGTCGGGTCCGTCATCGATCGGGTCGTACTCCTCGCCGACAGGGCCGATCTCATTACCCTCGATGACTGCGAGGCGGCACTGGAGCTTGTCTCCCTCACGAACGTGGATAGCCGTAAAGCCTCGGGGCTCCTTGACCCAGCAGTGGCTGATGGTTTGCCCCTCATTGCCTCCGATGACGATCAGGCCCGGTGCGTTGTTGTGATCCTGTATTCTTCCAAGGCGGTCGCGGCCTCCGTCGACGATAACGTTCTTGATGCTAATCCTTGCGCATCTCCGGCAGTCGCCGCGGATCGCGGTCGCAACCCGGTCGTTCTCGATCGAGATCGTCGCTCGCCGACTGCCAGTAGGGTATCCGCTCGTCGCGAGCTCCTGGTCCGCGGCAGTGAAGACGATGGTGCCCGAGATCCGGTGCTTGGAATCAGGACAGAGGAAGACTTTGGTTCCCGGTCCCCCGTCGATGAACTTTTGGTTGATGGTGATGTGGTCGGCGTTCCGGAGACAGTCGACTGCTGCGGAGACGCATGTGACGAGCAACAGAAGCAGCCACATCATGCGCGACCATTGCCCCACTATGGGCTGTGAGATGGACATGCGTGCGACGGCGTGGGCGGCGGGAGCTGTGACGGGAGCGTCACACGGCGGGCAACGCTATGTCGAAGTCGTAAGTCGTCGTGGAAGATTGTGAGTGAGGAAGGGAAAACGCGTCGGGAATGGAGATTGCAAGCGTGCTTTCAAAGTCAAAATCATGGTTGGGCCGCAGGCTGGAGACTCGCCCTGGCCTGCATGCGGAACGTCAGGTCCGGCGCGGCCGCGAAGGGCTTGGATGGCTTGAGTCTAACAGGAGAATCAGGGGCGCAGTAGTACCAGCTGAATCCGATCTCGATCTCCGTCTCGGCGCCCGTCCGCAGCGCGCCGCAGCCCTCCTTCCTCCCCAGAGCTGAAAACAGAGCAGCTGCCCGCCCCTGCGACACGCGCCTTGCGCGACGAGCCGTCCCTGACCTTATCATCATTTTCACGTGACACGCCGTGCCTGTATCACCCCGCACGCACTCGCCAGTTGACCGTGCGTTCGAGTCTCCGTCCCCTCTCGGCTTCCATGTCTTCTTAGGCCCTGACACGGCTATGCCTTCTGCAACCTCATCTTCTTCATGTTCTCCAAGTCACTAGGTAGGATGGGAGACATCGTGAGTAGCTGACGTTTGCCGCTTCCGAGCTGACCCTCCAGAAGCGCGGTGTCGGGCCTGATCCATCCATCCTCTTCCTGACTGCGGATGATGGTGAGTTCAAAAACCCTCTCCCCCCGAACTGATTGCAGTCAACTTGCTGTTCAAGAATGTGGGAATAGCGCTTCTGCTGCTCACTCCTCTGGCATACTTCGCTGGCTTTGGCTGCATCAAGTATCTGGTGATCCCGTCCTTGATCTACTTAAGTAAGTCTCCGGTGACTACGTTACCATGCTGATGTCTAAGGTCTCTGGTCCCTTAGGTTTGGGCAGGGAAAGCCTTCCTCGCCAAAAGATTGGAATAAGGAAACTGTATTGATCACTGGAGGTGAGATTTTGGAAACGCTGGCAGCTGACTCCCCAGGCGGTTCTGGCATCGGTGCTCTGCTCGCGCATGAGCTTGCACAGAAGGGTGCCCAGGTTGTTGTGTTGTCCATCACTGAGCCCGAGTATGAACCAACCAGTGAGCTAAGCACTTATTGCAGAGCTGAATTCAGAACGGATTAATGTGTACAAGTGTGACGTGTCCAACCGGGAGCAGGTCCAGGCTGCCGCTGATCAGATCCGCAAGGAAGTGAGAGCTCGCTACAGGAGGTCCCACGCTGACGGCAGATTGGTCATCCCACCGTGCTCGTGAACAACGCCGGTGTTGTGAAAGGAAAGCTGCTTCTTGACTTGACGGAGTCTGACGTCCGCAAGTGAGTTGCTCGTATCTCTTTCTCAACTAAACCTCAGCACCTTCGGCGTCAACGCCATTGCCCCTTTCTGGACAGTGCAGGAGTTCCTACCCGACATGCTACTCAAGCGTCATGGACATATCGTCAACGTTTCTAGTGTCATGGGTCTCCTGGATACGGCGCAGATGCGTAAGTGCCTTGCTACGGCGCTTGCTAACGGACAGTCGACTACAACGCCTCCAAAGCTGCTCTGATTGCTTTCAACTCTGGCCTGCGCAACGAGTTGGATTACAGGCTAGTTGTGGATGTAAATGGCAAACTGACTGTCAGATATCTGACTCCCGAGATCCAGACGACTCTCGTTCTTCCTGGCCACATCAAGACGAACATGTTCGAGAAGACTGTGCTGCCGGACGAGCGACTTGCTCCGTCGCTCAAACCCTCTGAGGTCTCGCAGGCTATCATCGAGAGTCTCGAGGGAACGACGCTTGACAACATCCTCCGCATCCCGCACTTCACCTGGGTTGCTAGATTGCTTTATCGCGGCTCAGATCTTGTCCCGCGCATTGTACGCCGGCTTCAGCATTGGGTACGTCACCTTTCCTCGATGTCTGTCTACGTGGTTGGCTAACAGAGCAGGTTTCGGGAGCAGACTGGGCCATGTCGCGGTACGGACCTAGGCCGGACGCTGGTGAACGTTTGATGCAGCAGCGTGTTCAGAGAGGTGAGATAGAGAAGTTTTTGTAGAGCAGTCGATATTGCCGATGTCTATCGGCGGTGCGTGGAGGCGTAACTGTCAAAGGGAAGTCAGAGTTTTGTAGGTTAGCTTATTTGTGCTCATCGTCTGCTGCGTGTCGTGCACCTTATGCAGATGGCGAGTTGCCCGCTGAGCTTGTTGCACACTAGAATTAGTCCTCTGCACAACGCGGCAGCGTCCGCATGCATGTTTTCAGGGACGGTCTGTCTCTTTGCATGCAGTGGCAAGTTCGACAGGATCAGGATGGTTTTTTCAGTTGCCACCGTCGTATAACGGGAGCGCATATCGCCGCCAGATCATCTCGCGTGTCGCGACCAAGTTCAGGCTCAAAGAAAGCCGAGTGACCTCAACCTGCCTTTGCATTACTCACCACACCACGACTTCATGCGTATACCAACCCAAACAACATCACTCAACGTGCTGCGCACACGGGTCGCCACCCCCAGTGCCAGCCGCACGCTTTCTTCCACCAACGTCCAGCAGTATCCCCGGACACCGGCCCGAGCTCGCACAGTCACTGCCCAGCCTCCTCCGCCGGTGACACCTCCGACAGAGCCGCCTACCTCCCCCTTCGCCCACACGACTCCCAAGGAGGAGCACACTGCCCCGGGAGCCGATCATAGCGAGGGCGACGCCCCGGAGTCGCTCTTCCCCGGCGTGACTACGACCTTGATGTCTCCGACAAAGCCGGAGGGCAAACTAGCCCCCGAGCTCAAGTCGCTGTATAACCACCTCGCTACTTCCTTCGTGCCGACGAACCAGCCCGCGCACTCCGCCAAGCTGCAAGACTCGCCACTGGGCAAGGTGTTTGTGCCGGCAGAGCGCAGCTCGGAGGACCCGGTCATTGCTCTCGTGTCGCCGTTCGAAGGCGGAGACGTCTACAATGCGAAGGCTGTTCACGATGTCGCGTCTCATCTGAACGCCGATGTTGTGCGTTTGGACCTGGCACTGGGAGTCGGCTTTGACGGACCATCGGCGCCGCTAGCTGACACTGGTGAGTTTGAAGATCCTCTGCAAAGCTGATCATCAGGCATCACTGCCCCTCCTCTGCCCATGTCAGTGAACCCCCTGTTCCAGACGCAGGAGGCCCGGGAGAAGGACATTCAGCAGGAGCAGGCCCACGAGGACGAGCAGGGTATGGACGGCGAGGACGACCCGCACGGCATGCCCAACATGATCCGTCTGCCCATGTTCGCCGTTGCCGGTGGCGAGCAGTTCGGCGGGATGCAACCCGGACCTCGCCGACCAGAGGTCAACGAGGACTGGGTCAACTTCTTCAGCTCGATCATCAACATGCAGAACCCGCAGGGTGATGCCGCGGACCGCCGTGTCATCCTTCTTGAGTCTACCTCTGCCATGTCGCCCACGTTCGAGATATGGTGGCCTTCCTTCCTCGAGGCTGTCCGACAGCGCCGCCGCGGACCTCCGCCCCCGAAGACGCCGAAGAACGCTAAGCCTACTCGCCCGGCGGCTCCGACGACAACCAAGCCGACTACTATTGTCCTGTCGATCCCGCCTTCCCTCCTCCCCACGCACATGAAGGAGTTCATGAAGCCGAGCGACGCCGTTGACCCGGGCCACGAGGAGCGGATCCGCGGTGTCATCGAGGCGTTCGGCGCTTCTGTTGGTCAAATCAATGTCATTGACGGATCTGAGCGTGGAGAGCAGGAGAAGCTCTGGTGGAGCGGAGAGGAACGGGATATGGAGAGTAGAAAGAGGCGTGAGGAGCGTCGTCTCAACGCGATCTTTGCTGGACAGTGAGTTGAGGTGCCCAGCACGTTAACTGACCAGCAGCAACCAGCGTCTCCTGCCCGCATTCACCTCGTCTCCGGGTGGTCAGGCGCCCGCCAACCCTATTCTCGAGATGCTGACCGGCGGCAAGAAGCCGAAGGGCGACCAGGGTAACAGCAACTCGATCGTCTGGAAGATTGTGCCCATCGTTCCCGCCAACCGCGACCGTGTTCTGGAGCAGCACGAGCGTCACACCCGTCGACGGGCATTGAACGCCGCTATCATGACCAAGGCCGTAAGTCAACTTGGTGCCGTCCTCGAGGAGCCGCGGGACATGCTCGGCGTCCCGGGAACGACGCACCCCGCTCGCGGTCGTGCTCGTCGCCTCGAGCGCCGTCGCAACGGTACTCCCGAATGGAGCGAGTTTATCATTTCCTGGAAGGAGGCTGTCGACCTCGCTAGCTTCGCGGTCGGCCGCGCTGCCATGAAGGACCCGAAGAACACTGAGCGCATCTCTCTTACCTGGAAGGACATCGAGGAGGCTCGCAACGAGCACTACGACTCTAACCAGGTCATCCGCGACACTGTCTTCAACTACATCGACGCCGAGCTCAAGCAGCGCAGGGCCTCCGCTACCGAGGCTGAGAAGGGTACCGGCGACAGCACCGTCGAGGACGTCAAAAACGCCAAGGACCTCAACAAGCACGAGAAGCGCTTGCTTCACTGCATTGTTGACCCGAAGAAGATCTCGGCTGCGTCGTTCAACGACGTCCACCTTCCCTTCAAGACGATCGACGCGGTCCGAACAGTCATCTCGCTCCCGCTGCTCTTCCCCGAGGCCTTCCAGGGCGGTATTCTGAAGGACCACGTCACGAGCGGTGCGCTCCTCTTCGGTCCTCCCGGAACCGGAAAGACGCTCCTCGCGCGTGCCATTGCCGCCGAGAGTGGCGCCAGGATGATTGCCATCCAGCCCTCCGACGTCAACGACATGTGGGTCGGAGAGGGTGAGAAGCTCGTCAAGGCTGTGTTCTCCCTCGCCCGTCGCCTGGCTCCGTGCGTCGTGTTCATCGATGAGGTCGACAGTTTGTTTGGCGCCCGTTCGGCCCGCGACTCGTCGGGTGGTTCCAAGGCGCACAACCAGATCCTGACCGAGTTCATGCAGGAGATGGACGGTCTCAGCTCTGCCAGCGCCAACCGCGATGCCCGCGTAGTGGTCGTCGGAGCGACCAACCGGCCGTTCGACCTCGACGACGCCATCCTGCGTCGTCTCCCGCGTCGTCTGCTGGTCGATCTTCCCACTGAGGACGACCGTAAAGGTGAGTTATCACGCTCGGCAGAAGTAACTGACATTCAGCGATCCTGGAGATCCTGCTCAAGAACGAGAACCTCGCCGCCGACGTCGACCTACGCAAGCTGGCTAAGAGGACAGAGGGCTTCTCTGGCTCTGACTTGAAGCGTAAGTTCTTTTGCAGTGATTAGGCGCTGACATCAGACCTGTGTGTTGCTGCAGCTTTGGCTAGTGTGAAGGACGACGTGGTAGTGCCCTGGAAGAAGCATGGTGCCAAGGCGACCAAGGTCAAGCCCGTCCACCACGCTTCTGGCAGTGTGCACCACCCCGACACGGGTGGCAACCGCAACCCCGTCAGCGAGCCGGCAAAGCAACCCAAGGAGGAGATGCCCGCCATCGCCACCGAGGGCGAGGTCGAGGCTACCCCGCACATGTCCGCGGACCCTACCGCGAGCAACTCGGCTGCCGCCAAGATGCTCGAGGCTGCCCACGAGGCTGCTCTGCACGATCTCAAGACCGGTGGCATGTCGGCTTTGGCGCAGTCTCGAGGCTTCTTCACCTCGGCCACTGCGCAGAACGCCAAGGCTGAACCCCCCAGTGCTAGCGATGCTTCTAACTCTTCTGTCCAGGAGAACCCGGAGGAGGCTGAGCCCATCGAGCCGATCTCGTCTCAGAAGCTGAGTCGTGTCCTGCGGGCCAAGCACTTTGAGACGGCGCTGGGCGAGATCCGACCCAGCTCCAGCGAGGAGGGCACGATTGGTGAGCTCCGCAAGTGGGCTGAGCTGTACGGTGAGGGTGGCACGAAGAAGGGCAAGAAGAGCGGTTTCGGCAAGGGCTTCGGCTTCGGCGAGGAGGCGATCACGCGGAAAGGCTTCGGACGTGTGGACACGGACGACGCGGACAAGTAGGCGAGGGCAGGAGGAGGCCTTTAGAAGAACGTCATAGAAGTAGCAGCACGTGAGTGGCTGCGGCCACCCATCAGAAGACACTTTGCATTGCACTGCATCCCAAACAACTCCCAACATAGACTTCCATCACATCATGCATAACGTGCACCGTGCGTGTTTGCGGCATTTCCAGGTCTTGTGTTGATGTCACGGGCACTATGGGGAAGGGTGGTCGTACTCCGTACTCACGGAGAGGCCGATATAGTTCGGGTGGCGAATTCGGCTTGTCGGCTTGGTCGGCTCGGGCCAATGGACGGCGGGGTAATTCGAGCCAGGCTATTTGGCTGACAAAGTGACTGACCGCCTCCGGGCCACGGTATTTTGCACGGATCCAAGACGATATGATTACGTCCACTCCACTTTGAGTTCGCATCTTTCTTCACACACACACACACCTTTTTCTGTTATTCGTACAAAAATGCGTTCCGCGATCGCTTCCTCGTCCCGCCTCGTCGCGGCTCTGCCCCGGGCAGCCACCGTTGCCGCCCGCCCCGCCGTGCCCGCCATGCGCATCGCCGCCCGGAATCTCTCATCGGCCTCGACACGCCCGCGGATCAACCCCCTCCGCCTCGCTTCGCGCCAGCCGCAGCAGGGTGAGTTGCCTCGACACTGCATAGCTGACAGTCTCCAGTGCGCACCATGTTCATCCAGACGGAGACGACGCCGAACGAGGACTCGCTCAAGTTCATCCCGGGCGTGCCGGTGACGAAGGGGTCGACGTACGAGTTCCTCGACCTGCGCTCAGCCCTCAAGTCGCCGCTAGCCACGCGCCTGCTGAACATTGAGGGCATTGTCGGTGTCTTTTACGGACCCGACTTTGTGACGTGCACAAAGGACGACTCGTTCCAGTGGAACATTCTCAAGCCCGAGGTGTTTGCGATTCTGATGGAGCACTTTTCCTCCGGCGCCCAGCTCTTCCGCGAGGAACATGCCGAGGGCGAAGGGGCGGAGGACACGCGTGTCCTCGACTCGGACTCGGATGTCGTCGCCATGATCAAGGAGCTGCTCGAGACGCGCGTCCGCCCCGCTATCCAGGAGGACGGAGGCGATATCGAGTACCGCGGCTTTGACGAGGAGAAGGGCACCGTCTTCCTCAAGCTTATGGGAAGTTGCCGCGGATGCTCCAGCTCCGAGGTCACGCTCAAGAACGGCATCGAGCGCATGCTCATGCACTACGTGCCCGAGGTCCAGGCCGTCGAGCAGTTCGTCACCGAGGAGGAGAAGATTGCCCAGGACGAGTTTGCAAAGCTCGAGGCTAGGCTGGAGAAGCAGGCAAAGGAGAAGGAGGCCCAGGCTGCCGAGGCCGCCTAGGCTTTCGCAGTATAAGTCAGTAGAGAAGAGCGGTGCCCGAGCACACCAGAGATGTTTGTCATAGATCAAGCCCATGTAATTTCATGCATTCATTGCCCACTCGCAGTACTCTTGCGCTTTTGCTCTTTCTGCTGATTATAGCTACATACATCATAAACTGAGTGTCTACATTGTCGGGCGGCGCAGGCTTTCAAAGCCCTACACCTCTTTGTCTATCCGCGGCGACCGTCCGTCGCATCTCCAGATTTGCACGCGACGATCTTAATCTTGGGAGCGGTCACGAGCTCGCCGCTGAGAGTTAGTTACACTCCACCAACTGTTAACTCACGATGATCCCGTACCCTCCATTCGGAACTGGGGGTCCTTAACGACAAACGTCCACACATCGTCACACAGGCGGTACGTCGACAGATGTCCCTGTCTGTCAGCTTATGTGATCCATCGTAGGCAGTCAGCTGGTTGATGCCGGCCGTGGGATGGCTGGCGGGGAAGACTCACCTTGACGGACGTCTTTTGCTTGACGCCCTTCTGGAGACACTCGGTGAGCGACTTGTCGAACTGTGGTCAGCTCGCTACATGTTTTGCGAGCATACCTGCTGGAGAACCCTCATGGCGAGCTGGGGCGGGATGTCGCCCGACGTGATGAGCTCATCGAGAGCGTCCGTCAGCGCAGTTCCGATGCTGCCTCGTCAGCTACCAGGACGCTTCGACTCAGCTCACGAGGAACCACGGTAGAACTCGTAGTAGGTCTGCCCCTTGTTGTCAGTGCCGGACATGCTGGGCTGCGGGTCGGCAGATGGGGAGTGGAGGATGTGGCCGAGTCGAAAGCCAGGCCTGGTCGTCGATAACAGTGGCGACTGCCGAGTGGACGAGGGGGTCGAGTAGTGGCCCGGAGGTGGTGATGGTGGGAGAAATGATGAGTAATACGCCGGAAGTATATTCCACGTGTCAAGCGTGCGGTCTCAGCTTGGGCTGGGTGAAGCGGTTTCCCCTTGCACGTCATGCGCGCGGGTGGAGTCTCGCCCTGTATCGAAGTCCTGGCCCAGCACAACACACCAACACTAACCACTGCACCCTGTGCAACCGACCACCGCTGAACACCCGGCCTGCGCGTTTCGTTTCGTCTCGTTTCGTCCCTTCGCATATTCATCAACTCTACTCAAACCACCTCATTTCCACAACCCACACACCTTCTTCCCAGCCCCCACGCTCCTTTCCTTCGTCCGGGTGGTCTCGCTTGACGCGGCCCCGCTCACCTTCATCATTCACACATGATTATACCGCCCGAGAAGACGAGGGGGCCACTCGCCTACCGCTTCAAGCGGGGGTCCAAACTCGTCGTGAGTAATGCCGCACCTCCTCCATCGCGTCCAACCGCGACTGTCCGAACTTTCATGCATGTTGGTGCTAACCTCCAGGACCTGCCGCCACAGCCGCCCTCGCCCCCCGTCCCTCCCCTCTCGGCGATTGATGGGCCCTTCCAGCTCTCAGAGTATTTGTCGCTCAAGGTCCGACATGACCCTCATGACATCAAGGGTCTCGTCGAGGTGCCCTCGGACAACGCGAAGGCTGCCGATCGTCACGTCGTGAGTAGCATTCACTGACAGCAAGCATCGCTGACAAATAGTGGATCTATGAACATCTTCGGTGCGTATTGTGTTGCTCGTACGCACCCCTTCTGCGCGTCGAGCCCACTGTTCAGACCAAGTCGCGTGAGCTGAAAGCTGACTCCACCGCAGCCGGATACCGATAGACGTCACTCCGCTTCTCACCCAGCTTCAACTGCTGTGCAGTCACGAGACGTGTCCCGAGATGAAGGCCAACGAGTGGCAGTACCTCTGCGTCGCGCACGGCGGCGAGGGAACGGACAAGTGCTGCGCTATCGACTACATCCTCCATACGTGAGTTGTCACGTTTCAGAGTTACGCCGTTACCCCGAGAAGTCGACGTTCTGATTGTGCTGACGGACCCCAGTCTCGACTCGACGACCGCCTTACTGAACTCCTCCAACTACTTCCCCTCGAGGCTGCAGATCCCCCACGCCTCGCTTACGCACTTCCCGTCTCTCTTCCGCCGGCTGTCGCGCATCTTCTCTCACGCATACTTCCACCACCGCGAGGCGTTTGCGACGTCCGAGGCCGAAACGTCGCTGTATGCGCGCTTCGCGGCCCTCTGCCAGCGTTACGAACTGTTAGGTGCTGGCTTGCTTCTGATTCCGCCCGAAGGCTACGAGGTGGTGACGCCCAATGACGATTCTGACGACCATAACGACAAGCACGACAGCTCGGACGAGGAGCCCGAGTCGGCGCACGCTGATGCCGGAAATACGACGAGTGTTTTGGACGAGCCGGCCTCAAATGCCGCGACGACACACGAGAACGCCAACGCCAGTGGCGCCAGCCCCAGCCCTGCCGCCCCCGTCCCAGGCAATGAGGGAAGCGACGCAGACAAGACTGCGTCTGCGCCGATCGAGGTCCCGGCCCCCGCCGAGTCTGAGCGGAAAGACGATTCAATGGGAGTGGCGGGCGGACGAGGATCCTTTTCGCCTAACAGGTGGTCTGGGTCCCCCGTGCAGCCGCCCCACAAGGGCAAGCCGGCCCCCGCTCAGGCCTCCGAGTCCCTCAGCCCGCCCAGCACGCGCGCAGCCCTCGACGCTCTCAACGACTCGCCCAAGGTTGAGCCCAAGGTCGAGTCCAAGGTTGTGTCGGGCAAGGGGCGCGGCACGTTATCGCGCGGCAAGGCGCCGCGCGCGAGCGTCTTTGCGGCGACCGGGCCGGACGCCAACGCCTCGGGCACGTTCTCGACCTCGCCGACGAGCACGGAGAGCGTACTCTCCCCCTCTGTCTTGGGTATGGCGCGGAAGGAGAGCGTCGAGAGTGCCGTCTTCGTCGGTGACGAGGAGAAGCCTCAGCACGAGGCCGCCGACACTGCCACCGACACTTCTGAGGCTGTTGCCGATGCGCCGGACACGCACGAGGAGACACCCGCCAACGATGTCTCTATCCCAATCCAGCTCGACCGAGCCGACGAGGCCGTGTCGCCCAAGACGACGACGTCCACGATCCCCGACATTCTCGCCGAGGACACGGACGCCTCCGCCGCGCCCACCTCGCCGCCAAAGATCACCAAGTCGGAGCTCCTGCCGTCGCCGAAGAGCGAGCTGCTCTCTATCTCGCCGAAGAACACGGCGTCCCCGAAACGCGGAGGCAAGAGTGCGCGCGGTGCGCCTCGCTCGCCGAAGAAGGCCAAGGGCAAGGCGCTGAAAAAGGAAGGAAGCGGCAGTGGAGGCTCGGGCGGGTCGAACTCGCCGGTCCCCACTGAGGAGTAGTTAGACGCGGACGTGCTCGGCATGGCTAGTGTGATTCTGTAACGCGACAAAAGAACCAGAGCTCAGGTTACGCTACGCAGAGGACGAGGGAGTGTACGACTATTGCATGCATCAGCTATGTAACGAAGCGAATGAGTGGCTGGGAGCAGTGATGGCGAGAAGTGTGCTGCGGTGCCTGTGTCAAATGAGGTGACTAACCTCCACCTGTGTGGTGCACTCACTCGTCTTCCCCGGCAGCCTCCACCAGTCCCATTTTTCGACTTCCCCATCCACGATAAGCCGTCCGTTTCGTAACCTCGCCTCGCAAGCTCATCGAGCGCGCCGAACACGAGCACGCAAAACGATGTCGGTCGAGCACCTCTCCCTGCCTCCGGGCCATCTTCCCCCACCACCAGCCTACGCCCGCCCAAAGCTGCTGGGGACGTACTCCCACCTCCCCGACCGGCGGATCGTCCCCGGCGACGCGAGCATGGCGTATTACCGCCCCGCACCCCTCGGTGCGGATCTGACCTACGGCGCCAAAGAGCGGATAGACCGCGACGAGAGCGTGGAGGAACACCTCGATGGGCTGGTGGAAAGTTTCCGGAGGATTGGGAGGGAGAGGCCCGGCGGCGTGGTGACTTGGCGCGGGATGCTGACGAGGTGTGTATCCAGCCTGGACGGAGCTGGTAGGTTCTTGAAGAGCTGACTTCAGGTTCATGACGGCTCCCTTTGAGACGGAGGGATGGGCGATGGACGCGGTTGCGCTGAATGGGAGCGTGTATCTGGAGCTTTACGATCCGCCGGAGGAACGAGCTAAGAGGTAAGCTGCGTGGACGCTGGCTAGCTGATGAGACAGACTCGAGGCGCAGAAAGCCTGGGCTTTGCCGAGCTACATGGGCTATGCCTACGAGGCATACTCGACGTATCCTGAGGGCGACGAGGCGGTGGACGGGCCCGAGGGCTGGTCGGGAACAGTCAACACGAATGTGCAGTGGTGCAAGTGAGTCTATACTGTCATTCGAGCTCCTGATATGGACATACAAAGCTGACAGCAGCATTGTCGAGTCGTCCATCGGTGAGATTCCCGTCACGATCGGCGGAGAAGTGGACTGTGTGGACGGTGAGCTGTCATGTTCCTGGTTTAGCTAACCCCAGTGCCACCAGGAACACCGAACCCAGGTCTGAGCAAATGCGTCGAGCTCAAGACGAACAAGGTCATCAACGACGAGCGGGGGGATAACATCTTCCACAAAAAGCTGCTGAAGCACTGGGCGCAGAGCTTCCTCCTCGGTATTCCCGTGAGTACTTCCCTCCCAGCTCAACACCATCCACCCTTCAGCCGTAGCTGACATCAGACCGTCACAGTCGGCTTCAGGACCGACGCGGGCATCCTGTCCTCGCAGCGCAGCTTCCAAACTCTGCGTATTCCGGGTATAGTCGCGGGACAGAAGCGGGGTTGGCGTCCCGAACCTGCGCTGCACTTCTTGTACGCTGCGCTCGAGATGGTGACGCGGAACACACTGCCGAGCGACCCGCACCCGCCTGAAGCGCCACCTCTGCCAGCGTCTTCGCCGCTGCCCCGCGCCGCCAGGTGGAGGGTCCAGTTCACGCCGAGACGAGGGCTGGACCTGTACCTCCTCGGCGAGGAGGAGCACACGCCCGGCACACGGTGGGGCGGCATCCTCCCCGAGGAGTACGTCCGATGGCGCTGCAGTGAAACACATCAGACATATTTTCGCATCTAGGTTTAATGCAGGACTATGGATTTGTCACGGCAGTGTTCAGTTTAGATTGTTCTATATACTTTCCTCTATCCTCAACCAGTACGCCGGCTCACTCGAGCCCGAGTTCCTTGCGCTTATCACGAATCGCCTCGGCGAGACGGCGGAATCCCTCCGGCGACTCGTCCTCGAGGTCGATGACCGAGAAACTTACGCGGACGTGGGGACTCTTCCTCCCACTCGGGTAGAACGCAGCCCCAGGCACAGCAAGCACACCCTTGGCGAGTGCCTCGTTCCGGATCAGCTTGTAGCTATCCTCAATCCCGCCCGGGGACAGGTCGATCCAGAGGAACATGCCTGCGACGGGGGAGACCCAGGTGGCCAAATCGCCCAATTCCTTCCTGGCCGTAGCCTCGAAGCGATCACGACGCTCGCGATAGAACTCGGAGACGGCGCGGGAATGGGCGAGGAACCCGTCGATGCCCCAGTGCGACAACAGGCTGTGCGCTATGGCCTGCGCGAGTGCGGACGTGTGCAGATTCGCGCCTGCCGTGTGCACGTCGATCGCGTGCAGGATGTCCTTTGGTCCTGTTGCGAAGCCGAGGCGGATGCCGGCAGACAGGAGCTTGGAGAAGGAATCGAAGCGCACGACGTGCCCGCCCTCCGGGAAGACCTGCTTCTCGAGCTCGAAGTAGGACGGGATCAGGGGCGTGGTGAGGTAGTAGTATGGGTCGTCTGGATGTTAGCTTTGTGGTAAGAAACGCCCAGCTCCGTTGATTCTGCCATCCGCTCTTCGCCGACTCACCCTCCATCATCAACAGGTCGTGCTTCTTCATAACCTGGAGCACGTCGAGTTTGCGCTGCGCCGAGCTCGAGCATCCCGAGGGATTACAGCCGACAGGGGTAGAGTAAATGACGCGCGGCTTCTTCTCCCCAGCGGGCCAGTTGTCGAGAATAGCCGCCAAGCGGTCGGCACTGAGGCCCTCGTCGTCGACGTCGACCTCGATGCACTTGGCGCCCAGCTGGCGCAGCGTGGGCAGTACGCCGGAGTAGACTGGCGTCTCGACCAGGATGGGGTCGCCGGGGTTCAGGACCGCTTGGAAGCACTGTTGTCAGCTCTCGTCGTGTATTTGAAGAGCTAGCGAGAGTCAACACTCACCTTGCTCATCAGGTCTTGCGAGCCACTACCCAGGCTCACGGCCCAGTTCTCGCCGATCTCGCGCTTGTGCACCTGCGCCTGCAGGTCGGTGAGCCAGCCGCGGATGCTCGAGAGGCCCGCACTGGGGCCGTACTGCAGTGCCTCGTTCAGCGCCTCGCCGTCCAGTTGCACAGCGACAGACTCGGAGGAACGCCCGTCGAGCGGAGGCTTGATGTTGAGCGTGATGCTCTCGAACGGGAACGTCGTCGGGTTCGGGCGCCCGGCACTGCTGTCAGCTAAGACCGGAGACAAGGACAGCTCACAGGAAGGTGATAATGCCGGGCTTCTCGAGGGGCATCAGGCCGCGGACTGGATGTCAGCTATCGTTGGGGGTCAATGCAGCTCGGCATCGCGACGCGTCTCTCGTCAGAGGATTGTAAACTCACTCCCGTCAATCTCGGTGCTGGCCGCGCGGTCACTGAGAAAGTTGGGCGCCGCGGCGCACGAAGGCGAGCGAGCCCGCGGAGTCGTCTGGAACGGCGATGAGACCTTGGAGTCGGGCTCGATGGCGGATGACTCGACCATGCTGCGTGCTGTGTGCCCTTTCTATGTGTTTAGTTCACAAGTGCGTGTGTGTGTATTGGTCGACGAGAGGAAGAGAGAAATTTGAAAGACAACAGTTGATCGTCATGACTCCTTTAAGGTATGCTGAGTGTCTGGGGCGTGACGGGGCGGGTGGAGACTGGAATGCCCATCTCAGCCGATCCCTGCCTTGTCGCTTGCGCCCCCGCTTGTCGCCTGGCGCGCTGGCGCACTTGGGACTGGTATCGGCAGGATTCTACGCACCTCTACGCGCCTGCGCTGATATCATCACGCACTCCCCTGCGCGTCCTTGCCTTCGGATCGGTACTTGCGTCAGGTGCTACGGGAGAGCTCGTCCGAAAAAATCACAACTCCATCGGCGTACAACGTAATCGCGCTAACTCGATATCGGCCATCGCCGACGGTGCTTGATAAGCTCTGCTTTTAGTTACCGCGACTTGCCATCCAAACATCCGAAGTCGTCCAGCTTCAATCCGCGGCATGCTCCAACATGTCGACTCGAAGCTTCCCAGTCGCGCCAGCTGTGCCAAGAGCTTGCCAATCACTTTGGGACGCTGGCTCCTGATCATTCTTTCACATGTTCGATCGGCATCAATCACAAAATCACGAGACCCGTGCGTTGATTGCGAGGCGTTGCGGCGTCCCAGCCGCCGTGTCCGCGGCCGTTCAGCCGATAAGCCACTCTTCTCCTTACTCTCTTTGGGGAGCTTTCCGCTTTCCGTGCAGTTGAATATACATGCGTATCGATACAGATCTCTACATACATTGATATGGCTAGATGAACAGATGGCTCGTGATTGTACTCGTCGTTATCGCACAACACCACAACACGGGTCCGCTCGCAGTTGAGTGATCGCTCCCCGGTCCAGACCTCCGCAGAGCCCGCAGGCATTGTGGATCGGTCCCTTTTGCTGCGCGCCCCCTCGTATCCGTGTTACAGGTTGTCGAGGGCGATGTGCGCCTGCCATCGGCCGAACGCGCGTGCGAACCTGAGGAAGATCGGCAGGAACGGGAAGAACACGAAGGAAAGGATGAAGAGCACCAGCAGCGCAACGAAAGATACGAGCACGATGACTGGCTTGATGAGGAGAAGATACACGAGCGCCGAGTATGAGTACTGGTCGGTGAACTGGAGGTCAGCTAATCAAGAGGTCGGCATAGCTAAGCAACCCACCATTGCCCAGCTGCAAGACAGAAAACGTCTGTCCCAGACAAGCTCGCCGTCCTCGCGGACACGCTGGCGGTAGAAAATTGGTTGCACTGTCCGCACCTCGACGCCCTGGAAGAAGACCTGGAGCCTTGTCTCGACTGCTGCTGCCGCTCGCGCAAGAATCAGAGTCGCGAACCAGAACACGGCGCCCAGTGGCAGCGTCACGAGGAGCGCGGTTCCGACAAGTGTGCCAGTCAGGAGGAGGGGCCACAGTGCCAGGTTCTGTGGACACGTCAGCTTACCCTCGCCGTAGAAGAAGCTCACAAATGGGAAATTGATGACTAGCGTGTGGAACAGCGACTTCCATGCTGCTCCGTCACACAGCGTGCTCCAGTAGCCGCGCTCGTCGCCCTTGATGATGTATTCGAACGGACTGCGATAGCGGGCACGCTCAAGGGGGTCGGAGGCGAGGAGTGGTGTCGTCTCCGTACCGCCCGGTGCGGACTCGCGTCGATACTGGGGAAGTGGAGGGAGTGCGACGAGTGGACTGCCGGCCGTGAAGGTCTGGGCCCTCGCTCGACCAGCGGGGTACGGCGCATATGGTGGAGGTGCATCGGTCGGCGTGGCCGGCTTCGGAAACAGCTGCCCGTTGACGAAGATGAACTCCTGGTCGTGGTCGACAGAGGGAGTGGCGCCAGCCTCGGAGAGCAGCGGGTCGACTTGTGGTGAGATGGGCGATGGGACCGGGGGCGAGCTACCGAGCGGGTGCGAGACGTCGCGATGCGGTTGTGACCTCGTAAACCCAGAGCCCTCGGTGCGCGCGGCTTCGACGTCGACGACGTAACTCGCCTCCGAGCCGCCAGAACTTGACTGCGGCTGCCGTCTAGTCATTCTCGGTTTGCGATCTCGTCGGAGCCGTTTGCGGCTGTCGATTTCGTGCAATGTTCAAGCGTGACAGCCGCCGGGCCGCCGGGTCGACTGACGTCGTCCGATATCCTGGGTGGACCTCTGGGCTCGTAGATAGCGGAGTGGCGATGCGGAGACGCACACGTCATTTTGGCGCGTGGATACCACGCGACCGAAATGTTGACATCAGGTGGCAAGAGACCGATCGTGATCTTGATGCTGCTCGCCTCATATTCGTTCTCCTATCCTGCCCCTCTCCCAAAATGGTGAGCTTCAAGCGCGTTGTCGTAGCTGATTGCAGTCTGTCACTCTGCACACGACCGCAGGTGATATCAAAATCGAGGTGTTCTGTGAGGCTGTTCCTCGGACAGCGGAGGTGAGCTTCCCCTTCAGATGGTCTGCGTGAACCTGTCATCTGACGTCAGAACTTCCTCGCGCTATGTGCATCCAACTACTTCGACAACTGCCTTTTCCACAGGAACATCAAAGGCTTCATGGTGCAGACGGGAGACCCGACGGGAACCGGCAAAGGAGGGCAGAGCATCTGGGGTCAGCCGTTCCCGGATGAGGTCCGATCAACGTTGAAGGTGTGTGGTCAGCTGACCGCTGTGATCCAAGAAGCTAATCCCAGTTCAATGCCAGGGGAATAGTTGCCATGGCCAATGCCGGACCGGATACGAACAAGTCACAGGTGAGTTTGTTGAGCTTACGGTACGACTAACTCTCAGTTCTTCATCACGTACGCGAAGCAGTCGAGTCTGGACGGCAAGTACACAATCTTCGGCAAGGTCATCGACGGCGCGGACTCGACGCTGGACGCGATTGAGAAGGTGCCAGTGAACGCGAAGAACCGGCCACTGGAGGAGATCCGGTTGGAGAGCGTCACGATTCACGCGAACCCGATTGCGGAGGCTCAGAAGTAGTAGAATTTTAGAATGTAATGCCATAATTGTACAAGGATCTATAACGTTACAACCTAGCGACTGCGCTCCTGCATGCTTATTGCCCGTACCATCGCCCGTTTGCCAGCTCCTCCTGCGGCGGGTCGCGGTGGGGAATCGCCGACTCGGTGATATTGAAAGTGTCGATGGCCTGCTGCCAGGTCTCCATGTCAAACTCGATCACGGCCTGCTGCTGCGCAATGTCACCTTCCACAGCAGGATCGTACTGGTCGCTGGCGCCTGGGACAAGTTAGACAAGGCGTACTGTAGATCAACTTACAGATTATGATCTCTCCGTCTTCCTTCACGTCGATACCGACACGGCCTTCCTTGACGAGGAAGGACGTGTAGAAGAGGTTTTCGACGGACTGCGCGAAGCTGTCGGGATTGATAAACAGGCGGAAGAGGTTGACGCCCTTGCGCTGCGGGTCCATCGCCCTGAGCACCGCGCTGATCTCCTTGACGTGCGTCGTGGTCGGATCCTTCGTCTTCGACTTGCCCTCCTGCTGCACTTCCTCTGGGCGCGTCTCGGGCGCAACCTCCTGTCTTGCCCTACGCTGCGCATGCTGCCGTACAGTGTGTTCGACTTCCAGTGGCCCATACCTGTCGTCAGTTAAGCACGTGAACAGGCGAACTCACATGAACTCGACTCCAGGGGCACGTCGAGACAGCGAAGCCGCCATCCACCCGATACGCTCCCAGTCGCCAAGAGCCGTCTGTCCTCTCCGCGGCCGCTGACGTTGCGTCATCGTCTCCTCGAGCTCGTCTTCCTCAGAGTCATCGTCCACGGCCTGAGTCTCCTCCGCTTCCATTCCGAGGACGCTCTTCACACTGGGCGCTGTTAGCTGGGAGCAAATCTGTGAAACACACTTGTTGATAAATTCAGACACGTCGAAGGACACACCGCCGAGCTTGAGCTTCCGTGCGAGGTTGGCCGACGTCTCGCCCATTGTCATCATGAGACGCGCATCGAGCGCCGCCGTGCCCGTATCCCTCACTGTAAGTCAGCTAACGTGCAAGCACCATCAGCTCACCATCTCGGAACAGTTTGTTCTGCTGCCTCGCCATGCGCGCGAGGTCATCGACACCAATGTTTTCAAGGTTCGTCTTCATGTCTGTCTGTCAGCTTCGGACCAAGCCGCTCTCAGCTTACCATCAGCAGCCATCTGCATATCGCGGTATCCAGCGACGATGCGCGCCTTCTCCTCGAGGTCAGGCTTATCGAAGAGCTCCTCGCGGAGACTGCCGCGGGGACGCTTGCGTCGCGAGCCATCCTGAGTCTGCGTCTGGCGCTGGGACTGCGACTGCGCTTGTGACTCGTCAAACGACCCGCGGCGCCGGCGCTGTGACGGTCCGGCAGTGGACATGGTGGCGTGAGGTGATGAGATGAGGAAGGAAGGGAAGAGACCGAAATCAACATTGACCCCTTCCCTCCCTCCACCACGCGCGGCGCGTCTGGGCAGACACCCTTCCTAGCTGATCTCGACATTTGCTTCCGTCCACCATCCAGACGCCAAGGTGGATGACGGTGTTCAATGGCGTTTCAGAATGCAGAGGTGAAGGTCATCCACTGTCGTCACTTACGCCTTCCCCATGGAGCCCTTTGCGACTGGTGAGCTGGCCGAGAGCCTTGCATAGCTAACGACAGGCCTGCATGCAGACATTTTCTTTGAGCCCAGTGGCGACACGCCCGCCAGCTGCCATGCGGTCAAGATCGTGACGGCGCCAAAGGATGGTGTCGACGCCTCGAGGCGCCCGCACAACGTCATCCGTGAAGTCAGGATATTGCGGCGCGCAACGCATCCGAATGTGAGTTGCCGTGCTGTGAACGAACTCATTGAGCTTTTGGAGTCCTTGAAGCTGACATCAGATCATCCCTTTGCTCGAGTACAGCTACTCTGAGCCAGAGCACCGACTGACCTTTCCGTTGCTGCCAGTGACGATGGCCAACATCCTGGAACACGCCCCGAGTCCCGAGATCTTCGCCCACACCGCACTAGGATTGCTCTCAGCACTCGAGCACCTGCACTCCCTCGATATTGCGCACAGAGATGTCAAACCCGCCAACATCATGTACAGCTGGGACGGCACAGTGCAGCTGATCGACTTCGGAACTGCCTGGGACGGACAGGGCGGCGACGGTGGCGCCGGGATGGAGACACAAGTAGGGAGCGGGTTAGCTGTGCAACTGTCGTTTTGCAGCTAACAACAGGCACTACCGGGCGCCCGAACTGCTGTTCTCGGAGACGTACGATCCCCGCGCGATAGATCTGTGGAGTGCCGGCGTGACGCTGGCAGAGTGCTTCAATATCGACCTTGGAGCCGACTCGGACTCCTCAGACTCGGACGACGAGATCGAAGGCTTTCAGCTCCGCCGACCACCACCTCGAAAGCTTCTCTTCTCGGCTGAGTTTGGCGAGATCGGACTCGCGGGGAGTATCTTCAGGGTCCTTGGGACACCAACGGAGGAGAACTGGCCGGTAAGCTCACAGCTTCGGAAAGCAGAGCTGACGCCCAGAGCTTCGCTACGCTGACGGACGCGAACAAGCTCATGTTTGACCCAAAACCGCCACGGAGGCTGAGAGATGTTCTTGATGTCGATGAGAAGCAGTCCCTGGTCATCGAGGGCCTTGTGCAGCTTGAAGCTGGACGGAGGCTGAGTGCGAAGGATGCCCTGGCACTCCTTCCGCCAGCAGCCGAAGCGGAGGAGCAAGCGAGACCGGTGCTGAAGCGCTGGATCGACCACGCCGAGAAGAAATACGAGAAGCTGTTGTAACTCAATCAGAGATGTATCCTATGTCATGCTAATGCTGGTGATGCATGCTGATGCGAATATATGGATGTAGTGGATGTCTAGTATACAATCTATTGCGGAGTCACAATCACAACTAACGATACCGGTGCGTTCTTCGAGACCTGGGTGGACAATGGGGGATACAGGGGTGGGCCGGTGCACCGGCCCAATTGGGCGACATGGGAGGAGGCGGCTAGCCGAAGAGGTCCTTGAGAATCAGAGCGGGATCCTCGTACTTCCAGTGCAGGTTGTGTTTCTTCTCCCGCTTGCGATCGCCGCCCTCGCCCTCCTCTCCGCGCCCAGCTTTATCGATCTTGAGCAGACCCGTGTCCTGCAGCGTCTGCGAGACGGTCTCAATCTTGCCCTGTCCCGCGGCGGCATGCAGCGTTGAGGCAGCTTTGACGGGGCTGGGAACATTGGGCAGCGCAGCAGGAAGGGCGCCTGGCAGACCTACGGTCTGGGTCTGTGGTGTGGCACTTGGGAGGAGGTTGGCGGCTGGGCGTGGCGTGCGAGCGTCAAACTCCTTCTCTTCTTCCCGTTCCTCGCGAGGCTTGGACGCCTCGACCTCAGCGATCGTCAGCGACGCTTGCGGATGCAGGCTAGGAGCTAGCGTGAAGAGGTACTGCAGTGTGCCAAGGGTCGGCGTCGGGATGTCCGGCGCCTCCGGCGACGGCTCGTGCACGCCTGGTGGTACACGGAGTGTATCCTCGCCTGGCCGATCGCGGCCAGTCAAGTGCACCAATGAATGCAGCACATCGCCCAAGTGTTGATGCAAGCCAACGCCCATGAACTCGCCGACCTCCTTCGTGGCGTCCGGGGCAACCTCTAAGTTCCAGGTCTTGGCGACCTGGGCAAGGCGTAACGCCAATTGGTGCGATGAGGGGATGTTGCGGCCAGACTGCGCGAGAGTGGGGTGAGCGGCGCCTGTTGGTTAGCTCGGACCGACGTCTAATCCAGCTAGGGGTGAAGAGTATATTCCGGACTCACCTGACTGGTACGCAGACCACTTGCGTTTCTTACCCATGGCGTCGAATTCGTCCGCCTCGACGACCTCCTCCGGCTCAGCGTCGACTGCTCGCCGAACTCGTTCTCTTTCCCGTCCACCGAGTCCCATGGCCCAGTTAGCTACTCGATCCATGGGCTCGATGTAGGTTGCGTCCGAGTCAAAGTCGGGTGCGTCGATGCCGCCTCTACGTCGCTTGTTCATGTGGAGCGATGAGGCGCTCTGGTTTGCGATCTGTGGCGTAGATGCATTGTGCAAAAGAGAAGTCAGAAGCTGGTTGTGCAGCTGCACTGTTATTGTCAGTTTCCGGTGCGTTCACAACAGCTTGCTCGCCGCCGGATGCATGCCCATCGCTGTGCATCACGCCGCGGACAATTGGTTACTCACGCGATTTGCCCTTGAGCCATCCTCTGACGAGTGCCACAAGCTCGTCCCGTCCGACCTGACCGAGAAGGTATCCGTTCAACGCCTTCCAGTACGGTAATCCAGCTTCTCCGAGTGCATCGTAGAGCTGCTGCTTGATCCGATGCGTGTCGATGCGCTGGAAGGGGATGGGTAGGTTTGATGCGGGCGACGCTGGTGTCGAGGGGAGGGGCACTGATGCGCCCAGTGGTGTCGGGACGCTCGGCCGGTGACTTGGCGCACCTACTCCAGGGCCGGTGGAGGTCAAGCTGGGCATGGGAGCGGAGACCGACCCGGGGGTCGCGAGTGCATGGCTGGCATGGCCGGACATAGGGGCGGAGGCCGTGTTGCTTGCAGGCAAGGCAGGCGAGGGGACTCTGTGCCGCGCGCGGACAGGTGGATGGGGAGCGTGGATGCCGTCGATGCGCTCGATGCAAGTGGTTTTACTCTCGTGAGCCCGCCAGCAAAAGTGGACAACGACAAAGACGCCCCCGGCTCCTCATCACCCGCGAGCGGCCGACCGCTCGGCAACAACTAAAGTGGAGGAACGCATAAACGCCACCACGCGAATCTCACGCTTCCGTCACTCACTTACTCCCCGTGCCTGGAGAGGGAAGCCAGAAATGTTGCAGCGAGCGTCATAACAGTTGTGTCCTTGTGTGGACAACGAGCTTCTTCTGCACATACTACCCCTTTCACATCAGACGCAAGAACAATGGCGACAGCAGCAACTGCGCAATCAAACGACGCGGGACCCTCGACGTCCACGTCCCCCGCTACCCAGGCTGCCGTCTTCAAGCGCCTCCATCCCGACCAGTACCTGCAGCGCTTCCTTGCGCAGGGCTACCGGCCAGACGGGCGCAAGGTCTCGGCCTGGCGCGACGTCAGCATCAACGTTGGTATGTAGCTAGTGCAACTTCTGATAGCTAACCTCAGGCTCGATTGGAACAGCAGAGGGCTCAGCGCTCGTGCGCATGGGCGACACGACGATCGTGTGCGGCATCAAGGCTGAGATCGCCGAGCCGAGCGGTGCGGCGCCGGATGAAGGCTTCGTCGGTGAGTCGAGCGATAGCTTGTCTTCAGCTGCGCAGAGATTTCAGTTAGCTAACCCCAGTCCCCAACATTGACCTCCCCGCCCTGTCCTCGCCCAAGTTCAAGCCCGGCCCGCCGGTCGACGAGGCGCAGACGATGAGCAACTGGCTGAACGACATGCTCGTTTCGTAAGCTCTTTCATGCCTGCACACCAGCTGACCCCAGGTCACGGACGTTGCCGCCCAAGTCTCTGATTATTGCACCCGGCAAGGCCGCATGGGTCATCTACATCGACGTCGTGTGCATCAACTATGACGGAAACGCGTACGATGCGGCCGTGCTCGCCGTCATGGCCGCGTTGAGGAATAGTGAGTGGCTTTGGAGGGAGTCGTCCAAGCTGGCAGGTAAAGTAGTTAGCTGACCGCAGCCCGCCTCCCGAGCGCCAAGTATGACGAGACGACGTTCCAGACCGTGTGTAACTGGGACGACAAGCACCCCCTTCCCCTTGGCCGGATGCCGCTGTGTGCCTCCTTTGGCGTGTTCGAGTCGTAAGTGTCCACTTCAGCGGAGCGCTGTTCTACGGTCCTGTCATCCCCCCTTTCGGCCTGCATTCAGAGCAGGAACAGTTTTGGACTCTTCGTCACACCCAGCTGCCAAGATCCTCGTAGCTGACAGCAGAACGTATCTACTCCCGGATCCAACGGCGTTCGAGCAGCCCCTCCTCCCGACCACGATCACGATTGCGCTCGACGAGAACAACCGCGCCGCGACAGTGAGGCAAGAAGGGCTCGGTGGCGTCGTGGGCAAATCTGGCTCCGAGCTACTGGACGAGGCGTGGAGCGCTGCCGAAGGGCATATCCAGGAGCTGAGGCAGATCCTCGAGCAGTCTTCCTAGCCCCTAGAATCAGCGAGAGAGTCAGTGGATTCGCGCAGAGGATCATAAAGGACGGTACGGGTATAGTGTGTTCGCATGCACTTTGTAAAATTAGCTTGAGAGAGCGTTATACTAATTACCCGGGGTATTATAAAGCGGCTACATGTGCCGTTGGTAACGTAACGAATACAACATGAAACCTCGAAACTCGTCTATGTGAGTTGAGATAAAGGTAGCGAGCGAAAGAAGGCAAGTTGGATGGGTGTTGATTGGGTGTTGCTGTGTGATGATATTATAGTCCCTCTTGCGTCCGTGGCAGTGGGTACGCATCTACTCCTCCTTCGGCGCCTGACTATCGACTCAGTGCCTCAGACTCTGCCTCCGGGGTGGATGCCCTTGCTCGGCCCTCGCCAGCTTGCGTCGGAGCAACTCCCTCTCCTGCTGCAGGGACGACATGCCAAGGCTGAGGCGTTCGTTCGCATTAGCCAGCTCCTCAACAGTCCGCTCGAGCTGGGCGATCGTGCGCTCTGCCGACTTTTGTTGTGGCGCCGCGGGCGCCAGCACACGCTTGCCCGTCGCCGAGGCCCAGGAGTCGCGGAGGAAGTTGCCGCTGCCCCGTTTGCTGGAGTGGCCGAGCCCGCTGGGCGGGGAGAAGCCGAGTAGCTCCCGCGACTGGCTGCGCGAGTGCCCCAGGTCGGTGCCGTTCACGCTCGAGCCGGGGATCGCGCGCGACTGCGACCGCGCGTGCGACGGTTGCGTGGGCTCGGACGCCGCTTGCGCCTCCTCCGCGCTTCGCCGAGCCGCGCGCTCCTCCTCCAGCTCCTTGCGGAGAGAGGCGAGCTCCTGCTCCCACTTCTGCTCCGCCTCCAGACGTGCATTGCGCTCGCGCTCGACCTGGGCGTGCAGTTGGTCCCGCTGCTCCTCGATCTGCAGGATGCGGTGCTCGGAACTGTCGATAGCGTCCCGCGCAGCGTACAGGTCCTCGGATGCCTTCTCGAGTGCGTCGTTGGTGTCGGCGAGCTTCTGGCGGGTGTGCTCCAGCTCAGCCGTGGCGTCGTCGTGCTCCGCCTCGAGGTCCTGGTGCTGGATCTCAAGAGACGAGAGCTTGCTCATCGCAGCATCCAGCTGCTCCTGCAGTTCGGCGACGGCTGAACTGTCTCCAGGCTCCGAGCGGACGGAAGGCTCCTGCGGCTGCTCGCGCAGTCGCTCAGTCTCAGCATTGAGTCGCTCAACCTGTGCATCGCGATCCGCGACCTCTTTCTTGAGACGCCGGCGTTCCTGCGCATGATCCCGCACAAGCCGCTTGATGACGCTATCACGGTCGCTGAGCTTGTTCTCGAGCTGCGACAGAAGCGCGCTGTATCCCTCGAGCTCTCGCGACAGATCTTCGTTCAGGCGGTTCTGCGTGTCAAAGAGGGTCTGCGCCTGCGGGGCCAGAGCAGCGATTGTCGGGTTCGTCGAGCTGAGCGGTGATCGCCGGCGGCTCGTGCGAATGTCCGCCGGCTCTTCAAGAAGCTCGGCAACGGAAGCGAGGGACGTACGGCGCGAGGAAGGTGGTGACTTGGAGGTAGAACGGCGAATGTCGAACGCGCCGCCCGGGGGCGCTGGGAAGCACTCGGCAATGACTCGGATGTCGGTGGTGCTTGGCTTCTTTTCGAGCGTTCGGTCGGAAGGGGAAGCGGCGCGCGTCTCTTCTACGCCCTCCGTTTCTTGGGTGCCTTCCGATGTTGCTGCGGAACCAGTGCCCTCTTTGTCGATGTTTGTGCTGTCTGGCTCCTTGACAACGATCCTGCCGTCCTCGACCGCGACTTCGGGCCGCCACGGCTCGTCGTCGAAAGAGCCAGCCTGGAGCATCTCGATAAAAGGCTCCACATATCCGTTCTCACTCGGCAGGTCCTTGTCGATAAACTCGTTATGATATGTGTTCGAAAGCGTTGTCCACCCTTGGCGCAGAACCCACTCCTTGCACTCTCCCTCCTCCACGGGTGAAAGGTCATCGGCGTGATCTCCACACCAGGAAGGGTCGTCAGGGATGCACGTCCGATCAGACAACGGAATGATTCCCGTGTCGCCAATCTTCTCAGTAGCGGGGCCGGTGCTCTTCGCGAATTCTGGTAGTCTCTCGATGACCTTGTACACGACCTCCGTGTGGAACGAGACTGATGTCAGCTTCGCCGACCGTATTGCCAGCTCACCTTTGGTTAAACGGCTGGAGGGTAGCTCCGTTTCGTCCCCTGCCGTCGTCGTCACTTCGTCACGCAACGTTTCCTGCGCCTCGTGCTCGTCAAAGGGCGGAACGTCACTCAGACTGACGGTCTGGAAGCCGTCTAGGGATTCGCTCTTCGGTTTCCGGCTCTTGATTTCGCTGTACCGATCAGCCGTGCCGAGGGAGAACATGGGCGAATCCTCTAAGCTTGAGGCAAAGGTCTTCGGGGAAGAGCCTGACAGCGGTCTCCTCTTGCTGAGCCACTTGAGCGGGAGGGGAGACGAAGCTGCAGCCTTCTGCGGTGGTGGTGGGGGTGGCTGCACGCTTTCCTCGTCCTGCCACTCGCTCAGTTCGGCCAGCTGAAGGGTGTCCTCTTTCCTAAAAGTCGACTTGATCATGTTGAGGAACGTCGACGTCGACGGCTCCCCGTCATGATTCGTCCCGTGCGTTGTCGATGCTGGTGGCAGATCGAGGTTGGGCTTGTGCAGCAGCTTCGACCATCGCGAGGGAGACGCTGATGGAGTTGTCGTCTCAAAGTCACGCTCAGGCAAGCTTGCCTCACGCCTTGGCGTCGGTCTGGAGAACTCGGTAGAGTCGTCGGCCGACACTTGGTCCTTAGCCGGGCGCGGGTGTGACATGCCCATTTCCAGTGAGATAGTCGGGGGTGATGATAGCGCCTTGAACAGTCGAGACGACTCGAAGGGTGAGTCCAAACAGAGCGAGTTGTTGGATGTATCGTGGAGGAACGACTCTCGCCGAGGAGAGGCGACGGGGGATGCATGGTGGGAGCGGTTTGATCGTGCCGAGAAGTCGAGTGCTCCTGCGATGGTGTCAGCTGGTAAACAAAACCTTCAATTGCTAGCTTATGTGATGGTGGCTGATGGTGACGGTGGTGACGGTACTCACGGGCGGGGTTGATGAGCCTTGCCTGCTTACGCTTTCTAGGCGTTCTTGAGCTGGAGCCAGCTGATGAGGCGAAGGAGGATGCGGCGAACGAGTCACCAGCGGGAGATATCGGCACAGGGCCGGGGTTGCTGAGGAGAGTCGACATGGTTCTCGAGTTGTCGACTCTGCTCGTTGATGATTATACAGTGATAGTGAAAGGGAGTGTGAGAGGTTTAGGGGGGTCAAGGTATTACAAAGAGAGAGAGGGAGACAAAAAGGTGGCAAAGAGAGAATAGTCGTGACAAGATGTCGGGTCTCTCCTCTCTCGATCGTTACGGCTCGAGGCTTGGAAAGGTCTTAGCGGTCACAGTGACCCCGTCGTGCGGAAGTCTTGTTTGGCCCTGCACACGCCCTGTGTTTGTGCGTTTTGGGCTAGCCAGTTTTAGGCACCATCCAGGCACATGCCCAGCCGATCCCTTACTCTCCCACGCACACACCCTCCACCACCACCCATCCATTCTGGAACCAGGTGGAGGTCGACCGCACAAGCAATCCCAAGCCGACGTCACTCACCCTCCCCTCATCACCACTCACCATGTCCGAGGCTGACCTCACCGCGCTTCTCAAAGAGCTCAGTGCATCAAATGCCGATATCAAGGAGATAGTCACCCCGACTCGCGTTGGCGAGCTGTCGGTGGCCCTCTCACCCGGCGCCGACCGCGACGTCTCCAGCCTCGGTCTACTCGCGCTGTCCAAGATTGTCGACCTGAACTCGAGCGGGACGGAGGACGAAAAGGCAGCACGATTAAAGGCAGTGTTTGACCCACTAGTTTCGAACGCCATTGCAAAAAACTCGGAGGACCCCGCCGACCTCGTGCCTTCCGTCTCTCTACTCGCAAACCTCGCTCCGCTGGCGCCAGCAGCTGTTGTCGATATCCTAAAGCAGCCCCTGGGCCTCACGAAGGACGAGAAGGAGAACGACATTGACCCTCTCGCGATTTTGCTCGAGTTTGCGGAACTGCCCTCACCGCTACAGACTGCTCTCGCTGGCCTCTTCGCCGCACTCGCTGGCACGAAACAGGGCCGCGCACTCGTGCGCTCCCGTGCCCTCGGATGGGTGGAGGCGGCAGCTGATGCCGGCGGCAATGCAGAGGGTGACGCTCAGGTGTTGTGTGCCGTCACGCTTTCAAAGCTCGGAAGAGGAGAGGCAGTGCCAGGCGAGCCGGAGGAGGAGCGGTTAGCGCGCGAGCAGCAGGCCGAAGAGGGGGAGGAGCGCTATGCGAAGCAGCTCGCCGCGCACATCAAGACGGCGTCGCCAAATTCGCCAGCGCTGCTCTCAACGCTCGAAGGGCTCTCCGTTCTGACAACTAGGCCGGCAGTACGCGACGTGCTCTGCTCTGACCCGGCGTTCTTGAAGGCTCTCCTTGCTTTGAGCCCCATTCCGCATGCTTCGGGCGGTAGTCTTCCGGTCACGCCGAGAGAGAGCATGGTGTCGCTTGACGAAAGCGCAGAACGCCCAGTCGACGGAGCCCTTTGCTACGGCCTGACGACGATTCTGGTTAACCTGACGGCACGGAAACCAGTTCTCTCAGCTGAGGACGCACAGATGGACCGACTGCGCCGTATGGCGCTGAGCGGGAAGACGAGGGACGAGGCGGACCCGCACGAGTCCGAGGAGGCAGTCAAGAAGCGCGTTGATGCCCTCGTGTCCGCCGGTGTGATTCCGGCCATGTCCGGCCTCGTGCGCGCCGGCAGTCTCCGCGTCAAGACGGGGCTTGGGCAGCTCTCCCTCGGCATAGTCGACGACCGGAGTCACCGCGCATCCTTCGTGCGCGACGGCGGATTCCGAGTCCTCTCACACGTCATCCGCGACCTGACCGCAAAGGACACGAGCAAAGAGGCTCTGCCTGCACTCCAAGCTCTGGCCAAGATGGTCATTTCCGTCCCGCCACAGCTCCTCTTCCCGGCCCCCTCGGAGGTGAACGCGCTTAACGCTCTGCGGCCATTGGAACTCCTGCTGTGCCATAGCGGCTCGAACCTGCTGCAAAAGTTCGAGTCCCTCATGGCGCTCACCAACCTCGCGTCCGTGAACCCAGAGTTCGGGGACCGCATCGTCACCGCCGAGCTGCCGGCGCCCGAGAACGCCCTCCGCGGCGCCGGCAGTGGGAGCAAGTCGAAAGTGGTCGATGTCGTCGAGACGCTGATGCTCGACGACAACACGCTCGTGCAGCGCGCAGCCACCGAGCTCGTGTGCAACCTCGTCAACTGCGAGAAGGGATTCATGCTCTTCTCGGGCGAGACCGTCAGCGGGGGCGAGCCGGCCAATCCCCGCTCTGCCGCGCGGTTGGGCATTCTCCTCCTCATGACGGACGCGGACGACATGGCGACGCGGCAAGCGGCATCCGGCGCCCTGGCGTCGCTCACGGACTCGGGCGCAGCGTGCCACTCCCTCTTCGCCGGTGGCGGGATTAGCACGAGCACGAAGCGGGATGTCTGGGACCGCGTCGGGGAGCTCTTCGCGCCCGGCGGCGCACAGGCCGACGATGACGGAGAGAGGATCGAGCCGATTTCCTCTGAGCCGCCAGACATCGGACTGGCGCACCGTGGGGCTGTCATCCTCGCCAATCTGACGCGATACCTCGCCAGCGAGGAGGGGGAAAGTGAGCGCAAGGAGCAGACGATGAAGATGAAGGAGGCCCGGGTTGAGGAGAAACTTGGCCGAGGGGCCAAGGCACTCATGGGTGGCGGGCCGGAGACGAAGCCCGCCCTCGAGGCCGTGCTGGACGCGCTGAAGGGAATGAGGGCGCTTGACGTGCTCGTAGCGGAGGGAAAGTAGGTGTCGGACGCCGCATACGGTAGAAGTCAACACGTATAGAATACGACATGAATGGTCATGTCCAGCAGTCCGATCACCAGTCCGCTCGCCATAGCTCCGGCTGACGTACCTACCAGTCGATCCCGACGACCCAAGCGAAATCGCTAATCACCTTGACGTCCAGTGAGCGCGGCAGCGTCTCGTCGAATCACTCACGTCCCTTCTCTCGCTTCAAGTGCTCACATTCCATCCATATTCCGAACATTCTGATCATGCATCATCGTGATCGGCACTGCTGGCTCTCCCGCACTCACCCGCATCTGGAAAGAAGCAGTGGTAGATTCGGGAGCCTTGTAGCTTAGTTACGGCCTGCCGATTGCGGCCGGTGCCTGGGCCAAGTTGCCGAAATGGTGCTGGCCGTGCTTGCTTCGGGCAGACGGGTACACTACGGCACAATGTCGTGTGCCTTGGCGATAGACGCCGACCAACTTCTCGGCGCGCAGCGCATGTGCGAGGTGGGAGCGGAGGTCGAAGTCATGTTGCATCATCGCCACTGTTAGCGGTGGCTGTGCCTTGAGGTATGTTGCTGCTGATTCATCGCCAATTCCGGCAACGACAGAACAAACGCACCACCTGAGCGACCAAAGACTCATGCAAGCTCTAAGCTTCTCACGAATCGGGATCCCGGTTCTGTTAAAGTCCGCACGCGGCTGCGTGTAGATCTCAGATGATCGCGGTGGCTCACGGGAGCAACTCACCGCAGGACAGCTCCACCCACCCGTTGCTCAGTGGCACCTTTCGTCATCTCCCACACCGCCGTCCGCGCACGACACTGGCAGCACGGCACGCCTTGCGAATAAGCTTTGAGACTAGTTAAAGCCAACTTGGGCTTGATTCCGAACGGGGCAAGAGATATCTCGTAACTGCATAGCTGCTATCGCGTACTTTTGCGTACTCCGTACACTGAGAGGGGCGTCGTGGGCTGCAGCACTGCGCCGCATCGACGCCGGTCGGCAACCACCTCTGACCCGAGAAGTGCATTGCGTAAAGACAATAACAACCTCGACGACAGGCACCAAAGCAGCGCAATGTGGTAGACAAATACATCAGAGTCCAGTCTATGATCAAGTCTATAGGGTTTTCGTGTGCGGGTGCAAGCTGCTGGCCCACACACGTCGACGCACCGATAAGGTGCGAAGCGTAAAAAACAGACGAAGAGGAATTTCTGATATTTTTACGATGGTTTGGTTATCAGCGACGACAAACCTCGTTCTGCGGAACTGGCAGCCGCTGGGGTTTGTGGTACAAGAATGGTCCAAGAGAGGAGAAAGGGTACAGGATCAACGCTCACGCGACACCCTAAGCCGCCAGGAGGTTGGGGATGCCCTCCTTCTCGGACCACTCGAGCCACGAGCCGACATAGTTGCGCACGTTGGCGTAGCCGTGCATGCCGGCGATCTCGGCGGCGGTGGCGGAACGCTTGCCGGAGCGGCAGAAGAAGATGATCTTCTGGCCCGCGGCGGGCTTCTTGAACGCAAACTCCTTCTTGAAGCGTCCGGGCTCAAAGTCCTCGTCGAGCGCTTCGGGCAGGCGCGAGAGGGGGAGGTTGACGGCGGAGGGAAGGGTGCCAAGCGCGACCTCGTCGGGTTCACGGACGTCGACGATCAGAATGTCCTAAAGGTAGAGTCAGCAATCTGATACCGCTGTGTTGATTGATAAGAAGCCACAGAAATGGCGCAATCGCAAGTCGCAACTGCGCCACTTGGCCGCGCCACTTACATCGGTCGGCTGCTGGGTCAGCGGCTTGATCTCGTCGTACTCGACGATCGGGTTCGCGGCCCAGACGTTGCGGGTGAAGCGCTTCGCCGGGGGAGTGCTCGTAAGCGTGCGGAGGAGGTTGGGCTGCTGCGCGGGGCTGAAGGGCCTGCGGTACGAGGCAGGGGTCGAGGGGGTGAGAGGACGAGCGACAGAGGCGGACATGGCGAGTCGGCTGGGACCGGCGACAGCGACGCGGTAGAGGGGAGTGGCTTTGCGGATGACGGACATTCTTTGTTGTTGTTGCTGCGCTCGTTTATATAGCTAGAGAAACTGGTGTCGTAGGACTGGGACGACGTTGGTAGCTACCTGCCTTCTCTGGAAACGGGAAGTCGAGGGAGGTCGGAGGGGAGCGCGATGAGGAACGCGGCGTAAGGCGGCAGGAGGAGGGAGTGCTGTTGAGAGCGGGCTGGGTTGGGAGGTTGAGCGGTGTTGCTGGGTTGCTAGGTGGGGCCTAGTAAGTGGTAGTCGATGGACAAGGTTGGATACGATGATCGTGGATGAGAAAGAAGAAGGAATATGCCGTTACCCGGGTTGATGATGATGGCCCGTCGAGGACAACGACCGGTGTCTATGGTGCAGTGGTGCTGACCAACCTGACCTTTGGAATTTCTGTGACCACCGATTGCGCCATCAACATTGGTTTCAGGCACTTCCGGATTGCTGATTCGCGATATCACGGTCTCCCACGGTGCAATCTCGCACAAGTCCGCCCTATCCATCACGTGAAGGGCAGAGAGCACGTGACTTCCGAGCAGACAGACGGAGGCATACTCCACGCGACAGCCACCCCCCCCCCTCTCAGCTTTCGCGTTACCGTGGGAAACCATCTTTTTAGCTGCCCGCGGCATCTTTGGATCACCTCGCAAAAAACGGTCGTCCCCTCAACCGACCGGCAGCCGTTTTGCTCGTGTTGCTCCTCAAAACACCCCCGACCACTCACTCCGGTCACCACCCCACCCCCTCGTCGCCGACACTATGAACGCCATCGGCACGACTGCCCGCTTGGCCGTTACCGCCGCCGCCCGCTCGGCTTCGGGTTCCTCGTCGGGAGTATGGGCTCGCCGGCTCGCAAAAACTCCTCTGAGGAGGAACCCCCGACACAACCTCTCGACCTCGGCCGTTCTCTTCAAGAAGCAGGTCGGACCTCCTGTCCTTGACCCCTATGCTCCCTCCGCCCTCAATGCTATCCTTGCCCGCCTTTCCCTTCCCCCGACGCCTGAGATGCGCGAGTCGCTGATGGCTTGTCTCACCCACCCGAGCTTCAACCTCAAGCAGGCTGCCGAGACCTCCGAGGATGGACAGGAGGCTCTCCCGGCACCGGACGCCGACACGAACGAGCTCCTCGCCGCTCTTGGCAACAGGTTGCTCGGACTCTTCGCGTCCGAGTCGCTCTCGGCGAAGTACCCGCACATCCCGAGCGCCGCCCTCGCTCAGGCTGTCACCTACTACGTTGGCCCGGCATCGCTTGTTGCTGTTGGCCGCGAGATCGGTATCGCTGCCCACGCCGACCACGAGAAGCGTGCTGCTGCGCGCGCCAATGCCGTCCTTGCCACGCCCATCCGATGGAAGCGGAACAACGAGATCAAGCTGTTCGGTGAGGAGCAGACGCCGACCGACCAGGCTGGACGTCTGCAGGCGCGTCGGAACGAGGAGCGCAAGCGTCGCATGAACTCGTGGGAGGAGGGTGTTGCCAGCGCTGTGCGCGCGTTCGTCGGTCTCATTTACCAGGAGAACGTGAGTGTAAACAGAGAGGACGGCTGAAATCGCGTCCCACCGGATCGTCTGGGAGAGCCTGTGGCTGACGATGTACAGGGCCTTCACGCCGCGCGCGAGTTTGTCGAGCAGAACGTCATGACCCGTCACGTTGACCTGACTGGCATCTTCAAGTTCCGCAACCCCAAGTACATGCTCTCGCACGCTGTCACCAAGCACCTGACGGATGCTGGTGTCCCCCTCACGCCGGAGTCGGGTCGTATCGAGTCTCGGTAAGTCGATCCTGCAAGTTCCACAGCTATCTTGTTGCCTGTTGTTTCAAGCTAACATGCAGCCTCCTTGCGTCGACTGGTGTCAACACGCAGGCGCCTCTGTTCAACATCGGTCTCTTCCTCACGAACGGCATCAAGCTCGCCGAGGGCCACGGGTCCTCGATGAAGATGGCCGAGCACCGTGCCGCGACGAACGCGCTTTTGTCTCTGTGGCTCATGCGCGCGGACGTTGGAGGGAAGAAGCTCTCGCTGCCGACTAGCATCCACGCCGAGCGCCCGATCACGAAAGAGTCGCTGGCCGCGGACCCGGCCGAGGCCGCGTTCCAGGGAAGCAGCAACGGTGGATCCGAGTCGCTCCAGGGCCTCAGCGGAAGAACAACGCATTAGATAGATACCCCATACCCCCTCACTAAGCCTCACTATGCATCATTCATCACGAGTACCATGGTCTGCTTAGTCGCGTGCTCGCTGCTGACTCTGGCTCGGAAATCTCGCTCAACTTCGGCGGTGCCTCGCATCGGACATCCCAACTTTCGGTGATCCGTTTGGTTCCGACATCGTGCCTGATGCCAGGTGGTTTAACACACGTCACGCCGTCCCAAAAGTTGGAAGTTTGCGTCATGTACCGGCGGTCCACTGCGATTGTTGTTTTGGCGGCGCCTGTCAGCTCGCTCACGTTCGACGACACTTCCACCACGCAATCGACTGGAAATGGGCAAGTCAGGCAAGTCGAATAAGGCTGGAGGCGCGCGCTCTGCGCCGTACAAGAAGCCGACCGTCTCGGTGACGTATGACGGCGACGCAAAGCCGGCATCCAAGTCTGCCGCCAAGCCGAGCAAGGAGACCAAGACGGGCAAGAAGTCCGGCGCCACCAAGGAGTCGAACACGCGCAAGCTCAACATTGAGGACAAGGCGAAGGAGCTGGCGGAGAAGAAGGAGGCCAAGGCGCGTGCCAAGGCGGAGAAGCGTGCTGCGGAGCCCAAGTCGGCTGTCGTCGAGCGTGTCGAGGCCGAGCTCGCCGGCACGGTCGAGTCCGATGCGCCGACCGGACCGACGTTCAAGATCATCGCAGGCTCGTACGAGAAGCTCCTCTACGGACTTGAGGGCCACTATCCCTCCGGCAGCGACGTGCCGGTGCTCAAGCCGATCTTCATCTTCCCCGCGCACCTGAGCTGGATCAAGTGCATCGCCGCCTCCCCGAACGGCAAGTACCTGGCGACGGGAAGTGAGGACGAGTTCATCAAGGTGTGGGACCTGCGGCGGCGGCGCGAGATCGGTGCGCTGTCGCAGCACACTGGTTCGATCACGTCGCTCACGTTCCCGACGTCGCAGCATCTGCTCGCGACGAGTGTCGATGCCACGCTCTCGCTCTTCCGCACGAATGACTGGGCCCTCCTCAAGAGCCTCAAGGGACACAGCGGACGCGTGAACAGCGTCGACGTCCACCCCACCGGCCGCGTCGCGCTCAGTGTTGGCAAGGACCAGACGCTCAAGATGTGGGACCTCATGCGTGGTCGCGGCGCCGCGTCGCTTGCGCTCGGGTCTGAGGCCGAGATTGTCAAGTTTGCCCCGTCCGGAACGCATTTCGCTGTCTTGTACCCGCGCAAGGTTGAGATTTACTCTCTCGTGAGTGAACAGTAGCTGTTGTGTTTTTCGCGTTCGCCAGCTGACATTCTACAGACTCTCAAGCTGCTGCACACGCTCGAGACGAAGAGCCGCTTCAACGCGCTGCTCTTCACGGAGATCCCGCCCAAGGACGACGTGAGCGAGGGCGAGGAGGTGCTCTGTATCGGTACCGAGAAGGGCATCGTTGAGATCTACTCGGTCGAGGTCGCCGGAGATGACGAGGACGAGGATGACGGGGATGACGACGAGGAGGACGAGGACGAGGACATGTCCGGCCCCACTGCCATCGTCTCGCTCTGCGGCAAGTGTGTGGGTCACACAAACCGCATCAAGTCCATCTCGGCCCTCCCCTTCCCTGCCCCTGAGGGGCCGACGACGCTCCTCACCACCGTCTCCTCTGACGGGTTCATCAACCTCTACGATCTCCGCGACATGCCCGCCACCCCGGAGACGGAACTCACCCCCGTCACGAGCTACGACACCAAGGGCTCGCGCCTTACCACCGTCTTCATTGCCGAGGGCGGCGTGCCCCGCCCCCCGAAGAAGGTCGTCAGGGCGGCTGAGGAGGCGAAGAAGACCGGAGCGCGCTTTGCGGAGCCTGAAGAGGAGGAGTCAGACGAGGAGTCGGACGAGGAGGAGGGAGAGGACATGTACGACCAGAGCGACGAGGAGAGCGAGGGCAGCATCGAGGTCGAGTATGAGGGTGAGGAGGAGGAAGAGGAAGAGGAGGAGGAGGAGGGCGAGTACGAGTAGATCCCTCCTTCCCTCCTGTTCTCCATCAGTCACTAGCCACTTTTCCACATACTACGCATCTTTATCATCTGTGTTCTATCGTCACTAAAATGCATTTTTCTAGAGATAACAACATATAAGCGTGGCGGTTTTTGTGTCTTTTTGTCTACTTGCTGAGCTCGGCGAGACGGACGCGGACCGCGTTCGCGTGCGCCTCGAGCCCCTCGCGCTCGGCGAGGGTGACGACGACGGGACCCAGCTTGCGCAGTCCGTCGGCCGTGACCTCCTGGCTCGTGATGTGCTTCTGGAACGAGAGCGTGTTGACGCCCGAGAACTGGCGCGCATAGCCGTTCGTCGGGAGCGTGTGGTTCGTGCCAGAAGCGTAGTCACCACACGACTCGGGGGAGAAGGCGCCGACGAACACACTGCCCGCGTTCTCGACCTGGGCAACGGCACCGGGCGCGTCCTTCAGGTGCAGAATCAGGTGCTCCGGAGCGTACTCGTTCGAGAACTCCATGGCCTCGTCCTGCGTGTCGACGAGGACGATGAGCGACTTGCCGATCGCCTCACGGGCAATCTTGACTCGCGGGAGGGCGCGGGCCTGCTTGTCGACCTCGGCCTCGATGGCCGACAGCTTCTCGGCGGTGAGGTTGATGCCGACCAGCACGACCTGCGAGTCGACACCGTGCTCAGCCTGCGACAGCAGGTCAGAGGCGACAAAGACAGGGTTGGCGGTCTCGTCGGCAATGACCAGGACCTCTGACGGTCCGGCGGGCATGTCGATGGAGACGAGAGCGTCGGTGTCGTTCTGGACGAGCATCTTGGCAGCAGTGACCCACTGGTTGCCGGGACCAAAGATCTTGTCGACCTTCGGGACCTCCTTGGTTCCGTAAGCCATAGCCGAGACAGCCTGAGCTCCTCCAGCCTTGAGAATGCAGGTGACGCCAACGAGCTTGGCGACGTACAGGACCTCGGGAGAGATGGATCCGTCAGGTCGTGGCGGTGTGGCGAGAACAATCTCCTTGCAGCCGGCAACCTGGGCGGGAACGCCAAGCATGATGGCAGTCGAGGGAAGGATGGCGGTTCCACCGGGAACGTAGACACCGACACGCTGGATCGGGCGGGCGAAACGCGAGCAGACAACACCAGGCATGGTCTCGACGCGGAGGGGAGCGGCGTCAAGCTGGGCGGCGTGGAACTCCTTGACGTTCGAGTAAGCCTGGTCGATGGCAGCACGGACGTCGGCAGGGAGCTCAGCCTCGGAGGGAGTAGCGAAGGGAGGAAGCTGGACGTTGGACTCGAGGTCGGCCTTGTCGAACTGCTTGGTCATGGCCTTGAGACCGGCGTCACCCTCCTTCTGGACACGCTCCACGATAGGCTTGACCTTGTCAATCATGGCAAGCGAGTTGAGGACGGGACGGACGAGGAGCTGCGGGCGCTCCTCCTTCGGGACGTCCTTGAGAACGGTGGTGCGCATGCGGATCGGCTTGTCCTCGGCAGTCTCGGCGGCAGGGGCGGGAGCAGGGGCAGCAGCGGCAGCCGGCTTGACCTTCTCCTCCCACTTCGGCTTGGCGTCTCCCTTGCGGCGGGTGACCTTGAGCGACTTAGCGTCGAGGGCGAGCTCAATGTCCTTCAGGCTGACACCCTTGCTAACGGCGCGGGTGAGGGCGAAGTAGATGAGGTCGGCAGCTTCGAAAGCAACCTCCTCCTTGGTGTTGGCGTCACAGAGCTCCTCAGCCTCCTCCATGATCTTGGCGCGGAGCAGCTTCTCGTCGGTGAAGAGGCGCTTGGTGTAGCTGCCCTCCGGAGCGGAAACGAAACGCGACTGAAGGGTGTCCTCGAGCTTGGCGAGACCAGACCACTGGCCGAAGCAAGTCGGGGTGCCGAGGTGGCAGAAGCCGGTGCCGTGCTGGACAACCTCAAAGACGAGAGAGTCGGTGTCGCAGTCGAGGTCGATCTTGACGAGGTCCTGGACCGAGCCAGAGGTCTCTCCCTTGCGCCACAGACCGTGCTTGCGACTCTGGTAGACGCCCTTCTGGGTCTTGATGGCCTCGGCGACGCTCTCACGGGAGCTGTAGACCATGCCGAGCGGGCGAGAGGAGTGGGTGGATGAAGCAACGATAGTGGGGAAGAGTCCGTCGGGCCCGTCGCTGATGACCGGAGCGAGGAACGCGTCGGCAATGCCGACGTGCGAGGAGGTGGAGGCTCCCTCGGTGAGAAGGGCAGTGGGGAGAACAACGGTGGCGTCGCCGGCGGCCTTGATCGTCTCAACAGCGTTGGCAGCGCTGACCTCGGTCTGAAGGAAGACGGGGCCCTTGAAGCCGATCTCCTTGGGGGTGACAACCTTGGAGGCGGAAACGTACAGTCCTCCGGCGGGCAGCTGCGCGGCGTTGGCGAGCTCGCTCTCGGCGACCTTGACAATCAGGCGCTCCTTGGGAACATCCGAGAGGTTGTCAAGCTGAGCCTGGGAGACGACGAGAGCCTTGGCGCCATTGTTCAGAAGGGCGACGAGGTCGGTGTCGGGCTTGGCGGCGGAAGCCTCGACGATGTAGGAGGCTGTCGGGGGGAGGGACGGGCGGACGGCATCGAGGAGGGAGGTGGGGATGAGGAGGGGACCGATGAGGGCTAGTGAGGGGATGAGGGCGTTGGCGGTGGGGTCCACGAGTGGGACGAAGACGGGGCGCGTCATGGTGGGTGTGATGTTGTTGCGGAGACGAAGAAGTCGAGCTCCGTTCTTGATTTTTGACGTCGGCCACTGTCGGGCCGTAGATCTCTCTCTCACTCAGTCACTCTGATATCGACTCGCTCTAACTGTGCGGCCGGAATCAATTTTATCGGGCCTACCGGACTCGGATCTGCCAAGGTCGAGTCGTCCGCATTCGGCCCATTTTACACGTCATAGTCCACGTGCAGTTGGGCAGGGCAGATCAGACTATGCCGGCTGGCCGGCAATCGGACAAGTGCGTGCGGCAAGTGACTGCCCCCGTATGCTGCGCACCCTGGTACACCCTGGTACACCCTGCACGCCCTGTCCACTCCCTGGATCTCGCCCCGCATCTATATCACTCACTCATGGCGATGGCGACATCGGTTCACTACTGCGTCCAACGCTGACTTAAGCATCCTCAACTCGCTCTTGACTCGTTCTTTTCCTTTTCCCAATGAACATCTTCAGATCTCTCTTCACCTCAGCACCCCGCGCACCAATGAAGCACCACACCCCTCCCCCTCCCACCGTCCCCGCCGCCATCAAGAGCGCAGACGAAGCCAAGGCCAGCGGACTCCAGGATGGAGGTAAGCCATATTCGGAATTCACCGAGTCTGACGCCCACACAGTCGAGGTCGCGACCTTTGCTTCTGGATGCTTCGTAGGTTGTTAGGATGTGAACACAACTGACAGCAGTGGGGAACTGAGCACCTCTTCAACAAGTACTACGGCAATCTCCCGGGCTGGAAGGCCGAGGTTGGCTACACCGGCGGCGACGTCGATGACCCTTGTGAGTTAACTGGACCGCATGATAACTGACCGTCAGCGTACAGGCAGGTCTGCACGGGCAGGACAAACCACGCCGAGGGTGTTCGCCTGCAGTACCAGAAGGGAGCTGTCGGATACGGCGAGCTCGTTGAGTTCTTCTACCGCACGCACGACCCGACCACTCTGAACTCGCAGGGTCCCGACTTCGGAAGCCGTACGTGCACACCGCTTTGACACCGGCCGAAGGGTCTTAGCTGACAGGACAGAGTACCGATCGGCTATCTTCTACGACGGCGCTGAGCAGGAGAAGATCGCCAAGGAGGTCACGCAGCAGGTCCAGGAGAAGTAGTAAGCTAAATGTATCCGTCGCTTAGCTGACACCAGCTTCCCCAACAAGAAGATTGTGACCGAGATCGCGCCCGCGGGCAAGTGGTACACGGCCGAGGAGTACCACCAGAAGTATCGTGAGTTACCTTGGCATTTGCTGTATCTGACAATCAGTCGAGCACAACCCCGCCGGCTACGAGTGCCCCACCCACCGCGTGTACTGGTGATCGAATCTCCACTGCGTCCGGAAGAATCGAACTCGACCTCGACATGTGAGGGTAGCCCGGCTTTGACCGCCGGGCATGATTTAACGTCGGCCAAGCAGTGAGAGGCGCCCCTTTGCAGGCGAGTCACCTCGCTAGCCCTCTCAAGTCAGCCGCAAACTGGTGTCCAACCACCACAGCCCAAGGGCTTTTGTGCTAATACCTAATGATTGTGTTACTGTATGCATAGAATTCTAGATCACTCTGGGCGGAGCATAATACGCAGCAGGAATCCCCAACACCGGAAAGACGACGACGGCCTCGAAATTGCTAATCAATGATGATGGAAACAGCTTTGTGCCTCTTGGTCATGTGCTTCCCTCATCTGTCCGACGACGCCATGGCCTTCAACAAAGAGTGGTGGCAGACTCGCTGACGTCAGTCCGTTAAATCACTTGATACCTCTTTGGAGGCTGTCGGCGAGCGCGGTCTCTTCTGTGTCCGTGGCAACCTGAGGCGCCGAACTACCATCCTGCATCGCGACTCTCTGCTCTTCGCTCTCATTCTCGTTCTCAATCAGGATGTGATATCACGCCCCTCCCCACACACTCAAGTCTCCCCTCATCACTCTTCCTCGTCTTACCACTAGTTCCTATGCCCCTAATCATCGATCGAAGCGTTCAAACCACTTCATCTCGATGTCGTACAGAGAGCCAGATCATATTAGAGATAGGCGTTACCCGACTTTCTCTGCTTCCCAAATACCTGACTGTGGCAAGGTCCTTGGCAGAGAACATTATGCTAAGTGTTAGTACGATTGTACGACAGTGTAACTCGGAGGTGAGTTGAAGAGGAAGGATGAGCTTGAAGTTCTCATCCGCTGTCAAGTTTGACGAGGCAGCAGGTGACCCCGTGTTTCTTCCCCAGTAGTTCTGCGACTGAAGGGTCTAGGCCCTCTCTGTAGTTTGCTATGTTTTCGGGAAGTAGTTTGAGTGAGAGCATAGTCTGGAGAGTCTGGGGCTGTGGCAAACGTCTGATAATCTCGAGCGGTGAGGAGTACCGTCGACACCAGCAGTCGCGCTCCGGAGTGACTACAGTAGCAACTTCGGTTCAGTAGGCGTTAATATGCAGCTTGAGTCTTTTTACACACTCTCTGGATGTTCTAAAGCGTCTCTCGAGTAATGTTCGCTGCGCTGAGGGTTCTGAGCTGCTTTGCGGATCATCATTGCTGAACAGCCAGAAGACTTTCCGCGCATGGATTGTCGGGCGAAGTGGAAAATCAGTCGCCACCCAGAAATCAAGACCGACGTCATTCCATCTCGGCCGAGATAAAGTCATTTCCGCGTCTCCACCTGGCTTCATGATCAGAGAGCTCATTCTTGCATCTCTCTCCTCTCCATTAACTTTCCTCGAAACACATACGCGATGCCCGAACCCAACGAGCTGTACCAGTTCTCGGTCGTGTCGGCGCTCATGGACGGAGTCGCGGACCAGGGGCTGGAGTGCGGCAAGCTCCTGCAGCACGGCGACCTCGGCCTCGGCACGTTCCGACACATGCAGGGCGAGCTCATCATTACCGACGGCGAGGTGTATCAGATGAAGCACGATGGGAGCGTGCGGCCAGCAGATGTGGGTGAGGGAGGTGAGTCCTGGCCCTCGATGTCCTCTACCGAGGTACAGTAGAAGGAGCAATGGGGCGGTGATCTTATCACCGATTCGATGAGCGAGGAGTGCTGACAACAGGCGACCTCACGCCCTTCGCGCAGATCACCAAGTTTGAGAGCACGAAGGCGACGCGCGTAACAATAGCCGAGAAGAACGGCATCGAGCCGATCCTCGAGCAACAGTGCCCCGGAGCCACGAACGCGCACGTCGCCTTCCGCATCCGCGGCACGTTCAAGAGCGTCAAGTGCCGAACCGCCGAGGGACAGTGTTATCCCGGAGAGGGGCTGAAGGGCGTCGCCTCGCGGCAAGTCACAGTTACGCTTGATGGCCCGATCAAGGGCACCTGTGTTGGATTCCGGTCCCCGCAGTTCTTGCAGGGCATCTCTGTCGCCGGTGTGCATATGCACTTTATCGATGACGAGAGGAAGAGCGGCGGACACGTGCTCGCACTCGAGAGCGAGGGAGAGGTCGAGGTCGAGACGAGCGAGGTATGGAAGAGCACGATGGACCTCCCGAGGACGGAGGAGTTTGCCAAGGCCAAGCTGGCAACGGATGATGAGGGGATCAAAAACGTTGAGGGCTAAGGTAGACTTGATGCATACAATTGTACAATTATGATGATGAGGATGGAGCAGGGTACAGAACTCGGTTGACCAGGTCGAGTGGGATATCGATGGCTTCGGGGACGGTCGTCGGATCCGCAAACTTGTAGTAATATTCCTCCTCGTGGAGGTTGGAGTACTCGTCTGCCTGTCAGCTCGACACCTCTACAATAGCTCACCTCTGATCGTCGTGATCGAGTCGAACGGAGGAATCAGGTATATCGTGAGGTTGATGTACCCAAAGTACGCGACAAGGAACCCGACCATGATCCAGCAGGGCACGATGAGCGCCCATTCTCTGTCCTGGTCAGCTTCAACGCCGTTCCAGCTCACCGATCAGGATACCACGTCCAGCCAGCCTTGTCGAGCCATCCGCGGGGCGCGAATGCCCAAACCAGATACAGCGCGAAGGCAAAGTACGTCAGGAGCACAGCGAGACTGCCGTATACCTCCTTGGCGGAGGGAAGCTGCTCCTTGCGGCTCGCGTCTGGCTCTTCAGGCTCAGCAGGCGGCCAGGGCGAGATAGGCTCGAGGGCGGACGTCTCGCCCAGCACTGGGCTGCTTGGAACGCTTGTGTTTATCCGCGGCGCTCGCTCCGCGGGAACACTCATGGCCGTGTGCGTGCGTGTCGTGGTGACTGGGCGATGCTGACACTAGTTGCCGGTCTGTCTCGGTCAACTTTCCAGCTCGATTTCAGGCACCGCCCGGTGGAGGTAGGTTACGCGACGGCGGCAACAACAATATCGGCACGCGCGTGGCTAGACTCCTTTCGACTTCTACCTCAACAGGCGCAATGGCCACGATCAAGGGTGAGTTCATCATTGCAAGAAGATAACTGACAGACAGCGATCGACCAGACCTCGGTCCACCGCCTACACTCGGGGCAGGTTGTGCTTGACCTCCAGTCGGCCGTGAAGGAGTTGGTCGAGAACGCGATCGACGCGGGCGCGACGAGTGTCGGTGAGGTAACTCCTACTCTTCAGCTAGCTGACACCAGATGTCCGCATAAAGGACAATGGACTTGACAGCGTTGAGGTCACCGATAACGGCAGTGGTATCAAGGAGGAGGACTGGGACGGCGTTGGTAAGCCTGAGCGACCAGGGTACCGTGGCCTAGCTGACTTCAGCGCTGAAACACCACACATCAAAGCTTCCCTCGCTGGAGGATCTGGCACATGTCGAGACATTCGGTTTCCGCGGCGAAGCGCTCTCGGCATTGTGTGCGCTCTGCGAGTCTGTCACCGTCAAGACGGCAACTAGCGAGACGGCGCCTATGGGCGCACTACTGTCACTGGGACGCGACGGGCGTCTCCTGTCCACGTCAAAGGAGGCGCGAAGTGTGAGTTGCACACGTCTCTTGTCCTAACTCCTCGCAGCGCGGCACAACGATAACGCTCTCCGGTCTGTTCCGCCCCCTCCCAGTTCGACGGAAGGAGTTCGAGCGCACCGCCAAGCGCGAGTTTGCCAAAGCGTTAGGCATTCTGACGGCGTACGCGCTCGTGCCAGCATCTGTCGGCGACGGACGAAAAGGCGTGAGGCTCAAGGTCGAGACGCTGGGTGCTGGCAGAAACCCGTGAGCTTGAATCTGTCCATCGTCAGCTGACAGACAGAAAACGGAACACTGTTCTCACCACTGACGGTCGAGGCGGTGTGCGTGCCTCCGTCAGCGCGCTGTGGGGCGCGAAAGCTCTGTCGGGTCTCGTTGATCTGGATCTGAACTTTGACGTCGAGGTTGACCGGGCCATGGCGCGCCGTGAAGGACTAGACGTCTCGTAAGCTGAGGCACCTCTGCAAGAGCTGACTTCCCCAGCTCACAACCTGTCCGCGTCACTGGGTTGATTAGCAGTGCCGCACAGGGTCAAGGCCGCGCGAGCTCAGACAGACAGTACACATACATCAACGGACGGCCCTGCAATTTGCCACAGGTTTGTTTTCTCCAGCTATGCAGCCTGCGATCTGTAGCTGACTCGCCAGGTGATGAAAGCTGTCAACGAGGTGTACAAGACCTACAACATTTCTCAAGTCCCGCTGGCCGTCCTCGACTTCCGCCTGCCGCCAGAGAGCGTCGACATCAACGTCAGCCCCGACAAGCGCACCGTGTTCGTGCACTCGGAGCGCAATCTCATCGCAGCGCTTAGGGAGGCGCTGGACCAGTTCTACGCTCCGACACGCTCTAACTTCGCGGTCGGGGGCGCGAGCCAGATCCATACAATGCTCGCATCGCAGAAGCCGGTCATCGATGATGAAGCGGAGGAGGACAACGAAGAGGGCAGCGAAGATGGTGACGCAGGCGGAGGCGAGGATGAAGAACGCGGAGAGGAAGAGGGAGGAGAGGAACCATCGCGCAACGGTGCGGGCAGCGAAGAGGAGGATGAGCCGCAGCCCGCCCCTCGCAAACGACGGCCAGATACGATTGTGGCGACCCTGGACACAACGACAGCCTCTTGGTCGCCGCAGAAACGGCCGCGGACTAGTCTTCTCGACAAGTTAAAGAGCTACAGGAGCTCGGCGACGCCAGCTCCCGCTTCTGCCATTCCTGCGGATGGGTCGCCTGAACCGGAGTCTGAGCCGGAGCCGGAGCCAGAGCCGGAAGCTGAGGAGAATGGGGCCGAGAATGAGGACATTGACATGGATGAGCCCGAGGAGGAAGAACCGCCAAGTCGCTCCTCACGGACATCGCGCTCGTCGGCCAGTCTGGTGAAGGAGTCGCCATTACAGCGGTTCTGGAACAACGCAACAAGGAGGTCCCGACAGGAAGAGGGGGTCGAAGAGGCCGTGGTCGTCAAAGAGGCACCGTCTCAGATCGAGCGAACCTCGCGTCGAACAGAGATGCTGTCACAGCTCCGGCGGCGGAGAGATGCCTCCGAGGAGTCGGAAGAGGAACCTCAACCGCAGTCGGACGGAGAAGATGAAGTCGAAGAAGTCCAGGTCAAAATCTCCGAGTCCCAGATCCCTCGGCCGATACAACGCATCCCTGGAACCACCGGCATCGACCGCTCGCCCTCCCCAGCGGTTTCAAGAGAAGCCAGTGTTGCCGAGGAATCTGCTGAGGCTGTTGGGGACGATGAGGGACCGGCTACCGAGGGCACGGCGGAACGCCGTACAGTTGAGCCGGGCCACAGTTCGCAGGAGGTCGACGATCTGTGCTGCGATTCTCCTGCGGTCGGTCAAGCTGCCCCAGAGGAGCGAGAAGCCGTCCACGTCGACGACCCGACGGGTGGATACCGGGACGAGATCACCTCCACTCTCCCCGCCTCGGAGGCAACGCTGCGCTTCGACATGGAGCAGGTGCGGCGCCGTTGGGCGTCCCTCTCACTCAGCCCACAGCCCAAGACAGATGTCGCCACAAAGCTGAAGAAGGGCCAGGCAACGTCCGCAGCGGGCGTCCAGAACCGCGACCTGGCGAGCGCCGAGGCGGCCCTCTCGCGCTCCATCGACAAGGCCGACTTTGCGCGCATGCGCATTCTGGGTCAGTTCAACCGGGGCTTCATCATCGCCGCCCTACCCTCCTCCACCGAGGGAGAGGAGGACCTGTACATCATTGACCAGCACGCGAGCGACGAAAAGTACAACTTTGAGACGCTGCAGCGCACCCACCGTATTCAGGCGCAGGCCCTGCTTGCTCCCAAGGTACTGCAGCTCAGCGCCGGGGACGAGATCACACTGCTCGAGCACCAGGACGTGGTGGAGCGGAACGGCTTCGAGCTGAAGTATGACCCCGACGGCGTGCCCGGCCGTCGCGTGAAACTGTGCGCTGTCCCCGTCAGCCGCGACACGGTGTTTGACGAGAGCGACCTGGCCGAGCTCATCCACCACATCAATGACGGACACGACAACCCGCGCACGAGCAAGGCAAGGGCCATGTTTGCCATGCGCGCTTGTCGGCGCAGTGTCATGATTGGCACGGCGCTCGCAAAGCCCAAGATGGAGCAGCTTGTGCGCAACATGGGCACGATTGACCAGCCGTGGAACTGCCCACACGGCCGCCCGACTATGCGACACCTCACGACTGTCGAGCCCTCGGACCAGTCTGGCCGCGGCCGCATCGACTGGTCCAAGGTCGAATTGTAGCACTAGCCATAGAATTCCTTGTCCTTGTTCTGCGCAGCGGCGATCCATGCATCCGCAATGCAAATAGCGTATTGTAACGTAAGGTAATATCACGGGCGGGAAATGAGGGCAAAGCACACATCAGATACTAATGAAAACACAAACACAACACGGGTATAATATGTATGAGCGAGAGAGAGGAAGAGAGAGTGGAAACGAAACCCCGAATCTGCGCGACTACCTGCTCGCCAGGATCAGCGTCCTCTCCGTGTCGTCCTGTTGCGACTTGTTGGGGTTGTACTGCGGTACCGGCTGCGGCTTGGCCGTCAGAACCTTGGCGATCGCCGCGAGCAGGTCGCCTCGTCGCAGCGGCTTGGTGACGTAGGCAGTCATGCCCGCAGCAAGACAGCGCTCCTTGTCGCCAATCATCGCGTGCGCCGTCAGCGCAATAATCGGTGTCGGTGCGACGCCGCTGACGGCCTCGTACTCGCGGATCAATCCGGTCGCCTCCATGCCTCCCATGACAGGCATCGAGACGTCCATCAGGATCACGTCGAACGGCTTGCGCTCCATCTGACGCCGCTTGTACTTCTCAATCGCGATCTCGCCATTGTCCGCGACCTCGATCTTGTGGCCAGCCACCTCGAGGAGCTTGACAGCAAGCTTCTGGTTGACGACGTTGTCCTCGGCAAGGAGAATCGCGAGGACCGTGTCCTTGACGCTGTCGCCGGGCTGAACCTGGTGCGACTCGAGAGCAGGGACGATTGCGTTGCTGAGCTCTTGCAGGTTCAGTGGTGTCGTGTAGTACGTGTTTATTCCCATGTCGAGGCAGTCCTTGACCGGTACTGGGCTGAGCACCTGGTCCATCGTGCTCGGCAGGGCCAATAACTTTCGCCTGCTCTCGTCGAGGTCGATGAATGACGGGTTCTCCGGGCCGGCGGGTCGGTTCGACGGTGACAGAAGCACAATCGGAATGTACCGAAGGTGCTCGATCGTGCGTATCTTCTCGGCGGCGGCCAAGGAGTCGACGATCATCGTGTCAAAGTGTGGGAAGCCATCCACGTTCTGCTTCAGGTCCCAGACAGCGTTCGGCGAGCTGACCACGGTGGGCTTGAGGTTGAGCTGCAACAGCATCTCGCTGACACCAGCCTGGTCACCCAGCGTGTCAATGAACAGGACTGATCGTCCGGCCCACGGGGCGAGGCGCTCAATGACCTGCTCACGAGTAGACGTCGTCGCCTCTGTCCGCATCGTGAAGAAGAAGCGCGAACCCTCGCCAAACTCAGACTCGACCCAGAGGTTTCCGTTCATGAGGCTGACCAGTCGCTTCGAGATGGTCAAACCAAGACCCGTTCCACCGTACTTTCGGGTCGTGGATCCGTCAGCCTGCGCGAACGTGTCGAAAATGACATCCAGCTTGTCCTGCTTGATTCCGATACCAGTGTCGGCTACGCAGAACTCGAGCTCCACCTCGCCATCCTTGTTGGCCTTCAGACGGCACGAAAGAGCCACTTGTCCTTCGGTCGTGAACTTGACGGCGTTGCCAATGAGGTTGGTGATGACCTGTCGCAGACGGAGAGGGTCACCGATGAGCTGGTCGGGAATCGTTGGGTCAATGTCAAAGATGAGGTCGAGCTTGTTCTGCGAGGCCTTGACGCAGAGCGTCTTGAGCACACTAAACACGGCCAGGCGGAGCGAGAACGGAATCTGCTCCATGGTCATACGACCAGCTTCAATCTTGGAGATATCGAGAATGTCGTCGATGATCGTAAGCAGGGAGGATGCCAAGCTCGAGACGATCATGAGGTTCTCGCGCTGCTGGCGAGTCAACTCGCTCTCGAGCGTGAGAACCGTCATACCAATGATACCGTTCATGGGCGTACGGATTTCGTGTGACATGTTGGCGAGGAACTCGGACTTGGACCTGTTCGCCAACTCGGCCTGCTGACGAGCGCTCGTGTTCTTCTCAATTGACTCGCGGAGGTTGTAGACCATCTGGTTGATCTTGGTCTTGAGAGAGTCCATCTCACCAGACGCCTCGACTGTGATGAATCGAGTGAAGTCACCGTCGGTGGCGGCAGCCGAGATCTGGGCGAAGGCGCGCACCTGCGTGGTAAGGTTGGAGGCCATGGTGTTGACGTTGGACGTGATCTCCTGCCAGGTGCCCTCGATGTTCTCAACTTCGGCTTGCACACCGAGCTTGCCTTCGGTACCGACTTCCCTGGCTACGCGGGTCACTTCAGCGGCGAAAATAGCGAGCTGGTCAATCATATTGTTGATAGTGTTGACGAGGTCGAGAATTTCACCGGAAACCGCGACACCAGTGACCTTCTGCGTAAGGTCTCCCCGAGCGACGGCAGTAGTGGCGTGGGCAATCGTTCGCACCTGCACGGTGAGGTTGGCAGCCATGACGTTGACACAATCCGTGAGATCCTTCCATGTACCGGCGACACCAGGGACGAACGCTTGACCACCAAGACGACCCTCCGTGCCGACTTCACGCGCGACACTGCTGTCAGCAAACGCTGGATATCGTTACTTACCGAGTGACTTCTGAAGAGAAACTGCGAAGCGAGTCCACCATTGCATTGACAGTGTTCTTGAGCTGAAGAATCTCGCCGAAGGCCTCGACGCTGATCTTCTTGGAAAGATCACCGGCAGCGACGGCCACTGTAACATCGGCGACGGATCGTACTTGAGTCGTGAGATTGAGCGCCATCAGGTTGACATTGTCGGTAAGAACCTTCCAAGTGCCTTCGACGTTGGGAACCAGCGCCTGTCCACCGAGCTTGCCCTCAGTACCGACCTCGAGCGACACACGGGTGACCTCTGCGGCAAAGACCGTGAGCTGGGCCACCATGTCATTGACGGTGATCTTGAGGTCGAGAATCTCTCCCTGGACATCGGCATTAACGGTTTTGTTGAGATCACCACGAGCGACAGCTTTGGTGACTTCGGCAATTTCTCGCACTTGTTCAGTGAGGTTTCGGGCCATTTTCTGATCGTCAGTGATGTCCCACACCCCGAACTCACGTTGACATTAGTGGTGAGGTCGGCCCACACACCCTCGACGCCGTCGACGATAGCCTGTCCGCCAAGAATACCCTGAGTGCCGACTTCCAACGCCACTCGAGTGACTTCTCCAGCGAACGTCGTGAGCTGCTTGACCATGGAGTTGACAGTGTCCTTGAGCACAGCCATTTCTCCCTCGGCCTCAATTTCGATCGTCTTTGACAGGTCACCGCGCGCTACAGCAGTTGTAACTCGGGCAATCTCTCGCACTTGGGTGGTAAGAGAGTGACACATTCGATTCACCTTGATATCAGCGCCTTCTATGCCCTATACTCACGTTGACGGTCAAATCCTTCCATACACCTTCGACGTCTGGCACGTAGGCTTGTCCACCGAGTTTACCCATTGAACCGACTTCGAGTGATACTCGAGATACTTCTCCGGCTAGCAATCGTAGTGACATGACCATTCCGTTGACGGTGGTGGCAAGCTCAGCAATCTCACCGCTGGCGACGACAGTAATAGTTTCCGAGAGGTCTCCTCGAGCGACAGCCTTGGTGACCTTGGCAATGGAGCGCACCTGGTTGGTAAGGTTCGCGGCGAGACGGTTGACGACGTTGGTAAGCTCTCGCCATGTTCCCTCGACGCCCTCGACAACAGCCTGTCCACCGAGCTTTCCTTCCGTGCCGACTTCGAGCGAGACACGCTCGACTTCTGTAGCGAATGTCTTGAGACGGTCGACCATAGAGTTGATAATGTCCTTGAGTTCGGTCATGGCCTGACCCTTGACAGGGACGATAATCTTCTGGGTAAGGTCGCCAGTAGCGACAGCCTTACAGACGCGAGCAATATCCTGCACCTGAGCCTTGAGTAACTCGAGCTCCTTCTCTGCTGACATGCCGGTCTCGTTGACATGGGCATTGATCCAGGCGACATTAGGAACGGGGCGAGGCGAAGACGAGATATCGAGCGAGGCAAACGAAGTCGAGGGCGTGGCAACAGAAACGACAGGGGACTGAACCGAAGTACCACATGACGGGCAGGTGACGCTGCACTGTGTGGTGTCGATAGGAGGCGGGGTCTTGTAGCTATTGTTCAGAGACGAGCCATCGGCGACACGAGCGTTCGGCTGAATCTGGGCATGTTGACCGGGGAGAGCGCGGCGGGCAAGAGCGAAAAGGGCAGACTCGATGGCTTCTTGAGCCTCGGTCTTGGGCAGAGTCGTGGACGGGGCGGCGTAGGCGAGGGATGGCTGACGTTCGAACGAGGACAATAGGGAGAGCACATGCGCTTCAAAGGCAGTGGCGCCCTCCGGCAAGACGACGACTGGGTCGCCCATGGTGGTTGCGAGTGGCCACCGGTATAGAAGAGCGTGACGAGTCGATGCCGAAGACGAAAGGAGAAAGAGAAGACGCTGAGGTGGTGTCAATAATCAGCGCTCGCGAAGGAGGGGGCGGGGAGCGTCGGGTCGGAAATCACGCGTGTCAGGTCCAACGCAGATCGAGGACTCCCGTGTTGCTTCTTGTTCTTGCTCGGCGGCGCTATTCACTGCGCATCGAGAGCGGAGCACGGCAGAGCAAGGCGAGCGTGGATGCGGGGGGACAGTGGGGTGAATGGAGAGGTTACAACAAATGGTGTTGCCGTCCGTGCTGGATGTCTGCCCTTGGCCGAAGCGAGCACGATTTTGAGACTGCCAGTCTCTTTGACCTTGTGCCTGAGTTCCTCGATCCGCCGTTCTGCGAGGATGCCAGGTGGGACCCACTATCCGTGCTTATCTAAGAACACGGTGCGCGGGGATGTGGGGTGGGGGGCCAGTGCAGATACTCACAAATCAAGGCCGCCAGCACCAGGCTAGATATCGGTTGTCGCCTAAGAGCCAAAAGTGGAACAGAAGAGAGACTGTGAGGATCGATCGTCGGCAGGACGGGGGTCGAGAATGGGAGGATGCGGGCGTAGGCGTGTGCAGTGTGCTGCGTCGGCTGAGGGCGCCGCTAGTGGGACTGAGGCTTGAAGGCAGGGGACGCCGAGCACGCGCCGGTCAGGCTTGGAGGCTTGGGTGTGCAGGGACGGCCGCGTGCGGTGGGTTCGCGGAGCAGAGCAAGGTATTTGCCGGTCAAATGAAATGGGATATGCCAGTGCACGCGGGCGGCGGTTCGCGCTGGCGTACTGGTCAAATAAGGGTGCCGCGGCGAAGGAAGGCACAGCAGGGGGGGTTGGGCGTCGGGCGGCGGCGGAGGCGGCAGGACGGCTCGACGGTTTGACGGTGCGGCGCGCGGCAGCCGGCAGGCGTGGGCGTGGGGGCCGCGGGGCAGGGGGCGGGGACGAGGGACGGAGCGGTAGGGACGAAAGGGGACGAGGGCTGAGGATTTGAGGAACGGGGTCGTGGTCGATGCGGGGAATGCAAGGACAAGACGGGTCGAATCTGAATTCGGAACGAATAGGATGGCCTGATTACGATGTGCGGAGAGAGATTAGAGAGGAAAGTCTTTGGGACTAAAGGTGTGCGGAAACGAGAGTAACGAGAGAAGGGCAGAGTTGGGAAGCAGGAGTTGGTGATGAGGAGAGGGCTGACGATGGTGAGGGCGCAGAGGAAGATGGCGAGCGGATGGGGAGATGAGCGAAGGAAAGACGCAAAGTCCGGGTCGCAGGGGGGTGTGTCTCGCGTGTTAGTGTGTCTGGAAGAAGTCCAGAGTCTAGATGCCTGGTGATTCTGCGTCTGAGCTATCAGCCAGCCTAGCAGCCACCATATGGGCTGCTCAGCATACGCCATGAGGCGCTGTCTCTATGCGCTCTACGAGGTCTAGCTACACTGTACCCAGTTGGCACTGCAGTGACTAGCCCAACGCCATTTGCATCGTAACGACAACTTGCTGCTGGCTTATACTGCGAACATGCACAGTGTGCAAAACGCTCACTTGGACGAGCGTTCACCTCGCCACCGTGTCACTTATCGCGCCTCCTGTAGGCTGAGAGGAGGTTGGTCTGCAGCACTAGCAGCACTGCTATGCATGCCTGCCCTCCTTCCTTGTGTCGCGGACCCTGGTGGTGATCACTGAATGCGCTCGCCCCCTGTGTCCCTGAGCAAGATGCAAGGAATGGGCGTTTTGGCGCACTGCAATCTGGGTCAACGAGTCCCAGCTCAATCGTCTCAATGGGCGCCGAGGCGGACTAGGACGAAGCCAGTCAGCTCAAGAGGCACGCGTGAAGGAACAACCCAGCAAGGGAAGCGAGGTACGCACGACTTGGTCCCTCGATCATTTCGGGAAACGCGTCCGAGCAGTGGTCCTGCGCCTCCAGCCAGGAGGGATCTAGTCCGAATAATGGTGTCAGCTACAACACCCATGGACCGTGGACGGCGAGCATGTGGGCCACCCCGACACGCGGCGGCGACAAGCACCGATCCACCGAGCCGGCGTAGCGTGCAGTGGGAATCGAGCAGGAGGATCCGCCCGCATGTCACCCTCCTCTCCGTGTCCGTTACCCCACTCCCTTCGGCGAACGCCTTTGTGCATGTGCACAAGCCGCCGCCCATGCACACACATTAAACCTTACGACTGTGCATAGCATGAGTGATCATGCGGCATGTGAGAGCCAGGACACCAGAAGACCGCAGCAGGGTGACTAACTTGGTCTCCAAACCCTGCACGAGGGTTACTCAGGTCTCTTGCGGCCAAGACGCATGGATGAGAGCCCGCGGCTGCCGTGCATGCCGAGCCGCTAGCTCTGCTACAGCGTGACCCCGAGCGCGCCAGCACATGGCTTTCTTCTCCGCAGCAGGTCGGAGGTCACGAGATCGATGCACCGCAGCCTCTTCACCGCGCAGCTAGTCTGTGACTGGCGGAGTCCTTTGCGCCGAATTCGAAACGGGCAACAGAGTTTTGACACCTTCGTGCCTGCGCTAAATGAAATGGTGGCTCGAAACGACCTCTGCATCAGCGCATCAGCATGGCATGTCCCATCGACCACTCGACCACGCCTGAGTGCCTGCTTCTTATCCTTCGACACAGGTCCGGACTAACCACCGCCCGTCACTGACATCCATGCGGGCACCTGCAGCAACAGTCTCCAGCCTGGCTGACGAGGAGGGCGTAGCTGACGTCAAGGGCGCAAACGGACCATTGAGAATGGGGGTAAGCCCCGTACGCCCCCCAGCGCCGCCGGGGCGTCGCCCCAAGGATCTCACTGCGCCTCGCGCCAACCCACGCCGCTGACGCTGGTGTCGTCGGACGGGCGCTGCGACCGCGCAAGCGCGCAAGCGTGCAAGCGCGCAAATCTGCATAGCGACAGCTTCTTCAATGCCGGACCTCCAAACAGTTGTGCCAGGCTGCCAAACCTGCCAGACCTGCGTCAGCCGTGGGCCTAGCCAGAAGTTGGAGCAGACCGTTGGCTTGCACATTTGCAGGACATGCAGGGCGTTGCGGAAAGATGACGCGACTGGCGTTCTGGCGTTCTGGCTCTGCGGCTCTGGCTTCTCGGCAGTCACTTCCGTCTCAGATCTGTTCCGCACCGCTCCGCACTCGTTGCACTTCGGTGCGTCAGTCGGGTGCGGAACAGGTTTTTCGGACTGCTCCGTGGGAAGTTGTGCCTGCAAGCCTGCGCCGTTTCAGCATGTTCTCGCCACGATGACGACCGGAGTGAAAGGGTACGCCATATAACGGGATAGGAGAAATTCTAGGTGGGCTTGTTGATTTAGGGCCAAAGTCTTCATCCCTCGGCCCTACGTTTGTTGACAACAGTCAGGCTGTTGCAGCTGACGCATATGTTTGAGTGGCCGGTCCTCGTTGATGGGCTGTCTTGTCTCATCCGGGGAACAGTCATTGTGACAGCAGACTCGTGAAACAACGGCGGCTGGTAATCTTTGAGCGCTTGTGAGCGCGGAAACATCTCAAGCTCCGCCCGCAACAGTTTGATCGTGCTTGAAAACAAAGCGCCAGCTTCATGGCCCTGAGGCCGGCTATGGTTTGATTGAAGGGAGACTGATAGACTGTACGCCTTCGGAGATGGCTCAGCTACACCCGTTAGTGATTGCTTCTTATCTCTCTTACCGAAATCCGGTGGCACGGAAGATCTGGCTTGGCTCGGTACAGTTGAAAAAGCCTCCCCAGCAGAGAAGCACTAGCCAGTATGCCAATCTCTCTTCGCATTGCTTCGCGCATGTCCATGCAGACTTATATGCTGGTAGCTGATGCGCTGGCTCGCTTCCCCCAGTCATCATGTGCATTGCCTTTCCACCGGTTTGCTTCTGCAGATATCGGTTCTGCAGCTCGGGTGACTAGTCCGGTTGTGCCCCCAGTTCATCACCTTGCGCCCTCCGCTCGCAAGTGACTAACCTCTGCACCATGTCGCGGCGCACTGAAGACCAACCCGTGAGATCTGTGAACAGATCCCGCGGCTGCCTGCGGGGATGCGGACAATGCTGAAGTTCGTTTGATAGCTAGCTGCCAGTTTGTGAAAGCATGAGTGATGCCTCTCCGATTGATAGACGTGTGCGCGCCTCTGCCGTCAGCTGAGGAGACCGTCTTGGGGTGTGTTAGATTGCGGCTGCACCAGAAGCCAGCAGCGACGATCTCCCAAACGATGGAGAAAGGCGATTCAATCTATCGCCTCCTCAACCCAAGGAGAAAAAGGCTGGCAGATCGGAAAAGCCGAAGGTCAAAGTTGCGTAGCGTCTTTGAACGTGAGCTGCAGTTGGATAGTTGTCTTCACTCAATTGCTTTCGCTCTTCGCTTCGTGAGGATCCAGGTGTCACACGATCCGATCACTACAACGCCATCCACTCTCTTCATTGAGGACGATGACCAACTGACAGCACCGCTTCGACTCTGCATTGCGTGCATGCAACCAGTGAGAATCTCTTCCTGGATAGACGCTTGCAAGTCGTTCTCTCGTCAAGAAGCTCTCTCTCCGTCATGCGCCAATGATCTTGCGTAATAAGCATGAGTTCGGAACACCGCCTCCAGAGTTCTGGGTCTTGCGTTGTCCGATTGAGCGGAGTGTGGAGCGGTGATGCCACTCCGTTATCAGCACCGCCTGGGTTATCTTGGGCTTTTTGACGGCTTCTGGACTCGTTCCAGCACAGCTTTGGAATTCTACGGCGAAAGCCGTTCCGAGGTATGCGGTGAACAGACTCCGTAACCTGAATGTATCGAGCCGAGCATCCCGAGCACCATTCAGCGAGCCTAAGCCCTTGGCGAGGTGGCCGAGAGCACCGGTACTTTCATTGTCAAGGAGGGATCGGCATGAGGATGTGCACAGGAACAAGCCAAGTGCTGCTTCGGCTTAGACCGACAAGAGATGACCAGACTTGGCCCTGCACTGCCTCCCACGTTCTTCACTCATCTCTGCGGTCAATTCGTCCGCACTGCATTGCGGACGAGCTCGTGACAGGCTGCGCGGCGGCCTACAGTGGTGCAACTCCGACTCGGGGTCTCTCCAACTCCGAGGCTCCACTTATCGGAGCACGCGGGGACCCGATCGGTCCCTTGATGGATTGAGACCGGACCTGGCCATTGGGATGCGGTGTCGGCGAGCCAAAAGCACATGCTACACCAGTGCCAAGCCACGGCGTCGGCATAGCTGCCAATGCAAGGTCGCGTGCCGCTACGCCAAGCCCTGACATTACGCTGCGAGGCACAGCCGTCGCGGTTGTTGTTGTCAGCTACGGCGGAGTCGCGAAGATATATATGATGGAGCAACGGCGTCCGATTGTACACTCAACTTCATACACTTCAACTTGACATACTCACCTTCTCTAACGCATCATGAAGACCTCCCTCGTCCTTCTCGCTACTGTCACCTCTGTCCTTGCCCAACAGGTGCCCGACAACCTCGATCCCTGCGTCAAGAACTGTATCGCCGAGGCTGCCCGCGAGGTCCACTGCGGTCAGCAAGACCTCGCCTGTCTCTGCCGCGCCGCCCAGAACCCTCGTGACGACGACGCCATTGATGAGTTCCGCGACTGCGTTGAGGAGTAAGTGGTCGTTAGCGGTCTTCCTTCTTGCCACTAACACGCCCAGCCATTGCCCGAACGGCAGGAACGACTGGAACAAGCTCAACGCCTTGACCCAGGTGTGCCAGGGTGTCACCGGCAGCTCTAACAGCACCACCGGCGGCACCGCTGGCAACACTACCGCCGTCCCCCACGACCACAACGGCGACGGAAGGCCCGACCATGACGACCACGACCATGACTCGGACTCCGACGATGACGACGACCACAACCACAACCACTCTGCGTGGTACACTGAGACGCGCAGCCACGGCGACTGGTACAGCAACCGCCATGGTGCGACTGGCGGTGCTGGACAGTCCCCGACGCCGTCTGGTGGCAATGCCGGCGCCGCCGCCGGCTCCCCCACCCCTGTTGGCTCCGCCGCGGGCCAGGCGTCTTCGGGCGTCGCTGCTGCGGGCGCTGCGGGCGCAAACGACAACTCTGGCGCTAGTGCCGTTACTGCGTCGTCCGCCCTGATCATCGGCGCCATCGGTCTCGCGCTGGTCTGAGTTGCCCTTGTGTCCTCGTGTTTCCCTATAGATTAGAGCTTTGTGACCGGACAATCGTTTCGACCCGAAGAGTTACGCCGTGCTACGTTCCCTGTTATGATTAGTGTCCGTATAGAGTACCTGCTGTGATGCCGAGTATGACCTGACCCGACTGCAGTCTGAGACGAGCAAAGCGACGCTGAGGTCACACGTGCGCGGGCTTTGCATAATAGGAAGAGCCTCCTGATCGGCAAAGTCACCTCAGGCGACGTAGTGGAAGCTCCGCGCGGGAGCTCGCGCACAGTACATCTTGAACGGACCTCCATGAGACCCACGCATGAATGCGGTGCCCCAATGTTCTGTCTCTGGTTACCGCTTCAGGTGATAAGTGGTCGCGTGCCCTCGAACTGAACACGTATCGATAATTCGCCGAGCACCGCGATGAATGCCGATCCAACTGTTCATCAATCTCCTGCGAAAGCATCGTCAGACTTGCGTTACAGCTTCGCAACCATATCCCAGAGACCGACAACGCTTGGCAGGTCCCAGACGCATGATAGGTAGAGAGAATGGCAGCCTCCCTCAACAGCTCGGCGCCCCCACTCATCACCTCCTATCAGCGCCGGTCCGAGCCCCTCCGAATTCGAACGCGCCGGACGCCAGGGCGCGAACTGGGCGTACGCCAAGACCATTCACACCTCGTGCTCACTATAGCTCCTCGGTGGTAGGTAGACCTCGGGCCACGGGCACCTGCGTGGAACCGGCCGCCGGCGCGCACTGATAGACGAGGCCCTCGCACTCATTAAGAACTGCCGCACAGACGGAAGCTGCGGGGCCCTCGTCTCTTCTCCGTCGTCATCGCTACTGCTTGGTCCTCTGGACAGGTTATATAACGTCTGCCCAGCATGCTCCTCACTCGACTTTTCCACAATTCTCTTTCACGGTCAACCAGGAATATTAGCACGATGACCAAGACTCTCAGCGGCGTTGCTCTCGTTACCGGCGGTGCTTCTGGTGTGAGTGCATCCCTCCTGACAATTCGGGACGCCTGTTTTGGCTGACATCAGATCGGCGAGGCCACCGTCCGTTCGTTCATCTCTTCCGGCGTTCGTCGCATCACCGTTGCCGACGTTCAGGCGGAGAAGCTCGCCGCCCTCAAGGAGCAGCTGCAGGCGAACGACCCTGAGCTCGAGGTCCTCGACGTTGTTTGTGATGTCAGCTCGGAGGCCGACGTGGTGGCCATGGTCCAGCGTACCACTGAGACCTTTGGACGCCTCGACTACGCCGTCAACTGCGCCGGTATTCTGGGTCCTCTGAAGCCTACGGCCGGCTACGAGGGCAATGAGTGGGACCGCGTACAGGGCATCAACAACCGTGGTGTATTCTTCTGTGTTCGCGAGCAGCTGCGCGTCATGGAGAACCAGGAGCTTCTGGAGGCTAGCCATGAGCTGCGCAAGATTCGCGGCTCCATTGTCAACATTGCCAGCAGTGCAGGTCTTGTCGGTGTTAGCACGCTCCCCGCCTACGTGTCCAGCAAGCACGGCGTCGTCGGCCTGACTAAAGCCGTTGCAATCGAGTACGCTGCCAAGGGCATTCGCTGCAACGCCATCGCGCCCGGTGGTGTTGACACTCCGGTGAGTCTCGACACCGGCTGGCGGTAGCTGACACCCTAGCTCACGCAGGCTCTGGCCAAGGCCGGTGAGGAGAGCGTAAAGGCGTTTATGGCCGGGGGTGGCGACCCCACTGCGCTCAAGATCTCTGTCCCGCCCACGCCCCAGGGACGTTCTGGTATTCCTGAGGAGATTGCCGACGTTGCTGTCTTCCTGTCAAGCGAGGGCGCGAGCTACGTTAACGGCGCCACCTGGGCGGTTGACGGTGGCTTCACCTGCCTGTAAATCTGCGAGCTCCAGGTCAGCCTCCCAAGTAGGCTGGGATTTGTCTGAAGGTAAACAGGTTATAATCTTGGTTAGATGACAATGTGAGAGAAGTTGTAACCGACGTGGAAGCACAGTTCAATGAGTCGGGATTGATAAGTCCGGAGTCCAGCCCAGTATCTGCTGTCAGTCTCGCGATGTTACAGGTTGCGTCCCGAGCACAAACAGGACGGGGACTTGAAAGCTGGGTGGAAGCAACGTGAACGGGCTCCGCCTGCAATGTGAGGCTGGGGTGACTTATCATACTTTAGATACCCGAACTCCGATCGTGCAGGTTTCCCGTCGTACTGTCGGAACATGCCGCCCGAAAGGGTGTTGGGGGAAAGAAGGCGTACGATGACAAGAGGTTGAAATGGGCAGTTGACGCTGTCTCTGCTCCTCTCTTGCGAACCAAGTTCCGTTGAACACAACACGCCAGCTTGTCCCAAGGGCAGAGATGTCGCAGAGCGAAGGAAACGCGTGCGCGCGTGAGTCTGGTGAGCGATGTTGATGTTGAGAAATAGACTGCAGGTTACAAAGCCCTTCGGCCGTTTCTGTCTTCCCTCTGAGGAAGGTAGCTGCAGGAGGGACCGGCTAATGGTGGATGGAGGTGAAGGGCACCCGGCTGATTGCCTGAAACAGTGTTTCAGTGAGTTGCGCCCTGCATACCACTGGAAGGGCCGGAGGTCGGTCAGCATTAACAAGACGTTCTGCTTCGTGACGTCCATCTCATTTTCAAGCCCCAATCCATCCATTGCTCTGAGCCTGCTGTCAAAACCATCGATCTAAGTGATCAGTTTCCTTTTTCTGAGAGATCATGTTAGTAGTCGATGGCCTGTGTGAGTGTGTTCAGACGCTTCGGTTGCTTGGGTGGAAGAGTAGGGAGGTCATCACCGAGGGGGAAAGGGATTAGTCGGGTACTCGTGTCAGGTATCCCAAATTTCCACATACTCTGCTTCAGCCATTGCTCAAAGGTCTCCCCTCTTCTGCCGTCCATTGGGCACAACTCGGTCTACTGTGCAGTGCCACAGGCCACATCGATGTCAGCAGAACTCGCTGCTCGCCACCCACGTTTGCAGTCAGCTTCCCGGACGCTAAGACCGCAGATCTCTTCCACGATGACCACTCAATTGTGCCAGAAGCACAGGAGTTGCCCGTTGCTCTCGTCATCTTTGTTCCACATCGCTTGTTCGACCGGTGTCGTAATCCCAGAGCTGAATGATGAAAGACGGGGTTTGCAAGTGACCATAGGACAACCAAGCACGGCTGTGCAGGAATCCGCAAGGCGGCAGGAGGCGGTAGGAACACTCATCGCCAAGATGTCGCTCCCTCGGGGGCGCTCAACATCAACTGGAAGGCGCCTCGCAAGAGTACCTCTGGATATAGACTGGATCCGTGAAGACCCCGTTTCTCAAGCATGTTGGAAAGTCGACTCCCACGGGCTGGTCCTGAAGTCCTTTCCGAACCATGCCTGCACTTAAGCGGTCTCGGCCACTTCGCCCGTTTCGCCGCGGACACACTGCAGCTGTCGGGTGATGTCTTCGGGACGCTCAGGTGTGAGCTGGGATGAGCTTGATTCCAGCTTTGATCACCCTCGATCGCTTTCCCTTTACGGTAGACATCTAGTGCACACGTTGGTTCCAGTGAAGCCTAGGCACACCTTATCTTTTTGCAGACGGGTCGACGGACGTTCAAGTCTGCCGAACTCCCGTCGCACTTAGACCAGGTTATGTCGGTCAGTCAGGGAGTCGCTGACCGGTGTTGCTGTAGTCCGTTCGGCTGCGCGCACGGTACGATAAACTAGGATCCACTAGTCTGTAGAGCGGTGCAGACTTGGGTGGCAGCCCGGCCTCGTCTGGCCACGCTCGAGATGTAAGCGCAGTCGGATTATTACCACATCGGGCAATTACTACAAGTTGCCACGAGCTTATCGTGAATTGAAGTGCTACTGGAATCCCCCGCCATCCCGGTCTACCCGAGCACTCGGTCAGGCTGCCTGGGACTAGCACACGACAGTGCTCGCCGAACCAGTGAGCGACAGCACAGACAATGCTGCTTGTGAAACACCCCGGTCCGGTACGTTATGATTCCAATTCAGTGTGAACTATCGGAAGAAGCGCAGAATCCTGCTCAAGCGCACCGGAAAGGCGCCCAAATCCTGAGTGCTGGGGCCGAACACCGAGGCCTGCCTGTGGGAAGTGGGGTGAGAGTCAGACCCATTGCGTAAGACGCACCACCACCAGCAGTCGCCGAGTAATCCGTGAGAGCGGTAGCATCTGGAACACAAGCGTACGTGCTTGCCACCATCGGCTGTGTCATGCCCAGCGCCCTCACGGCAGGCAGCACCTGCCCACGGCCGCCCGTGGTTCTGTCTCGGTCGTTTCAAGAGCCGGACCGAAGACAGCTCTACAGCTAAGTGGAATTCTAGGGATGCAGCAGGGCGAGAAGGACCGATCCTTAGCAATCCGCGAGGGCATTCAAGATTGGGTTGTCGCTGTGACGTTGGTCCATGCTGACATGACCAAAGCATCACATAAGTGCCACGACATGATCGCCAGGGAGTAGAAAATAAATGAGAAAACGAGGGCACCACGCTGGCCTTGCATCATAGCCACGGGACCGTGGAAAATCTCGGGCTCGCGATCCTGCCGAACCGCCGTGATGCCTTTGACTCGAGCGCAGGAACAACCGCGGGGCAAAGGAGGAGGAAGCCAATATCGGGAGTACGCACGACAGAGAGCGCCTCTACGTCAACGACAAAGTCAGCTGAAACACAATTGTTCCTTCGGCTCTCACTTTTCTTCTCAAGGATAGCGCAGCAACAGCCCCTGTGGCGTTGCGGTCAAGCTACGTCTGAGAGCACGCAAGGAAACAGGCTCGGAATACTATCAAGACACTCGTGGTAGGTGCAAAAGCCCCCTGCGCATTGGCACCGGATGATTCCCAGCCTTACAACGTAGATCCCGCTCTAGTAGATCCCGCCCTATAGCAGCTTGGAGGAGTCGTCGGCGCTGGAACCCATATGGCTCGTCGACCTCGCAGCATACGAACATGAGCATTCGAGGGTCTGGCATGACCCTGATCGCGATCTCCTCTGTCTTTCCACCTTATCTAAGCTCCGTAGCTCCATGACACTGGTATGCGCTGTAGTCATGTCTGTAGTAATATCAACGTAATGCGGATGTTACCGTCGCCGTCGCCGTCCTCGGGCAAAGCCCCGGCGCTCCAATACACGCCGAGGGCTGGAACAGTCGGGCTGGTAGTTCTGAGACGGTTACCCAGTCACCTGCAGACCTCCTGGCAGACGGCGCGGGGCAGCATAGCTCTTACACCATCACATCCTGGGCAACCGAGTCGAGTGTTGGAGCACCTTGCTTGGCGCGATAAGTCCACGGTGCAGAGCGGTTCAAGGGACTTGTGCGAAGTGCCTTCAGATTACACATGTCCATACAAAGCACATAACTAATACAAACTCGAGCTACAAACTTCGGGCTCCTGCAAGGCGGATTGGAACGTAAGGGTGGAAACATGGGAGACTCGCGGCTGTTCCACAAGGCACCGACGAGGCCCAGGATCGAATGGAAAATAAGTCAAAAGTTCCCACAGCAAGCCCGGGCCTTACATTTCCTGCGCACTCCACACCTTTAGAACATCTTCGATACAATGGTCACCAGAGTGCCTGAACTCTATTTTCGCTGGAATCGCCACGCCCCTACTCAAGTCGTTTACACGAAGAGGTTCCTGCCCAAGGCGCCCATAGCGTCTCGCCAGGGAGCGATTCCGTTTTCGTATTGGCCGTTGCGGTCCAAAGCGTCCCAGCAGATATCGAGAATCTCGTCGGTACCACGGTAGTTGGAGCCAAAGCTGAGGGAAAGGACGAACTTGAGGAGGTGCTGGATTCTCGACCGCATGTCGGGGTCACGAGTGTACATGCCAATGATCTGATTGGTCAGAACCGTCCGCGTTGGGCATCTAGCTTGGTTCACTCACCGTCAATGCCCACTGAAATCCGCCCATTCCAACGGGCTCGGCATCGGCTACGAGTTCGGCTGCACGCTGCCGCTCTCTCTCAAGTCGAGCGTCGCTGAGGTCTACGTTGAGGACCTCGCAAAGAAGCATGACTCGCAATGCTGATCTCATAACCTGGGCTGGTCAGCTTGATCTCTGACCGAAAGGCATTCCGATCGGTTACGACAGACCTGCGGTCGTCGATGTCGTAAGGCTACTCACCTCGTTTCCACGCTGGATACGGTCTGAGCGACCGACGTCCAAATTGCCTTCCTCCCAATCCCAGCCTTCGTTCAGCTGTACCAGCAGTTCCTGGGCTTGCGCCTCGATCTGCGAAGCACGTGAGCCATCTTTGCCACCGGACCGCAGCATGTTGGACCGCTGCACGACCAGGCTGTGGACTCGACCGAGGAGAATGACAATTCGCCGAGAGAAACCGACGAAACGCTCCACCCATTCGGGGCCCACCGGAGACATTTCAAAGATCGGTTGCATGTTGGAGCACACGTCCAGAGGCGTGCAGGAAAACTGAATGGTGGCGTAGAGGGAGATCATGTCTCGAAGACTCGGGTAGAACGATGAGGACTGATCCAGTGGCAGCTCAAACGCAGTACTGCGATCGATCTGAAGAAGGCCAGCGTCGAGCATGTCCGCCATGCAGCGAACGAAGAAACCCATCCTGCTGTCAGAGTCGCATTTCGCAAACACTCACAAGTATTCTTCAGTTTGCCACTCCCGCTCGGGATACCTGACTTTGGCGCGAAGAATAGCACATCCAGCCTTTTGGCGGTGACGCGCTGCTGCAGCACGCCAGTGCCACGCCTTGGTGGTGTCTGCATCGATGTTGCCGCGGTGGACGTAGGCCAACTGAATGAGCGAGTGGTGCAGCCAGTCGCGGACAGAGGCCCCTGCTTCGTCGGCATTGACCGGCGCGGAGAGGACTGTAAGAAGGCGGGGGAAAAGCTGCTGGAAGATCCAGTTGTGCTTCACTTGGGTTGCGGACTGAATCTCGTTGCAGCCCCGTGACTCGAGGTAAGACACCACAGCGCGGTCGCCGGTCGAATGAGACATAGCCGCCAGAGAGATGGGGTCGATGTTGTTCATTGGCGCGGGATTCAGAAGATAATTGATCATGTCGACCGTGAGTGTCTTGTCGACATTGGTGTAGCCGTACGCAGGAGGATAAGGGTGGACGCTAACCCCATTAGCGTGAGGCGGGTTCATAGATAACGGCTGGATTGTCGCATCTGCCGGGATAGACCCCGCGCTGATGGGCGCAATGTGGGCGTGCTGCGTGTGGAGCATGGGCTTTGTATCGACGCTGGTGATAAAAGCTGCTGTGTGGGTGCCGTTGACATGCGCAGCGGGCAGCGCCGTCCAGTCGATGATCGTCATGTCATCGCGATCCTCGAACTGGTGTTGATAGTCTTGCGAGTCGTGAGCCGAGTCAGAGCCGCCGCTGACGGGGCACCACTCCTCGACATCCTCAGCGCGCTCCCAGGCATCGTCACGGTCCTTGCTCTTGCCGCGCTTGATCATCCCCTTGATGGGGTAGAAGCAAGGCTGGTCGGTCTCCCAGCACCTGCGGCAGATGATCTTGCGCCCTGTCGTGGAGGAGATGGGGCCCTCGGGACATTTGACGCGCTGCACACGGCACTGCTTACAGCCTGTCGTGGTGCGAGTATGGCGCTTCCGCTTGCGAGGCGGCTCGGAGCAGCCATTGATTGAGAGCGTAGGGGAGAGGGAGTTGGGAGAGATTGGATGGGCGGTAGCAGACGCCATTGTGAGGGTTGCAAGTGGAGGTAATGTGGAGGGTGGGGGAGTGACACAGGGTGAGCTATGAAGGGAAGGAGGCTTGACTTATGCAGGGGTTGAGATGAGTTGCTGCGTGATGGGAGATGAAGAAGGCGCGAGTGAGAGGTTGATTAAATATGCTTCTGAGGAGGTGAGAGAAGGAGATAATGCAAGATGTGAGCGGTAGAGCGAAGTCAGATGGAGAGGAGGGGATGACCCAGGGTGTTGCCCGCGGTGCGCGCGGTGCCCGAGGTGAGAGCAATGAGGGGGGTGAATACCGACCGACCGACCCGGGCAGCGGCGCCTGGGCTCAGCCTGGGCGTCGAGGGCGGCGGAAGCTCGGGGTACGATAATGCGAGGGTACGACAGACCAAGACCGCATGCATTCTGTCGCGGGCGTGGAGTGCATGCAGGTCATCTGCAGGCCGTCCTAGTGCAGCACGTCAGCGCTGCCGTGCGACAGAACAGCTGCACATGCATCGGCGCGACCGCAACGGCGAGACCGCACCACGTCGTACGGCACGGCAGCAGCGCTGATCTCCTGATCTCGAACAAGGCAGGGCGAACGAGCTGTCGTTCTAGGTTACGCCGGATGCCCCTACGTCTCACACCCTGACCTGGGCACTGCATGGCATGGCATGGTTCTCAAACGAAGAGTTTACTAATGCTCGTCATTCTTCCCACTCGTTTACGGTCCACGGCCCGAACCGTACGGCATCTGCATCCTTGTGGTCCTGCCGGGGCCTGAGGTCAAGCAGTTCCAGCAGTGCGGCCTTCCTCGCCTCGTACCGCTCTCACCAGCAAGGGCCCGCCTGCTGCATGTGTCTATGTTCCATCTCGCCCGAGAGGGGATTGGAGAAGTAGAATCCAGCGATACTGACCTCAGGGTGATCGGTGCAATAGAGTTGAGCGAGGGGAATGCAGGGTCGCTCTGGGTTTGCGTCAATTGACCTGCTGTCATTGACATCTCACGGAGCGATGGGACCCAGTTCCAGTGCTTTCCCATTGTTAATTCGATTCCGGCACAATTGTAGGTTGCGCGCTCCAGCATGACCGTCCCAGCAATCCCTTGGCCCTTAAGTCTACAGCCCCGGCCATAGCCCTTTGCACCTCGGTCTTGTTCTGTGCTCCTCAGATACAGCTCTACACTCTTGGTTCACTTTCCGTCATGTTTTAGCTCTCGGACAGCAACACTAACGGCGGATCACATGCCCTTTCAGGCAAAAACGAGGTGCTGCCTTGCACTGGTATCTAATCAGTAGACATCTCAGCTAGCGCGTCCGAAGCGACTGGGGTCGACGTATCCTCGAGAGGTCTCTCTGTTGGGCGACACACATGCTTCGACCTTCGTAGAGTCGCCACTCACGGGCTACAACGGCAGGAACGCAGCTCAAATGAAGTGGAGCTCGCGGCACAATCCTCTGCAAGGGCATGGGGCGAGTCTCGACACCGAAATAGATGGGACTGGGTCCGGGCCCCGCGTCAACTTTGGTCCAGCTAACACCCAAGGCACATGCCCGCTGGAGATCTTTGATGTGCTGCACCGGACTCCAACATAGCTCGGCCACAGTTCGGTCATGCATGGGCATGGGACAGTCCCAGTCGTGAGAGGAGTTTTCGAGGGAGGCTAGAGCTGACGACGGGTACGCCGAGCTGCGGACCGACGAGAACTTGGCCAGCGAGACGATAGCCACCTCCCGGCGACGTTCGATGGCTTGCCCAATGGAGAAACTCCTCGAGCGCATGACAGCACATCTGGGAGCAATGGCTCCCATGCTCGCCTCAATCTCACTGGCGGACTCGAGCTTATCGGCGGATGATATCACGGCAAAGCCACCACACCCTGGTTTCCTCATGTCTCAGTGCGTAATATCTCTCATGTCGCGAGGCCAGCGGTTAGCGTAATCCCCCTGCTATGACTTTCCGCAGATCGTCGTCCTGATACCGAAGAACGTGCCACCCCTCTGGGTACTGGTGGCTACCGCTGCCCATATGGAACCCTTCCGGGAGGCCGTTCTGGGCTTGACCAGCGAGCAAAATCGTATTCAGTCGTCCCTCCTGACTCTCAGCCCTTGGTAGTTCCCTGTTGCCTCGCTCCGTTTCGTCACATTTCCCCTGCTTCGTACTAACCTTTACGAAACCTCGAAGCGTTCCTCCTGAAGGCCGATAACTGGGGGGCATCGCAAACTCGACTAAACGAACATGATCAAACTCTAATGCTCAGGAAGTACCTCGAATGCCCACGCTATCAGCTTTGAAAGTGCACCTGGGCCAGCCTGGACCGTTGAGGGTATGTCTGGGAACCGACCTCTCCTGAGTACCGGATCGCTTCCATAAGCAACATCCGCGGGCCACTGTACTGGATCGAGATAACAAACTAACGTGCATACAACTAGAGTCTACACAACGGCGCAAAGGGCAAAGTCTATAGAATGGGGAGATTAGTGACCTGCCATGACACTGGTTTGGACATAACCCCAATAAGCCTTGCGAGACTTGGACCTCCAAGCCTTGCCATACTTGACGACTATGAGGAATGAAGCATAAATGGCCATGCCGACCATGGCCGCGGTGATGAATGTGTTTTGGTACCCCATGGTGAGCCATGGGGTGATGCCGTATCCGATAGCAAACGAAAGAGAGTTCTGTAATTAGTTGTAAAGTCGTGCGAATCCTCGGTTGAGCTCACTCTAATGATCATCACGGTAACCATGACCTCACCACCGAGGTCTTTGTAAGAGTCGAGAGCGTAGCTGATAGCAAATGCGCCGCCAGTTGCTGATGTGAACGCGATGAGCATGAAGCCCACTACAAGACCGAACCAGTGGACGTGGTGCGCGGCGCCGACGCCCCAGAGGATAAGGCCTGCTGGCAGCACGATCGTGTTCATGGTCAAAAGCCACAGGCGCTCTTCCGGTTCCCGGACGCCCTTATTGCGCCGCGCAAAGAAGATCGAGAACTTGTCTGAGACCCAGCCGCTCCACACCCAAGCCAGTATCGCGCCAATCGTGGGGCCAAAGTACGTCAGACCCACCATGGAGGCGGAGAAGTTATACGTCCCAGTGAAGATCATTGACGATGTCGCGTTCAGCACGTTGAACCAGACGAGGGCAGCACCGTAGATGAAACCAGACCAAACCACCACTGGGAAGCGCAGAAGCAGTAGCGGACGGTACATCATCGTGAACATGGTCTTGTAGCTGAGCCATCGGCGACGGAACAGACGGAGACGCTGCGGCCAAGTGTAGGGCGTGCCGTAGAGGTGTTGATACACTGGGATACTGACATTCTCGCTCCATTTCTCCTCCACTTTCCCGGCGGAAGTGACGCTTTTGCCCTCCCCGATGATCTCGACGTCGGTTTGGGTGGAGTCTCGGTCGACGGTGTGCTTCTCAGCCAGCTCCGTTGTTCCGCGGTCAAAGTTTGTCTGTATTGTCAGTGCCTTGCCGGCGAACGATTCGTGGGAACCTCGGGTGAAACTCGGACCGCCGGGAACGACTGGGAAAGGGGGAACGGCGATCGAGATCCAACAGTTCCTCTCCCACTCGCTTCGCAAGACTCGCCGGTCCCAATCTCCTTACTCACCTCTTCCAGAAACAGAAACAGGATGACGAGCCCAACTGCAAGCTCGATGGCCGACACCCAGAATACCCATTTGTACCCGAGAGCGTCGTTGACAAACTGCGAGCGGGCATCAGTTCTCATCTCAGCGAGCACTCACTCCAGCCCAGATTGGGGCGATAAAGTTGGAGGTGAAAAGGGCCATGCCGTAAAGACCAATGTAGAACCCGCGCTCATGCGCATAGAACTGCAGAGTGTCAGCTTTGATTCCCAGGCTGCAAATGTGCCTGAATTGACTTACCACGTCTGCGAATGAGATCTCGACGAGACTCTCGATGGGCGCCGCGAAGAACCCCTGTAACACTTTGTTTGCGAGCCATTGACTCTCAGTCTTGATCCAGATCATCCAGAACACTGTAGCCTGCGTAAGACAGTCAGCAAAGTTCTACCGCGGAGCTCGGTCGCGACATGCTACCCACGAGATGGCAGAGACCGGTGATGAGGTAGACCGGGCGCTTACCAAAAGTAAGAGCCAGGGGTTGCGTAATGAGGGCACCCCAGCCCAACAGAAGGAACACTATCGTTAGCAATGGCGGTCACCATAGCCCGCCCACTCACTGTATCCAGTGCCCGCATTGAGAGTCGAGACTGGGATGCCAGTGCTCTCAGAGATGGGCGTTAGAACAGAGTAAAGGGAGGCGGTGGCCATGCCCGTCGCCAACGTATCTTCGGAGGATTAGTTTGGGTCGAGATTCCACGGGCCTTCACGTCGACCGTTACACAACGCATCACTTACAGATAACAAGCATGGCAACTTGAAGCATCTTTCGACGGTGGGTCCAGCGCAACGGATCGTTGACGTCGTTGGATGGTACTGGTGACAAGATGATGTCCGAAGCAGCCTCGGCGTGCTGCTCAGCAGCTAAACCACCATCGACGTCGACGAGCACGATCGTGCCGGGAATAGGCAAGTTTTGAGGGTCGGTATGGTGAGCTGTCGCCATAGTGGGCGATGGCTTGGCGGTCATTCTCAAAGCGGGGTAACGTTGTCGCTGTGTGCGAGACGGCTCTTATGTAGGCTCCCGTTGAAGTATTCCCAACCAGTTATCGCCATCTCCAGGGGAAGGGCACTGGGACCTGAATCCGGTCTACTCCGCTGCCTGTCGCTAATCTAGTGCAACTGAAGGATCAGCTGCTAAGCGGTTCGCCACCAAACCTTTGCCCTCACCTCTGTCCCAACGTCTTCGCCAGGCAGACGAGCGAGGGGCACCTAACGAGGTGATACAGCACTTGAATTGGGGAATGGCGTAGAAGTCATCTAGGTGGGGGCTGATAAGAATGGAGATATCGATGCGGGCGGATACAGCCGAGAAGCGACAAGCGGCAGGTGGAGGCTTCCCTAGATGAACTTGGCAGTCTGGGCCATCAGTTTACTTGCAACAGTCGGCGGTTTGGAGCTCAATGCAGAAGACGGCTGGGAACTGACCGCGTTCCTTCTCGTCACAAATGCACAGGTCCAAACATGACGCAGCGCTTTCCGTTCTGTGTGCACCGAGCCCACTGCCGTGGAGCTGAGTTGTATCGGACTGGAGGGATTGGTCACTTGATTGAGTTGATTTGCTTCGAACAGATGTGGGCAGAGTCTACAATTGCCCACCTCTCAGCGTCTCGGACCCGCGTTAAACACTGCTGAGTCAAGGCTGTCTGCACTGTACGCATTTCAAACGACTAGCGAGAGACGACTGCCGTCAGGCGGCAATCTCATCACGGGATCGCCTTATTCAGTCGTCTTCATCTTAATGGTCGTGCCTCTTGGCGATCTGAGTTTGCGAGAATCCAAGCGTACCGCTTGCCCACTCTATGACCTCCGAGGTTGAGTTTAGCTCCATGCAAAGGTTCCCCACATAGGCGAGTGCCGTGGGGCCACTGTCTCGCGAACGGGGGAG